GATTTCGACAAGGATCGCACTGCTAAAAAAAATGCAGGGGGAGCGGTTCTGCTTCAACAGTGTGCGCTACTACCTGCGTCTTCTTGTTTGTTGTCTTGTGTTCGTCCCAATGTTTATCATTAGCTGAGGCTGTCGAGTAAATGCTCCTGTATACCCGTGTCTGGTTCGAAAATATCATTGCTGCTTTATCGTGTTTTGATTTTACCGGGAGAGTGGGGTTGAAAACATACCGTGAGAACCAAGCGTGCCAGCGGAAGCGACGAGCGTCGAGAACAAATGAACGGAAACATAAATATTGCCGCCGGTGGCGGTGAAACCCGATACACGGCCAGAGACCAATGGGATGGTCAAGGTGATATAGGAGTGAAAGTCGCCTGTGAAAGACGGTGAACATGGCATAGAATCAGCGGTTGAAAAAAGCAGCACTAGAGGTTGAAAACCACCCTGCCCGAGCTCGAGAAAGGATCGGGTGAAAAGGAGCATAGGCGGGGTGATCATCACCATTCTTGATCACCTCCCGCGACGTCGAAAATCGCCTCGGAGAGCCGCGAGAGGGTGAAGATCGACCGCTCTAACGTCGAATACCACCTAAAACCCGGTTGATTTTCCGGTGGCTTTCACCCGCGGCGACCTCCGTAGTGGAATCGACCTGTCGATGACCGTCGCCACCGAAGACGATAAATTAAGCCCCTTCAAGTCTCCCGGGGAGTTCCTCAACTCCGTAATACCTTCGTTAAACCACAGAGCGGTCAATCGATACCTGGAAATAGACGACGAAAACAACACTGAAGAAAGTGTTTGTCGACGTGCTTGGATTAGTGCCATGTATTTTTTTTTTGCATTTTTTTTCCTTATGCGACGCGGTCTCTCACCCTTATGTATGGTCTATCACTATCAGCGCCGTAGATGCTCTAGCTCGGACTGGTGGAATCGCAGGTATCTCTCGGCTGCAGACCAGCCTCCTCACCCAGCAGGTCCGTGCAATTATTTTCGTAGAATTGTTCACATTTCTAGAATTAACGTTTGCGCTCTGTTCATCAGGAGCTGCGTGTTTTGAGCCTCGTGGCGGCTCGGGTACAACTCCTCAACGCCAATAAGCCATTGACGAGAGAGAACGAATTCAGCGAGATAATACACACAGCAGAAGGCCACATCGTTATGAACTCGCGCTACAAAAGCAGAATCCGTGCAAGCGACCTGGTATGCCTATTCTTGCGCGATAACACTTGTTTTATCATCTTCTAATACCCCTCTCCTAGACGGATGTCGAGATGACTTTACGGACGGGAGAGCGCGTTATAGCGCGTGCCGGTGGCTCTAAGGGCAGAGCTACCAATATTAAATTCAATACATCACTCTCCGGACCAGTCGACACCATACGGGTTATAGGACGAGAAGAGCTTACTAATGCTGAACGAGCGCAATACGAACTCCTCGTACGAGTACTACAAGGAGACATACACTTGCCCGACACCTCTCCGTTCATCGATGTTATATGGTTCACAGACGAAAACAAGATCCTGAACCGGGGGGAGTGCTCAATGAGTCGCCGTCAGCTTGACGGTACCCCAGGTCTTGACCACCTCAATCCATCTCAATATGAGGTGGTGGTGGCGATGTGTTCGACAGCAGAGGACAGTGCTCTGGTGATTGTCCACGGTTAGTCTTCCCTCGTGTCTGATGTGTTCGTAGCGCTGATGACCTTTTCTCCCTCTTTCTTTGCACTTACGCATTTCCAGGGCCTCCTGGTAGTGGCAAGACCGCAACAATTTCTAACGCTGTCAAGATTTGGGCCAATCGCCATGAGCCCGTTTGGATCGTGGCCCAGTCAAACGTAGGTGTAAAGAACATCGCCGAATCTCTATGTCGCCGTGATGTGGACTTCAGACTCGTGGTCTCGAAAGAGTTCTACGTCGAGTGGTATGTCAAAACTACTATGTATTCATTTGAAGCTCTGAAGCTATTCGATCGCTGATGTCCTTCATGCAGGCACGAAGGGATCTATGAGTGTGTGGAGGAAAAACTCATTCGCAGCGACGATATCCCTTCCAGTGGCGACATGGCTGCGATGGAACGTCTCTTCGAGGGGAATACCGTGATCCTGTGTACTCTCAGCATGCTGTCCAATCCCATCGTAGTTCGAAGCGGGCTCACCAAACTCGTTCCTATCGAAAGACTCATCATCGACGAAGCTTCACAAATCGATGTATTCGAATTCTTGGTCAGTTCCTTTTCCGTCTTAGGTATGACTACGACTACTGAACTGTGGCTCAGCCTGTGTTCTACAAGTACCACCTGGACCTCGTCAAAGTTTGTTTCTTTGGAGATCCAAAACAACGTGAGAGTCGCTCTCAGGAGTTCGAATAATCGGACGATATCAACTTATTTCCTCATACTAGTGCCACCGTACCAGGCTGAGCAGGCAGGTTTACAGACGATTTTCGAAGTCAAACAGCTTCGCAGAACAAAATATTTTCTGAATACGCAGTGTGAGCCTTTATTATTATCTACACACCTGGTTGATTTAAAACTATATTATAGACCGGATGCCTGGACCTATCGGTAGCTTCATTTCTGAGGCTATGTATGACAAGAAGCTTCGTTCATGCCACGAGAACAGAGACGACTATAACTGCGTTCGGTTCGTGAACGTTAGCAAGGGCTCGGAGGAACAGCGAGACAAGAGTTTCGTGGTACGAATTCTCTGCAGTCATATGCGTCCCTTACTGAAATAATCCGGGTCGATATCAGAACATGGAAGAGGTCCACACTGTCATTCGTCTTGTTCAAGGATATTACTCCAACAGGAGCTATTGCATCATCACACCCTACGATGCTCAACGAGCTGCAATATCCCGCGAGCTGGCAAGGAGCGGGTTGCCAGACAGCGTCTTCAACGTTGATAGCTTTCAGGGTGCGCCGACTCTGCCTATTTACTTACAAAAGTCTCCAGATACATATTCTGACTACCGTGGATAGGCAACGAGGACGACTATGTGATCATATCGACCGTCAGGACCGAAAAACCGGGTTTTCTGGCCTCAGATAAACGTGTCAATGTCATGCTGACTCGCTGCAAGAAGGGCATGGTCATCGTCACGAATACTCAATTCCTGTTGTCGGCAGGGGCACAGACCCTGACCGGCAAGCTTTTAGGCTATTGGAAAGAGAAACAGGGATCATATAAGGTCTGGGTGGATTGGAAGGACATAGTTGAGAAGAACGTGGACTTGCCCGGATGTGTGGCGCCCCGTCCGCAACTACCATCACCAGCACCGCCACCACCTGTCGCTATCCCCAACATCGACTTCGCCAAACTATCACTGAATGATACCCCCGCAACAATGTCGACAAGTTCTGGTACTCCGTCCCCGTCGACTCCTCGGTCCCAAACCCCTCAAGTTCCACGAAGGCACCTCTCAAGCCCCGTACCGTCAGTGACGTTGCCGCCTTCGATCCCATCTCCATCCGGCTCCGTGGAACTCGATGGATTCAAGCCCAAGGCCCTCCAAGGTTCATGGGCGAACGTTACCCGCACGAAGGCTATCAAGCACTCCAACAGCATACCTCCGCAATCCTCCATTCCCGAACCACTGTCTCCCATCCAACGACACACGCAATCAACATCCAGAGGTCGCCTTCGCTCTGAAACCCTTCCTATAAGAGAGACTACGCCACGATCTCATACAGAGTCTGAAAGCTATCCTACTCTTCCTTCCGAGGAGACCCCTTGGAGAGAGCTTCCGAAGGCGGCTGCACCGATACGGGGACAATGGGCTGCCGGATCTGGACCAGTGAAGGATTTGACTTTGTGGAGGCAACAACAAAAGAAGTAGGCGATTCAGTTGGCTGGCGTCGAGGACTTTGTTTGTCGGGTGTGATATCTGTGACTTCATGACTCCGTGTTTGAAGGCCTCTTCCATTTCTCGGGGTCGATTAATGAGGCGATAGTGAGAGTTTAATCTGCTTAGTATATCGATGTCTTTCTTGATGCGTTGCTTAGAGCTGTAGAGCTTGTATGAATCCTCATGTAGATGACCTTGTATCTGTTCAGGGCTTCATCTAAACGTTTTTGGTTACCGCGAAACGCATCTGATTGCCTGTGGCGCAAGCACCCCCGAAGTCAAAAAATGAACTAAACAAACACATTCACCAAATGAGCCAACGTCTTTCCCAACTCTGGAAACAAGCCTTTCCATGTAAAAGCAGTAAACCCGGCCGGACCTCGGACTTCCGAAAATCTTCAAGCACCTGTAGAGCAACGACAAAGGCATTTCAGTACCGCACGACGAACTTGGCACAATATAACGGTATATCAAAGCCTACCGATGATCTCGCTCATCTTCTCCAACCACCTCGCCTCCGACGCCCTCAATGATCCTCCACGCCTCTGCTTAGCGGCGGCTGCGGCTTTGGCAGCGGCTTTGGCGGCAGCGTTCGCGCCCTTGTGGTGTTTCTTCCCCGTGCCAGTGGCTGTAGTGGTAGTGTTGCCAGCTGCAGCAGATCCAGAGGCGGCGGCGGCAGTGCCGGCGGCTGTGGTACCGTTGGTGGCGGCGGCACCTGTAGCAGTGCCTTGCGACACAACTATAGGTTACAATATCAAGATCAGATGTAGGGAAATAGATGTGAGAGCAAGCCTAAAGCGGTAGGAAAAAGAGACGAACCGACACAGTTACCGAACCCGGCTGTGGTCTTGAACGACACGAGACAGAGGTTTCCGGCAGCACCACCAGTGCAGGTGGTACCAGCGGGCATCTGTACTGTCACTTGGTCGGAGCCGACGGTGGTGGGGTTCTGCATAATTTAAGAATACGCATCAGATTGAGCGCCATATCGGATGTGGGGCAGGGAGTTGAGGGTTGTCGTAAGGCAGGAAAAGGAAGGAAGATGGTCATGTAACGTACCGCATTCCCATTTGTGGTCACTGTAGCCGCCGTGAAACTCTTGCCAGCTCCCGTCGCATCAACTTGAGCCGAAACCGACCGTGATCCATCTGCACCACTGATCATCCACACAAAAAAAAATCAGCAATCAAAAGATGAGGTGCCCGCTTTTCAGTGATTCGGACGGGTAAAGCGAACTATGGATGTCAGAAGGTCATGAGGACTCACGCATTAAAGTCTGTCACAGTTGCCTGGAAAGTACTTCCGGTGAGAGGAATAGCCGTCGAGGTATCGATGTTCTGGGCAATGTTGACAGTGCCACAAGGCGTGGCGGTCGAAGGCCTCTGAACATCGTTACGGACGGGATTGCCAGAGACACCGAGGGCGGGGGCGATGGCGGCGTGAGCGTTCACCTGGGCGACAGAAAGAGCGAGAGCCAGGACTGAGATAAAAAGACGAGAGGAGAACATATCTAATGAATAGAAAGATAAGATGGAGGGCTGAGGGTGAGAGTGTGAAGGGACGTCAAAAGGATCGGAAGATCAGACTAGCTGTCGTAAATGAAAGAGGGAAGGTTTGACAGGGGCGAAGAGCAGGAAAACGAAGGGTATGGTTGAATGAGAGCGAGAGGAACCGGTCCTCGAGAAATGAAACGAAGGTGCAAGGCAAAAAGAGGGCGAATGCGACGACGAGGAAACCTGGAGAAAAGGAAAAGGATGAGATGCCCCAGGAGAGAGCGTTTATGTACCCCACACTCGAAAGCCGCCTGATCTCCACACAGCATGGCCATTGGTCTGTTGTGGCCGCCCAAGGGAATGTCAGGTCCATCAAAGGCGTTCCATAAGGGCTAGTCGATCCCATGCCAGCCAATACCGAACGTTCATTGTGGCCGAACCAATGGTGTGCGATGTTGTGCCAAGTGAAACCACCAAAGGCGGCATATCCTCGCTCATGTGAGAATTAATAGCACAAGCCTGCATGGTTAAAAATACGTGTATGTGGTCGTCAAGGCGCCAGTTTAATGGGTCCCACAGCAATTGAGAGATGAAGGCGTCTTGAAAGGAGAATGGTCGGCCTGAATAGTGGATAATGAGCTGAGGTGGGGGGTACTGAGTCCTGCAGCCAATGAGGGCCACGAAACGCGCATCGGCTGACGAAGTTAGATCATCTTTCACAGTGATGCACTGTGTTCAACCACAGGAAAATGATCTGTATCCAGTGCCATGGCAATGGTAACATAGGGAAATGTGTAATATTGATCTTCATCGGAGTCGTTCGTTGGTGACAAACTCTACTGGACGGAACACCATTCTGGGCTCCATCAGTTCAGTAGTTTGGTGTCCTAAGCAAGAGGCGACGACGGCCAGAGATCAGCAAAGGTGCGGTTGTTCGACTCTTACGGTCGGTGACAATGGCGCTCCTATTTCGCGGGTTCCGACTCATCATCCGCATGCCAAGTGCATGTACGGGTTCCTGGATATCCAATTTTCTGTGTGGATTGTCAGGTCGAGATTAGGCTAGTACAGGTCCCACAAGCCGCATGAGTGGCAGACACTTAAACGAAAGAAGACACACCATGGAATTCCGCAATATCCAAGGGTGGTCACTCGAGGGAATGATCCCTAGACTGGAATTGTCATGGAGGAAACACAGAAAGAACGTTCAAAGATGGTCGATGGTCACGCATTCATTGTCGTGAAAGTCGAGAGGAAAGAGGAAAGAGGAATTTGTTTTTAGGAAATTATCAAATGTTTTGTTCGGGATCACGTGCTCCCGGCCGGACACTCGAAACCTTCGAATTTCGCAAGACGCACATTCAGTCCAGCTTCACGAACTAGTACCTCAGGCCTGGCCGTTCGGCACAGTGTACACCTTGTGGATGTTACAATCCTTGTCTATTTGGCTCACGACCGCCTACTTACTAGTTGAGGATTCTCCTTTGCGTGGCTACTACTATGCCGGGGCACTCGGGTGTTCCCCAAGCAGGATCCTCTCAGGTCGTGCTAAATCGGAATTGCTCAAGGATTTCTCAATACAACCCCCTCCTTCGTAAGACCCAGGATATCCAACGTCCCAACTTAGGCACTAACCTAGTCGTTGACTCAACCGTTCAACATATAACCGGTGTCACCGGTCATCGAATGATACGAAAGGATAGACATGCGCATGGCCATGTCCGTTTTGTCTTTATCCACATACCGAAGCACCCAATGTTCGCATGTCCGTGGTTGTGGAATATCCTCCTGGTAGACCTAGCATGGTGCCAAAGGAGTGCCCTACACGGGCGCCACTCGACCCGAACAAGCTCTCGAACTCGACGCTGCCTCATCCCACCATTCTGAAATGTACAATCTGCACTTCAAGGCTGTAAGCGGTTAGGTACACTGTACACGATCCTCTTCATATTCACCTTTGCTCATCTTCTACCTCACACGGCCGTTGACATACTCCAACCCACCCTATGAGCCTCTAGGCTGTGAAACTACTCATCTTTCGATTCCAGCTATGACCCTAATCATATAGCCACCTTCGCCTCCACCCACTTATCATGCCGCTTCACCAACTCCGCAATAATATCCTCTTCTATCTCCTTCGTTCCGCCAACCACATTAGGATCGAGGCGTAGCCATGTGTGCGTGATCTCATCTTCTGATGCCGTGGTTGATGAAGATATGGATGCGGCCGTGTTGGTAGCGGTAGAGGATGTACGCGCGACGAAGACGACCTCGAATTTCCTCCTGTTGAGATCGTTTCCGATGACGATCTGGTGACCGTAACGTTCTAATGCGCCGCGTGCTTTAGGGATGAGGAGGTTGGGGTCGGTTTCGAGCTATAGTCGCGTAGTAATGTAGTCGATGATAAGTTTCGTGAGCAAATTAATCGACCGGGGTGGGAGACAAGGGTAAGTGATAACGAACCTTGAACGACACGATGAACCCATCGCGAGTCCACTCGTCAACCATTGGCTTCAATATTTTCGGTACTTGATCCATCTCAATCAACAGACTGCCCTTTCCTGACTGGATCTTATGTTCCGACTGCGTACACCAAACAATTCTTCGCTCCGTCAGCAGTTCCATCCGCCCTTTCCCTCCCAAACTCGCTTCATTCACTGCGTTCGAGGATATAGATAAGACTCACCATCTTCTGCCTCGGCAAAAAGAAATCGCTGACGGCCGCTGCTAAATAATACAGCGCTCCCCTCCTAAGTACCGACAGCTCCTGGCTAACAGCCCTCAACAACCACAAATAATCATTCACCGTCACGAACGTCAACGTATGGATCATATCCGCATGATGTGCCTCTTTGTACACTTTCAGCGTTTCGAGGAGTTCGGCACGTTTGGACGGGGTGACGGTGATATCTGAGCTATTTGGCGAGGAGGATGTGATGTGGGGGTTGACTTCGAGGAAGTCGAGGAAGGGGTTGGTGGAGTGGGAGTAGTGTCGGCTGAAGGGCTGGAGACTGAATTGGCGGTGCATGAAGACGACGGCGTAGCCTGCTTTGAGGAAGTATTCGGCAGAGGTTGCACCACGGGTACCTGACCATCGTCAAGTACATCCAACGTTCGTTAGGTCCTCGTTTCACAAGATCACATATCTAGAGACACCCACCAGCACTGAAGTTGTCCAAAAACCGTACGCTGCATTCATACACGCATATGAGCTTCAATGACACCAATTACGGGGTCGCTGAGCGCTGAAGGAGCGCTCACACGTTGAGCTCCAGCGGCACCGTCGTTCCTCCACTCTAGAGCACATTCGCCTGATAATAAGTAAAGGCGCAGATCTTCCGTATCATATCAACCAGCCATACGTATATGAAAGACTCACAGTCACAAGTACAACCCTTCTGCCTTTCTCCCGTTGTCTTCCTACGAAGGCTCGAACGCCCGCGATGTCATGCTCTAGTGACGGCGGAGGGGGTTGGGTCGCGAAATATGATTCTGCAGAGAATGTGGAGGTGGATGCGGTTTCGGAGACTTCTGCCATCTGAATCTTCGACTAATGGTTAGTAGTATGCTCTTTGTGAGGATACATTTGTGGGTGAACGGGAGATCACCTTGATGTTACGTTTATTCCGGTCCTCAAGTGCTCACGGTGCTATAATTCGCTCTTGTGCTGGACGGCGATTGCCGAGAGTTATCTCATCTCATCTTACTGGTGCCACTGTGGCTCTGATTCCATCGTTCGGGAGGAAGATCGGCGAGAAACGCTATGCATAAATTGAGCGCATGACAGAAGAAAAATCAAATATGCTATTTGCTACATAGATATTCAGAGCCCATTATTAATAGAAACAAGAAGGCGTATGTACAGATCGTCATAAGTTCGTCAATAACCCATAAAAAAGCAAGCTGACGACCCAAGAAAATATAAGCATCACGGGCCTTCTAAGCTTGAGCCGACGCACGACGATGAGAAGACCCTAAAATTCAATTTATAATAGTCAGCAAGGAAATGTGGAGTGAGGAGCAATTTTTACTCACACATCCTCTCAAACATCTCCGCCCTCACCTCCTTCGCGGCACCAGCAGCACTCACCCTACCCCTGAAGTCCCGCGCATGCCTCCTATATCCCTGCTCTTCCCTCTTTGCATCAGCGTCAGCGAGAGAGCGGGCCTGAGCAGACGCAGTCGGGGTCGATTCCTTCAACGTCAGTGTAAATGCCGTTGATGCCAACACAGAAGATGTGACGGCGGAGGCAGAGGTAGAGGTAGAGGCAGGAGCGACAACGAACACAGTAGTGGTGACTTGCGTGTGTGGCGCAGCAGTGGAGGTAGGGTTGGAGCTGACGGTGACAGTGGCGGTTACGGTGTCGGTGACAACACTGACACTGGCTGGAGAGTTGGAGGCGGCCGCGTTCGCTGCTGTGGCGGCGGCGCTGGAAGACGCAGTGGCCGTGTCGGATACGGATGCAGAAGTGGTCGCTTTTGCTTTCGATGTGGTGGTAGACGATTTGGCGATAGTCGAGATAGACGGGGCGGACGTGGACTCGCTGGCAGATGGCGACGTAGCAGCCGAACCAGAGGTATCTTGTTGGACGACGACGCAATTGCCAAAGCCAGCAGTGCTGGTGAACGAGGCGAGACAGAGATCTTTACTCGTGCCTCCAGTACATTGCGTATCCGAAGGCATCTGGATGAACAGGTTCTCTGATCCGGTGCTCGATGGATTCTACAAAGGAGAACTTAAGTTAATATGTTCCCCAAGGAGATAAAGTGGGAGTAACGGTACGTACGCCATTTCCATTGACCAGCATCGTACCCTTGACGAAGTTTTTCCCCGTCCCATCAGCGTCGATCTGAACGGTCATTTCTCGAGAACCATCTTTTCCGCTAGATAAAAATCGATGATAGGTCAATACAACGGTTCCACCTTCAGAGTTAGAACAGAACAGATTAACACACCCATTGAAATTCGTAACAGTAGCCGCAAAACTCCCATTAGTCGCAGCCTTAACCGGCGTCGAGGAATCCACGCTCTTCGCAATATTGATGTTTCCACAGGGAGAAGAAGACGACGGACGTTGGACATCGTTACGCGTGAGGTCGCCGCTCACGCTGAGGGCGGGAGAGACGCCGGCGTGGGCGTGGACTTGAGTCGTGAGGGCGAGCAGGACGGTAAGAGCGACGAGGGATCTGAACATGGCCATAATCATACGTTTTGTTGAAAGCGGCGTCGTGTATGTCGAGAACGACGAGAGAGTTCCAAGGGATGAAAGGAATGAAAGGACGTCTAGCGTGAGGTGAAGAGAGTGTAAAGGGTAAGACTAGCTTAGACGTGAAGTTGAAGCGTGAAGGAGGAACCAGTCCCCGGGGATCGTTCAAGACACAGACACGAGCACAAGAGTACCAGAGGCAGGAGCGAGCTTAGGCGAGGGGAGAGCAGCATCTCTTCCAAGCGGTTCTTATACAGTTTTGCCTCGAGGACACAGTCTCCTCGATCGGCGTCTCAGTTTCCCAAGACTAAGGTAGTGCCAAGCAACCAGGGATAGCAAGAGAAACAGGTCATATAGAGAACAAAGGCTCGGTCGGAGGCCTTGACAACATTGTTGACCATTGTGCTCGTGGCGCCTGAAAGAACAATACTCGCGGCTATTTCGGGCAACTTGGGCGAACAAATAACGGGCGCCTGTCTGAGAGAATGTTCGCACGGGGGCAGTGGCGGAAGTTGAACGGCGATGTGGCCCTGTGACATTCCCTTCGAGTAACCAGTGGGACATCCAGGTACACAATAACAGGAGGAACAGAACGTAAAGCTACAATTCGTGGGAAATGATGCACCAGAAATCTAACGATCGGTATCGTATGTAAGTCCGTCGTGGTTAACAAGGGTGAGTAGAATATATCGTGTATGATAGCATGACGAGCAAAAACGCAATGCGCATGGAAGAAAACACCGTCAGATCCAATTACCCTAGTACTCTCCATCAGCCTTCCTGACCCTCTCCCTCAACCCAGTAGAAATCTCACTCTGACTGCCACCGGCACTCCCCTCAGCCCTCGGATCCTGGACTCCTCTCTCCAAATCCGCCGCCCACAACGCTGCTCCCACCGTGTTCGTAAATGTAAACGCGATCCCCACAACAGGAACCAACTCCAACAATGTTGCCGCCGTCCCGAACGCCGTGTACGGGCCTGTCTTCTCTGCGACGAACTCCTCCTTTTGCGTTTTTGAGAACCCTTTGAGTTGGAAGTACCGTGCATGGGAGGCCGGGCCGGCCTTCTTCCCTTGAAGTAAAATGAAGATGACGGTGCCGACTACAGGGATGAAGTTTAGGGGGAGATAGAGAAGGTATGTGATGAGGCGATCGGGAGAGAAACGCTGGATGGGCGATTTTATGAGTTTTCCGAGTTTTGAGATGGCGTCGCTGCCGGGCTTGATTTGACGGCCGGAAGAGAGAAGTTTTGTGTCGTTTTGAGAGAGAAGAGTCTGTGAGGATGTGGATGTGAATATAATGCTGGATAATAGACGAAAGGACGAAACGTACGCCATCGAAAGTATCCACGAGAGCATCTTGGAGAATGAACGTCTTGCTGAGTATATTGATGATCGTGCTGCTCTCGCTAAGTACGAGGAGTACCGTGGTCAAGATGGCGAGCGGGCCATTGACTATAGCGAGTATTGCTGCTTGCGGAAAGTAGGTGAAGGTGAACATGAAAATGATGACACCAATCGCGAGCGCAAGGGTGGGGAGGAGTTTCGATAGTAGGGGTTTCCAAAGGTCACGGTGCGTAAAAAAGTAAAGTATTCCCTGTATATCCAAGCCGTCAGTTGGGATACATACATGGCTGAGCAAGAAATAAGTTCACAGACCTTCAACGGATATAGGTAGGCCCCTGAACGTGCCGCGTCTGTCGATATGTACTTAACGCGGTTCACCTCGGCCTGTACGCTCTGTTTGACATCGACCATCGTATAGGATACTCGTAGACTTTTGAAAGCACTGTTATGGGTGGTGGTGGTGAAGAGCAAAGAGGAGGTGAAGCGCATAAAAGCCATGGACGGTGCGCCAAGTCGTGTTCATGTCGCGTTCAGCACTGACGTCACTGGGGCTCAACCAGTGTGGCGGGTGCGTCATGACCGTGAGGGCTATTATTGTGGCACCTACCTTTAGTCTCGTTGATTTACTAGAACGCAACCTCAGCTCGGCTCAACCTCCAGGCTTTACATCCCTTAGCGGGTCAAACCAGAATTGTCAATACCATTAGACCTCAACTGCTAGTAAATTCATTCGAAATAAGTGGCAGACCCGCTACTCGTCATCGTTATGGAAAAGTTTCCAAGCATACCTATACCACCTCGGCTCCTCCCTCGTCCCAAGCACACGTTTCAACTTTTCCAGCTTCTCCCAATCAACCCTCATCATCTCCTCGCTCAAATTCTGCGCCAAACAAACACACAGCGCGCTTTCATATTTGGGCCCCAACATCGCCAAATGTATATCCTTCTCCGATGCAATCCCACACGTCCATTCGAGGATCATATGAAATCGTGACATGGCGTGATACCTGCCTTCATCGTCCGTTGCGAAATATTCCTGTGCACCGCGAAGTTTAATTGCGGTTTCGTCGAGGACATAGCCGAAGAGAAGACGGTGTTTATCTCGGGTTTTAGGGAGAATGGAGACTCTGGCCGGGTCCATAGGTAGGAGATGTGGAGTCCAAGAGAAGGAATACTCTGAGGAAACGGGGAGGACGACACATATTGGGTTGTCGACGGGACTATGGATGAAGCCAGGGAATGCATACGTCCTTCTAGTGGGAATGGGTGGCACCTCGGACTGGAATAGGAAAAATAGGTATTAGACAGGTATACCGTCGAGGAGAGATTCAAAGGCTTACTTGGGCCAATGGTGGTGATTGTATGTCAGGATGCGGCCGATACGTACTTGTAGGATGGATCGAATCCCGTACCAAGTCCGGAGGGATTACCTCAAGTCCATCAGAATCGCCAGGCCATTCAGGGTCCGGATCATTTGTCGAAGGCGTCTGTGCAGATCTTTTGACGGTGATTGGCCCTCCAGATACCAATACATTGGGAGGTCCTCCATTAACTTCATGTGGCGAGGAAACATGCCCCGACACAACATAAGGGTATTCGGCGCCAGGGTTCACCTCAGCAGGCGTTTGAATTATGCTGGACGACGCCTGAGCTGTCCCTATGACCACTTCGGCTCCCGGAATAAATTCAGTATCGGCACTGGATGGAGTCACTACCTCCTCGACTACAATCCCGCGGACCATCGGAGTCGGGCTCCTGGAGGACTTGTCGCTTTCATCGAGCTCATCGATTTCGGACTCACCATCAATATTGCTCCCGGACGGATCCCTTCGGCGCACAACCATGGGTCCGCACGCATCGACGGCCTCGTCGAAAAACTCCTCAAAGCCATCGTCTTCGGCATGGTCATCCCCATCGCCATCATCGTCACCGCCTCCGCCACCACTATCGCCGCCACCACCACTACTGTCACCACCGCCACTCTGGAATGTCGCCAACGACTTCTGTATAACCCTTCTATGGAACAACTGCACAACAAGACCAACAAGCTCCGTCGGCATTCCAAGATCGAGAGCATGATTCCGTACGCCAGGATTACTGGTGAGCCTATACCATAAATGAGAGAGGATAAGACCTGCCGGGTTGCTGAGACGCCAGAGACGATGTTGGAACTCTGTACCATCGGATGATTTTGAATGGGAGGCTTCGAGGACCAGGGATTCGAACGCTTCTGCTTCTGGGTCGAATCCCCCGAGAATGATGGGGGCCGCCTTGGTGTTATCGAGATGGGATGGACTTCCGGTGTTGCTAGGAGAGGTCGTGTTCATTTGAGCGTCAAATATTCGATATGTTTGATCATTAGAAGGGTTCTCGTGGGAGGCTCCTATCGAGCGTCCTGCGGCCCAATACCTTACCCCGAGGCGAGAGCGAGGTGGTAAGTGCACGAGTAGAGGAGGTAGAGGACCATTGTGCACTCGGACGAGATGGTACAGTCCAAGGAAGGGAAGGAGGTATTCAGGCTCGCCGGTAATCTCTACACCATCGAGAATCTGAAATGTGATGAGGTCAGCGCAAGTAGACTAACAGTGTAGCTAGAAGGTAGCCCATGAGCAATTGAAAGAGTCCTTACCTCTCCAAATGTACGGTTGTCGTCTTCTTCCACAATACGATGTAAGAGGTATCGGACGACGTGGCTGTGTGGACAGAAGGCTATGTATCCGGGTTCGAAATACGACAGGTGGCATGTTGGGCATACTGCAATCCGTTCAGTGCCGTCAGGCCCGACGAGCATCAGTACAGTATGAGGTCGGGAGATTGCGAGACCAAACGACTTACGTTTGATATCGTTCTCCTCACTTGACAACTTAACCGTGCCCTCGATGTCCTCATCCATGACACCAGCCCATATAGCCTTATCTACCTAGAAAGGACCCGAAAAAAGAAGTTCAGCGACAATAGACACATAAGCAACAGACTAGCCAATCGGCCCGAACTCTCCGTACGTACCTGGAGAATATCGGCCTCTTCCTTACAATCGAAGAACTGTCCTACCTGCTCGCCGGAGACAGTCAACCGGCTGAGACAAATCGAACATAGAGAATCTGAGAGGACGTTCGCGGTTCGGGCGGACTCCGATTGCGACTCCGAAGGTTCTGCAGCACCAGCCTGAGTTTCGCTGGTGGGCATATTAGAAATAGTCGAGGCAGTCTGACGATGGCAGGGTGACGGTGATAGTGATGTTGGTGCTGTATGAGAGTCTATCATGACATCAAGCGACTGCCGCAGGTAGTGGGCGTCCAGGAATAAGGGTGAGAAGAGAAGATGTTCGAAATTGGACCATGTGTGTCCATATATAAACCTGTGTGGCCACGGGCGTCTATTATCGAAACTCCGCTGCACCCCTACAGCTGTTCTGAATGTGGGTGGCCCTTTGGATCCGGCACAAGGAGCGGACAGACCGGGCTTTGCGGTTGTAACAGTGTGCATCTAGATGTTTTAAGAAGAAGGTGATACGTGAGCAAATCCATATGGTATGATGTGGAAAGAAGAAGACGAACTCGGACTGTTCTACGATGTGGCGGTAAATCAACATCGTAGTCTGATTCGGCCTTGAATGCACGAGGGGTTCCCGGTCACCGGGTATCCGTTCAGTCATGGGAAGCTTGACTGTGACTTACACATGTGCGGAAGAATGGGAACGCAGACGCTGAGATATCGGTTTACAATGATCCATCCAGTCACAAGAGAACCGTACCACACAACCCTGCTACTCGTACACCGCGTATTGATACAACTTCGGCTCCTTACCGAATATAGGCATTCCTCTCGAGCCCCTCAACCCAACCCTCCTTCAGCCTGTCCCTTCTGCATCACGAAACCTATGCCCTATGCGGTTGAGTTCACAAAGAAGCGAGTCTGCAGTCGCTCATTGAACAGCATTCCTCGCTGCAGCCTTCGCTTGCTGTTCCAACGCAGCCTTCGATTCCTCATTCGTGACGAGAACGAAATCAAACTTCAAGAGCTTGAATTTCGACCCTTTCGGGAAACCGCGCTTGCGTGCCTCTGCTTCGTCGTCTACGTCTTTGTAGTGCTGCAAAGTCATAGTGGCATAAGAAGGAATGTATACCAGAGGCAGGGGCAGCGGGCGTACCACGACCAAACTCTTCTTCACACCGAACACGGCATCACTCGTCATGTATGGATCACCATCGGGATAGAGAGCAGTGGTGAGTTTGACATATCCTGGGGCTTCGATCATGACGTGGAGGTGGTTAGGACGCATGTTGTGCCGGTTTAGGTGAACGAGGAGTTCTCCGACAGGACCCTATAAGTAGGAAGGTGAACAGATGTTAGACTACCATACCGATCGATAAAGGATGTCGATAGGGTTGGTCGGAGTAGAGGGAGAAGTTGTAAAGAGGGAAGGGGGGAGTAGGGGAGTAGGGGAGTACAATCAAACGTACATCTCCAGGGATAGGATAAGCCACGGGTACGACGGCACGATAACCAAATTTGCCATCTGGACCGGAACGCAGGCGACCACGACAGTCGGGCTTCTCGCGATTCTTGTACTGCGTATCATAGAATCCTGCAATCCAGAGTTAGCCAATTCACATATAGCACGAGCGATTACAGTCGACAGAAAGGGCGAACCATTGTCGTCGGTCTCCCAGGTCTCGATGACGGCATCCGGGATGGGTTTCCCACTCGTCGAAAGTACACTTCCCTCGACGAACATGTACTCGCCCTTGCCCTCCGACGCAATCGAGTCGCCATTGCTCACTATGACAGAGGACGAAGTAGACAGTCAGCACAGAGCCTTGGCTATGCTCAATACTGTCAACGCTGGTGACAGCGCCACACGACTCAGCGAAGGAAACAGTAAAAGACGAGGACGTACCATCTGGTGCATCCTCGGTGAAGAACGGACCCAACACGCTGCTCTCCGTCGAGTTGCCCACCGGTGGGTTGTTGAGCGCGTCGACAAGGGCAGAAACTCCAAGGATATCGGAGAGGAGGATGAATTCTTGGCGAAGAGGTGTGCAGGTTTGGCCAGTGCGGGTGAGGAACTCGAGGGTGGTCATCCATTCTGCTGTTGTGATACTGTGTTCAAGGTGAGGATGGGGGCGATGAGCATGTTAGGCTCTTGTCATTCTATGGGAAAGGAAACTGGAAGGAACGGATTGACGGATTGCGGGAATAGCGGGATCGGGAAACGTTCGAGTGTGGGGGATTCAAAATAGGGGTAGAACTGGACAGGTTTAAAAAGGAACGCACCTCGTTTCATTGATGAACTCATGCAACTTCACGACCAGATTCTTGAATATGAACTTCGTCCGTCTTGCACACCAGAGAAAAGAGCGATGTCAGCGGATGAAGTAGAACGGGTCATAGTAAGTTATTCACGTACGGGTTCGTCGCAAGGTCGGTGAGCTTCAAGAGGTTGTTAGTGATGATCTCCGCCCGGTCAGGATACTGTCCCATCCCCAAAAATAAAACTTCAGTATCTTCACCATGGCATCCATAGTTACACATGCCGTACCGGAAGTTCCACTGTTGGAGGAGGAATTCCATTCGACACGGCCTTGTTTGCTACACTCTCTGAGGCCATCTTCTCTGTAAGTCGTCGTGGGTTCAAAGTCGATCCTAGTGAATCGAAGCAGAGATATAAAGGAGTCTTCGGAGCTTGCTAGTCGGTCTTAAATAGATCCAGACGGCGGCCATAGGTAAAGTCGCTGAAATGAATGCGAAGTCGCTGATTCGGCAGGAAAAGTCAGCCAGATGACCGCATTCGCCAGATTAGGTCCTTGTTCTCCCTGACGTCCATGTCAGCAGGCTATTCCGAACTCTTCCCACTCGCCTCGATTGCTTGAATGGTTGTAACGATCCGATATCATGATGCGACGGGAGCGAGAAAGGGAGAGAAATAGACTTGGGTTGTTTGTTTGGGGAGTGGGAGACTCAAAGGGGAAGGAAGGATGAGAACCGTGAGAGATTGTGCACATGAAGGACGCAGGTCTCGCTTTGTCTTCTTGGTCCTGACTGGTGTGATCCTCTTATTCTACCGCTTTTCTGTTGGTTTAGGCCAATGATATACGTACACAACAGCATGTTAGTGATGCGGACGTGTCTGCTTCTACTCGGTCGGTGTACGAACTCGGGCGTCCAAGGCCTGCACGGCGCAGCTTGCAACTTCTCTGTGTTCAAGACTCGAGGGACAATCCATTCTTAGCATGCACGTCTCGTAGTCTTATCGCTCGTCGAAGCTTGGAAGACGGTACTGTCACCAGGATACTCGACGGCCCAAAAGATATCTGTTGCTTCAGTAACTTGGGTTCAAGTTCGTACGTCTTTGCTTCTCTCTACTCCCGCAGTTCTGGTCTCCTCCAGCCATGGGATTTTGGATATCTGGGGCTGCGGTATCAACGACGCTCTCTATGGCGCCATCTGTGAGCTATTGTTTGGCCGCAAGATGCATCAGGAATTGTATAAATATATCATCTCGTCTGTGTGGCCCAGCTTGACGCCACCCGCCTGATCGGTGAGTCGTGATCGCGGGGTGAGCGGTCGGCATGCTCTGCCTCCTTGCATCGAGAGTGTCCATCTGGTCAGAGCTTGTGTTTGTCCTAGATGCTCCTGATGCGCAAGCCCTACTTTATCTCCCTCCAAAAGAATGTTGTCATGTGTCGCTGTTCTTCCGGACATCCTGGAGCTCATTCAGCCTAGTCCTAAACAGTGTATGTCCAACAATTGTTCCAATTTTAGCAAAGTTCAGGTGACACGTCCCAACTCATAGCAGAGGAGCGGGGCAGGAAGGAAGGCATCAACGAGATTCGTGTTTTCTAGGTCGAGGGGCGAATTGGCGGGTGCCCCGCTTTCTTAGGCATTGCTGTACCCAACCCAACGTCTGTCCCGAGACGCTTGGACAACCAGTTCAAGCTAGACTCGATCACGGCTTTCTCTCGGTCAACCTCCCCCCACTTTCGGTGACTCTTTGTCAAGACTTCTTGCGCCCTTCCCACCTCTTCTAACGCTTTGCTGGAATATTTCCAGAATTTTTCACCACGACTTCCTTCGGAAGCCTGTCTAGAAACCTTTAGGGGTTGAAAACCTTTCCCTCGGCGGAAACCTCACTCCAGAAAGTTGCGGAAGCGGAGTCGAGCTGTGCTCGAGCTTGAGTTACTGACATCATGTCGGTATAGTTCCATATTTACTTCTCTGTTGCCTTGCTCCGAGCGGGAATAGAACCTCCTTGCGCCATCCGATTCTCGAGTGCCATCTCCTGCTCCTGAAGCTTTCTCAACCTTCCTCCCAAATTTCCAATCACAAGGACATGTGAGACGACACATGCCGGCATTAGATACGACAAACGCACAATGGAGATACAATACTTCGTCGTGCACGAACTTTATGTTTAACACGGTAGCGTTGCAGGAGTGAGAGAGCTTTACACTGGCACACGCATCGAATCTCATAAATATGTCAGAGACCCTTCCCTTCTTTCTCGCCTCACATCAGAGTATCTTAGCCAGTTATGCTCGAGCTCCTTGATCGTTCCTCTGTGGCTGCTTGTTTATTGACTCTCTGCACCATCGCCGGACTATATCTGTGGCGAAATAGGACTGCGAAGCATGCAGGAATACCGCTGCCTCCGGGTCCTCCCCGTCTACCCCTCGTGGGCAACCTTTTACAGATGCCGAAAAGTCATGATTGGTTGACCTACGAAGCATGGGCCAAGGAGTTCGGTAAGTTCGCTGTTTGTTTTGGTCCTAGATTTTTTTCTCATAGTGATATGTTTGCGACGATCAGGTTCGGATGTGCTTCATGTCGATGTCCTCGGTCGCCATATTGTGGTCTTGAATTCCATCAAAGCTGCCACGGAGCTGTTCGAACAGCGCCCTTCGATTTATTCAGACAGGTACAGCGATTCGAACCCCTGCCATCTCTTTACACGCAGTATTGAACGATATGCTCCAGGCCAATCTTCACTGTCGTACGCGTTTTGTAAGCCTTGTTTCTTGGACTTTGAGAATGATATCTGATGTGAGGTACAGGCTGGGTTTTGATTGGGGGATGGCTTTCTGTCGGTACAACGACCGGTTGAGAACCTCACGCAAAAGGTTCGAAGAGTTTATGCGACCTGCCGCTCTGAAGGCGAGGATCTATCCCATTTTTCGACATCCGGGCCGTTCATCCTTTCTTCCTTTCTGTAGGAATATCACTCAGTCGAGATTATAGCTGTTCATGAACTCCTGAGTAATCTCGTTAACAGACCCGATGATTTCATGGCTCACTTAAGACAGTGAGTATTTACTCCTCAATTTTGGCCCATCTTGTTCATCTTCCGTCTTCTTGTGTACGAAAGCATGGCCGGTAAAATCATCATGGAGCTTGCATATGGTATACATGTCAAGTCCACGGATGATCCGCACATTGAGAGTGCCGAACAGGCCACACAATCCCTTTCGACGTCAATAGCCCCTGCTGCCCGGGTATTTGACTTCTTCTCTATATGTACGTCCCATGTCGAGTCTATCTGACTGAATCCTTAGACCTATGGATGCTTACAATGCGTAACAGTGATATATCTTCCCTCGTGGTTTCCAGGAGCCAGCGTAAGAGCACATCCCAACATATACTTATCTCTAGACGAAACGAATTGACCATGAGTGGCAGTACAAGAAGTACGCGAAGCGCATGCGTCATTGGAGTGTGGACACGAGAGAGATTCCGTGGCGCGCTACCAAGGAAGCAATGGTATGTTGCGATATCACGACAAGTCTCGTCCCCTTGAGTAATTAGGAACTGCATGTGTTATAGGCCGAGGGAAAGGCATCTCCGTCCTTTGCTGCTAGGACATTAAGCCAGCTGGAACTTCAGTCTTCACCTGCTGAGGAGTCGATCTGCAAAGATGTTGCAGCCAGCATGTACGTGTCCTTTGTGTGCTTCCAAATTTCATGGCAGTTGATGGCTCCCGCTCCCGCTCCAGGTATCTCGGTATCCATCCACCATCTTCTTGACAACTTCATTGCGGCGTTAATATGTTGTTACTGTGCCGTGAACAGGTGGCGCCGACACAGTAAGTTCTCTCGCATTCTGCGATGTCACTGCACCCTAATCGCGTTGTCATAGACCGTATGCGCGTTGGGAAACTTCATTCTCTCCATGGTATTGTATCCGGGGTCGCAAAAGAAAGCTCAAGCGGAGATAGACTCCGTCGTCGGACCCGACCATCTTCCCTGTTTTGAGGATAAGGATTCGCTTCCCTATGTCAACGCTTTAGTCGCTGAGGTTCTCAGGTGAGCTCGTGCGCTAGGGTTCCAGTTTGCATATCTTCCTCACACTCTTTCAGATGGCGGAACGTCCTGCCTTTGGGTACATTATCTAGCATTCGATCTTCAGTCTCATTATTGATGTAAAGAAGAGTAGATCTTCCACGCGGTCTCCGGGTCGACGATGTGTACGCAGGCTACCTCCTGCCGGCTGGGTCCGTGATCATTGCGAATATCTGGTAAGGGACTTTTTGCCTGCAGATGGGACTGTGCGGAAAATAATTACGGGCTATAGGGCCATGTTGCACGAAGAGACTGTATACGGACCCGATGCGTTGGAGTTCCGGCCTGAACGTTTTCTGGACAAGAATTTACCGTTTCCTGAAATCGTCTTCGGCTTTGGACGTCGCCAGTGTCCAGGTATATACATCAGAGTTCTATCTCTTCGTTGGATTACTAACACGCATCTGCAGGAAGGCATCTTGCGCGAGAGTCCGTATGGTTGGCCATTGTGTCAATGCTGGCGACACTCGACATTTCGAAAGCGAAGGACGAGCACGGCAACAGTATTGAACCTGTGGACGGTCAAGTACCTGGCATTATCCCGTAAGATAGCCGATTTTCCTGTCTTTGTATAGCATGGTGTCTAACGCTAGAAATGTGGCGAAACAGGTATCCTTTGCCATTCAAGTGTCATATACAGCCGCGATCGACGGCAACAGCGAAATTGATCCAGATGTCTCAAATCATCGAGACGTATTGAAGTCTTCCGTTTTCCTTTCTCTGAGAAGTTCGAGAGAACGGACTTTCGGGATGCACCGCAGCATAAAAATGGATGGTTAGGGGCTATTCGTGAGGTACTTACACCTGTTCCAAATACGATGAGCAGGTCCGAGTATGTGATGAGTGTGGCGAGAGTGGCGTTCGGGAGGTCGCTTGGTCATCATCTCGAGCGTGTCATATACAAAGTGTGGGTCAAGTTCGTGTTCATCATCATTCCTTCATGTCATCGCGCAGCGACCATTCTTGCCCTCTAGATAGACATTCACTTGTCTTTTTTTGCGTTGATGTGAGGTTCAGTTCTGCGAGGTCAGAAAATTTGACAGGCGCAACGGGTAGTCTTGTACTGGAACGATTGGATTTTACTCGTTCCGTCCGCGATGGCCCTGAGACGACCTCCTCGGCGAAACATTGTCACTGTCTACGCTGTATTTTTCCTGGGGCCTGATGATTCTACCGTGAGAGTAGACTCCGAGCAGAAACCCGACGACGCCGGCACGGTAGATTCTTATCATCGTCGGGAAGGTCGTAACTCAGTAGCTCCATAATAATGACCCGATTGCGCCCACATCTCAGCCCCAGTGGGTTGCGTAGTCTCCGTCTCCTTGGTCTGGCATAGTAAATGCCAACTGCTCGTCCTCAGCCTACCCAAATCGCACAACTTGATCCTTTAAGGGGCTAATGCTGGGCCGCCCAAAGTACCTTTCGCACGTGACAACACATCTGGCTGTATTCAAGCGCTCGATAGGACTTGTTCACATCTGAGTTTGGGATCCCCATATACGTTTCAGTAACGCAAACATGCGGCACAGCATACAAACTCGTTTGCATAAATAAACCAACAGTCCCGATTTCGCCTTCCCCCATCTCGCTCTCAAGAGTCTCCTCGATATGTTCGTCGATCGCTTCTCCATAGCTGCTTGCATCCTTGCGCTCTTCTCCATCGCCGTGCTGTATCTATGGCGAAACAGGACCGCGATATACGCAGGCAAACGACTGCCTCCGGGTCCTCCTCGTCTACCCTTCATAGGAAGTTTTTTTCAGATGCCTTCCCGTCACGATTGGCTGACATACGAGACCTGGGGAAAGAAATACGGTGCGTACGCTCTCTATTCCTCCGCCCCAGATCACTCTCTGACGGAATGACATCTTTATCCTCGTCAGACTCTGATGTGGTTCACGTTGATGTCCTTGGTAGCCATGTCGTGATCTTGAATTCCATCGAGGCTGCTACAGAGCTGTTGGAACGCCGTTCCTCCATCTATTCAGACAGGCACGGCTCGCCCCCGAATATGGTTAGCTCCACGAATATTTACCAACTTGACACAGACTAGATAGTCCAGTCATCCGTGTGTTGTAAGGTTTGCTCTTGCTATCTGAGAATGTTGGCCTACTGAACAACGTGCAGACTCGGCTTTGATTGGATAATGGCTTCCATTCCCTACAATGAAAATTTGAAGTCTATGCGCAAAATGATCGAAACGTTCTTCCGGCCAACTGCATTGAAGGTAAGCGTTTACATTCTATGATATGTCAGCCCGAACCCTCACACAAGGGTCTAGGAATATCACCCTGTTGAGACTGTAGCTGTCAACCAGCTCCTCAATAGTCTTATGGACAGGCCCGAAGAGTTTACGGCCCACTTAAGACAGTGCGTCATGACATCTAGTGCAAGTGACTCTTGACCTTAGGCCCTTTATCACGGTTTTCATCCGTCTATGTTGAAAGGATGGCGGGTGCGATTATCTTGGAGCTTGGGTATGGTTTCAAGGTAAAACCCTCGGGCGATCCACACATCAAGAGCGCCGAGAAAGCTATGCATGCCCTCACAACATCAATATCCCATAGCGCTCGTATTTTCGATTTCTTTCCTCTAGGTGAGATCCTCCCTGAATCTAGTGGACATTCCTCGTTAAGTCGATGCTCATGCTGAATGGCAATACATAGCAATGTATCTTCCTTCGTGGTTTCCCGGCGCTAGTGTAAGAACATGTCCCAGCACAATCATCGACGGTGAAGTGACTGACCTAGAATGGCAGTACAAGAAGTACGCCAGAGACGTGCATCATTGCAGTGTGGACACCAGAGAAAATCCATGGATTGCCGCCAAAGAAGCATTGGTACGCCAAGAAAGTATGATATTATCTGCATAATCGGAGACACGACTGTTATAGGCCAAGACCAAAGCCTCTCCATCCTTTGCTGGGAACGTACTAGACCGGTTGGAGACCGATCCCTCACCCGAGGAGGAATCTTTGGCTAAGCTAGCTGCGGGAAATTTGTTTGTCCATTTTTGTCCGCCTTTTCCATGATTGCTGATGACTGCTGAACAGGTACCTCGGTAGGAATATATTGTTCAATCTACGATTCGATTTATGCACTAATTTGTTCATACAAAATGCGCAGGTGGTGCTGACACAGTGAGTATCTTGGCAAGCTGCGTACCATCTTGACCTGATCGTGTTGCAACAGACCGTGTGCGCGTTAGAGATATTTGTTCTCGCCATGACATTGTATCCAGAATCTCAGAAGAGAGCTCAAGCCGAGATTGACTCGATCATCGGAAGGGATCGTATTCCGTCTTTTGAGGACAAGGATATCCTTCCTTATGTCAATGCCTTAACCACTGAGGTCTTCAGGTGAGCTCGTATGCTGTGGTTTTGATGTGCATATCGTTAAGCTTTCCATCTCTTTCGATAGATGGCGAAATGTTACGCCTTTAGGTACTCTTGACATCGTTACACTCGATGAATGGTATTTCTGATAGCAAGGCTAGCTGTTCCCCACCTTCTTACAGTTGATGACGTCTACAAGGGTTATTTTTTACCGGCTGGATCCACAGTCATTGCGAACGTCTGGTGAGGAACAATTTTGCACGTACATGGGAAGCTTTTCGATGATGATCGCCATGGGCATTAGGGCTATGCTACACGACGAGAATGTGTACGGATCAGACGCGTTGGAATTCAAGCCCGAACGGTTCTTAGACAGAGATTCACCATTCCCCGAAATCGCGTTCGGCTTTGGGCGTCGTATCTGTCCAGGCTTGTCCCTCCCGTCCTTTCTTACTGAGTCGCACTGGTCCTTTCTCATTATACCTCATAATATTTGTAGGTAGACACCTGGCTCGTGAGTCAGCTTGGATAGCCATAGTGTCAATTCTAGCAACATTCGACATTTCGAAAGTGAAGGATAAGGACGGGAAGGACATCGAACCCGTTGACGAACAATATTCTGCGCTCGTCCCGTAAGCCACTCCCGAAGTTCAGGTTACCACCGAGTACTTGATGTCTGATGGTACGAATATTATGATGCAGCCGGCCTTTGCCATTCAAGTGCCACATCAAGCCACGGTCTGCTGCTGCTGCTAAGTTGATTCGGATGACACAAATAGTTGAGGCCTAGTGACGGACGTGGCAGGTAGTCTGAGTGTGACGAGGTCGGGCCTTATTGACAAGGCGCAAATAATGTCCACTAGTAAGTAGCTCCCACTGTACTGAACGTACTAGTTGGTAACGGGAATAAGTCTAGTTGACCTTATTCAGAAAGTCAGTCATCAATGATTGAGGGAATAAAATTAACAATAAAATTGAACAACCATGCAGTACAACGAGGAAGGAACATGTTACACTATCCTTCGAGGTCGCTACTCTCAAATAAATGTATAAATATGTGTCCGTAATGAAACCTTATGAACCGCCACCAGACCATCCATGTCCACAGTAAGTAGGCTACTCGCCACCAACCCGAGTAGAAAACCCGAGGAAAAATGACTGGAACTCCCAGTAATCTCAACTACCATCTTGTCCGCCAGCGCCGCCCACCGCTGCCACCCCTCTACCTCCCCAACTGCATCAACGCAGACACAGCAAACCCTGGTTGAGCCTCCTCGTCAATCTACACATTCCCCGATCAATCATCCCTCTGTAAATCCGCGGCATTGATTTGCCAATCGAGTACGTTCAATCGAAGCTTCTCTTGTCGGGTGGCTTGTGCGTCAAGGACATTTTGACGGAGGTGGGGTATCTCCAGCAGAAGATCCATAGGATCCTTGGCTTCCATAGAGGCACCTTCGGCATGATCAGACCTTTTCGAAGGCTCTGACGAGTGCTTTCGTTTTGCGGAAAGTCGCTCGTCCGATGCATCGGAAGGTCGTTTCTTAGAAGGATGAGGAACCCGAGCCTTAGAATGTCGCACGACGAACCCTGGCAGCTCCGAGAGTTTGTCTATGTTCTGTCCCCAGCGTTTTAGAGCGTTGGCAGCATAGCGATAGTGAAGAAGGAGGGCGGATGGTCGTGGATGTTCGGTAACGGTTACAAATGCAGCATCGACATTATTGGGCGTCCATTCCGCGTAGTCATCAGTCGCGTACTTTCCAACTAAAGATAGATATTGCAGTGTGTATCGTTCTGCCTTCGGGTGAGACTGATAGCTTTTAAGAGGATGCTTGCGAGAAGTCGGAGGAGGTGGGATATCGTCTGTGGACAAGATGGGATTCGGAGTCTGCAACAGAGTTGTCGGTCAATGCCGGCGATTGCTGCGCGGGGATCAAAGAAGAATGTTGTACGGATTGTGAGCGCCATACCTTCATGATTGCTACCGACCACTTTTCATCCATCAACATTTGGGTTTGGGAAGCGAGTAGGATACCATAATTGCTCTGGTCAATTCCGAGCAAGGCAGTGTCTTCTCCGTCTAGGAATGAAGCTGTGTGGGAACGGCTATCTACAACGGCTCTAAAGAACTGTCTCCGGACAATCTCAGCACAGCAAAAAGTATATGAAATTGCTCAAATAAATGGAACGCACGTCTTCGCCCTTGGATAATGGGATGAAGTGGGCCACATGACACATCGTTTCCACCACTCCAGTGAAGGGACAGTGTCCGTCACGCTCGAGAAGGCTGCGCCGAAAGGACGCCTTGCATGTATCAGAGGCTGACGATTCTGTCTTGTTGAAAGCGGTGTCTGGATTGACGGGTGCAGCTTGTAATACTGCTTCGCTGGATCAATCAGCAAAATGGTCGATCATGAAGACAAGTAGAACTTACGGTCTCTAGGTGCGTCCAAGTGGGAGGTGTAAACTGCTCCTGCAGCTAGCTGATCTTTAACTCCAACGACCTGGCCGTTGAGTTTGATCGTGCCTTCGAGCCAATAAACAGCCCAGGCGAGGAACTTGAGATATTTTACTGGGTAGAGGCAGTTTGCGCGGATATCGCAAAGCGGTATAACGAGATGGATCCCGTCAAAGCCAGCGGATTCGTCCAAAATGAGCGTGATCCGTTCCTCGTTCAAAGACATCGCGCTGTAGCAAGCAGGAAAGTGTGAAGACCAGAAGTGGCAAGCGGGCTGAGGCAGGTTGACAAGTTCGACGGTGGCGGTTAACTGAGTTTGAATACAAGTGAAAGTACCCGCGAAGTTTACTCTAGTTTACTGTGGCCCATCTGAGACTCACCCGCCACATGACGAAAAATAGATCTACAGTAGAGCACCTTCGTCAAGCACAAGTGACATTTTCCTCTTTTTTTTTTTGCTCTTACATCTTACGTGCTCCGTTTGGGGCATGGCACCGGATTTTTGTCTATCTGACTATATAGGCCAGGGCGTCCGAGAATCCGGACAAATTTGGACAGGTTGTCGAGTTGCGAAAACGTGTACACCCTCTACACGTACAAGTCTGGGGCTGGAGGGTATGTATCATCAGAGATGCTATAGTGCTGCTACTACCTTTCCTGGTGGTATTTGGCTCCTCGCTGATACTGTATCAAGCAGAACATCGAGCGGACCGTCTACCCTCGTCTACCCCAGTCGTCCACTAGTGCCGCGGTTCCTTATGGTACCCATGTGCTCGCGAGACCCTGCGAGACCCCCGCCCTGATTCCAAGCTCAATATAATTTTGCCGTTGCGTCATTCTTCGGGGAATTTTGAGTGTCCGCGATATTAGAGGTTCTTCCACTTTGAGTCGTCGTTCATTGACTGCAGCACCGTTTCAGAACCTTTTCCTCGTTCGAAGCGATAAAGTTGAACGAAGTTGAACATCTGTGGAGCCTCTTCTAGTAGTAGTACAGCCGAGATCAACGCATCTCGGTGATCGTTCTTGGCAAGACGTCACTGCTTCAAATGAGAAATCGTTGGGTGTTGTTGGGGGCAACAGCAGGAGAAGGAGTGGTTGTTGCGGGGCTCTCTCTTCGTGCTCCGAACGCGGGCGCTCGGAACGAGCCATCTTTCCGAGTCACCCATGACCACAGATTAAGCACCCAATCTGGGGAAGAAGATCTCGGAACGGAGAAAATCTTGCCATAAATGGTAAGCTCAACGCCTTCCTGCGACCGGAAGTGAGCGGGAGCAAGCGCTTAGCAGTTTATCCGGAGCCAGCGTGGCTGTCGTCATCTTCGTCTTTCCTTTCCTGTGCAGCGACTTTCCTTCGGTGTGTTCCACAAACCATCATCCCGCTGGCTATCTATTCCGCCACGGGCTATGCATGATTCCGGTACCAGTAACGGCTGCGACATGACACGAATTGTACGTGAACAATTTAGGTAGCCGCTTCCATGGTGGAGCTTTTGTCTGCTTTTGTGTGATATTTGCTGCGTCGATGACGACGATTCGCGTTATTTCACGCCCGCAGAGCAACCGTTCCTTCGCCGCGCGGAGGCGTGAAACGCGGGATGTTGATCTGTGGAGCCAGAAATTAGCACGACGCTTCGAAGCTTTATCAAGCGACGAAGGGTGTTGCTTATGTACGTTAAGCAAGTTCTGCGTATATAGGTTCAGTTCGGGTCGACAATCCCTCCCAACCACTCCCTCTTGCTCGTCTTGCTGTCTATCCTCCTCCTCCTCCTCCCCCACCCACCGTCTCGAAAGACCCACATTTGAAGTCTCGACTTCCTCTCTCTCGATCCGGCATCGACGTCTGTACTTGCCAGTACCACCATTCGTTTAAACACAACCCCACTCTCAATCCTCACTCTCAACATGTTCTCTTCCCGCACATACTCTGCCTTGATTGCTCTCGTCGCACTCGCCACGAGTGCCGTTGCACTTCCCGTCAACGTCGACACTAATGCTTCTCTGGTTCGTTTCTTTTTCTCTACGCTAAGTTCTAGTGCATAGTAACTGATTTTTTCCCCTCGGCTTGCCTTCTTCTGTGGTTCTAGTCGCTTGCCGCGAAGCGTGACCTCGTCAGTGGCGCCGTTGGAGCTGTGGACGGTGTTGTTTCGCCAGTCCTCAGCGCTGTCGGATCTGCCGCTGCTCCCGTCGTGAGCACCGTCGAGGGTGTTGCTGCACCGGTACGTATTTTACACCTCGTGTCTAACCTACCCGAGTTCCCCATCATTCTAACCTTCTTCATTCGATCATTTCCAGGTCCTCGGCGCCGCTTCAGGAATTGTCCGTCGTCAAAATGCCACCGCCAACGCCACTGCACCCGCTACTCCCACTTCGTCCGACGCTGGACTTGGTGGAATCACCGGCACTGTCGGCGGTCTCGTTTCCGGAGTTGAGAGTGCTCTTGCCCCCATCGTTTCCACTGTTGAGGGCCTCGCTGGTGGCATCGTTCGCCGCGACAACGCCTCTGCTGCCGCTAACGCCACTTCCTCATCCACCGGTGCTGCTGCTCCGGCCGACGCTGGACTTGGTGGAATCACCGGCACTGTCGGTGGTCTCGTATCTGGTGTTGAGAGCGCTCTCGCCCCTGTTATCTCTACCGTTGAGGGCCTTGCTGGTGGCATTGTTCGCCGTGACGGCCCCGTGACCGGTGTCGTTGACGGTGTCGTTGGTGCCGTCGACAGCGTTGCTGACCCCGTCGTGAGCGCCGTTGAGGGTGCTCTTGACCCTGTACGTCTCGTTTCAATCTGCTTCCTTTGCTCTGTCCGATTTGCTCTTGTTCTGGCCGTTCACTCATGGTCGTTCTTGATTCCCTTCTTATCAGGTCGTCGGTGGTATCCTCCGCCGTGATGGGCCCGTTACCGGCGTTGTCGACGGTGTCGTCGGTGCTGTGGACAGCGTTGCTGACCCCGTCGTCAGCGCTGTCGAGGGTGCGCTTGACCCAGTGCGTGTTTCCTGCACATTTTTACCCAGCCTTCCATGTTCTCAATGGTTCTGAATATATTAGGTTGTTGGTGGTATCCTTCGCCGCGACGGCCCGGTCACTGGCGCTGTTAACGGCGTCGTCGGTGCCGTAGACAGCATCGCCAACCCGGTTGTCAGCGCCGTCGAGGGTGCTCTTGACCCCGTACGTTTCTCGCCCATTTCTTTAGTTCAACAGTGATTAATCCTAGTTGAACGTGTAGGTCGTTAGTGGTATCCTCCGCCGTGATGGTCCCGTGACTGGTGTTGTCAACGGCGTCGTTGGTGCCGTCGACAGCATCGCCAACCCCGTTGTCAGCGCCGTTGAGAGTACTCTTGACCCCGTACGTCCTTGTCTGTTTGATACCTCTTCGTTCTAGTTTACTTATAAATCATGTTTAATCACTCAGGTTGTCGGTGGAATCCTTCGCCGTGATGCTGCTACCCCTGTGACCGATGCTATCAACGGTGTCGTTGGTGCTGTTGACAGCGCTGCCAACCCCGTCATCTCCACTGTCGAGTCTGCTGCCGACCCCGTACGTTTTCCACTTATTTCTTTGGTTCACCAGTGACTAATACTTATTGGATCTATAGGTCGTTGGTGGTATCCTCCGCCGTGACGGGCCCGTTACCGGCGCTGTCGACGGTGTCGTCGGTGCTGTGGACAGCGTTGCCGACCCCGTTGTCAGCGCTGTTGAGGGTATTCTTGACCCCGTGAGTATTCACTACTGTCCTCCTTTCCTAACTGAGAACTCATGACTTCATAACATTTAGGTCGTCGGTGGCATCCTCCGCCGCCAGCTTGACGGTGTTACTGGCCTCGTTGGTGGTGTCGTTAGCGGTGTTGAGGGCGCTGTTGCCCCCGTCGTGAGCGCAGTCGGCTCTGTCGCTGCCCCCGTTCTCGGCGGTCTCTAAGCGCTTCGCTCCCCTCGCCTCTCGTCTCCGCTGATCTCTTTCCTCTGCCACTTTGTTTCCTTCTGCTGCTCTGCTCATCTCACGTCGTCGTCCCGTCATCCCCGTGGATTGTAACGCAATAGCATCTCTCCGTCTCGATACCCCCGATCTCTACACGCGTATTATCCTCTCCCTCGCTTCGTTGTCTCCTTTGTACGATCGTGTACTGTACTCTATTACCTTCGCGTTCTTCTTCTGCTCCTTTTACAATCTCCTTATTTGCCCTTTTTTGGCTCGCGGCTCGCAATGCTTTGTCTTTTTTCTCCAACCTGAGTACACCACTTCGTTCGGAACAACACTCTTTCTTCCTCTACTATACCATAGTTTTGCAGGTATGCCTCGTACGGTAATAGTGCTACTGCATGATCCACTGTTTGAATGAAAACATGACTGGGTCATCGTCCTATGGGTTGTGGCCATTGTGATCGTGTGAACCTTTGGTCTGAGGGGAAGATGTGTGATCCTGCGGACCAGATAAAGTCTCACCAGGGCGGCTGTCGTGGAAGCCATGATACACGCGACGCTGGCCATGTACGCGGCGTACGTCCTGCGTATACGTTCAAAGCGAATATTCCCTTCGCTTACGACCAAGTAGTTCTCGGTTTGTAGTCGCCGTTTCAGCTACTCTCGCGGTTGTGAGGCCCACTGCAGCGCATGCCTCATCCCTATCATCAGTACACGGTCAAGAATGCCCAGAGTGTAAGGCTGTGTACGGTGTATGATTGTAGTAACACACGCAGGACCAAAACCATGGAAGGAGATTCAGAATTATTCATTTGTTATAGGTACTTATATAGTATACAGGATGTTTAACTTCCGCGACTACGCAATCCAAGTCCGTGGCCATTCAAGACCATCGATGATATAATACATCCCATCCGAGCACGACAAAGAGCACTGGAATGGACAGGCTTAGATCATCCAGTTTCTCAGGGAGGACTCCGCGCGCGCGTAACCACGACGTCACAAATCCATTGCGACCCCATGCCTGGAGCATCACCACTGATGAGAGGTATATAAACCTCTGCTCATAAAGCCTTTTCTTTTTCTTCACTTACTACCCACCACCACAAACCCACAACACCCACATTTTCCCCAAATCACAACTCGATCCTCTACACAAACATGCCTCTTTTCAAGAAGAGCCACAACGTCCGTCTCTTCTCTCTTTTTTCATGCCTCATCACTTCACTGAAATTGCCTTCATATCCTTCAAAACTTACAGAAGCACGAGAACGACTCCGGCGCCGCCGACAACATCCGCGACGACTCTACCACTGGCTCCGGCACCAACACCGGCATCGGCTCCACCGCTCGTGAAGAGCAACGGTACGATCCTGGTCTGAGCGGTGATACGACCCAGGGCTCTGGAGGGTATGGCGACCCCAACTTGACTGGACCGAATGTTGCTGGAAGGGGTGCGCACCACGATGTACGTTATATTTTATTCTTTACATAGACATCAAGGCAGGACGCTGACTCTGGCTTGTTATCGATGTTGTTTTTGGATAGTTCGCGACTTCGGACAGACATAACATCGTCCCCGGCCAATATCCGGCCGGTCAACAAGATCAGTACGGCCCAGGTACCGGGACCGGAAGGACTGGCGCGACCGACGTCTACGGCGGTCAGACAGGCCCTGGTGTCGGCACTGGCACCGGTATCGGTGGGCAGCAGCAGCAGCAGCAGCAGCAGCATAGGAGTGGGGGTGGACATCTTGCCGGCAAAGTTGAACACGGCGTCGGTGCAATGATCGGTAGTAAGGCGTTGGAGGCGAGGGGTGCGGAGAAGGAACAGTCAGTGTTGTTTTTTTCTTCTTCTTTCGTTCCATGGTGGGATGACTGTCGCATGATGGTGTTGACTGACGGTATTGTTTTGGCATATACAGTGAAATGAACGCCATCAAGCAGCAAAGTACCGAGATCTCTGAGGCTGAGAGGCTCGAGCGTCAAGCTGCTGAGCTTAGAGAACGCGCCGTCGCTCATGGTACGTTTCCTTCTCCTCTGATACTCAACACCCACATCCTTGTTCTGTTCATCTTTGGCTCACCCAACCTTCTGTGGCGAATAGGTGCTCATCCAGATAACTCCAAGCTCGGTGGAGGCATCAAAAGGAAAGGGGGGCTCTTGTTCGAAAATAGACCCAGAATAAACCGGTGACCCAATGATCTCATTCGTAACAATATGCTTCCGGTAGGCATGCGCGATGGTGGGGGGGTGGTAGTGGAAACGGTGACGCCACCATTGTTAGGAACGAAGCGGTTGAATAACATGCACAAACACGGGGAAAGCCCCTGTGGCACCCACGCACTTTATCGTTCTGTGGCCCGCGCCCACAACTCAATATCAATAGTCGACTTGAATTTCACGAAAGGGAAGAAGGATATGTGGATGTTTGGATGTCTAAGTATCGATTCCAAAGAAACGAGAGCCTCTGGCATTTGACGAATGTTTAGAGGCTGGCTGCATTGAGCGTTGAACGTCCATGTCGACCACAGGGGTCTGAAAGAGAAGCCGGCATACTGTAGGGCAATGTAATGTCTGTGGAACTGTGCATGAGCTAGCTGCTACAATACTAGAAATATTCATAGCGCTCGGACGTATTGGCGAAACGAAGATAAGTGCTCGGCACGCGTCCGCATGATCATCGGTAGTCGGCGAGCAGCCTGTTCTCTAAACCGACGAGTACCTGGTGCAAACTGCGCTTGCCAATGGAAAGCTGGGCAAGGGGTGCCATTCGATTGAAGTATGATAGACCTTTGGTAGAGCTGCTCCCGGTTCCCGAGTGGCAGGGCATGAATGCGGTCGATTGGACACAGCTCTCATGCCTGAGTCAGGAGTGTGAGATCAAATATCGAGGTGCATTAGTCGGGCTGTGGATTAGCAAGCTCGTCGAGGATGAATAGGGCTACACCAAGCGCTGATATAGGCAGGACCATGAATAAGTTGATTGGTGTGAAGAAAGAACTTCATCGACGTGAGACGTGAAATGACCGCATTCCTGCCATGGGTGGCCCAGAAAAAAAGTATTATCCGGTCAAACTGCACCGAGATATGCATAGTATACTGCAGAGCTATCCGACCGTGCAGTGAAGGGCCGAGGACAATGTGTCCTTTGCCAACGCGACGAAACAAAGCATGTCGATCCGCGCGACATTGGCGTGTCCGGTAATGAATCGACGAAAGTCTGCAGAGCCCACCGAGAACATAGAAAGCATGAGACATGGTGATCGATATCCAGCAACAATCATCTTTCAACCCAAAGACCTAGAGGGCATCGTCTGCAACGACGTCGGCGACAATGGACGTCGAGAGCAAAGCGTGGGACGGGCCGTTTTCCCGCGCCGCTGTGCACGCCGAGAGAGCGGAAAGAATTCTCCGGGACACGCTGCACGAACTGAACCACGTCGCCCCGCCCGCTCAGACTATCCGCCACCCTATCCTTCTCCTCCATCCTACACCAGACTGCGACGACAACGACTCGGGATATATGTCCAATGACAATAACGACACCACCGACCAGTCGACTCCGACAGTCACGACGGCGACGACCACAGCCCCGACGGTCGACACGGCAGCTGCAAACGGCGAACGAGCTCTGAACGATACCCCGGCCACACCTCTGTCGAGAAGACCGAGCAATGCTGATGCACAAGCGCAGGTTATTGCTTCGTTGCGCGAACAGGTCCAGGATCTCTTCTCACAGGTCACAGAGTTAAACAACAAGCTCGTGAAGTCCTATGACCGTGTCTCTGACCTCGAAGATGACCTTCATATTTCTTCCTCTAACCTTCGCTCTTCGTCGCTCAAAATTTCGAACTTGGAGTTAGAGCGTTCGCAGCATCTGTCTGCTCTCAACACAGGTGCGTTGTAGTATTCAACCACAGCCTCGTCAGATTTTTGACGTTGTGTTCAGGTTTGTTAGTAGAGAAAGATCAGGTCACTGCCGAACTCACTCGTCTCATGGAAAAGGCGACAGAGGAGGCCGCTCAACGCGGCCAAGCAGAGTCTGCCAGAGCAGAAATCGAGAAGGACCTTGACGATCTCTCCGCTGGTCTGTTCAACCAAGCCAATACCATGGTCGCAGAAGCTCGGTTCGGACGCGCAGTCAGCGAACGGAAGGCGGAGGACGCTGAACGCGCTTTGAGGGAGACGGAGGAGGTTGTGCGTTTGATGCAGCTGCAGATGCAGGAGTTGCAGGAGGAGAAGGAGGCGTCGGAGAAGAAGGTAGAGGAGATGAGCATGACCATGGGCAAGGGCAAATGGATTACACGGACACCTTCGCCCTCTCGTGGACGTATTTCGCCTCGGCTACTCAGCAGTCATCTTCCATACCAGGAGTTCTTGATGTTTGTGGCACATCTGCGAACTCTGAGACCAAACTCGACACAAGTGCCGGCCATGTCGACTCTGCTCCCACTCCCATTCCTCTCCCGGCTAGCCACTGAAGACACGTATGTGGGATTTGATATATTTCGTTCTCATGCTGTGCTGACCGCTGCCTTAGCGAGCCTACGGTTCGCCTCGACCTTGCACCCTCTCTGAATTGGCTCACTCGCCGCTCTGTCCTTTCCGCCATTCATTCTGGCCAACTCTCCATCGAACCCATTTCTGCGACTGCTCTCCTCGAATGCACCATCGCCTCGCAGAACTCCCTTCCCGTCCCCACTAACAGCAATCCAGGCATCTGCTGCGCACTCTGTGGCACCTCGCTTACCGACGGCTCATCCCCCGTCAAGAATCACTCGAGCAACAATTCCTGGGGTTCCTCTATCTTTAAAGATGCCCTTTCCCGATCCCTCTCCAACCAGAAATCAAGTCCTCCCTCATCGCCGCCGCCACAACAGAACTCGTTCTCCAACACCAACCCGAACAACCTCCCTTCTCAAATATATATCTTTAAGCTAGTCACCACCACCACCACTCTCCCTCAGAGCCCGAACGCGAAGAACCAAACCACCGTATATCCCCTCTGTCCCTCCGGCTGGTGCCTGACACGTCTCCGGACGACATGTTCCCTCTGGGCGTTCGTGCGGACCGGTATCGTAGAGAAAGTGTGGGAGGAAGAAGTCCCTAGTCTTCCACCACCACTACCAAGGAAGGATTCCTCCGACGGTAGACCGTCCATACCTCCCCGACGAAAGTCAAAGATGGGAGGTCTTTGGGGCATGGCTTCGGCCTTGGGCATGGACCGGGGCCTGAGCTGGGGCGAAGGCAATTCGAGGTCTGGTTCACCTAGTAACGAGAAGTCAGAGAAGTCTGTGATGGGCTCACCAAAGGTCCCCCCTCCAACGCATCCTACGCACTCACCCAGCATCGCGAAGAGATTCGTAGCTCCTATTGCTACGAGTGCCACGGCCGCACCTCCACCCCCACCTCTTCCTACGCGGAATCGATCTCGGACGATTGTGCAGCATAATGTGGTACCGGCGCCGGCGGGAGAGATTTCCGAAGAGTCGTCGATGTATAGCAAGGCCAGCGAGGAGGAACAAAGGATCGGGGAAGTGATGCGTCTGAGGGGCGGAGCGGCGTCGAGCGAGAGTCTTCCCGAGCCTGAGACAGAGACAGAAGAGGGCGAACTTCGACCCTCGACTTCAAATGAGACCAACCAGGACGCTTTCCACACCCCTACGGACGAGCCAGCAGAATTTTCTGTCCCATCGTCTCCCACCCCGGCGGCCGCAGCTCCAGCACCAGCTCCAACACCGGCTCCTGCTCCTGCCCCTGCTGCGCGCGCTTCAGTATCTTCCCGAACCTCCATGGACGCTCCTACAGCCCGTTCCGCCTCCCCCGCCACGCCTAGCTCGAAGCGTAACTCTGTTACAGGTGTACCTTCAAGAACAGGCTCTCCGGCTCCTCCGCCCGTACCTCGTCGTGCAGCCGCACGCAACCGTCCTGTACCACCTCCACCTCCTTCAGGACCTCGTCCACGTTCTGCGACTGGATCTTCGCCGACACCTGAGCCTGTATCCTTACCCGCAGTCGAGCCAACGCAACCACCAGCTCCTGCAACTGCGACAGAGGAGACGAGCGCCTCTGTGCCAGCCCCTGTTCCCGAGGAGCCGGCGACACAGTCTGCTTCCGCTCCTGCTCCCGCGACGGAAGCTAATCCTGACACTGATGCAGCCGAGGTATCGGTTCCTCCTCCTCCACCAACAAGCGCTGGAGAGCCTATTGTCGAGGAACCTGCTCCTGCGACAGATATTCCGCCGTCAGATTCTCAGGAGGTGAAAGACGAGGTCGAGAAACCCGCGCAGCCTTCTACTCCTACGCACCCACCTACTGAGGCCATCGACCCCGCAACTGAACCTGCCCCTGCCGCGGGAGCAGAAGCAGCAGAGGTGGCCTCCGTGATAGACGAGCTCAGGGATACGAAGCACCACCGCGACGAGTCTCAAGAACTCGTCTTCACAGCCGGCTCAGACTACGACTCTGAACCGCCTCATTCCGCGCCCTTGCATCCGCCTACCATCCCTGCGCCTCATTCCACGCTCGAGACGAGCACGACTGCGGAGGAGCTGATGAGGGAGGCTGAGGCTGGGGAACATGAAGAGGAGGAGCATGATTCGTTTGCTCCATTGCCTGTGGTGCCTCCTGTGACTGCGCCTGCGCCGACGACGGCGGCGACGCCGCCGTTACCGGCGAGGAGTCGGGGGCGGTCGGGGTCTATTATGCAGCCTCCGCCTCCGCCTAAGTTTGCGAGTAGGAGGGTTGCGCCGATTAATGGCGTTGGAGGTGGTGTTAATGGGGTCTCCCCTCTTGCCGTCGCTATTATGAAGGAGAAGATAGAGCCTGTAGTGGAGGAGGAGAGCGAGAAGGAGAATCTCAGTGTCGATGTGAACGTAGGTGAGAAGGGGGAGAAGGGTCAGGGATCGGGAGTGGACGGGGAGATTTATGTGGGCGAGGCGACGTGGGAGGAGAGGACTTGGAAGGAGTTGGTTAGGTTGAGGGAGGAGATGTTTTGGGCGAGGATTGGGGGTGTGCGATAGGTTGATATGTTGAGTCTCAGACGCTGTTTAGCGGGTGGAGGATCGGGGTATGTTAGGAGACGGACTGGTTGCTCGTAATGTGTAGGTCTCTGCTCGGTCGGTTGGATCTCTCGATATTCTGTTAAGCTACAGTTTTGTTGTTGACTGTGAGAGTTGTGATGAGTTATGGTGTATGGTCGTCGCTAAATTTTATATGGGATGGATCTAGATATAGTCATTCGAATAATATTATGTTGGTCACTCATTATTATGATGGGGGGCTTCCGCTCGATTTAGCACTGTCTCGGCCTAAGTGACACCGTGTCTGAGGATTGTTGACGTCTGCCATTTTCAGCTGTTGTAGTCGACTGTCAATATCGACTTCAAACATTACGGGCTGTCGCGAAGCCTTGACAACAAAGTTTAGTCATACCAGTACCAAATCCAGTAATACAAGCTACGCGGACCTGTGCACAGCACCGGCTCTTCATATGTTGGTGGTCGAGCTCGCGGTGCTCGCCGACCACTCCTCTTATCGTATATTGTGTCTGTCCCACTTGAATATACCTGGACACCCCAGTGGTCGAGCTCGCGGTGCTCGCCGACCACTCCCCTGCTTGTGGACCGTACTTACCTACCCCACTTAAACTTACCTTCACAATTTAGGTGGTCGAGCTCGCAGTGCTCACCGACCACTCCCTTCATTAAAGACTGTACCTACCTCACCCCAATCTACTGCCGCCCCTGTGCATTTTAGACAAACAGTACAGTTAGAAATATAGCCTTGAGCCAAGTGTTCCATCCACAGCCCTGTTTCCTCACATGCCAGTCACGGTGGTCGAGCTCGCGGTGCTCGCCGACCACTATGCATTCAGACAGAGAGATACACAAAATATAGTCTTAAGCCAGGTGATTTATTCACAGCACTCGCTCTTCATATGCTGGTGGTCGGGCCCGCAGTGCTCGCTGACCACTCATTTTATTGTAAATTATATCATTCTCACTCTCACAGTCTGAGTGGAGGACACGGTACCACTGAACACAGCATTTTAAGCTGAGTAATAAGTAGATCACTATTGATAATCAGTGGTCGAGCTCGCTGCACTCGCCGACCACCCAACGACCACCACGTCATGAGAAACCTCACGGGCCACACTCCTGTACTGTAACATCTGTAACATGCTCGCCGTGTAGCACACTTGCCAGTGCTGATGCAGGGAACACAAAACTCAGGTTGCAGGATATTCCGACATTCTTCTAGGCATTGTGGAGGCCTGACGTTATTTTTTGGTGTTGAACATCGCATCCCGACTGGTCACTTCGAGGACATACGCTCCCTTGCAGCCGCTCGCCACTCGGGACTGGGGCACCGGAAGAGTCCGACGCGCGTCGCTCGCCAGCCAATCAGCTATTTTTACGTAAGCAGGGTTCCCACACCCATTCTTTTTTCTAGGTTGGATTGAATAGCCGAGACTATAGCGATGGAACCAGGGGGAGAGAGGGATACGTAGGCTAACGAAGACGACAATAGAAAGATAAAAAGAGAAGGGGTCAGAGCAAGCGAAAGCGATAACGAACACACTCCAAAGAGAACATCTAATCCGAATCGCCATCGTGATCAATGTTCCATGCATATTGATACCATCGAGGACGAGTGGAAGTCGCCAGGAGCATCATAACCTTCAGCCCCTTCTCTTCGTCCACCTGCATCGTCTCCCTCGTCAGATTCTGGGCTAGGACCACACACATCGCATGGGTGCCATCGCTCAACAACACGGGAAGGAAGTCTTTGTCCGGATCAAGACCACAAACGTCACGGAGGATCATTCCAAACCGATCAAGGACATTGGCCTTCCCAATCTCATCAACTGAATAGCCTTCCAGCTCTCCTCGTCTTTCGAGAGCCTCGGTGTCGATAGCCCAGCCATAGAGGAGGAGACGCTGATCAACCCACTTGGCTGAGTGTTTAGCGAGTGACTTTGCGCCGATGTAGGGTGGATGTACGGTGACGCTGGATGAAAACCTGATTGCTTTGGGGATAAGGACACGCGGCGGATGAGCCAAGGGTGTCCATATAAAGCGGTCGTATTTTTTGGGGGCGGGCAGGGTGATGGTTTCGTAAGTTCGGGTTGAAGCAGAAGACATGCCTTGAAACAGCCAGATTAGAACAAAGACATTGAAATGTAAGATAGAAATACCTGTGTACTGTGCTTGTTTGAAATGTGCGATGATGGGTGCAAGATGATGGGTGCAAGATGATGGGTGCGATGATGAGCAGGGTCGAAGTTGAGTACAACCATATATAGTCGAAAGGCACGTGATGTGTCATAACAAATAGTGCGCAAACAAACCGCTAAATCACCGGCCCGGGGAGGTGCCGAGTCATCGTGAGCTGTATTGCTTTCTTTGTTCCCAAGATGGGCCGTCTAGCCACAGACAATGGCCTAAGGTGTGCGCAGTACGCTGCCTCCGTGTCTTCTGCTTTCTCCTTTGATAAGCCTTTTCTGACTCAATTCTGACTCGAATCGATGATCGATACTCCGAGGGGAAGCTCGAGCGATACTTACTCGTTCTATAAGCTTCCCGTAAGCATTGGACCCAGTACGGCGCAGTGGTCGTATCTCGACCCATCGCAAACACGCACACTGATCAGCCGGCTTCGAATCGATGATCGATGGCAGCCATGAGGTGTCTCGCTAATGAGCTTCATTGTTCCTCTGCACGGCTCCGAAGAGGACAATGGTGACACACGATCCCGCTTTCTTCCGCGCGGTCCCCTCTATCAGATATATAAACTGATAGTGCATACGCTGTCGTACCAAGACCTCTTCGCTATCTCCTCCGATTGCCTTTCGCACTACTACAGTCTACATGGCTTCTCCCCTAGATTTCGTCACAAGTCAGGGCAAGATCATCACCCCGGATGAGTACGTCTGGGATCTCGAGCTCCGGCCTGAAACCATTTTAAAAGACGACAAGAAACGGTTCAAGAAATGGGCCAAGTGAGTTCTCTCTTTTTATCCTGAAATATTGAAGCTCCTCTCATATCAGGAGCTATGCAGGGAAACCGCATCGCGCTTCGGTCTGACCCCACGCGACCTTTCCAGGACGAAGCTCCAGTTCATAGCCGCCTCAGTGCTGGCTGGGAGTTTTCAACACAATCCTCGTCGACTCGAGGAAAAATGGTCAGGGTTCTGGCAAGTTTTCGGTTCATCCCTCGGAAACTCCGTAGCGTGGGGGCCCTTTATCGTGCAGCACCAGTACAACCTCTGGCGTCTGAACAGAGACAACAATACTCTGGCCGTACTCGAGATACCTGCTTATGAGGCACCAAACTCGAGCTTACTTCCGAGCCAAGATTCGTTTCTATCAGACCAGGAATCATCGATGTCAGAGGATCTGCGAGGTGATGTCTTCCTTATTCAGAACTTGGGCACGGGCGACGAGGACCAGGAAGAGTACGACGAGGACGAGGAAGAGGACGAAGACTCTGGGGACTTTTTTGACCCCGCACAGGGCCGACCTATGTTTTCCGTACAAGCCGGTAACGCTCACCCTAACTCTACAACACCCTCATCCGACCCTTCGACCACCATTGTCCCTTCTGCGAGCGGGTTTGCTCCCCAGGAGGAGCCGTCTGTATCGCGCACAAGGAAGCCCCTTGCCCCTGCGCGCCTCGTGGAGCTCCAGAGAGCCCCCAATGTTGTGACTGATCGTCCCTCCCGCATCCGGAATCTTGGCCGAAAGGATGAAAGGTCCGATGATGAAGAAATCTCGCACGACGTCCCCGATACACTCGCTGCTCGTGAATCAGCAACGCATGAGGACGACGCTGTTCGTCCCATGCAGTCTCAGACTTTGACCCGCGGAACCTTCAGCTGTCAGATCACCGACATGGCTCTTTTATACGCCCAAGGGCTCGAGCCTCTTAACGGTGTCCGGTACGATCCACTCGTTGCAAATCTTGTGGCACAGGTGCTCTGCAATGGTTGGGGTCTCGGACGTGAATGGGTTCCGATCATTGTCGAGAACAAAAGGTTGCCGAAGCGTGGCACGCTTTATAAGCTGGGTGTTGCCAATCCCAAGGCTTTGGCTTCCCTGATACGAACTGCGAAACAGCAAGTCTTGAAGCAGGTATGTCTTCTGATTGCACGTATGGTATGCATGTCCCGAACGCTAAACCTTTCTTCTGTACTGCTACATGGCTACTATTTATACAGGCTGCTTATTTTTTTACCAGTCTTCGTTGGAGGCATCAGGATGAGCTCGTTGCGATCGCAGCCGCTGGCGATTGGTGGACGTGGACGGTCGTTAAACTAACGGACGACATGAAGAAGAAACGCAAGGACGACCACGATAGCGCCAGTGCTGAGCCCCTCGACTATGAGCCTGACGTGTCCACCCTTGAGTATACGGAGTGGGCGAAGACGATGCGATATGGAACACTGGAGTCCTGCAAAGAGATGACCAAGCTCCGTGCTTGGCTCAAGAAGTTCGTGGTGAACGCTGAGAACGTTCCAGTTTAGAGAATATCGTTACAGACTTTTGATTACCTCTACTTACAGTCCGAATTTCCTCACTTTTGTCCCGTCTCGATGCTGAAAGTATACGCCATGACTCTTGAGGATGTGTTTGGAAAACCATTGTATATAGTTTTTTCTTTTTGATAAATCATGATCGTGACCGTACGTGCTTTCCAGGTATCGGCTGTCACCTGGCCTGACTCGCTGTTTCATTGCGGGCCAAAATTCGTCGTAGCACTACTTAGATATGGTGAAGTGACAACACACACGTCATCGTCCCCAGTCATTGTTCGGACCGTAAACTTCGAGCCACCAAATGGACAAGTTGAGATAAAGATGAAAGAGTAACTGGAGTCAAAGCAAGCGACACATCTATTGGATACACTTTTTGGGTGTCAAAGAGAACAGGACTGTCTACTTAATCCTCGTCGCCATGGTCGATATCCCATGCATACTGGTACCACCGAGGTAGAGTCGAAGTCGCCAGGAGCATCATAACTTTCTGTGACTTCTCTTCGTCCACTTGCATCGTCTCCTCCGTCAAGTTCTGCGCTATAACCACACACATCGCGTGGCTGCCATCGTGCAGCAACACGGGCTGGAACTCGTTTTTTGGGTGAATGCCACAAACGTCGCGGAGGATCATCCCGAAGCGCTCTATAACGTTCCCCTTCCCAGTTCTGTCAATCGAATAGCCTTCCAGCTCTCCTCGCTTCTGGAGAGCCTTGATGTCGACAGCCCAGCCACAGAGGAGGAGGCGCTGATCAACCCACTTGGCTGAGTGTCTAGCGAGTGATTTTGCGCCGATGTAAGGTGGATGTACGGTGACGCTGGAGATAGCCTTGATTGCTTTGGGGATAAGAACACGCGGTGGGTGGGGCAAGGGTGTCCATGTAAAGCGCTCGTAGGTTGTTGGGTCGGGCAGGACAATAAGTTCATAGCCTGGCAGTGGGACGGGCGATTCGGGGTTGGACACCTTTTCTGAAGCTGGCTGAAAAAATCGCGACAGATCAGAGTCTATTCAGTGAAGGCATAAAGAACTAAGGATACCGGTGCTGTAATTTCCATGGTAAGCAAGATAACGTTGCTGGAACAACGAGAGGGGGCGAGCTCAGTGTTGCGTAACGTATATATAAGCTTCGAATTTCGTGTCTGTTGCTCAACCTTCAGCTGTGGTCGAGAAGCGAGACGCTTGAACAATGAACTTGAAGAGCCGAAGATCTCACGGTAGTAATTGACGATGGGGACACGGTGGTGCGGTGGGCAATGGATGAGTCCGAGTCGATGAAGAGGGTGCGGACAACGAGAAGCTATGCAGAGCGTTCGATGAGGTAACCACTGGAAAGAGGTAGATTCGGCTAAGTCAGTAGACAGGGACGAGTTTTTATGACAAGCCGATGCAAGAGATGCACTGCGAAGACCAGTAAGGATTGTTGAACTTTTGAACCTGCGGCCATCACCGAGATAGGTCTTCTGTGTCACGATTGTGGCACCCAGGTGGCACTTCAGTCGTATGAAAAATATTAGTGGCGTACTAGGTTTTCTGGGGCGATCGAGCACTCATTAGTACTGTCGCTGATAACTATGGCCATATACATTTTCAAGGAGAGCAAGTCTACTGTGATTGTAATATACTGCAAAACAGACTAGACAGAACCATCTAACCATCATCATCATGATCCATATCCCATGCATATTGGTACCATCGAGGTCGAGTCGAAGTCGCCAGGAGCATCATAACCTTCAGCGCCTTCTCTTCGTCCACCCGCATCGTCTCCTTCGTCAGATTTTGGGCTATGACCACACACATCGCGTGAGTGCCGTCATTCAACAACACGGGGAGGAACTCCTTTTCCGGGTCAATGCCACAGACGTCGCGAAGAATCATCCCGAATCGTTAGAAAATGTTTCCCTTCCCAATTCTGTCAACCGAGTAGCCTTCGAGCACTCCACGCCTCTGAAGTGCCTTGACGTCGACAGCCCAGCCATAGAGGAGTAAGCGCTGATCAACCCACTTGGCTGAGGCTATGGCGACCGTCTGTGCGCCGATGCAGGGTGGATGGACGGTAGTGCTGGAGACTGCCTTGATTTTTTGGGGATAAGGACACGAGGAGGATGAGTCAACGGTGTCCACGTAAAACGCTCGAAAGTTATTGGATCGGGCAAGACAATTGTATCGTAACCTGAGCCAGGCAATTCGGATTCGGATGACATCTGGAAGGCTAAACGTCTAGATTAGTACGAGCAGGGAGCCACATCATAAATGCACAGACGACTGGTTGGGCGGACCTGGAATTGTCAAGGGGGTGGCAGGAATAAAATAAAAAACCAGATGTAGGGGGGGGAGGGGGGCCCGGAGGGCCCTTAAACGCGAAATGTCCAGACATCACGGGAAGTCCTACGGTAGCCATTTGGAGGGTTTCTGAGGCTCATATATGATCATATTCATACATAGTGTTGATAAAACTGTGAATAGAAGATGGTTTAAGTGTAAAGGAGATAATAATGGATATTTTTAGGCTAGGATAAGCTACGGTCGACGTCGGTCATCCCCTCCCCTAGTCTTAGGCCAGGTTACACCAACATTTATCAAAACAAGGATTTAATGCCACAATAAACCTCCATTTTGATCTTGTATATTGTGGGAAAGGTATTAAATAAATGATTTTAAATGATTTAAATATTCGAGAGGGGGGAGGGGGGGGGGTAAGGCCTTAAACGCGTAGGGAAAGATCCGGTACAGAATTTTACGCGTGCCACCCCCTTGGGAATTGTATGGCAACGAAGACAACAATGAAATTGAAAGTCCCGTTGAGATCAGGGCCGAGTGTTGGACAACGTATTCTCAAGCTTTCAGCTCTGTGTAAGTTCCCCAGGAGGCTCGTGATATTGCGAGGGGAAAAGATGGAACGTCGAGCGTTGAACAATGCAACAACCTCCGAGTCGGTGAGAGAAGCGATGGCCGGTGGCTGCTCAAGTTCAACTTCCTTGACGAAGGGTCTGAAGGAGACAACAGCAGGAGGCTATGAAAGGTACACACAGAATTCACTCGACGAGGCAAACGTAGGAGTTCGAAGAGGGGATATCAAGCTCCTTCACGATCAAGATGGTGAACGTTGTAGAAAAGAACTCAACGAGGACGACCTGCCATGACGGCCGTCCCCGAAACAACGTCATCGTTGTGGCACTTCGTTCAAGGCCGTATGTACGTTGCAATTCAGCGACAAAGGAGAAATAAGGCACCTAGAGTATCAGGACAGCCAAGAAAAATCTCAGGTGACGTGGGATGACAAGGAATTATCACATATGGAGATGAAGCTACTAGGCAGCACGTAGGATTCGATGGGGAAGTTGAGCACATCAGAGCGAGAAGACATCCATAACAGTCGACATATAGATCACAATGAGAACGTTGTCACTACCCGGAGAACAACAAAAAAAGAATTAGTCCGGATTCGTAGGAACTGAGACGAGCTTCGGGGTCAAGTCGAATGCACTATCGAAAAACTGTACGAAGTGCATTATGGATGGCGATCATTTCTGCCAATACGAAGACAACTTGACCGGTAAGGTTGAGCTCAAGCCATTCCTTCTGAGATAATAAAGTTGCTGTACTGCATAAAGAAAGTCAAAACCTCACCCAAAAGAGACGGAGGTGAGGGTTGAGCCGAGTTGAGACGAGGGAAGATGGTGGAAGTGGCCGAAAGGCTATGCGTGGGCACGAAGTTGAATGCGGCAAATGACAAAATTGAGAACTGAGAGGAGGCCACCCAGATTAGCACGCTCAGCAAATATATATTCAGGTGTAATCCTCAGCAGTAGAACAAACGAAATCTTCATCGAAAAACAGAACCCAGCCAAGCTGACAGTTTCAGAGATCAGAGGGCAAAACAACACGATCTAATCATCTTCATCGTCAAGAATGGTCGATGTCCCATGCATATCGGTACCATCGGGGATATGTTGAAGTCGCAAGAAGCATCATCACCTTTTGAGCCTTCTCTTGATCCACCGCCATCGTCTCCTTCGTCAGATTCTGCGCCAAAACCACACACATCGCATGGCTGCCATCGCTCAACAAAACGGGGAGGAAGTCGTCCTGCGAGCGGAGGCCACAGACGTCGCGCATAATCATCCTGAACCGCTGGAGGACATTAGCCTTCCCAATCTCATCAACCGAATACCCCTCAATTTCGCCTCGTTTTTGGAGAGCCCCAATATCGACGGCCCAGCCGTAGATGAGGCGGTGTCGATCAACCCACTCGGGCGAGGCCCTGAGAAGCGTCTGCGCGCCGATGTACGGTGGATGTACGGTAGCAGTTGAGAGCTGCTTGAGTTTTTTGCCAATCAGGATACGTGGTGGATGTGCTACAGGCGTCCATGTGAAGTCTTCGTAGGTTATCGGGGCGGGTAGGACGATGGTTTCATATGGCAGATCAGTGGGTGACTCGGAGGTTGAGGCCATCTATACAGTCGAGGACAGAAATCAGGACAAATAAGCATCCGTTATATAATGAGACGACTGAGTAGACCGACGGAGAGTTCTGCGATAATTAAAATAACGCTGCGGCAGCTGTGAAGTTTCCGGTGTCGATTAATGTATATCTCCGTTACGACGACTGAGCCAACAATTCAAGCGTTCTGCAGGAACTGATGCGAGAACAGGGGCCGATGAAAAGCCAGAGATACTGTGTCTTCGAACGTCGAGAGTTGGATCGGTGAACACGTAGATAAAAGGCCGGTGTTCAGTCGGGTTAGTCAGGAGACGATATGGCGTACATACTAGTAGGCGACAAAGAGAGTGCCAGGATTTCACAAAGGATAAAAGGTAAGCTTGCAAGTGTCTCTAGAGCCTGAGGGTGTCAAGACCAGATAAGTGTCGCCGATGGAGTTGCTGAGAATTGGCTGAGAAGAGGGCTCGGAGCCGGAAGGCCCTTCAAGCTTCATATTTTGACCGGCCATCTCCGAAACCGGTGTCTTCGTGGCACCAATGTGGCACCCAGCTGCAGGCATAGTACATCATGCAAACATCATGCATAAGTAGACTCTTGTTAGAGCCCACGGCATGAGCGCTGAGCATGAGATTTCCACAAGGATGGAAACAAGTATTAATACTGAGTCAGGTCGAAATTCCGGGGGCGGAAAGACATCTTCCGGGAATTTTCGCGAACGGGTTCCTCGCCCACTGTACGACGTGCCAGTTCGGGATTTCAAGGATAGATTTGGATGCCAATTCTCCCATTTTTCGCCCTTTTAACACAATCATCCAGTGACAGACTTCCCTAAGTTTACCGGGGGAGGGAAGTATCGGATGACTGATCGTTTTCACCGACCTGCTCCAGTCCTCATTCATGGAGGGTATAAAGGTCTAAAAGAATTGGCTCGGGAGTACCAGAGCTGAGTCTCATCCCGTTCATCTGCTCTACTCTGACTCTTTCATCTCATACATAATGATACCTGAAGCTCTACATCTTTGTTTTTGCTACTTGCCTACTGTAGTTTTTCGACCGTAGGTTCGTGGGAAGATTATGTCAGACGTGACCTTCGCCAGACCAAGGTTCGTCTGGGTGGGCCACGCGTGACGAATCAATGAAATTGTTCGCGGAATGACCGAAAATTTGATTTTTGGGCGATTTTTGGCGCAAATCGGTCACGATTTGCTGTTCGTGGGCCCGCGCATATGCGTGACCATCGGGGCAAATATGTTCGCCGGCGCACCCTGCGTGATGCGTGACGAACATACGGTCGAAAAACTACAGTATGTGGCAGCTACGCTCTGAGCCTTAGCGTTCGAAGCGCGTGCCCAGTCACGGTCAAGTTCTTGAACACAGAAACGATCAACGGTAGTATTCGTAACAACGTCAACGTCCCAACCACTACCACCATCGACATGGAGATTTCTGATGATTGGGAGGGTGCTATCAACGTCGGTAAGTACTCACCGCTGTTATACATAGTACTCGCTTCTTTTTCGTGTCATTTCCACGATGTTTTCAAATGTTCAATTTCTGTGGAACAGGAACTGGCTGTAACAGTGAAGGGACTTCATGCACTACTGGCAGTCCGATTTGGGATGGTAGAACTCCATTTTCCTGTGCTGAATTCAGTTTCGTGAGTACGGTCGTGTCAGCATCATCTGAACATCAGTGCTCATACCGACCTGCCTTTCCTCTTCATCAACTTTTTGAGTCCGTGAACGAGATCATGTACTCTCTGAGCAACCTCTATGGAGTAAATGTTGGCATAGCGATTAACACCACCGATCCCTCCTGCCCAAATCCCGGTCGCGGTCAAGTAGAGGCTAACGGCGGCTGTGTGAGTTTCCTATCGTATACAGACTACGCAAACATTTTTTACTCACTTTGTGCCTCACATCCAATCTCGTCAGCCCGTTATTGGACCGGAAGGGGCTGGTGAGAGATCTTGCTTCAGCCCGTGCTGCATTTCCGCCGCGGATTGCGAGAATGGCGCGTTGGAATCCGGTGGATGTGTCGACAACGTGGGTCTCGGTCCCAACACTGGTTTCCACCACAATAGATGCCCTAATTTGATCTCATGAGTTAATGCAGCCTTTATTCTCAGTCCACCTGATGAGGCCGAGTACGAACTCGCCCAGTTTTTGCGATCGGCTCATGATATTTCACGATTTGCTATACAGGTTCCCGAATGATGTGACATCTGGAGACCACGTCCAGTTTTCTTGCGGGAACACCGACCTGTTGCTCAACCTCTGTGCCGGTATTATGACCCATTTTTGAGCATCATGGACATGCATCAGAACCCATGAGAAGCGGGATTTTGGGGCAGTATTCAGGATTCGGATACAGAGCAGTACGCATGGAAATCCTAGGGCGGGTTGGGATGGAATGCTGGAAGACCGTACTTCATGAGCATGAAACTACGTAACTAGTAGTGAATATTCGTCGGCTCGGCCATCCACTGCCATCCAGCAGGCGTCTTCGTTAGTCTGCAAGATTCGAGGGCATATAAATTGAATGTACCTAGAGAAAAGCTCGAGACTGGGACTCACTGGGCGACCTCGTGTCGTTCCCGGGCGTACGCACAATTTGGGCGGACAGAAAGTGGTATTTCTCCAGGGAGTTGCATAGCTGCACTTCGAACACACTACTGCGTTCCCAAGTGGCCATGAAGCTAGCGCTGATAATGTCTATGACCTTATAGACATCCATAATTTAGCCTTCTCCTCTCAGCCTGAAAGAGATCTGGAAACTTGATATCGCACCTGGTCGTAACTCCGAGCCAACCCATCCAATATATCGAAGGCGTCTGCATGCTGAACCTCGAGGTGGGTCTGAAGCGCTTCAAAGCCGACAGCGCACTGGGGCACCCTGAGGAATTTCCATCGGTATATAGGCAGTATCTATCAGCAAGAACGGAGTCCAACGCAGTCTGTCGAAGATGCGAATGTAGCAGGGCATCTCAAGCTGGCGAGAAGTCAGGTCGTAGAGGTCCGAGAAGCCTGAGCGAGCTCAGCGAGTCTATATCCGGTATACTTTGGATTGTACACCCTGCCAAGACTGGGAAGCAACAGTGCGTTCTCTAGGTAAAATTACGAAGGGCCAGCCTGTAATCCTTTTGTGTGCACCCATTGACATATGGATGCAAGAGTTTTCGTTGTGAATCGATGGTGAAGGTCGTGCGCAAAAGTGATCTGTGTGGCCACGCCACAGTTCCGCATTGACGGCTTTCACGGTCCGGCGCTGCACTCGCTTCGACCCCGAATCCTTTCAACTGCATTTCTTTTGCTCGTCGACCACAGCGTTCAGCGGCAAGGCATCGTAAACGATTCGTGTCTTTCATGGCTATACTCGACATATGTCATACGTCTGTTTTTGTCGAGCTAAGTTTGTCTCGACGGCCAAACTTCCGACACGCTTGAGCGGCGTTGTCAACTTTGCTCGACCTTTCACGAGTACTCGTAGCGTAGGTACGGAGTACCTGAGTTTATTGATTGACAAGTTGTCACTGACGTTATGTTACAGGAAGCTGGAACGCGAAGGTGGCTACCTCTTCTATCGTCGAGAGTAAGAAGTCCAGCTTTCAGGCGCATTGCACAACGATCCAATCTCCCTCCGACATCCCGCTCGCCATATCTCATTTCTCCCATACCTCATCTCGATATAAACGCGCCACCCACTGTATGTACGCCTCACGAACCGTAGAAAGTGAACCAAACTCGAAACCCGCATCCAATCCCAGCAGTATTGCCACAACCCGTCAAGACGACGGAGGCGAGAAGGGTGCTGGAGATATCTTATCCAGTGTTCTCGAGCGGGCTGGGGCGAATGACGTTTTGGTGGTAGTTTGGAGGTGGTATGGTGGTGTTCCGCTCGGTGGAGAAAGGTGGAGAATTATTGGACAGGTGGCGAGGGAGGCGTTGAGGGAAGGAGGCTTTATCGGATCGGAGAAGCAGGTTGGAGAGGGGCAACAGTCGACCACAAGAGGGGGAAAGGGGAAGAAGAAAAAGCGCTAATTGTGGCAGCCTTTGGATAGGTTTGCGCCTCGGTCGCGTCTGTTCTCGGTATGCAGTGCAAAGGTGTTCGTTCACCTGTGGTGCACTATGGGAGATGTGGCGCGCGTCGGCATTGCTGGGACGCTCGTCTGACGGGCTGTTGTTTGTTTTGACTGGTCCGAGTGCCACGCAGACTTTGTCGGCATAATTCGATGCGATCCTTGCTCGTATGATGGACTCCGTCTTCTCATCCACGACACAGAGTGGCACAGATTCGCCCGCGGAACATCCTCCGTCACCTCGTTCTCATGTCCAGTGTGAGCGCCCGTCACCTAGACTGTTTTTCTCCTTACGTTCTGTCTCGTACTGATTAAATGCTTCCTCCGCTTGTTCAGCCAATATAACCATTTGTTCCCGAGTCCGAATATCGTTTTGACAGTGCCAGCCGACCGTCTACAAATGACCAGTACTTCTGGGCTCACTACGGGCCACAACGCCGCCCGATGTACGATGACTTCCTTCTCTTCATGTCGGAGACGCTTTCCGTCCGGTCATGTACTCATCGTACTGTAGCTGCGGCCGCTTCAGCAAATTCAAGTGAATTTAGTTCATTCTAGGGCATTTAGCTCATGTGCGTATCGGCTATGCTCCTCCTTGTGCTCATGCAAACGACCGGCAAGCGAACAATTATTTGGTAACATCAAGATTTCATTTGTACTAACGAACACAAGGCTAAAACAGAACTAATACACACAATTTCGAAACACAAAACGAAGGTAACAAAGAAAGAGTGACTAAAATCTTTTTTTAGGAGAACTACATACACAGTAAGTAGCCAAGAAATCGCGGTACTTTTGATGAATGACGACGAAAACGAAAGACGAAGGGTACCACGAAGACGAAGATGGTAGGATAGAGATAAGTGGAGGATAATGCTGATGGAGACGGTGCCGATGAAAGGGTGCGGAACGTTGAGACGCAGAGGTATGATGGATGAATGGAATGACACGAACAGAAAAACAGAACAGAACAGACCAAGAATACCCTTCCAATACCATCCCTGCGTACCTTCCTTCTGTCCTTCCTAATTCCCTCCCAGCGCCGTCCCGGCCGAAGTTCGAACTCGCACCCCGCTCCCTTCTCCCGCCATATCACCAAGTCCCTGTCAACCACTCCAACCCGTCACAGCGTCCCTCGAGCTCTCCATCGAATATCCGCATAAGGCTAAATCCACACCGATCCCGCGAAGCACCAGGATCGTGATTCGTGATTCGTAGAACGGCAGAAATACCCCCATCCGCCATCGGAGTCCCAATCCCCAAAACCGCCAACTCCGTAGAAAAATGCACGCGCCACCGTACGAACAACCGACTCCCCAATCCGGACTGTCAAGAATGGAAGTGCGACGGACGTAATAGGACTGGTGTGTAAATGGGACGGACGTCGGTGTGTCATGCAGGGCTGTAAGTAGGGATGTATGGGTCTGGAATTGGGGCAGGGTAGGACTGGAAGAATGGATAGACAGTTACAGATACGATGGAATGGAAACCCGGAGAGCGAAAGCGAAAGAAACGAGGCGTCGTCCGCGACTTTGCTTTGAGACGAGTGCCAGGCCAGTCACCAGGCAGGGAGGGGGTATCGTGGGTATCGAGAAAGAATGATGGCCCGGGGTGACTGGTGATGCGAGGACGTCGGTGCTGTGTTGGGTACGTATCGCGCAAATCGAGGATGTCAAAAGCTGACAAAAAGACAGAGGACAGAGGACAGAGGACAGAGAAGGCGGTGAAGCGAGAAGAAGGTGAGTGAAGTGTACGGGATACAGTAATACTAATGAATGGTGTGCGTTGGTGCAGAGAGCGTGCGGATGTGCGATGTGCTTCCGACCCCGTCTAATGTGTGTGTGTGTGTGTATGTGGTATGCTGATTTTTGACATGTGCATGTAAGTGTAAGTGTGCCGGGAAGGGCGGTGGGTACTAGATACAGGTGCTGCGCGATATTGCTGCGATACGAAGAGCGTAGACGAGGTAGGGCGAGATAAGATGAATACCGAGGAATGGAGGGAGACTCAAGATGACGGAGCGGGAATTGGGAGGGAGGAAGGTCAAAAAGTCCCAGTGGGCTTTCAATAGGATAGGCTATAAGCCGATAGGTATACGTTAACGTATATGGTTACGGAGGTGGGGTGAGGGTGAGCTAGCTGCGGGGCTTTCGCATAGCTTCAAGTTGAAGGGTACCCTAAGGAGACAAAACATGTCGAGCCAAGAAGATGAGAGGATGGAGCGCGAAGGAGAGATGAAATAGATGCGAAGTGTGTGTAATGGAGGGAGCGAGTGGGATCTAGTATGGCTGATGTTTGAACTCGTCCGAGATCTGTTGGCTCTCGGGGTCGAACTCTTTGCCCTCGGCGGAGACGACACGTCCTGACGCGTCGTAGGTGACCTTGTCCGCTACTGAGAACGTGTCCATCTGCACACAACACCAACACCAATCGTCATCACGACCAACCGCAGCGTCAGCATTGAATTCATTTGGGGCATACCGGATATGGGGTCAAAGCATGAAATGGAATGGAATGAGTCGCGTACCTGTACGTGCACACCGCCTGCCGTCGACCTCGCGACAGACACGTTCGCAGGACCCCTCGAGGCCGTGCCCGAATTGAACCGAAGCGCGTTATTAGTCGAAGGTGAACTCGATCTGTATAGCAAAATGCACGGAGCAGAGCAAAGCAAAGCAAGCAGGTGAGAGGGGAAGAAGACGCGTCAGTGATGATGGAGGGGCGGGATGGACGGTGCGTACGAACGTGAACACCTCTGGGCCTTGGTTGGCAAAGTTGTTCAGGCGGCGGACGACTCGACATGCCACAATCTGATAAGAACGGTACAGGAACGAAGTGTAAGTGGCGCAGGAAGTAAAGTTTGTGAAGATGGAAGGATAAGTTGTTGCGATCGATGGTAGAATACGTACGGTGGAGATTACGGCTGCAGGGACGTTGGCGATGACAGACATCACAGCGTTCAAGTTGAGCAACATGAATACAGTGGCGGTCATGTTTGCCAAGAAGCTAAGGGTAGATCGCATCATCAATACCGATATCGAACTTCGATGAAATGGAGACTCACGCGACGAGGAAGTAAACCAAACCATCACCGAAGATCATCTCCACGAGTCTACTGCGTCCACCCTTGGGGAACGCGAGCTTCCACGCTGTGAGGGTGAGAACGACAAAGTCGAAGGCCATGGTATAGATGAAGGAAGCGGCGAGGAGAGTGTTATCGGTCGAGGTGATAACACAACCTGTGCCTTCGACCCAGGCAGCTTTGAGGAGAATACCGTGGAGAAGTAGTGACCAGTGACCGAGGATGACGGCGATCAGTGGGCAGACAATGTACCACTTCTGTGACCAGATAGCCATGCTGTGGATGAAATGAATGTGAGCAGAAGTATGTGAGTAAGATCGACATAGAGGGTTAAACGTACGTTCGTACAGAAAGGTTTACACTTGCCATTCCAATGGCGAAGTTACCGAAACACTGGTTGAAGGTGTACAATGCTTGACAGTTCACCTCCCTACACAAAGACAATCAGAGGCTGAAGCGACTTGAACATGCAATGGTGCGTACTTGGTGACATCCAACGCGATGGTTCTAGAGTCGCATCAAAGCATATCATAAGTATAACAGCTATCATTAATATGATGGGACCAACGCACATCCCCATCAGCGCGAACAGTAGACAGTACCGCCCAAGGAAGTAGAAGGTCTGTTCAACGAATGATGTAAGCCGTGATGCTTCCGATGAAAAAGCAGAGAAGGGTAAGGCCTACCAGTGGCCACCTGAACCTCTTCCTGCCAGTCAAGAAGGCAAAGTCGAAGTCAAGAGTCGCCTGAGTGACAGCAAAGAAAAGACAACACTATCAGACAATGAAGATAGTTTATTGGGCACGACGACATACTGAATGATGAATGGTCGCCACAGACACTCTTGGTTAGAACATGGTTAGAGACAATGAAACGTGAAGACATACTAAACCATTCCCAGCTAGAGCACAGTGGCTTCAACACAATGAATCAAGTTCAAAGCTGAATACGACGTACATGTATAGACCCAACAGCGTATGCATGAATTTCGTGAACGCCGCTGTGAGTTAGACGTTGACCAAAGTAATCAGGAATATGTTGTCGGTGAAACACAGTGTCGCACTAACCTGAGTCCGTGGCAAGCTCGGTGGCGGAGTTCCAGTCAACCATGGCGATGAGTATGCACAAGAGTAACCGAAGGCGGATGAGGACAGTTCACAGCCTGAGGGTGGGAGACGGATGGGGTAGGAGGACCTGGCGGAAGCAAATAATGGGGACATGTGGAGGTATAAGTATGCAGCGTCTTGGACGAGCAGTACGAGAATGGCAAAGGCTGGTCCGGGGGGTCATCATGAGATAACATTTAGCGCCTGAACCGAGTGAAAAGCGTAAACGAGGGTTCGCTCCAGAGCTTGAACTGCTCGTCCAATTCAGAACGAATCAGGTCGTCCTTCCTCCAATCCGGCTTTACGGCGGGCTCGGCGGATTCCCGAGTGCGTGAATTCCTTCCCTCTTCGGGATGAGCCCTTGCAACATTCCTTTTGCGTCCTCGTCGTCAGCCCGCTCGTTCGTCCCACCGGTCGCTTCTTCGTCCACGCACGCAAGATACGACATATCCACACTCCCTGCCCTCATTTTATCCCACCATTCGAGGAATATACCCCTTCCTTTCCCCTTTCCTGTCCAGACTTTCGCAGCGCCACACCGATCCCGTTCAGACTCAAGCGACCTCGACCGACAGCGAGCGTCACAGCCTTTGATGCGGCCTACACGTCTGATGGCCCTTTGACGACTCTCACAACTGCGGCTTCCCAGGCCGGACGAGGGCAAGCGGCGGAAGAAGTCTTCGAACTCTGACGAAAACTTCGGTTCCCGTGAGCCATATACGTACACAGACGCCTGTCCTCGACATCTCGTAACCCTCCTCGAAGCTTGCTCGGACGCCCCGATTTTTCATTCACTTTCATTTCCGCTTCGTTGGAGGTGCCCTTCATTAAATAATTAACGATCAAGTAGCCGAGACCGTCAAGCGTAAAGCTGACAGCTCCCAAGCGCAACTGCAGACTTGACTGCAAGGATTTATGAGTCTCGGGGCTCCCGTGAACCTTATGGAGCACATTCCTGCCCAGGACGAGCGCTTTAGGCAGGATTTGTGGGCGGCGGCTGAGCAGGCCGGAGGACCCTGCAGCTTCTGCTCCTCAAAAGGCAGGTTCAACGAGTATGATGAAAAACATCAAATTCAAGGCTTCGAGCCCCTCCAGAACTTACACTCGAAGTGCACGATTACTGACTTGACCGCATTCCACTAGCCTGCCCGGAATTGTGCGTGCGAACCCTTGGGAGGCCCGCTGCCGGCTTCGTGCAGGGTATTTGAGGCTTCTGATAGATAGATCGCCCACGGTACTACTTAGCCCCCATCGGTGCCTATCTAACTTGTACCGACTGCCCCTCCCCTTGTGCCCGAAAAGGTCACCCTTTGAGTGTCAATACTGCTTCTAATCGCCTTCGCTTGAGTGCAAGCGACCCTCACTTTCCTTTCACTCCTCCATTCCCCTTCTTCAGCCACCTCCATCTCTCACTCGCCGACATCTCCTTCTTAGACTCCAACTACCACCACTTGGCCTGTCTATCGCCACCGCCTCACCCTATCCCACTACAAAGTATGGCTTTCTTGGATATGTCATCTCCTACCGTTCTCGGTTCCACTGTCCTGCTGGCCGTGTTACTCCGCTACTATGTCCTGCGCAGGAAAACCGACTTGGACGTCCTACCATGCCCGGTATGCACTTCAGAACCTCTGGTTTGCGCTTTGCCTCAGACCCCTGACTATGACGTATCCGTTCTCAGCCCTCCGACGAGGCTACTCTCTTTTACGGACACGAGAAGAAAGTGTTTGACAATGAGTCAAACGAGATGTACATGAAGTGGATGTCCGCTCTTGGATCTTTCTACAAGATAAAGGCTGCCTTGTTCCATGAGGACGTTGTGAGTACTTTTCTGAACTTCATCCCCTTGTCCGCCTTGAATTCCCTAACTCTCGCGATCTTCGTAGATCGTCGCCGGTGACAACGCAGCTGTTGCGCACATCTTTCAGTACTGCGACAACTACGGTCAGTCTCTTTCCCTTTCGCGCACCCTCCGCACTTCATCGCATGCGTGCACGCACCACCCATCCCATCCCATGCCCATGTGGGCAATCCTTAATGTCCTCGGTCCTCCGACATCAGGATTCGCCCCAGATTAGCCTTTGCCACGACCCCTTTCATGATGCGCGCTCGCTGACGCCCGATATCGCATGTTTGATGTTTTTTTGCTCGCTCGCTCGTGAAACAGTGAAGAGTCCTATCTTCAGACCTCCGATTGCAAATCTCCTCGGGAGAGGATTAGTCTGGGCCGAAGGTGATGATCACAAACTGCAGAGACGGATTTTGGCTCCGGCGTTCTCGTGAGTTTTCGCTCTTTCATTCTAGACTTTTCCTTTCTCTCCATGTAGATACCTTTCTAGATGAAGAAGCTGAAACGAAAACGTACTGTGTTTTGTAGACAGGAGAACGTCAAGGGTATGGCAGATGATATATTCGAGAGCGCTGAGCGGGTAAGGATATTCACGCCACACTTATAGCTAGTTGCTCCGAAGACTCAACTCGACACTCGTTTCACTTCTGCTTAGCTTGAGACCCGCTTGACTAACCAAGTTCTTGCCAATAATGGAGGCGCCACTGTCAACATCGTCGAACAGACCTCTTCCTGCACGTAAGTCTTCTCTCATATCTTTTCCCACTCCATCGTCTCTCATTCCAGTCTTCTCTCGTCTTCCCTATACCAGCCTCGACATCATCGGACGCGTCGCATTCGGTCATGACTTTGGTTCAGGCGAATCCGCCGAGGCTAAAGAGATCGCCAGCGCCTGGCATAACCACGTGAACATGGGTCTCACCTACTCCGGCTTCATCGCACCGCTCCTCGTACGCACCTTCCCCTGGATCGTGAAGCTGCCGATCCCGGCGCTGCAGGCTCAGGGGACGACGAAGATGATCGTGGACAGGCTGACGAAGAGGATCATCGAGAAGGGAGTGGTGAACGAGAAGGGGAGGGACATCTTGAGTTTGTTGATGATGGCCAACAGGGACGCGAAGGAGGGGAATAAGTTGACCGATGAGCAGTTGGTGGCGAATGTTAACACTTTTATGTGCGTGTTTTTCTTTTCTTTGACTTCGTTTGTGATTGTGCGATTGCCATGAGGCTGATTTGGTTCCGTTCGATTTGCGTCCGTGTGACGTGTGGCGTGTTGTGTGGCGTCGGAATTATAGTATGGTCGGCCATGAAACTACTGCAGGCTCCGTCGCCCTCACTACCTATGCTCTCGCCCGCAACCCTGAGATGCAGCAGAAACTCCGTGATGAGCTTATCTCCGCTGGTGATATCACCTACGAGAGCATCCAGAAACTCGAGTACCTCGACGCCATCGTGAAGGAAGGGTGCGTACCATCCTACATCATCTCACTGCACCATGTCCCCGGTTTGATGATGCGCCGCTAATCATTCCATTCCTTGTGATGACTGCAGTCTCCGCGTGTACCCCGCCTCGCCACACACTGAGCGCATCAACCTTGAAGACGACGTGATCCCGCTAAGCAAGCCCATCACCACCACCGACGGTCGTAAGATTACCTCCTACCACGCAAAAGCCGGCACGGTACGTTAACCTTCCACTCTACCACCGTTCATTAAGGTCATGAAATCGACTAATCGTCAATCGTCTCTCGCCGCGTCGATAGATCTTCCATATTCCGTTTACCGCCATGAACGTCAACCCTGAAGTGTGGGGCGAAGACGCACATATCTTTAAGCCCGAACGTTGGATCATCCCTGGCGGCGTGCCTCAGCCTAGTGAACTCCCTCACGGATGGAGCGGTCTCGTTACCTTCTGCGACGGGCCCAGGAACTGCATTGGCTGGCGACTTGGTGCGCAGTCCTTCTCTTCGCCTCGAATACTGAACGATGAATGCTGATGTCGGTTCATGAAATGTAGCTGTACTGGAGTTCAAGGTTCTCATTGCTACGCTCTTCCGCTCGCTCGAGTTCCAGGCTACGACGGCAGACGTGAAACAAATGATCTCGCCTACGCTGCAAGCTGTCGTGGATGACAAGGGCGGATTCTTGCCTCTGCACATCACGCTCGCGCAGCACTAAGTTAGGTGCTGCTCGACTCCCTTGTTCTATTCAACGCTCTCTCCAACAATGCTCTCTTCTGCTGCTCGTCGTTAACCATCTGATTTGCACGTATGTACATATAGTTTCTTGTAATTTTCGTGTCTTTTCCCTAGTTCCTCGGCTGGGCCTCTGCTCATCCTGACTCATCTTTGCTTCATTATCGTGTATACATATTCCTTGCGTGCCACTCATCTCCCATCCAACATCTACCTCGCGATATAGTTGACACCTAATCTTTAGGCTTCCTCCTTCGCATCCGCACCCCCATCCTTCTCTTGGACTCTGACTCTTTTGCTACACACCCACACTCCCTCTCATTTCGCTTCGTTCACAGTTTCTTACACTCAATACTTTCGGCGCTTCATGCGAGCGACGACTGGTTTTCGTCGATTGGGATTTGTGGTCCGTGATTCGTGATTCAGACAGTACTTTACAGATACTGTCGACTGAAGTTTGAATAATTTAAATATAGTCACATTACTACTTCCTGGATCCTTCTAGTCCGAGTCCGAGTCGTGTCACCGTTATAACTTATCTTTGAAGCCTTCAGTGCAAGAAGCCTTGCACGAGACGAAGTCCCGTCCCCGACCGGCCGAGCGACTCAGTGAGGTCTCCCTTGCCACTTCGGTGTCGGCGAGCTCCCCAAGGTCTGCTATGGAGGTTCTCCCCGATCCAGATTCGGACTTGTGTCCACTCTCAAAGCGCATACGTATGTCATCGTTCGAGACTAACTCCAGGTGAACTTGGTGCTACTATTAAGAGATCATTGATGGTGGCACTAGGCTCGCCACACTGTTAGGCATGGCGACCATCAAGCCACACAATCTACTTTGGCTGCCCCTTCATACATACGCATATTTCTTGCCATTCAAGTTTCACTACTAGTCTACACTGGCGGAGACGGGCCTGGTCCAGGTGTGGCGAGGGCAGGGTCATTCTAAGAGTAAGTTAGAACTTAAAACGCCACCAAGGACGTTAGAGGAATTGCGAGCTTCGTATGGAATCAGACGATCAAGCATCGTTTAGACGTTTGTATGTATGCCGCCAGCGAACATATAATGCTGTGCAATTCCTGGGAAATGCCTTCGAAAAAAAAGTCACGACTTGGAATACATATATTCGCAGCCAGTCCGAGGAGCCGTGTCGAGCAGCGAATTCAGTGACAGAAGATCCTCCAACCTAAACAGCAGCGTCATGGATATTCCGCGGTCCCAACTCTCGTCGTTGCAGCAGTGGCCACAATGCGGACTCGATATTAATGAGTTAAGTTCTACGGAAGGTTATGAGCGAATTGCGCATGCATGCATGCATACATGTGGTCTAACGTGCGAATGCGGGCAAACACACAGCGCAAAGGGAGGCAAGTAACGAAGGCAACGAAGCACGCGCCGTTCTAAGGTTGAGAATAATTCGGAACTACTAGTGGCCATATAAGGTAGGTTGAAAGAGACAGTTGAGATAGAGCTGAGAAAAACATCACCCTGCGAAAGAAGAGGTTCGAGTCTGCTATGTTGCTCTATAGAACCTTCGCGCCTCATCGATATCGCACGCCTATCCAGACCGGTCTGCTTCACAGTCTGCTCGCAAGTTAAGTTACATAAGTATGTCGGGATGCGCTCACACGAGGATGCAAATTTGGGAGAGAAGATGAAGAACTGAACTCTTGAGGACTATGGGCGGAGACGAGCAACATCCGAGCGTCTGTATTACCCCTTCAAGTTCCTTGATCCACGGGTGGCTGAACTTGGACGATGGAATCTTGAAGGAAAGTACTGATGGATTCTGTTGACTTCCTGAACGAATCGTTGAACTGACTGAGGCCATGAGGACCGAGTAACGAGGCGTGCATACTTTGACAGGTTTAGGGACTGTCCAAGACGGCCCATTGAATTTACGAGACGGTACGCTGCGTCATGCTACCTAGGGTAACCCGAGGGCTTTTCGACGGTGAAAGGGGCGTGTCAGGCCTTGCAGCGGAACCAGAACGGGAGAAGACGATGGCGTAAGGAAAATGTCGGTCAAAGCGTATAATTTGCACCTGGTTGGATGATGCGAGTGGTGAGAAATAAGTTGTGAGACAGACGCTGATCAGCGAATATAGGCATCAGAGCACACGGAAAGAACATACCGAAAATAGTTGATTGCTAGAACGCGTCAATCATACCGTATGTCTCCAACATTAGAAACACGTTACCCGTACAGTCGCATCCTAACCATTCTATTTCGCATTGACCCAAACGTATTCCTGCGTTCCGTCCCACCCATCGCACAATCGCCACATCTTACCTCACCTCGAAACATCTACACCCGACATCCCAACACGATTCCCACATATCGAAATATCAGACGCCAGAGTAAATCTTATCATGACCGCATACCCCGTAAGACCCGCAAATTTTCCGGTTCTGCAGCTCTGTGCGACTCCACCCGCGACCGTGTCTCATGATGAGCCAGCCTTCTGTCAGGACAACTTCTCGAAGATTTGTGGGTTTGGGCGGGTTGGAGAAGGTTTGCGAAGGTCATATCTAGAGTTATCAGTAGCACGGGTCGGGTGTTATAATTCTGCAATATATCCAACTTCAGTCATTGAGGCCAAAGGGAACGACGAATGCTTCTGGTGCTTCTGGTGCGTTCGTTGCGCGTTGGGTAAGTCATAGGACGATATCGCAAGGTTTGGGGACGTGCGGTTCATTTTAGAGGAGCCTAGCGAAGAGTAGGACGAATATCGGTCTGGAAACGGCCCACGACGGTGGAAGAAGAGGAACACAGCTCAATCGCTGTGTCTGTGGTAGCGCGGCGACCTGTGCAACGAGAAACGGGGCACAATTTGTTGCGCTTCAGGTCTAGTCCAAGCTGGCCTACCTGCACTATACTTCTTGGCAGCGGTCGGGCGGAGGAGACGCCACAAGCACGGCGTGCGGTGCCAGAATATGAAAAGCCTGCGGTAGGCAATCTTTAAGAATGATGATTCCGTATACGGCACAAAGCACCGACGTTCGAGCATACGCACCGACTTTGCTTTGATTTCCTCTGGTATAATATACGACAATATGAGTAAACATATAGCGTGAAAGGATCAGGAGGCCCTCTGAGCATTGGACTGGGCCGCGTGAAGGGTTGACGCCCTACAAGTCGCTTTGACTCAGCGCTGATATTGCGTATTGGTAGTGTCTTGTTATGTCTGTCATCGATATTCTTTGGAAGACATTCGTGTGCAATAGAAAGGTAGTCGAAGGACGGTAAAACTGATGTAGTTCACCTGATAGCACTGTGTCTTCACGATATCTCTGCGGGCGTCGATGCTGAAGGGTGGCGAAATGGAAGTGAACCGTTAGTATTCCCCACACTGAGATTATGGCTCCATTTCATGCGCTCGTAGCTTCAAAGACCCTCAAAGTTCAAAGCTACGTAGATGAGTCAGGGTCGTTCTGAGAGGAAGGGGCCTGGATAAGATATCGTGAAGCCAGAGAAGTTGCAATTGGGAGTCAGGATCTAGCGATCGAAGCAAAGTCACAGGCACCTCCTGGAACATTGCTAGCCCGTCAAAGCCTGATTCGTGCTGTCGTTTACACCTCTCAGCAAAGAGCTAGCAATTGACCGGACGAGGCGCGAAAAGGACCGTGATCATGGAGGGCACAGAAAAGTGCGACGAGTGGCGGCCCGAGATGCGTGGTCGGTACGTGGGCCGAACCTCCGCTTCGAATTCCGACACTCCGCTCAAGAGAGACATCGAGAGCCACGCCACAGTACGCCACGTCTTACCACCATCATGTAGCTAAGTTTATCTTCCCGGGGCTGAAGTTGAGTCAGCCATCAGCGACACCCATTTGTACTAGGTATCGACGCTGTGAACGTTCTTGCATTCGACGGCGACAAACAGACTACTTAGACCACCTGGTGAAGCACCCGAAGGCTTGCTATTACTGCCCTGGTTACTTATCGCTGCTGAACTCACTCATGTCTTCCAATACCAACAATGACATTGCCACACCAGCATCTCCATGGAATCTTCCAGCTGGGATCAGTTCTACTCACATCACAATTCGCAACAATACTGTCAAATCTCACTTCCTCTCCGCCGGGAATCCCTCTGACCCTCTCATTCTCCTCCTTCACGGCTTCCCCGAACTCTCGTACTCCTGGCGAGACGTCATTATGCCCCTCTCATCTTCCAACAGCCCGGGAGGCACAGGCTACTACGTCGTCGCACCAGACCACCGAGGCTTCGGCCTCTCCTCCCTCCTTACCCGCTCTGATCCTTCCTCACAAATCTCGTACGACGAAGACCTCAACGACTACAGACAGGAAGAATTAGTCGAAGACGTAGTTGCACTCGTACACGCTCTAGGAAAGACGAAAGTGCATCTACTCATCGGTCACGACTTCGGATCTACGATCGCGGGGAACTGTGCGATCATCCACCCGGAGCTTGCTGAGAGATTGGTGCTTATGAGCGCGCCGTTCACGGGTCCAGTGCCACAGACGGATGAGGGCGTGGCGCAGGGTAGGGCATTTATGGAGATGGTGCAGCGTGGACTTGCGGCCCTGGACCCGCCGAGGAAACATTATATGGTGTATTTCTCGGGTCCGGAGGCGAATCGCGATATGCTCACGGGTGGCGGAGAGAAAGCGGGTAGTGGAGAGGGGGAGTATTCTTTCCGCGACTTCATACGCGCGTATTGGCATGTGAAGAGTGCGGATTGGGAGCTGCAGCCGGACCCGCACTCTATCCCGATGCCTTCTCCTGGCTCTCCAGATGCGAAGAACGGTAATCCGCTCGAGGCTCTCGCAGAAATTCCCGAATATTATATCATGCGCTCGGAACTCACCATGCCACAAACCGTACTTCCCCATCTTCCCCGCACCATCAAATCCGCGAACGAAGACGAGGAGCATTGGATGTCCGAGAGCGCCCTCGCGGTCTACGTGGACACCTACCGTCGTACAGGCTTTCAAGGCGGTCTCAACCTCTACCGTGCCATGATATCTCCTCTTGATCCCTTACCCAATGCGAAGCCGGAGCTGATGAAGCGGAAGATTGAGGTGCCGACGATGTTCATTGCCGGTAAGAAGGACTGGGGAACGTGGCAGTTTCCGGGGGCGGTGGAGAGGATGAAGGCGCTGTGTGTGAGAATGAGGGAGGCGGGGAGAGGTGAGGAGGGTGTTGTGTTGGTGGAGTGTGCTGGACATTGGGTGCAGCAGGAGAGACCGAAGGTGGTTGTGAGACTATTGGCAGAGTTCGCTATGAAGGGGGTTTGAATGGTTCGGAATTCCTCGCATGACCGCCCAGGATTGGATAGGACACTGCTGCTGAACCTAAACTGTAACCAAGAGTTCGAAATAACTACTGTAAACGAGGAAAGTGCCCTGAGGATGGTGTACGAGTAGTTGTACTTCAATATATTGTACACAGTTTTATTCGGAATTGATGTTGCCACCTTCGCCACAATGAACCAACACGTGCAGACGCGTCGACGCTATTTCACGCAGTCGATCGCGTCGAGCATGATGCTTGCATGATGCTGAGGCTATTAGCGCAGCTCATGCACGATGGCTACGCGACGCGTTCCCCATCGTCGACAGTACTTATCCTTGTAGTCGTTTATCAACGGCTGAGTCGTTTTGCTCGGAATTGCCTTCGCTCGCACGCTAGGAACAACTCTTACATAAGCACGGTCTGGGTGCCACCATGACGCCGTGGTGCCTTGGATTCGCGTTGCCACATGCCACAACCGTCCAGTTGGTTTTCTGCTCTGGACCTCTTTCTTCTCGACGCTCAATTTCATCTTCACGCTTCACATCTATCCTCTATATTTCTCTAGTTCTCCCTCGACTGTTGTCCAGGACGTCTATTCATTCTCTTTTTAGCTTTGTTTCTCAGACAATTTCAACATTTGGACACTTCGACGAACCTAAACGGCGAAGTTTCAACCACCCATATTTACACCCTCACCCACACCCACATCATGTACGGGAGGAAGATTATGCAGATCCTCGAAGTTCCCGAGGCCGATTCAGAGTCAGAAGACGACGCTCCAACACAACCAGTCGCTCTTCGCCCTCGCCCGCCTGCCTTGGGAGCTCTTGACCGGTGGTCGTCATGGGACATCCCGAGCTTGACTCTCCCGAAAGCGAAGAGACAGGGTGCCGGGCTTCGTATTGCTACGGATCCTGATTTTTCCAGTTCGCAGGTGAGTTCTGACGATTTCTGTGGCTTGGATGGAGAACCTTACCGACATTTCGTTTGGGGCCACTAGGAACTCGTTGGCACAGCCTCTTTGCGGCTCCCGCCTTCTGCTCGACGGCAGGCATATAATCCACGGTATTGACCCATGTAGCCCATGCAGCTTCTCACTATTCGTTACTGACCAACTGTTGGTTATGCATGCGACAGGACTCCCGACTCGAGTTTCACCTTCGGTCGCGCACCTTCCTTCCAAATTAATACACCTCCGCCTTCCTCTATTAGTCATCCAATCTCACCGCTCTCTCCTTCTTATTCCGCCTCCCACACACAACACAGACGTGCAGAACGATATTCTCGCGACGAAGCCCAACTTGTTTCATCCCTTCAAACACATTCACTTCGCCCATCTGCATCTCCACAGGAGCTTCAAGTTCTCGCCCTCGCCAAGGCGACCTCATTTCTCACGGAACGAGCCGAAGAATCAAAGCATAAGGTTACGGTGTTGAGAGCAAGATTAGCAGCTGCCGGGAGTGATGTCGATGAGGACCAGTACAGGACGTGGCAGAAGGAGAGGTGGATGGAGGAGCATTGGATCAACGTCGTGGAAGGGCAGACAAATTCGCTGAAGCAGTCCGCGAAGGGAATATTCGCACTTCAGCAACAGACTCCCTCCCAGAAGTCACCACAAATCGAGCCTGATACTGGCAAGGAGGAGTCGGAGACGTCAGACATCGAGCGACGCAAGGAAGCCAACCTAGCCAAATTCTTCTCCGTGTCCGCCACGCACACCTCTATCCTTTCGCACCAACCCTCCCGTCATGCTCGTTCGAGCTCTCTCGCGTCCCCTCGCGTACTGTCGCCTCTGGACATCGAGCCGCTCAAGTTGCGTACTTGGCCTCTAGTCCCAGAAACACTGAAGAAACCCATCGAGGGCTTTTCCGGAAGACCTCTCTCTGTGGACGATCCCCGTCTCGTTCGACAGCGCGCACAGGTTAAATCACCGCCTCCGCCGTTGAAGCTTGTGGACGAAAACGGACCGAATGACACGGCTGATCCGGAAGAGCACGCGAAACGAGATTGGCCACGTTCGGCTCCTGCGACGGCTACGGAATCCATCTTCCCTAATGGGTCGAACGCTTCGACATCCTATTACCAGTCCTCCAACAGAGCGTCCTCCTCTTCCTCCACTCGCAACGACAGCAATCAAGTGCCGCGCAAACGAGGCCACGGCCACTCATCCTCCCTCGCCAGTCTGGCCAACTACGCCCCGAAACATTCCTCCATTACCTCCTCGGATTCCGGCTACGCAACGATTTATAGCAGTCCTGTCTCACGCACCAAAGAAGAGATCCTGGAAGCGTTCGCGGCGACGAGGTATCCTGTCCCAGAATATGTTTCTAGTTTGTTGGATACGTTCGAGGAGGTCACGGAGAAGTATAATGCGTTTGCGCCGAGCTCGCCTGTGGTCGTGAAGGTGCCAAGGGGATCGAGTGCGGAAGCTTCTAATACTTCGAAAAGTACCAGTCAGTCTCGTCCAGTCAATAATACGAAGGAGAAGTCGAAGTCGAAGAGCAAGGAGAAGAAGACATCTTCGTCGAGCAAGGAGAGGGAAAAGGAGGTCTACTCGTCTCCTAAGGTTTCGCGCTCTTCGCTAGATAGTACACAATCGCGGTCGAGCCGTCATCATGCCAGCGCGTCCAGCAGCACCGTCAACCTCCCGAGTACGAGTGCCACTCAGTCCAAGTCCAAGTCCAAGTCCAAGACTTCATCTTCCTCACCCACTTCTAAAGCCAAGTCACAGTACCCCTCTACATCGCATTCAGATTCGCATTCTCGCTCCTCGTCTCGCCTATCTCTCACTCCCGAAATCTCGAGCTCAACGCAACATCGTTCACGCACGACGTCTCATCCACAAACTTCGCGCACTTCCGCCTCCACGTCAGACTCACGAACACGCTATCACTCGCATTCCTCGTCCAGCCGTCCTTCGACCTCCCCAGCCCCCCGCGCCGCATCTTCTTCCTCATCAAAGCCTGCGTTCCGTATGAGTTTTGGCGGACTCCACATCGGCGGACACCTTGGAGGCAAGAAGGCGACGTCTCTTTCTAACGCTGTTGCTGCATTTAGTGAAGTTGCAGAGGGTCTGAGCGCGATACATGAGGGTTCATGGGACGAAATCACGCCGAGCGATGTTCGTCGGTCGTCGTCGAGGGACAACGAACTCGCCGATCACAGCAGACATCATCACCGTCACCATCATCATCACACTCGCGACGAACCCGAACAGAAAGCCTCCCCGACCCCGAAGAAGCCTCAGACCAAACGAGCAGGTTCGAGCGGGTTGTTCCACAGAAGGAAACACGCCGACGGTGAACATCCCAATAACGACGATACACCCTCCGACCGCGATGGCGCACGTACTCCTACCAACGAAGATGGGCACGAAACTGAACCGAAAGAACGTCCGGCGATTCCTCGTCGCCAGTCATTGCTCAGAAAAGTTCGTCCACCGAGCTTCAGGAGGTCCTCGACAGATGATACCGTGACACCCCAGAGCAACGGAGCCGAAGGTTCGCAGTCGACGTCGAGTCGTCCCCAGACCAGGGCGGCATCGTCGTTGGGGTTTGTGCCTCGGATCTCTGAGGAACGCGAGCCAGCGGAGGATGGTCCTGCTAACCACCACATTCATTCCAATGGCCACAAGCATAGTCATAGTCATGAAGCACGCGCCGCGAGCCCCGGATCCCAGTTTTTACGTCCAGAAGCTGTCACATCCATGAACTTCAACAACGCGAACGGTTCCGTTACGCATAGTCGGTCAGCCTCACCTTCGTCTTTCTCGCTCCTTTCGCCCGTTGGGTCTGTAAGTTTGACGTCGGGAACGAGTCATGACCACGGGCTTGCAGCGCTTGGTGCGAGTGCTGCGAGCCCCAATGTTTCGATGGTGGATTTGTTGAAGAGGAAGCTTTCGGATTTTGGGGGGAAGGGGAAGGCGATTGCTTAATCGTCGACGATACGATGAAGATGAGACGGTCATGCCACGAAGTTGAGGTTTCTTTGATCATACGTGGACTAAACGCGTCGGACTGTGTTTATAGGCCTTGCTTTGGACCTTCTTGTTGCATTTTTTTGGCAATGTCATTCGTTTGGGTTATGGTTGTATCTTTCTTGTCGTAGGTCCCGCCGGTCGCCTGCGTGTCCTCTCGTTCTTGGATCGTGAATTGTCATCAGCACTCCCCACAAATTAGCTTCCATGTTGAAATCTTTACGGGCTCCTGCTCACCCTTCATGCTCACCACATCCCTTTGCCTCTCTTCTCTCAATTTCGATCATGGGACTCCTACAAAAGTTGGACTCGGACAATATTCTCTGTACTAATACTTAGTTCTCACTCACCTCCACCCTTCGAATTATCCCATTCGCTACATCAACCTGTGCTCACTATAGTGATCTGAGCTCCACCCTTCATTGACATCGTTCCAGCACAGATTATATATTCTCACTGCATTGTTGTCTTCTATGTTACAATTGTACATATTACGCCTTTTCTTGTCTAATCGTTCTTGTGTGTACCTTACTAGACCGCATATGCATACTTGGGCTTGTCATTGTTCGTTGCAGTGTACATTTTCATTGACCTTGGTTTATTTCTATTCGAGATCTCGGTGGGCCAATATTCCGGATGGTTTTCATCGACCGCAAGGGAGACGATGCATGAGTTCTGTGGGGTTATCATCGAGAAAGGCCTCCACCCAATCCTTATGCCAGACGACACCTCAGCAGCTTGCATCGCTTTCACTCAGAACTTGACCCAGAAGACAGTAAAAGCCGACGCGAAGAAGTACGAGAAGGTGACTAAGTTCCTAGTCATTCGTAGAGCGCCCACCCTGGTACAAATTTTGTCGGGATTATCACCACGGCGAGCAGCGACTAAAGTTATCAGGCGTAGTACGACGGAACGAACTTGTGCATGAACTATAGGAATGGAGTCTAAAGCAACTAGGTACGATTGAAATGATGATCTCTGAGGTGATTCACCCTCTGATAGAACGCTAAAAGCCACGTTCGGACTCGAGCCATCTGGGAATTGGACTCAGGAGACGAGACTCGCACGACCGGGGACCAAGGCTGAAAGAACAGGGTGGATGTATCGGGAACATAGTCTGGAGGTTCATCATCACCTTGAAGGTCGTGTGTCCGTCTAAACTCACGGAACTCCTGTGTCACCTTCGCGACGGTGAACGACCACCAATCGCCCACTGTCGCCATCATGAGGAGAGTGTCTTGATGCCTCCAAGTTCCAACGTCTGCCGGTGAAGAAATAGCCAGCCTGATGATGAAGTGCGTGAGTGCATACGGATGAGAAACTGGTCAGTATGGGGCGACGCACCTGCTTCTTAGCTTGTTTCTTCGCCTCGCGCATGCCCAAGTCGAGGACGTCCTTGACCTGGCCTTGCGTGGTCAGTCCACTCCTGTAAAGTCTTGCACGCTGTGGGAGTCGCTTGTCCTCGATGATCATAGGAATCCACTCTCTATCTGCAGTCCAATGATGGGAGAGGAGACGGGGGACCCGATCGACGTCCGGCATCCCCGTCAACTGTTCGTGGTAGTTCTCGTCCGGCCTTATGAGGCATCTGAGCCCTTCCAGAAACCCAATGGCGAAGTCCACAACCTGGGATTCCATATCATCTTGACTGATCTTAGCAGTGGCGTTAGATTGAATGCTGGTATCCCAAGCATGGGAACGATCTTGACGCCGAGGGCGACCAGCTTGCGGAAAAGTATCAGCACGGTGCGTCGAGCCGGCCACCTCACCTTGGGGGATAGATTCATCGACTGTCACCAGCGCAGAGGTCGGATCCTCCCAATAAACATAGTCGCCCTGCTCAGTCCATTGATTCGACACATCTCGCCCAGTTTCCGTGAAACTGCGTATCCACGATGAAATTTCGAGGGGTAACATAGGACTGGACGATCCATCTTGCTTCACCTCCTTCTCCTCGTAGCCCTTGTGTGCCTTATTCTGTCGCCAAAGATTGAACTGAGGAAGAATGCAGAACCGTCCAGGGTCGATACTATTGACGAGTCTTTGTGCTTCGGACAACCAGAAAGCATACCACCGGTCCTCGAGATTACGAAGATTGAAACGGTAATCGCTCGCCATAAGTAGTGCACTGATAGACGATTGTTTGGCTAATCGAAGGCCCTCGCTCGTCTGGTTGACGCTAGCGGCTACCTGACTATGAAAGTATCGGAGATGATGAGCGGTTATCGTGCGTCAATGATAATAGCAGAAAAAGTCAGACGAACGTACCGAAACCAAGCGCTGAAAGAGAGTTCCATTTCTCTGCCCAAGTAGAGATCAAGGTCCCATATGATATCGACATCCTCGATTGCACGCCCACGATGACGAAATCCGCTGCCCGACGTTGGGAGTGGTGAGGTCCTTGGAAGTGGTCTAGGACCCCGAGGATGACGCGGCATATAAGCAGCCATGGCACAAGGAATGAACAGAAGGGTGAGGAGGGTGAAAGCGGTAAAGGGTAGTGTATGCAGAGCTGCGTGTTTATGTAGGTCTGGAGGATGAGAGACCCCATAACAGTCACTCTTATCCTTTGACAACAAAGGATGCAGGGTCACTTGCGGTTCTTTCTCGATTCCATGGCTCGCGTGTCTGGTAACTTAGGAACTACTAAGTAGTAGATGGCACCGGTGCTGCGTCTGGACACAGCTCAGCTGTGTCTGGCACTGTGACTGTCTGCTAGTACTGAAATCAGAGCGTTTCAAATCAGGGCTGGTTCTGTTTCGGGGAAAGTTTATCCAAATGAACGATCAAGGCAAAATCATGGCACGGTAGAAACGGAAGGGGAAATTGGAACAAAAGATTGTCGGCCCAAAGGAGCAAAAGACAACGACACTTGAACGACACCGACACCGCGCTGGACCCGTGTGGCCGGATAACGCCGTGTGCACACGTGGGGTGATGCTTATATAGGCGAAGTTGAACTTTCGACCGGCACATCACCTCTGCACGACTTGCTCATGGCATCCGAACTCGAACCCCGCAGTATTCTTTTGCAGGAGCCCCTTAAACAGGTAAATACGTTTGTCTCTTCTACATGCTGGTCTGACGCAAACATCACCATAGGCGCACTCTCAACGAAGTACCTTTGTGATCCCACCATTCGAGCTGCCTGACCCAGATACTCCTATCGACTTCCCTCACTTCATATATTACCCTCCTATCAATCCCTTATGTGCAGTCAACAACGATCTCGCTCACCGATCTAGCACATTGCGTATGCCAAAATACATGGGTCAGAAGAACCTGGCGAGGATCTCGGCCAAACAGCGTGATCGCAACCGCTTCGTCCTTGGATATCCCTTGGACCGTCGACGCGTGTTGCAGCGAGGGATGTTCGAAGGGTTTGCCATCGATGCGGTCGGCGAGGATAATGCGACAGAACGTTTCGAGCTTCTCCTTGCGCGCATCTGTGGTATCGACACGGACAAAGACTGTCACCCTGTGCTCATGGCGGATGGTACTTCGGCGCTTTGCGTCACCTTCGCGCAAAATTTGACTCGTGAATCCATGAGTGTAGACGTTGTGAAGTTGGATAGGGTGAAGAAGTTTTTGGGAACGACGGAACATCCGCGCTGGTACAAGTATGCCTGGGACTACTTCCACGATGATAGCGATGATGAAGGGTTCTAGGGACATGTCGTGCAATATTAACTTCTGTATGATGCATCTCAGCTCTTTCTCGTGCTCATCCTAACTTTCTCGAATGGCCTTCATCTGTATAACTAATACCGCTTCTGAGTCATCGTCTTGATATTGGACAATACTACTCCTGCTCTGTCATTACGAACAGTATGTGGCTGGATTACTTGACGCGAACTAACCCAAACGTCGCTACGCCTTCGACTCAGATTTGGCCACCGAGCTTCATTTCGCTCGTAAGTGACTCTAAGAAGCCCGGTGGTAGATACTATGGTGCGTTGAAGCTTCTTGGTTCCGACTTGGAGAGTGATTTATTTTAGACATCATCTTTGGGGCGAACAACGGGGAGGTAGGATGGCGTGGGAACAGTCTCAAAGAATGGCATCGGTACCGACATGACAAGGCAGACAAAAGGCAAAGACCTGCGAGGACACACTGTACATGTGGCCGATCGGGGCCGTCGTGTGCTACGCGCGATACCTCCCGATCTACCACTTCACTCGACACCGTCATCATGTCCCAAACCTCCACACTCGCCCTGAAAGAGGTTCAAAAACATGTAGTCAGCTGTCCTGTTTCCCGTTTCTTCTACGTTCGTTCCACTGATTATGACATGCCTTCGCCCGCAGGCGCCGTCTATCGTAGTTCCACCCTTCGAGCTGCCTGATCCGAATATCCCAATCGATTTCCCTAACTTCATCTGCTATCCCCCTATCACCCCCATCTGCGTCATAAACACCGATCTTGCTCACCGTTCGAGCACAACTCGGAGGCCCAAGTGCATGGGTCACAAAAATCTTGCTAAAATTTCGGCGAGACACCGCGATCGTCACCGCTTTATATTAGGGTATCCGTTAGACCCTCAGCGTGTCCTACAGCGAGGGATGTTCGAAGGCCTTGCCATTGACGCGATAGGGGAAGTGAATGCGTTCGATCACTTCGAGCTCCTTATCCAACGAATCTGCGGCTTCAACACGGACAAAGACATCCATCCGGTCCTCATGATCGACGGGAAGATGGCACTCTGTGTGACGTTCGCGCAGAATTTAACGCGTCAAACAATGGGTGTAGATGTAGTGAAGGTTAACAAGGTGAAGAAGTTCCTGGGCACGACGGAGGAACCGGGGTGGTATAAGTACGCCTGGCATCATTATCGCGACGAGAGTGACGATGAAGGATTTTAAAGAACCCGCGGCGGGATATATCTCGTCTGAGCTATTTTTCGGGGGTTTTATATCTATATGCACTTATTGAGCCAACCTAGCAGCACTGCTCAAGGCCCTTTGTCGAGTACTTTTCGTCTGTTTGCTTAGCCTTTGATCCCAAAGTTCATAATATTGCTCATATATCCACCAACCTTACCGTCCCGGCCTGTATACTCAACCGTGATCATGGTGTGCGTCCCTTTAGGAGGTCGGGGGGCAGATGTGCCACGATAGGCCTTTCGAATACACGCGGAACCTTTTGTCTTTGGATCTCCGGGAATCGATAACATGTTCACATCCATCTCGCACGTAACTAGAAGAGCACGCAACTTGACCCGAGAAAGTAAGTCCGCAGGCAGACATTAGAAGAATATATATATTATTCAATGCTCAATGCAGCGATCAAAAACCTCATTGTCTTCTTAAAGTATCGAGTCACCCATTTAGACGGACGCCGTCGTCGCGGCCCAGTAACCGTCGGCCGCATCGACGGATGATGCACTCGCTTGAGCGCTGGCGGAGAGCGTGACGGTGGGGAGATAGCCCTGAGGATTGCTACGACGACCAAACTTTGTCAGAATCGAACCCCGAGGTTCTTAGTTGAGAAAGAAACGCACACAGAGTTCCCGGTCGTAGCCAAACCAGCCGCTGAGGTGTTCACGCCGATTGTGATGTATCCGACCAGTCCATCTTCATAGTCATCGCCTAGCTTCTCCACCGAGACGACAGGGGAATATCCAGCAGTGGCAGCGACAGTGTATACGCTATCGACGTCGGTCAGGGTGCGATTAAGGGTGGAGAGGTGGTCGGAGTAAGGAGAGGTCTCGTAGACCGCGTTAATGAGGTCTTCGTCAAAGAAGATCTGGCCTATGTGTTGGACCGAAGCATCGCCGTAGGAGTAATCATCGTCGGTGACGTTGGTCTGCACAGTGACGTGGATGTGGGTGGTCCGGGTGATATAGTAGCTGGACAGTATGATGGGTAGTATGAGGAAAAGTGGAATGTGGCGATATATGATGATGTTCCTCACCCAGGGAAGATGGTCAAGAATTCAGCCTGGAAAGGGAAGGGTCAGAAGGGTCCCAAATCCGCATGAAAATTGGGCACCTACAATGCCGGTTTCATCAGTAGACATGACCCCCTACAATTACAGAGAACGTTAAAATTGGGAAACAGGCAATGTGAAGAGATGGGAGCTCACACGAAGGAACGTTGTCTCATCGGTGGTGCCGTCGGCTTGCGTGGACCAACCATCCCTCAGCTCTGCGGTATTGGGGTCAATGCCCGTGAAGCCACCATAGGTACCACTTGCATTGCTGTTGAAGAACGTTCAGCCAGAGCATGGATGGCATGGGCATCAATTATACATACCAGTGCTGACCATTCGGGAACAACGTTAGCAGCGTTCATCACTTGAGAATACGAAAATAGCGAACCCAGATGCCAAGGTAAGCGTTGGGAAGAGGCTCGCAAGTCTCGACGTCGATAACTCCGATGTCAAGGTAGAAGTCGATACCCTCCTGACCTTCGCGAACATCATGGCGATAAAGCTCGCCCTAATTGGCGGTAAAGTCAGTAAACAACTAGAGACAGTGGCAGCTTGAACACGAGGACGTACGTCGATACCGTATGGCCCCCAGATGGTGTCGGGGGACAGCACGCAAGTGTCGTTCTGAATCGTGGCATATTTGTTGCGTTCTTCGAGGCTCCTTGCCTGAATAGGTGTAACATGCCCATTCGCCATCCTCCTCTCGAAGAGGCTAGCACGGCGACGCTCGAGCGTGGCCTCACGGCGAGCGCTGATTTGCTCAGCGCAAGAGCCAGTGGCAACACCGATCTCGCGCTTGGCGATCTCGGGCGTCATACGTTCTGGATGAGCTGTCGGTGAAGAGGTACTTGAGTGAGCAGACGCCAGAAGTCATATGAAGGATATTGATGAACATACCGAAGACAGTAGCGAAGGTAACAGCGCCGAGAAGCGTTACAAAGGGAGTGTAGATCATGTTGAAAATTAGTGCTAGGGGTGAGCGAAAGAATGGATAGGTGCAAAGAGAGAGCTTTAAAAGATATATGGGTGACCTTGCAAGGGATCCGGTATATATACGATGCGATCATCGACGGAAGGCTGGCTGCGGCGTCCTTTCTGGCCTCCTTAAACTATGTATCCATTCGTTTGGAGGCTGTGTAGCAAGGTTCCAGCGACCACAGCATGGTCGATGAAGTGACCAGAGCTTGAAATCCTAGCAGACAAGGATGCCAAGAACAAGCTGGTCCATACATTACGACAGAGGGCTGCGAGATGACTGCGGCGAGGTCGAAATGCCGTCGATGGCAGAAAGAAGGCGAGGCTATTTGGCCCCAATGATTTGCGTCTGCCCAATCAAGAGTGTTGAGTTATGCAGCGCCTGGCAACTACAATGTGCCGACACATCCTCACTGATATCTGCAACGAATCGTCGAAAGAGTACGGATTGTTAGTGTTAACGATTCGTCAGCATACTACTGGTTGCCAAGTTCGGGGGAGAGTCAGTATTAATGAAGACCGATGATGATCTCTGAGAGAGTCATTATCCTATCGTTTCCCTATGCAATATGTTCGAAACTCTAGCGAAGGGGAAAAGCAGAATCATGGAAGGAAAGAAGAAAGGCGAACAAACTCGAAGTTGACGCTGGCCTGCCGAAGGCTGCCGTGGCGGAGATGCAAAATGACGGTCCGCGCATCACGCAAGTTCATCCTTCGTTTCTGAAATTCAGTACTCCGCAAGTTCTACTATTTTTCACCTCGAAATATGACCATGGCTCCTCCCTGGCGTCTTCCCCGAAGCTCTTGTGTCCTTTATCTGCTCGGCGATCCTTACGGAAGTTGAGGTCGCAGACGACGAGCGAGCTGGTCTGAGGGCAAAGAGCGAATTTGAAATTGAGCTCGTAGGAAGTCCATTGTTCCCCAAAAATGTCAGCCGTGGCGAGAGCCGCGGACCGGCTTTTCCCTGAACTAGCACTCTCGTCATCGCCTCTCCGCCTCCTTCCGTCCTCTCTGTCGTGACACGTCTTCCTTCGCTGTTTCTCTCCAACTTTTCTACTCCCCACGTCACGGTCTTCGAGCTCTAATCCATCAACAGGGATGGCTAGTGTTCCTTCGGCAGTCGTATTCAAAGGCTTTCCTTCCTCCGGCCACTCGCAGGTGCGTATCTGTGATAAGTTCACGTAATGTGTCACTCAACGCGCAAGTTTACAGCTTCTTGCCCTCTGGGCTCGACTTCCTCATGCGTGTCAGACACGCTGCCTGACGTTTCTCAGCTCACAGACGCTATCGTCTTTGACCTGCACCTCGAAATCGTTCTGGGTCCTTGGGATTCCTCTCCTGTTTAAGCATATAGTTATATCCAGATACTCTCAGATTCGGGCATTCTCATCACATCTCCGCCAAATCGAAGACGAGCTACATTGCTCGCCCCTGGTACGCACTTTGACAATCGAGCTTGATCAGAAGTGGCCGGCCTCCTTCGACATCGGGAGGTACATGGGGGAGGTGCTTCGTCGTTCCACCAACATCGAATCGTTAACGCTTCGGGGCGAAGCAGCAAGTGTTTTGTCCTATGCGTCGCAAAGCCTCCTCTCCTTTAAGAAGATCCCCTTGTACATATCCCTTCAAAACCCCGCGCGTGTCGACATCGACATTATCGACGGCGATGACGTTCGTAGCCTCCAACACCTCCGATGCATCAAGACATTGTCACTTCGAGCCAAGCACGGCGCATCGTCTCCCCCGGTGGCCACCGAATCCATCCCCGTCGACCTATCCCGGGCCATCCTTCAATCGGAATGCACGCTACAGACACTTACCCTGGACATGCCCTGGCTCCCAGCACATCTACGCCCCGACACTTCATCGCGCGACGTTTTCCAGGCGCAGAATGTGCACACTGTGGTACTCCATGGGGCCGAGATGAACTACACTTCCCTCTATCGACTTCTCTACGCATTTCCGAATTTAGAGAGGCTCTCCATAAAAGGATCAAAATTGGCGAGCACTGCCTTTGAAAACCTGTATCGTGTATGTCAGAGACCCCTTCGTATTGTTCCTTACGGTCTGCGCGCGGTCTCCCTCGATGTCCGTGTCCTCGTCGGAGCTGGTGTGCTGCCGGGTTTGCGATACGTTGATTTAACAGTAGGAACACCGATATCTTCGACGACGCCTCCCCACCCCATTGTCTATGCACTGAGGCTCACCCCAGTCAAAGGGATCGCCCTAACGCTATCTCAACTGGACTCATTTACTTGGTTGAGTGAATTTATCTCGGGCCTAGACTACTTGGAGTTCGTCGATGTTAGGGTCATTTTGGGGGGTTCTTTGACCTGGAAGAGGGCGATGCAGTCGGTAATTATTTCGTTTTGATCTCGTTCAATGTGTGCGCGCTACTTCGTGGCTGATACATGTATCCATCATCTATCACGCTAGCTTCTTCCCCGTATAGACCAGGTTCCCAGATCTATACGGTATCTCTCGATTTCCATCCAGCCGGCCAACAAGGCACAAGTGGATGACGAATCGCTTGCTCTCCAAGTTGTTCGCCAATGGCTAATGTTAACAGCTGGTACCATCAAGGTCGTCGAGATATATACCAACATTCCGAATGGTCAGCGATCCTGGTGGACGGTTGATACGCGTGAAGAATGTGACCTTGAGGGTCCGGGCCCAGTCCGCTGGAAGACTCGGACAATCGTGGAGCGGGTGCGACGCGAGGAGGCTTTGGCCCTTAAGCAGAAGTATACGTACGTCCGACGCGTTTTTCCTTATTTTACGGTTTAGAAGATTGACTTGCGATCTCAATATCAGCGAACAGTTCTTCTGCCTCGAAAATCCTTCCGACGAGAGATCGTCAAACTCAACCGATGCACCCGACACCCACCTTACACGGGCCACGAATACTCGCCCAAGTGTTTAGGATTTGGGATGTGTGGGTGGACGATACATTTATTGCTATCGTATTGCTATCATGCTGTCTTATTGTCTGCCGTTTGCGCTGCTCTACTATGCTAAGTTTCTCGCTTTGAAATTGTATCCACTTTCAGTATGCATATACATACTATGTCCTATCCTTTCATTGCTTGTGCAAGCGATCGAAAACGTGCGCCAGTATGGTCAAACGATATCCCGTTACGGTGTCCACTAAGTGCCGCGCCAGGCCAATAACGTGCTACAATTTCCCGCTCCCGTGCAGTGCCTTCGCCGTCGTGGTCATCACCTAGGAGCATAGACCCCACCTGACACGACCAGCATCATTCCCTTCCCGTTCCATATCACGCATGATCTGCACACGCCCTTCATGCTGCAACCACTCCAAAGCCTCTTGAACAGACCAAGCTCCCACTCTCTCCCATCGGCTGTTCATCCTGTTCAAGTACTTCGTTATCTCCTCTTTCGTGGGTCCACGGGAACGGGCATCTCGAACTTCCTTCTTGCCTGCATTGTGACGATGCCTCGAGGTAGTGGAAGCGGTGGACGCCGAGAAAGTCATTGCCCGAATGATGGACAAGACTTGCATACCGAGATACGATGGTGTCAGCGGGATATACGACTCTTCATCCCCTTGAGGATCTGATAAATCGCCCTCGTCTCGCCTTTCGCCGCCAATACCATCGCCGTTGCGGGTGGAATACATGGTCGACAACGAAACATTCGTCGATACCGATGCGTCTTCTGTCGAGGTGCCAGCTTTCCCTGACAGCGCAGCGAGTCCGTCGCGGTCATAGTTGCGACATGGACTTGTCGAAGGAGAAACAGGGATGACGGGCCAGACGGGCCCGTCCCAAAGAACGATGCTCCCTTCTTCGAAGAGTTTACGAATCGCGACGACAAAGAGCCGTTTCATCTTGGGACGCAAACCCTCTTTGCCATGCTTTGACGACGAGCTATCATAGGCCGTTGCCTTGCCCTTGTCACTACGATGCGAGGACCGCAGATTGGCAGTCCCGGTTGACTTCTCCTGGGATGCGAGATGGGCTTCCTTCTCTCGTCTTCGTGCTTCGGCTTTGACGACTCGGCGAGCAAGCTCTGCCAGTTCGGGGACTCTACGGAGGTAGGATAGCGTAAATCCGAGAACGTGCGGTGCTTGCAAGCCCTCATCCTCGTCGTCGCGATCGCAGTGAGCTGCTCTTGGCGTCCAATTTGGATCGTAGGCCTTCGCCCTCGGTGTACTCTCTATATCCCGCGACCCACTGGGACGACGTTCCCTTTGAGTTCGCGTCGTAGAGTCATCACGCCCACCGCCCCCCAGACCCAGAGAAATACAGACAGAGTCCGCGTCAGAGGTATCAGAATCTCCATCCCCGTCGGCCTCAGAAGCGGTGACGGGGGTTGGAGGAAGCGTATTATCCATATAGTGCTTCACGTAGATGCGGAATGTATTGACGGTCAGTTCGCGGGTCCTGAGACGAGAGGGATTACGAAGGCGAATGGGAGACTAAAGAAACGAAAGAACACAACGAGTCAGTATCGGCGCATGATGATAGGCATACAGCGAAGTGAACGGGAGCGTACCGCAGAACCCGCATGCGACCTTGAGGGCGAAGATATTACTGATTTAGTTGGAGTCAAGTATGTGATAGAATGACCCGATGGCGATGGATCGACGTTCTCGGGCGGTCGTTTCTTCGGTGTGGACACTGCTGGCAATGCTGATGAGACCTGACGTTGATGGTTCGACTTCGTCGGAGAAAGAGCAACTCGTGCTGGCGCTGCTGGTATTGGCGGCGGCGGTATTATGAAAGGTTCGGTGAGGTCGTAATGCTCTTGGTGCAGTGTAAGGACCCTTTGCCAATGTTCGAGTTCGTCGTTGACAGATGTGCATCTTTCTACAAATTCCAACAGAGGGAACATCAGTCACTTAGATGACATTGTGTTCACACAAATGATAGTGAGGTGTTACCCATTTCATCGATGTGAATTTCCTTCGACCCTTTCCACGAACGCACTATGCCCGTGATACGTGCCACATATCCCCTCTCCAATTCAGCATTTTCCGCATTGGCGTCCCCTGCCTTTGAGTAAGGCATTGTGAATTCATCGTCAGGCCCAGGAGAACGACTCTGGCCTTGGCCTTCCGATGACGTGCGCTTGCGTTTCGTCCGATATCCGTCCTTCTTTGGCGATTGCGGTGGTTGTTCGGGATTTTGTATTATGCAGTTAATGATGCCTGTGCCATCGTCCACTGAGAAGAGAGACGGATGAGAAAGTGGTTGCGGGGAGCGGAGGGGTTGAATAAGTGTCAGGGAGAGAGATGATGGACATACCGATGTAAAGAGTTCGCTTCTCATACGCTGTGGCCCCAAGCACAAGGCCGATGATGAAGACGGAACGGCAAGGCACACGGCCAAGCATAAAGTAGTCACCTAGACAGGCAGCCGCGATTGCTTGATATTTTATTACCGTTTAAAATAGAAGGAAACGCACCTTTCTGTTTTCCATCTGTGAGACGCAAGACATCGCTAATGAAGCAGGGTGCGACGGATGCTTTCGTGAAAGTCCATTTCCAACTCTCAGCACTAGTTGGCAGCTTGACCGGAGACTGTTTATCCTGAATAGTGTCTAGTGGTGAGTTTGTGTTCTTGCGAGGGGTGCTAGGTGGCGAGCCTATATGTTGGTACACTCTCTCAGGTGGCGGAGATGATACCGTTCGACGGCGACGTTTTGCTTGTGGCGGTTGTTCATTACTTGCTCTTTTGAGCTTCGGCTTCAGGGTGACTGCGCCGGCTGAAGAATTGGAAGAGTGCATGAACAGACTGTGATGATACTTTCGGTTGTGTTGAGGGAGTCGGTCTTGAGCTTGAGTCTGAACTTCTCGGATTGGAGCGGCGTGTAAGTATGTTGATGCTGGCGGTTGAATGTATAGAAATGTGGTTGCCGTAGATAGTTACTAGATACGACAAGACAGTATGGGAAATCGCTGTCAACTCGAGATCATTGTGCACGGTTGAGAAAAGAAAGCGACTTGCAGATCAGGTGGTGGACAAGACCGGATATGATTCGGAGTGAGCAGAAGCGTGGGAACACGCCGCAGTCGAACGCGGTCACGTGAAAGTCACGCAGGAGGTGGCGTTGTCATAGTTGCGGCTTGCGCCACAAGTTAGATCCCCTCTGTTCCTTTCCTCTCCCATCTTCTGCAATTCTTCTGTTGACTTTCTACTTTCACTATGCGCCGGTCATACCGATCTCATGCTGGTTTTCTCGATGTGGGTCACCGAGCTTCACTCCACATTACGCCCCCAGGTTATGACGAGTAAAATGTAACTCGAAGCAGCCACGACGACAAAATAACCTCGGGCAGGCTTTACTTGGTTCGTTATTCCTTGCTGCACCCCGTCGACGATTACCTGACTCTTCCAGCGTCCTCACACTCTCCGTTCATGCCAGTGGCGCTCACTTCGTGCCCGGTCAGTCTTATCCGGAACTCCGCAAACGTCGAATTCCTCGATTCCGATCCGCAAGCGAAGGGTTCCGTGGAAATGCTATATGCATGTCTCAAACCTAGCTAGTGCGGGTACATTGAGCCATATGCCCTCATGTAGGCTCTGATGGCGCTGTAATCAAGCCGGCGTTAAAATGGGCAATTCCTTGTGCGTTTTCACTTTGTTTGTTGCGAAATTAAACCATGAGACATCTCGGACCATCAGAGGCTCAGCGAGCTCCTTAGGGGAGCCAACATTCTCCACGCCGGTGACCACCCTCCGTGCAGGTTTCTGCCTTTTGTCTTATCGAAGTTGAGCTCCGTTGTAATTATTGATAGAACTCGTGCCTTCGAACGCCGGGTACAGATTGCCCAAGGTTTGAAGCTGTCTTACTTGTCCTGGTGATGGCACTCTTACGAGGTGTTAGAACCTCCCTGGTACGACCAGGTCTCAATCCTCGCAGAATTCTGCTCCAGCTAGTCCTGTTTTCCTCGCCATTCTTTCCCCGTCTTCGATGCGAGTTTGTCTGCCAAGTGTGATGGTTCCCAAGTATGCACGACCCACTTTTACATGTCGCTGTATCAGCTGCGTCGTTGGCCATTTCGGTCGTTGCTTTCACAGGAGGTGCGAACTATCGTACCGCGTTTACTTCGGTGTACCCACGCGAGAATAACGCTTGCCGTCTTTGTCAGTAGATGTGAACAGTGTGTAACACACTGTCCCATAGAGGCAGAGCACCCGTCTTGCATCTGCCTCGTTCACATTGGCTTGACTCCGACCATTGAGTTTACGTGTCGGTCGCAATTTGGGGAGTGTTCACTCTAGTTGTGCGCATAGTATTCCATCCTAAGTCCTCCCTGCTTGATAAGAAAAAGAGCCTTGTCGCCCTTGTTTGGACACCGCCTGCTTCATAGCAGTCACGCCGTGATAGGGGCTTTCCGAACTCTCTAACCCGTACAATGCCCAGGGATCCCACACTCATCTCTGAGTTCATCTCGCTACGCCATTTACCCCTTACGCATTATCGATGACCGGCATAGCTCGAGTGCGTCGGAGTTTAGATGCCTACGGTAGATGAACTTGGCTCTTTTGTTGGGTCGCCTGGAAATTGATCATGAGGGCGTGGCAAGGTACAGAGCATACAGATATGGTAATTTCATGATCTGTCTTTGGGTACATTGTCCTCATCTATGAACAAAGCATGGTGGATGGTTTCGTGCTCGATGTTTGAAATAATAGACCGGTGCCTTTCACCTGTGGAAGAACTGTGACGGTACGCGCTCGCAGCGAGAGAAATTCTCAAACGATGGCACTCAAGCACCATCCACTTTTCGGCTTCATGTCAACCAAATGACCTTGATCTTAGACTCCTAAGACCTGGTCTGGTCCAGTCTGGCTCTTAGCAAACTACACCACCAATCATTCTCGAGAAGATCAAAGGTCTCCAAGGCGATTACCTTATATCTTCCGACACGTCCTCCTCAAATGCTCTCCGCCTAGAGGAAGACAGCTCAACTCCATGCCTTTCATGCGTACTACCGGTAACTTCGTGCCAGTCGTATGAATTTCCGAGATCCTACTTTCACTAGATTTTTCTGGGTAGAATCCTTCATTCCCGAGACACCCTATACCCACGACTAGCTTGGTCTTTGCGGAGAGGACAAAAGGAAGCTGGGTACACTCTGACTGCGGTTGACTGGTGTGTGTTGTCTCCCGCTCGGATTCTGAGCATCTCAGAACCCACAGTTGCATGCTGTTTGATATTCCGACAGCTATTTCTGCGGTTATGTCGGGGCCCAATGTTACGTGACATGATGGCGTTCACGTTGGCGTTCGCTATTCTACATCGTTTTCCCACAAAAGTTCTCATCCTGGCTCATGCATGTACGTTGTTCGCAACACGACCTCGTACAGGCATTTGAGCAGACTCCCAGAGCCATTCGCTGCCTTCAGATGCTGCTGCATTGTTCGCTCGTTTCCGATGCGCTACCTGGTAAATATTCCCCATCCGGCTCGTCGTGAGCGCGGGGTGGGGTTGCTGGGCCAAACCTTCTAATTGTGCTGGCTTCATGATTTGATGTGAGCTCAACTCTTTGTCGGTCTCATCGGTTCCGCCGAGGGAACGCCCGTTCTCCGTGGCCCATGCAAACAGCACGTATTAGCGCATCGGCTGTAAGTGCGAGCTACCCCAAACCTTCTCCACCCTCAGAATCTCCAGAGCGTAAGTGACGCCGTGTCATACTATATCTCCAACGCCGTGGTCGGATTGATCAACTCGTGTGATATCTGGCAGACGGCTGGATTCTCATCCCAGCCTTGAGGTCGTGGTGATGTCACAGTTTTGGGGCTACTTTCAGATTATTCTGGCTTGATGGCCGGGAGTAATCAACCATATAGGTGCTGATATTGGTGAGGTGGGTACACTCCCAGCCTTGCGCTCTTCCAGAATGATCTGAAACGCCCATGAGTTGTTTGGTTTCCATTGCCTTACACGCGAACCTCGCCCGTCCTACGTTCTCGGTGGGCGTGAAATTTTACGGCGTAATATGAGTCCGTTGTCGTTGCTCGACATTCGCACAGGCTCGCTTAACCTTTTGGTAAGTTTTGACTGTGGTGTATCTCAGTTGCTCTCCCAAGCAGCACTCTTTGGTGGGCAACACGACGCGGACCCCCTGAACGGCCCCCTTCCCGTCTGTTTACGCCACAGCTGGTCTCCCTCTGACACGCCTTTTACACCGTGTCAAAGCTGTCTCTCTTACGATCGGGGACCATACCTTGTTAGCCCACATGTCGCAGTACTGGTGGGGCGGCTCTGACCGCGGCTCTCCTACTATGACAGATCATGCCGTTCCATGGCGGCGAGCGGCATGCTTCTTCAGATCATGAAGCTAGTAAGGATGACGGCTTCTGAGGGGCCATTAGTGTCCATGCTTTGAATGCATGCGATCCGAACAGCATCGACTGCAGGATGTTCATCCCTGCTCGTCATCATGTCCGAGAAGGCATGACCATTTTTGTGTCTGTGCCTTGAAACTGACCAACATACATCGTCCTGCGCCCGAAATCCAACGATCATGGACGCGATTGTTCATGGTCGCCGTGGGGTCGTGTCACTGCTTCGCATCAGGATCCGCACACCAATTTGTCTGCATATGCATCTGTTTCCGAGCCTCCCTGTCGGGCTTGTAGAACGACTTATGGTAAGAGGTGTTGTTCGCTTTTTATTTCTGGTACAATTGACAAAAACAGTCTTGGGAGGGGGGGGGGCGGCAAACCTTCAAGTAGCTGATTCTTATCATACTAGATGTGAACAGCTTTGGCCGGGCTGCGCCGCTTGAAATAGTGTGTGCTATGATGTTGCGATGTCAAGAAAGAATGATGCTCAGTGAGCGGAGTAGTATAGACAGTGAAAGGCTTCTCGTAGGCGTAGGTTGAACTTTCCCGCACCACATGTATCCCAAGACAACAGGTTCAGCTCTGCCTCTGCTCAAACATCTCATGCGTTCCACAAAAAGTTTGATAAGATGTGTCATGATATTCGGCTGGATTGGGCTGGATGGTTATTTTGGTAAGTGGGTCTTAATATACGCCGTTACCGCGTTCATACCGGGCTGCTATCGTGGGGGATCACTCATACGGTTTTCCTTGACTGAGCGACATTTGAGCGAGATAGTCAACGATTCATGATCATGAAACTGACATAAGTATACTCATGCTGGAGCGACTCCCGGTACTTACTGTATGGACTGTGCTCATAAGCAACTCGCAAGTACTGTTGCAGCAGAAATTCACAGAAAGTATCAAGAAAGTGAGGTAACCTGAGGTAACGTACTCGCAGTTTCTCGTACAAAGACTCGGAGACGCGCACAAAGGACTGTTCCAAAAAAATCCTTTATAAAATGCAGCGAAAAAATAGTGTGTGGCGCCAGCTTCACCGTGGGAATGATGACGATTTTCGGGAATCACCGTGTTGCGGTCCAGCGAGCGGCTCATCGTCGTCAGCGACAACCATTCCCTCCACCTTTTGTCGCGTTGGCGTTCCTATTCTCCACATTGTTGTTGACATTTCGCTCTGTTTTTGATTGTTAAAGAACATTGAAGATGGCACCGTTCAAAGGATCTCGCAAGACTGTGGTTCGTCACCATTTCTAAGATTGCCCGTTTTAACACTGACTTTGTTGGTGGACGCGTATTACCTGCTATAGACGCGCTCTACGGACGATATCTGGGTACATGATCTTGCAGAAGATGCGAAAACTTCGAGGCCTACACCAACTGCACCGGCGGCGGCAGTAGCTGCAAACACCAGGCTCGCGGTGTCGAATGTGCATTATGAGATCACGGAGAAGGATTTGACGGTACGTCCCAATCCAATCTGCCTACCTATCTGACTATTTTTGACTCCTCGTGACATGTTTGGCAGGCCATCTTTGGTCAGATAGGCACGCTCGTCCGTGAGCCCTTGATCAAGGTTCGGTCCTACTCCCAGATGTCCCACCATACACGTCCCAGTCCCTTCGAGTCGAGATGTCTACCCTCTCCTGTGTCACGGTGATGTCAATGCGCGACGAAGACTGAGAGGAATTGAGGCTCGAACGGATCTAAAGACTGTCTACACTTCCGTTTGCAAGTCACTGGCACGCATGTTGACGCTTTCCTCCTTGTTCACCTCCTCGACCGTCGGTATCCCGGACGATAGTACGACCGCAGTGGACGCTCGACGGGTGTAGCGATCATCGCCTTTGAGACCGCGAGCGAAGCGGCCAAAGCAAAGGAGCAGTTCCAAGGTGTTCTCGCAAAGGGTGAGTCACACTATCTTCATCTCTAGATGTTCTTGCGGTCATATTACTATTTCCTACGATGCTCGTTATCCTTTACACACACTGCCTCTGGAGTGAACCTTGCACACCGTGTTCTTGGGTACATCGTATACTTTTGCGGACTGTCTTCTGCCATATGTTCGACAGTTTAACAGGCTACAAAGCGCCGTTTTCTCTATTTCTGGACCTCCCCCATCGGTGTCTTTTGGTAGCAGAGAAGGCAAGCCAAAACCCTCTGACCTGCCATGGGTCTCGCCTTGGCACCAGCCTCGCCAGTCATGTTTCACATTCACCAAGGCCTAGACTAGCCCGCACTTTCGTAGTGGCCCAATTTCTTCCCCTCGAACTCTGATTGAGATCAATCACTTTGGATCTCACTCCACTCACTCTGAGTCGGAGTTATCGGGACACGAGAGGGCCATATTTGGCGAAGCGTTACGCTTCAACTTGTCTTGGAAGCCAGGCCGAGTGTGGTGATGGTCTGTTTTTCTCTCGCATGAAGAGCGCAGATGTGGGTTACGACGAGCAGATGTCGTTTGCTGAACGATGAGATTTTGAACACGTCATATGTTACAAAGTGCCGACGGTGTCTCGTTTCCATGGACTGTGGTGCAGGGATATGCTTGCCGTACAGTGTGCGTGAATTATTCGATGTACCACCTCCCGAACATCGTCGGTGGTGGTAGGATTGATAAGGGTTGTGCCCAAAGCTTTGTCAGGCTGTGTCCACGATTTCTATATGGTCTCGACACATGCTGTGACTATTCCTGGCATACAGAATGCGCACACATCTCCATGCTCCTATGCTTGCGGGCTGGACGTACTTGTGTCCGAGTCTACGATGTCCTGTGTCTCGCACGCAGAACATCTCCGCTCACTTGAGTTTCCCCGGCTTTTTACCGTTGTGATGCATTGGTACGAAGGTTAACCCAACGTCCCGTTCCGCGGCATTTTTTCTTTACTCTCACTGATTCCCTGAAGTGCGGCCGTATATTGACCGATTACTCTTTCATCTACCTAGGCCAGCCTATCTCGATTGAATACGACACCCAAGGCCCTCCAATTCGCCGGATGCGTTCCGCGACAGTCCCCACAGGCACTCCAAGCGGGCCGAAGTCATCGTTGATGGCAAGAATGGGATTGGCAGGTGCGGGAGGAAGGGAGAAGGCGCCGCTGATTGCGAGGTTGGGTACGGCGGAGAAGAAGGCGAGAGATAGTGCCGTTGTAGCCGCGTGAGTAACTCACTTTTTTAGACGGATTCATCCGCTCGTCGTAGTTCTGTTCTGTCTCTTCCAAACCCACTGCTAACCTGTCTTATGCAACACGATTAGACGAGGCGGGCGCGCACCACAGGCTGCAGCACGTGGAGGCAGGAGAGGTCGGGGCGCTCCTGGGGGCGTCACGGCTGTCGCAGGCAGAGGTCCCAGGGAGAGTAAGAAGCCGAAGACTGCTCAAGAGCTTGATAGCGAGTTGGATGCGTTCATGGGTCCTGCGCCAGCTGCAGCTGCCGGCAACCCACCCGCAATAGCGTCGAGACTGGGGGTCGTGGCGGGCGGACAGCCAGCGGCGATAGTCAACGAGGACGTGGAGATGTCTTGAGTATCGAGCGTTTTGGACTCTTGTGGCTTACTTTTTCTTGTGCACACTGGAATGATTTTTTGGTTGACGATCGCAGGTTTCACTGTCGCGAGCACGTTTATTTCGTTATGTCTACTGCTCGTCGACGGTTCAGTCGTTTCCGATGACATCAATGAAGGTCTTTTCCCATCCCACGCCGAAGGTCTATGGCCCTCGCGCCACTCAGCGACATGAACATCGTAACCGAAACCATCCGGTAAGCGATGCAGAACAACCAACATCACAGATGACTCTTCCAACGATTCCTCGAGCCCTGTCAGCGAAGGCGCTCTGTATACGAGCATGCGGGAGCCCTTTCATCTCCGCCGCCGATTCCTCGAGCGCTCAGGCCTGTTTGCCTCCGCTATATCGCCGTGTAGGATATTCCGATCTTTCTTTTGCGCCAACCTCTCGGCGTGAGTTTGTTCTTTCCGACTTTCTTGATCTTGCCGTCACCAACTAAAAGTCAGTCCTCACGCGTTACTATTCAAGTCATCGTGCACCACTGTGACGCCGAATGCCCCTACACCCTATAGCCAGCCAGCCCTCCTTCGCGTGCCCCTCCTTCGAAAGGTTCGTCCTCCCGCCTAGCATCGAACCGATTGAAGTAATTCTTGCGGCGTTTGACGTTTTGTGCATGCGCCGATGCGTTATGAAGCATCATTTGGTTTTGGACTGTGCTTCGCGATCGGATCCGCAGAAGAAAGTGGGAACAGGCTTTCCTTGAGGCTCACCGCATTGTTGACGGATTGGCGACGCTGGACTCACGGTAGGGACACCGACTGTCGGCCTCCGGTTACTTAAAATAATCTTTGGAGCTCAAAGCAGTCACTGGTTGGGAGACATACCGAGAAGACTCGCTCAACTTGGTTCATTGAGTCAGTGCAAAACACTCACATCGCTATATCGGTCCTTATTTCCGTGGTCTAGCGATAGCGCTTTGAATACTACAGAGATGCTTTGCTCCGAGTAGTTTACACGCCGGAGCCGCACTTTGCCAGCCCGTGGGGAATGTTTCTTCTTCATGACCTACGGTACACGTCTGCGCGCTTGGTACCTTTCAAATTCGAGCCGCACAAGATGTTCCTACGCATCCACTCATTTCCGCTCGCGGGACTTTGCGGATGTCATTTTACTGTGTTCCTGCGATGTATGATGTGCTTCTGAGGCTTCCATGGACAGTGCCCAGCATGCTTCATTGCAACCAGACCGTGAGCAGAATATAATCTCACTGTCGGGGACGGCTTCCGCCGAGTTGGCAGAACGGATGAAAGAGCGGTGGCACATGGGATTGTGGCCCTGCGTGCGTATTTTATTGTTATGGAAGTCTGTGAACCTATCTCCATCGCGACTTATTGGCCGGGCAGTGTTCTCTGGTACGGCACACGACTTCTCGACAAGAAGTGTGCGTCATGGTAAGCAAAGCGTTGAGGTGCCATCTCCGAAGCGTGTGGTGGAAATGCACCGGTCGGTGGGTGAGCGATGGGCAACACGGTCTGTGGTGGCGGGAAGGTGGTTGGAGCGTAACGCTGCGCGACGTCAGACTCAGGATGTCAAGCCAGTATTGCCTACGACATAGGTCTAGTCTTGCGTCCCGATATACAGTCGTTCTTGTCGTCTGAGTCCTTAGTTTAGCTCATTCGTGCCTGTACCATCAGGCTATGATGCAACATCACGTTACTCATGCGCGGAAGTTGAGACGCAACGGTTGGAAAGGTCACCCGTTTGATGGACCATGGTGATAGTTGATCTATAGAATTTGCTGAGAAAGACGTTCTCGAGCAGCTTCGCAGGTGATGTTCATCGATCTTCTGGGAATTCGAGTCAATTGTGGAGGGAACTTGTGGAGAGGACTTCGGTGAGCCGGAAAATTTAGATGCGTTCTGACGTCGCAACTCGTGGCTCAACCTCTTCTGAAACACACAGAATGCTCTCGAACTCGAACTGGGGCTTGGACGCTCTGCCAGAATCGAAGAGTGGAATGGGGCGCACGACGTAATACACGAGGAGAGACGGAGAGCTGCTGCCTGTGAGTAACGTTCCCAGCCGTAACCTTCGTACCAGTACAGGTTATATATGTTTGTACAGATATGGCAGCTGCCGGGCACACAAACGTCCTTCCAGATCTAGTGAGTACGAATCTGAGAATCCGAGCAGTCCGCCTCAAAAACCCGCGACAAGAAGTTGAAGGTCACCGCTTTGTGGGCAGTGGGTGGAAGGTTGCGTGTGCCCTGTTGTTCCGCTCTTGGCGGAGGAGACGAGAGTGCTTTGTGTCCTATTTGGAAAGGCGTCCGTGCTTAGATGAATGAGAAGGGCGTAAAGCGGTGATGGGGGTAACTGTGGAATGTACATGAAGCTGGTCTGAACAAATGGATCTTGTCTCTAGAAAGAGAGACAACGATTGTGATTCGCATGTTTCGGCATCTCACGTGGGAGAACAATCGATTATTACCCATTTTTGGGGAGGACCAAGGACTTCTTTGTATTGTGGACGGAGCGCTGATTACGCCACATATTGAATTTCTGCATTCGCGCCTCGGCGCTTTGTCTCTTTGCCTTGAGTTGCCTTGAGGATGAACATCCCAAGTCCGATATCCCAAAAATGAAAGCCATAATACCTCACCAGCGGCTGGACCAGCAATTAATCTGAACCACTTCTCACAACAATGTGTGTTTAGACTCCGAATGCGAGACGGAAGTTACTGCCACCGGCGACCAAAGAGTTTTCGTGTCCAGTCCGAGTTACCTTACTTCCAAGTATGCTCTCCAGCTCAGAGTCGGAGTTGCTTCATTTCGATCGTAATACGTACAAGTAGGTTCCGACCCTAAGCGTAAGCCAAATCTATCTTTGCTTTCGTCTTGTTAGAGCTTCACGTTAGACATTCTGTGCGGCTGGGGTGCTCGGAGATAGATGTTTGTAGCGTCAATAAATAAAGAGGGGATCAGATCGACGGCGCGGACTCCGTCAGCCCTGAACGTTGAACTCGAGAGCTTGCAATTATATGACACTCGCTCGTCTTGCTCCGAGTGTATGTATCTGAGAGGAACGGGAATGGAAGTACTCTTTTATGTGCACATGTAAGTTCAGCAAGCTTTCGAAGAGGGCCATAAGTCGAGGTCCCGTCACCGTTCCGCTCATCCCGTAAGTATGTACGTTGTTGCATGCGTACTTGCAGCGCAGGCTCTCCTCGGACCCTTTTCTTGCAGCTGAACACACAGTACCATCGTAGACACCTGACATCAATAGCGCATCAGATCGACGGTGAAGAAGGAAGGACGGGAAGGGATTTGGTCACTCATCAGGATTTCGAAATATCGGAGACGTTGATGGCCAGACGATTCTGATAGATCCGAACCAAGAGCATGATTGTGGGTGAGGCACTTTCCTACACGGAATAGAGTAGGTCAGCATGGACAGCGTGACTGCCGCGGCAACGTTAGTGTACGTGAACGCTAGAGAAAGAGAGAACGATTATGGGGCGAAGCAGAGTAGAACGGAGAACGAGAAGAGTGGCAGGAATAGAATTGCACCCGGTGAACCAGCGCTCATGAGTAGTTGCCCGTAGAACGCTGCAAATAGACTACTCTGCGACATTGCCACCGTCGTCAACATAACAAAAGTTGCCGTGTCTAAAGATCTAAAGCTTGAACAGAATCAGTGGTCAGGGGCACAAGGCGAACGAAACCTACAATAGGGAGAAAATTCGGTGTCCTTTCTTATCGTAGGGAGGATGGAGTAAGAGGTGAAGATTTGGCCTGCGAGATATAGACTGCTTCGTGTAGTAGAGACAATTTGGTGTGGCGCAAATGTTGTAAACCCCGAATGACCGTCCGTCAACCTGAATAACCCGACCTGTACCAGCAGTGTCGCTGGAACTTGTCCCCGAAGGAATAAAATAAAGCAGGTCTATATGACGCAAGAGTACAAAATAATGTTAACAACTCGACCGACCAAACAGGATGCAATCCAAGCTGAAACGCAGGCAACATGTTTGATCACACATCTCGGTCCGCGCAAATCACAAAAATTAAGGTTGAGAGTTGATCGCCATGTTGTGGTCTATGCAGAATGGTTCATCCATGTAGGGAAGCGATTGGAGTGCGACGTCACGGACAGAGAAAACATCTCGGGGCTCCGACTCCTGTGGCAATATGTAAGTGTGTAGGAGTCCGCGACCGACATGCGGATGCGTTCTGTGTTTCGTCTACATGTTGGAGGTCATGCGAGTGCACGGGATACTGTCACAGTCTAAATGGTTTGTTTGACAGACTGCGGCCGCCGAAATGGCGTACACCCTTGAAGTTTGGCACAAGGGCCAGACTTGGACAACATATGTAGAAAATGTGGAGAAAAAATGAGAGGATCAATCTGAACGTATTGACCTCCGACAATCGCGAGTCGGGTAGTCTCGGGTTACAGTTCCGCTCTAAGGATTGACACAATCCCAGAGGAGCATGGGAGCCAGCGATCCCCGAGATTTTTGCTGTCTAGTTCGAAATCTAGAGGTCATCTCAGCCCGTTGCCATGGCTGACAAGGATTGGGACGGCCATATCGGGGAGAAAGAAGACGAAAAACAAGAGAAAAAAAACGGGGCTTTGAGAACTTTGCCTGTGAATGAGAGTCCGAAATCATGACTCCGTCGTGGTGGTCCGCTATCTCCATTCTGTCTTCCTTTGCCATGAAGAGGTTCATGTGTGTTCACAGAGGCCCGAGTTCGCCCATATAGTCTAGAACATAGCATGCCATGAAATTTTGGGAGGGTCTAGCCATCCAACGTCGAACGACGGCGTCGTTGATATGGAGCAAGACGAGGGAGAAAGGGGGGAGACAGACCATACTACGCTCAGCCTGTGACTGGCTGACTTCGCCGTTGTTTGAAACGATCAGCATCTGGGTCCCCTGACAAGGTAGATCGGAAAAAGACGGAGCCCGACTATGTGCTCCCATATAGTTTGGAGACGAGAAATCGAGGCCGAGTTTCACAGTGAGTGATTCTAGTCGAAACACAGGTGATGCCGGCGGAAATGCATAGTGACCTGGATAAAACAGTCAAGATATTGCAAAGGACGAACGACGACGGAGACGACCAAGGGGTTTGACAGCTGCCAGATCGCCAACGACGTTGCTAACCGACACCAAGGCGAGCGGGACGAAGAGAGGGATCAGATAAATGCGAGCAACAGATGGCAGGATGTGGCGAAAGAGTTCGCAGGAGATCAGATTGTGCCTGTGAGTCTGGTTGGAACGGAGGCGTTGGAATGAAAGGCGAAGAGCTGTCGAAGAAAAGGAAGGCACGCTCGTGTAAATCGAAAGCAGGCGCCGCATGCACGGATCGAGACGCCCGATCCCAAATTGCACCAATTGCACGTGTTTCTGCCATATAAGGAAATGTTCTTGACGGGATCCGCATTGTTGTCATTTGTGTACGCGTTTCTCATTGTCCTCGGTTTCCGCATCTGGCCGTCTGGTCCACCCGGGGAGGTTTGCTGCCGTGTGTGGGTGATGACACCTGGGGCGACGCGGCGAGCTAGTGGGCGCTGCGATAGCGTTTAATCGAGGACGGGATGGAGGGACGATAGCGGCCTCTCGAATTCTCAAGGGACGGAAACGGGCAGCATCAAATGGGGCCACACATCCTGGTTGGGAGAGAAGGAGGCTGTACGTGTCCCGTCCGTCGTGCGGGGCAGGTCGTGCGAAGGGGGTGCAATTGAGAGGCCGTGTGTGCGACAGTGTGTCCGGTGTCTCATTGGAGATTCTTTGAGTCGTGTCCAGATTTACAACAGAGATCCGAGATTGAGCAAAACTCGAATTGTTATTTGATTGGGACCGTCATCAAGGCCTCGTCTTTTCCACGAGCCTCACGTCGACCCTCCTGCTTGTTTAGCCTGCGACCCGAAGGGCGACACTACTTATATACGTCTAGCAGCGCCTCTCTTGCCCTTCCGCTTCGCCCTTCCTGCCCTTTCCGTTTCAGACGTTGTGCTCATCCCGCTTCGCTCGTAATACAGCCAATTTTCGTCATTGTCAGCGCTCGATGGCCTCTGCCGGTCATCCCCAACATCTCTACAGATCCGCCACAGCGCTGGACACGAACGGCCTCATGCACTCTAACGCTAGCAACACGCAATACGACCTCAACGGATCTTCGTCTGGTTTTGTTTCACAGCAATCGCACGCTCCATCGCAACCCATACCTGCATCCGGGCTCGGAAATGCTTCGAATGTACGCAATTCTCTCTATGACCCCATCGACGCCACTCAACCCCTCTTACGATTGACACAGTGGCCCAACCACACCGGAACGACGTGGACCACCTCCGATCTCAATCAGCCCACGTCTTCATCGCTCTCATCTATGTACTCCTCATCCTACCCTTCCGTGCAGCCACCACCAGCCACTTCTAGTCATAGCCTTCATCTCCCACAGCACCCACACCTCGCGGCTTCGAACAATACTAGTTCGTCCTCCTCCTCGCTTGCAGCCGCCTTTCCGGAATCATCACAACGAACTTCTGTGACTACGCCACCTACCTCCACGGATCTTTATCACTCTGTCACTTCTGCCATGCACGACACGACGGGCGACGGAAGCAACAATGGCGGATTCGCCACCTGGCTGCCTGCCTCCGGTGCCACCCATGACAGCGGTATCACACCATACACATCTGCTTCCGCTTCCGCCTCCCAGCCGGTATCCTACAACAACTACGTCCAGCAAAATAACTCCCTCCTCTCCTACGACATCGGAGCTCCTCAGTCTTACGCAGGCGGGGGTGGCGGTGGCGCAGGCGGTTCATATGCACTTACGGGGTATTCATCTCAGCAGAACTCTCACAACCCATCTTCCACCACTCTGTCCCATCACACAGACCCCAGCAAACATTTCCAATCCTCATCTTCGCCGCGTTCATCTCCGGGCGAGTCCTATAGCTCCCACAATAACTCGCCACATTTCCCGCCAGTCGATTCCATATCGTCGGCTTATCACCACCATCTCGACAACGCTCTGAGCGGCGCAAACGGAATCCGTTTGTTGTCGAACAACAATGGAACCAGTCGCGATCCGAGTCCCGGTGGGTCATTGACCGCTCGTTCGGACTCCCGCTCGGGTTCTTCCAGGCTTGGAGACGGATTGAGTCTTACCAGATCCGAATCCCACCTCCGTACCGCCCTCCAACCTCCATCTTCATCGATGCCTGGTGGCACTTTCAATGACGGGGCTGGCAACGGCTTTTCCACATCCACTTCTTCGCCGCACCTTTACTCGCGCTCGAATGGAACCACGCCCCACCCATCCGCCATGAACGGCGCTCGCGCTGGGCATTATTCTCAGCCTCGCCGCATGAGCAGCGTGGACCTCACACGGAATGCCGGTGCTGGGATGTTCGATTCCGTCAACTCTTTCCTCCCGTTCGTCGATGGGCAGCAGACTCAGCGCCCTAACGGGCGCTCTCCGTCCTCGCCTCCTATCCCACCATACCCTTCGTACTCCTCGTCCTCGTCGCTGACGGTCCCGTCCTACGTCCACCCCGTCCCAAGCTCCGCTACCGCGTCCCCTTCCGTTCCTTCCCGTCCCATGCCATCTCGTAAGACGTCACTCCCCGACGACACCACCGCCCAGCGCAAACAACTCCCCGGCAGACCAGTTCCTAAACGCCGTCGCACGACCGTCGAGAGCAGCATCAACGAGCACGACCTCGGACCTGCCGTTCTCGCGTTCCGTCTGGAGGCAGCCGAGCCTGCGTCCGAGAGGGACGGCGACATCAGTGGATCCGGCCAGAGTGAGGTAGTGGCGGCTGGTAACGGTGGTAGGAACGGGAGAAAGGCGAGGAGTTTGGTCTTGAAGCCGTTGGACGAGCATGACGACCCGTTCTTGGTGAAGATCGAGGATTTGAAGAGGGAGAGCGGAGAGGTTTGGTACCAGGGTATGAGCCACGAGTTCGCGGCGTTTGGGGATGTGATGCGCGTGGACGAAGGGAAGGAAAAGAAGACGAGGGGTAGGAGAGACAAAGACACGGAGAAGGATAGGTAAGTCTTTGTACGACCGTTATATTATGTCCATAATTCACTGATTTTCATGATTGTTCTCCCTCAATGTATCGGTGCATTGTCTCATTGTAATGTGTAGCAACTCATCCGACTCGAGCAGCACGACCCTCGAAGCTTACACTACCAACAACATCATCGGTCTCTCTTCCTCTCCCGCCCTCTCGTTCTCCACGGCCGCCACATCGCTCAACGGCGGCGACCACGATCTCAACCAAAACATCAACTCTTCTCGTCCTTCCTCGTCTTCTCCCGGTCCTCGTCCCTCGAGCTCCCGAGACCTCGACAGCAAGTCTAACCACATGCAGATCCCCGCCCCCGTCGTGTACACCATGACCGCCGAGGAGGAAGAAGACGCCAACTCGCCCTGGACGATCAAGCCCATCGAGGAATCCCTCGCCTCACGCAACGCCGTCGCCGCCAACTCCGATCTCAACTCCGGCTCAGGCTCCGGAAATGGAAGCGGCGATGGAGGAGCGGGAGGAAACGGCAGTGCTGGCTGGGGGCCACAAGGCCAGAAGAGGGCGAAGATGCACCCGTGTGAGCTCTGTGGGAAAAGGTTCCCAAGACCGAGCGGACTCTCGACGCATATGAATTCGCACAGCGGAGCAAAACGTAAGCTTTTCTGGCCTCTTTCTTCCCTTTGCGACGGTTCTCATCGCTTCTGATTTTCTCGAAATTCCGCTTTTCATTTTCTCGCGCGGCGTTCTTTGTTACCCTAAACGTTGCTTTGATTGAAACGATGCTAACTGTTTACGTGATTCTTTTTTGAATTGTCTCTGGTCACGCAGCGTTCAAGTGTACCGTCCCTAACTGCACCAAATCATTCACGGTCCGCTCGAATGCCAAACGACACATGCGCACGCACGGGATCGGAAACACCCAGGGCCCTACCCAGCCTTCCGCTTCTACAGCTTCTGCCTCTCGTTCTCAACCAGCCGGCGCCGAAGACATCGAAGTGGACGAACTCTCCTCTTCGACCGCGTCGTATCCGTTGGGCGGTCTGAACAGCGGTGCAGGACGCGGCCGTGCCTATTCGTACTCGTCCCATTCGGCACTGTGTTTCTCTGCCGGTGCCGGGAGACGGAGCACGGGTAAGAGGACTAGGCGGGAGTACGAGAACTACGATGAAGACGAGGTGGAGGGCGACAGGGGAGAGAAACGCGATGGGGCCGGGGAGGATGCTGAGGGACAACTTGAGTTCGTGAACTTCGGGACTGCTGGGTTTGGCGCGAACGGTAGGGGACGGACGAGGCAGTCGGCTGATGCAGAGAGGGAGGAGTCCAGCGCGGGCGGAAGTCCCTCGAGAGTGTTGAGGAAGAGAAGGTAAATTCGAATAACGACGCTCACGACACAAATAACTATCCCGGAGTTGCGCACGGGTGCGTACATGCTACATGGGACACGAACAATGGGACTCGGTGACGTCCAAAATGATGACGACTCTGTATGTATCTACTTGGCTTGCCGTTGAGTGTTTTCATATTTCTTTTGCTCTGTGTGTTATATCGGTGTCTTGGTCCTTGGGTCCTCTCTGTTGTCTGTTCCCCATCCCTACTCTTGCCGTTCGTCAATGACGGCGTCTGTGGCTATATCTGCTGCTCTTTCAAGTTGTTGTGTTACTCACTTGCTTTCTGTATATATCAAATTCACGGACGACGGACGACGTTCGGACCCACATTCTCATACATCGTTCATCCCCGTGCTTCGCTACGAACATTACTATCCAATTCTCTTCCATCACTACTTACGACCGCATACATCATGTTTATGCCCATGCTCATGCCCTTATGCCCGAAATCTGATTCTGCTATGATACTATATTCGACGACTGCGACAGCTTATTTACCACGATTGGTTATGTATACCCTGTCTCGCATATATATAATCATGTTTCTCGCCTGCCAGTGAATATTCACTCCACCTCCCAAAGCCCCGACACCACTCGGACACGACCCTTCTCGAACAAGAAGCTTTGAGACCTACGTTACATACCCACCGACCGCCTCGAGGACGCCTCGTGCCCTCCAGTAGATCTGGTTGAGCTCAAGCATCTCATCCCTGCCGTATGCCAATGTCCGCAGATGTTCGCACGCGGGAAGCATATCGTTATAAGTTACAACTCCGAGTCGAGTCCTTGGTACCTTCAAAGTTTCGAATCTCCCGATCGCTGGTCATTGGTCCGCATCGAGAAGAAAGGAAGTTCGCGTAGGACATATTCGAATTCGGATCTCCTTCAGTAAGATGAAGAAGGAGTAGTACATTGTAGGTAACTTTGCTGACAAATGAGGACAAATGATGCGGGTGGCGTAGGTGAAGGTTACACACTGATGAGTGCCTGTGTGGATCCCGATGAGAAGCTTACGCGGTGTCTTGCCCGAAGCACTTTTAAGTACAAGTTCCTACTGTACTCCGGGGTCGTGCAAGCTGCTGAAGTCGTATTGCGATATCGATATGCTGTTTATGTGCGTCATGCATCGTGATCTTGGACGGATGGGCTATGTGTGGGTGTGGGTGCTGTAGCGTAGGAAGTGGAACTGTCGGCGTAATTTGTAGATGACTAGGCATGGGGCAGGTGGGAACTGATTTTAATGTGGCAGGTTTGAAGCTTGAGGCTGAGACTGAGCGCTGAGCTCGAGGCTGCTTCTTTGGTATTCGCGAGATGAACTTGTGAAGTGTGATGCTGGTTGGATTCTAGGCTTAGTCAAGCCTTGGGGATGCCGAACATCGAGCATGGAGCGCTGAGTTCTGGCACTGTACGTACCCTCTTTCAATGGTCGGTAGTGAGGGCGGCAGGTCAACGAGGATACGGTGATTGTTCTGCAGAGAATTAGTGGCACAATTTATTGCCAGAGGTCGACCTCCGAGGAGATGATGCTCGACGCCAATGCAGTACACGGTCTGCATAAGTACCAACATCTCGGACAATAGTGGCTGCCAGAGATGCGAATAGTTGGCAAGGCAGGTGACGAGAAAGACTCCGATGGACCCGGTTTTGGATGGGCTCGGTCTGTGTCGTTGAATGCGAACGCGTCGAGACCAGCAGGATGACAAGGCGGTTATTTTCCTTTCTATTTCATAGAACGCTTTGAGCAAAAACGGGTGCCGAGCCTGATGCAACTGTACGTATCCGGACAAAGAGCCTCCGTTGAAGATCTACCATGATGATGTACCGAAGCAGGAAGTTTGTGATACTCACCGAAAACGTGGTTGTGATGGTCCGTGCACACACCTCACTAACTGCCCGTCATCTGTACAAGATCATCAATACCGAAGAAACCCTCTCGAACGGGAATGTCCTATACCTCTCAAGGGCACTTACACGATCAATCCAACCTCGTTCGAATGGCTCACACCGCGACTCTGAATCTTGTGGATATGGGTCTTGCCATCTACGCATCTCCTTCACTGTCCTTGCCCGGAATGTCCATACAGCCAACATCAAGTCAATGAAACGAGACGAGGCGATGTTATGGCAGGCCACAACAGGGTGAAGAAAGTATAAAGGTTCAGCAACCAATTTCCAGCGACGGTCAATCAGGATGAAACATGGACTTACGACCTAAATAGAGCTCCTTCTTGGCACGCCTTCACCGCATTTTCCGATCATCGTGACCCTCTCTGGAAACCCTCCCCATCCCTCCCATTGCTCCTCTACTTCTCCCGTCGCACATCGCTGTCGCTCCCGTACATGGACACATGACGCACCCACACAAACTGGCACTCATGCACTAGCGCGATGCATGCATCCTCTTTCACTGAGTCAGACAAGCTTTCGACACAGCACCAGAGGCGTCGCGCTGGTATCCCGCCCAATCTCACGATTTATCTCTCTCGCTCGTCCCAGACTTTTACGCCAAGAGGCGTCTACACTTGAAGGCATCACCACCATGGAGTCATGAAAGGTCATGCATACCTGAGGTTTTGGAGGAGGATGGGCAAAGGCAGGAGAGTGCAGTGACGAGTCGTGCATCGGTTGGGGTTTGGCGCTGGATAATGCTGTTGCTTCCTGTACATATTGGTGGTATGAGTACGAATTAAGGCTCAAACTGAATCTGCAAGTATGAATCCCCGAATTACTCCATGTCATTTTGTGGGTAAACGAGGTCGAGAGTAAAGGGCACTTACACGTCCGCACTTAGATTGGCAAGGTCAGAGTTGCATTCTCGACGATATTAGAGTTTCACGGACCTGAGCTTTTGGCTGTACGATCATAGGTAGGTATTGATAAGTCTGTGTCAAAACTAGCAAAGAAGGACGCTCACTGATCATGGGCTGTGGTGCCACACTGAGGCGAAGTAGGATCTTTCCGTATGAATTTATCGTCCGACTCTCTCCGTAAGTCAATTTGGAGCGAACGAACTGATGTGGCGAGCGTCTAGCAGCTGGAGGCGTTCGTATTATACGAAGATTACTATGGCGGCAGCGCCGTTTCTCTTCATGATGCAGAAACCTCCTAGAGCTAATGTTGACCTAGAGTACGATGGATGATTAAGAAGAGAGTGATGTGATTGTCATACTAGTAGATACGCACTACTTCACAGCATACATCAATAGCACTGACTGTCACGAGAGCCACGCTCTGCGAGTTCCCCGGGTCTCCTGCAAGCTATGATACAGTGCGCAACTTAGAGCAAAGGGTTCCTTAAAGGTCGTAAGCAATCGGTCGGATGTATACGTCGAAAGAACGAACACGGAAGAAGGACACTCACCGGATATGGGACGAGGTGCCATAGCCAAGCAAGAAAGGAAGAAGAGGTGGAATATTCCTTGAAAAAACCCTTGGTCATATCTGACGGTCTGACCGAAGGCCCATGCACATCGCCGTCCAAGTGTCAGGCTCCAGTACCGTGTCTACATCCACTGGCACATTTGCCTCGGCAGAAAGCTGGACTTGCGCTGTTCATGCCCGTGTTTGCATACCAGAGCGAAGTGATGGTCTTGCCTTATGATAATGATCCAGTCTGAGGGCACTATAAGACTTAGAGATGAGGAAAAGCGAGGAAAGACGAACACCGGTCCAATGATAATCGTATTGGATCGCACACATAGCTAAACTCAGGCTGCAGAGGCGCTTCGGGTCGCAGGTCTACTATTATAGCGACGCTCCATCGAATAATGAAAAGGACTGCAGAGCGCCTGCCGACTGCCTCGCAAAAGGGCATTCTTGAACGGAGAGTTGTCACGTATATTCGAATGACCGCAAGTCGAGCTCCGACTACGATGCCTTGGAATTGTCTCAAAACCAATACGAATATATCGACGCCACTGGGGAAGATGGGGTCAATTCGAGAGTGATGTTATAAATTCACGGATATAAGAGAGTTTCACCTCAGTCCAGCGAGAAAAGGTGATCGGCGAAGACTAGACAAATGTATCGGCTACTGAAGGCGAAGAAACAGGATGGTAGGACTCGGAGGAGTTGACGCAGTTGGGCAGCACAAATAACCGTCCGGTGCAAACAAGTATGTCAAACGATGAGGACTACTGCAGAGAGCCTACCGTAGGCATGCATGATATGAAATAGTGTCCTATTATATTGTAGGGCTTACTATATCTATTCAATGATGCAAGTCGGACTCCGGACGATGCGTCGAGACTCGGTGCCATCTCGAGGTACTGACGCCACTCACTGGATTGGTGGAGAAGTGCTGGAGGATAAAGGTCATATATATCACGATATAATCTGTATTGACAGAAAGAATTCCAGACGAAATACCAGACGAAAGAGCCATAGAATAAATCCAAGGAGATCGGCTGAATTGTGAAGGTGAGGTTAGTGCGGAACCGGCGTGGGAGGACGGCACGTGGCTGTCGGCCTCCCAGATTTTGATCATTTTGAGGCTTGTTTTTGTACAGCCGTCTCGAGCGCAAGCCGAACGCCCTCATTTTCTTTTCTTTCTTTTTTCTTCTCCAGTCTCCAGTCTGATCGGGTGTGCAGAATGCAGAACGACAACAACGGGCACATCCCGGAGCCACATCCGTACCTGCATGAGCCGATTCTCTACATCTCAGCCCTACCCGCGCACGTAACGGACGAGAATTTGGCATATTGTTTTGCGACATGTGCGCCTTTTAGGCCCAAGATACCCCGCGATGATGCCTCGAAGCCGCTTTCTGGAACAATCGAGTTTAAATTTCTCGAGAAAGGTGCGTGGCGCATCATCGTCTGCATCTACCGAAACCGTCTGCTTGCGCCGACGCTAGCGAGAAGCCACCGGCCATGGCGAAGGATGCGGTTGAGAGTGAGAGAAAATGAATTTCGGCTATGCTATGCGACAGTTTGAATGGAAAATCAAGCAGCTGTCTTGTCGGCTACAGCGTCTTGCGAGCAGGCGGTCGAATGTGCATGCCCAACACGCGTTCTGTACTTACACTGTCCTCTGTCTTTCTTTCTCTCGCAGCCGAAATGGCTCTTGCAACGCTCCAAGGATATCCCATCCCGGGTGCGAACCCATCAGCCAGCCTCGTCCTCTCTCCGTACCCGCCCACAAACCCTCCCACGCCCTTACCCCCTCCTAATGCCTCACCTCGTCTCGTCAAACAGCTCCCCTCAGGCTACACGGACACTCAACTCTACCTTCTCTTCCGTCCCTTTGGTGCTCTTGCTTCCGCACGCACCCACACCGCCTTCGGAAAGGACACGGGAGTAATTGAGTTTTGGAACGAGGACGACGCAAAGTTCGCAGAGAGGGAGATGCATTGTGCGGAGGTTGAGGGTCAGAATATCGCGGTGCAGATCTATCAGCCGAGGAGGACACCGAGTGGGAATCATCCGGAATTTAGCGCAAGTGCGCCGTCGTTCGTGCCTTCGGGAGCAGTATCCTTTGGCTCGCCATACCAGCGACAAGTGAGTTACTTGCTCTAATTTTTCATGGGTTTTTGCGTCGAAAATATCGTGAAATACGCTGCACGCCGTTGGGAGTATATGAGGCAGGACTGTTCGAGGTCCTGGCCCTAACAAGCGGGATCCGACCGATATTTGCCTGGCGAAAGGAGGCGGGCCATCTCCCAGCTCATTTTGCGGCTATTTGACCACGCAAACTGGATCATATATGGCCAATCGACACAACATCATACCCTACCATGTCGTCCTTCAATTTTCATCGACATGACCGAAAGGGCCATGTCGTGGCATGTCGTCGTCGGCCAGGCGAGCATGGTGTGATCGGATCTTTCACTGCGCACCCGTGGCCGTTGAGAAGGGTAAACGACGTCCGACTCCAGATCATCGCTCTTCTCACGGCGTTGGTTCTGTCCAGTCTGGTTTTTGGTTCGATATCGCACAACGATCCACATTCATACCCTCCTGCCACTTTCAGCTTGTCCCTTATCTTACATCCCACAATCGACTTACTAACTCCCAATTTATTCTTCCTCTCTCATAAAACAGTACTCCCCGCACTTGTCTCCGCGCGCACAACCGTATCCTCTCTCACCAGGCCGTCCCAGCCACCCCCTCTCACCAGCCCACCAAGCTCTACAATTGTCTCCTGGCCCGGCACATCATCCGTTGCGATCGCCTGTGACGCCACCGCATCTGCTGCAGTCGCAGTCGCCTTCGTCACCGTTGTCGTTTATACATGGGCCGGGGCAGCAGGTTCAGTTGGCGCCGTTGCATGGGCCTGGGTCAACGAGTCATAGTGGGTTGATCGATCCGTGCAATTTGTTCTGCAAGGTGAGCTGTCTTGTATTACGAATGATGATGGTTGGGTGGTAGAGCCGAGAGCGAGAGAGCGAGAGACTGACGACGTTTGGTGCATGTAGAACTTGGACGCGAGTATCGATTCGAATGGGTTGTTCCAGCATTTTCACCGGGTGAGCGATTCCCGCATTTTCAACCCCTGAAACGCCACACTAATTGAGGTTTTGTGGATGAATAGTTCGGGCATATCGTCAGGTTCGTATCGTTTGGTTCACTTTTATGTCGGGAGGCCGCTGCGTGTGTTGACGAGGGCGGTGTTTGTCGTGTTTTGTTGGTGTTACCTGTAGTGCGCGAGTTATGAGGACCGATGCGGGCGAGAGCCGAGGCTTTGGGTTCGTCTCGTACCAGACGCCAGATCAAGGTCGGTCCATAATTTCTTCCTCTTCCCATCCGACATTATTTTGTACTCATTCACAACTTTGCACACGTTCCTTCCCACACCACACCACACAATCTCATATTCCCCCTCCCAGCCACGGCAGCAATGCACGCCATGAACGGTGCCGTCATCGGCACCAAACAACTCGTCGTCCGCCTACACGAGCCCAAACAACTCCGTCAAGAAAAGCTCGCACAGCGATTTGGAGGCGCGGGCAACGGCCATCCACGATCCACGTCCGGTGCGACGTCGCCTACCGCCAGCGAAGGTGGGGACAGCGCGTATCTAGGGCCTGGAGGGCAGGCGCTTGGGTGGGCGAGTCCCGGGGCGAGGACGGCCAAGCTGGGGTATACCAGTCAGGGGGCGAGTCCCAGGTTTGGGAGCCTGAAGTTGGAGGGGATGACGAAGGCAGGGGGACAGGGGGCTGGGTCGGGGCATGGGCAGGAGAAGGCGGCGAGAAGAGGCAGCGGCAGTTATTATAACGTGAGTGATTTTCGTTGTTATTCGTATCCCCAATCTGACCCAACGCAACTCACCGTCGTCGATGTTTGTTGTTTCATGGTATAGGCCGCGCTCACAGGCACGCTGAACATGCCGATGCAATACGACACCCTCTCGTCGCTCACGCCCGTCGTTCGCCGCGAAGTCCTCACCGGCGAGCTCTCCCGCCGTCTGAAAGACATGGACATCATGCCCGCGACCGAAGTCGACTCCGTCGTCGACCAGCTCGTCGGTCTGTCCCTCTCCGAGATCGTCTCTTCGTTCCAGGATCCAGTCAGGCTGAGCCACCAGATCGACATCGCGAGGAGCACGTTGGGATTGCGTCCTATCGCTTCTTCTTCGGGGGCTTCACCGACTGGGAACGGGAACGGCAATGGGGTGCAGCATCGCAAGTCGCCGTCGCCGTCTAACTCGCAGGACTCGCGGTTGCTTGGACCGGATGTGCTCAATGCGACTGCGTCCGCGCCCGACCATCCGTCCACGCCGATCTCGGTCTCGGTCTCTTCGACCCCTCCGCGCACGTCTTCGCCTTCTGGCTCCATCGCACAGCCGACGAGCGAGAAAGAGAGGATCCGAGCCGCGGTGGAGAAGCTGGAGGGACCGGAGAAGGCGGCCAAGCTGACGGAGCTGATGATGACGCTCCCGAAGCGCGACAGAGCTCTGTGTCTTTTCAATGGCGAGATCTTGAGGAATAAGATCCAGGATGCGAAGATCGTGTTGGAGAGTCTGGAGGAGGATGATGAAGAGGAAGAGCAGACTCCTGCTGCTGCGGCCGTACCGCTGTCGTCGTACAAAGGCCAAGGTCCGACGACGCCGGCTAGGAAGACGACGAGTCTGTCACAGACGGTGTCGCCGCGCACTCCGGATCTGTCGTCGAGAGGACCGTCGGCGGCGGCGTCGCCGGTACCTGTTACACCTACCACAAGTGGGATTACGATCGGAGCTGGTGGCAATGAAGGTGCGCCGAGTGCGCTGCTCAAGACGTTGGCCGACCAGAGGGCAGAGGATGTTTTGAAGATTCTGAGGGAGGGAGGGATTCCGGGGGTTGAGGCTGAGGACCCATTGGTGAGGAAGGCGACGGACGAATTTGTCGAGAGCTTGAAAGGGCAGAGGTTGTCGGCGCAGAAGAGTCAGGCAGGAGATCGAGTGTGCGTATTCGTTCTCGTCATTGATCGTTGGTTTGTGCGTGTCAACTAATCCGGCTGTGGTTGTGTCTATAGGCGCAAGCTGTGCAAGGCTCTGGGCGTGAAGAATACGGCGAAGGTCACGATTAATCTCATCGATAACAATGACTGGGCTGCATTGGTCCATCTCATCGATAGCTACCCGTCGATCATGAAGCTGAAGGTGCAGAAAGCGGCCACTATGGTCAAACCCTGAGACGGCGCGTCGTTCCAACTTCTGTTCAAATAATACTGTATACTTCACCAAGCCAAAGTCGCACCCGTTATTGAGGATCCACCATGTATATCGAATGATATCCCGTCCTGCCCTCAGGAAAGCTGTCCGTCCATCGAAAAATTTCGTGTTTTCTTTCACTCTTGTCCCCTCCTCTACTTTACTTTCTCGACCATCCTCGCCATGGCTCGACGTGGTTCCTATCTAATCTCCCTTCGACCCTTCTCTATTTCGTTCCTCGCGTTTTTCACATTTTTTGCATACGTATGGAGGAGTCATTGACCACTTGTGTACAGATCCCAGTCGCCTGAATCCGAAATCATATCCAGTCTCGAATCGTCCATTTTTTTTTGCTATACGTACGTACGATACTGACCCATCATTTGTTGCAGTTACTTCCCACCACATCACATTCCTTCCCTCTTCTTCTTTTGTCTCCATCATCCATCTTCTCGTGCGTTTATTTTTCGTTATCTTGACGTGGTTCGCTTGGTTGCTCCTTCTGTGTTTCTTTTACTTACGAATTTTCATGAGTTTTTCTATTTGGTTGTTTTCCCTCCCCGTTTGGAGCGCCCTTCTCTTCTATGTCCGGTCTTGGGTTGAGCTCGTCCACATGCGGACGGGAGATGCGTTGTCTAGGAACGTTTGCACGATAGATATGCCATCGAGAGCGTTCATCAATGGTACTCTTTCTGGTGTCGTGATCTATTTTGGTGCTCTCGTGCTGCTGACTTTGACTTGGGCCAGGTCTTTGGAGGATCCTCCTGACATCTGTGTCCTCTGCTCCCGGAGATCTCATCTCAGTGTGGCGCGATGTGGCCCACTCACTTTTTTCGACGCATGTCACGACCTACACTCCAGTCCTGATATCCTCTTGGTAGGCGTACATGGTCATCGTCCTTTCCCGCGTGGATTACTGCAAGAGAATAGGGGCGAGGAATCTCGGTCAATTGGCATGTGCACACTATGACTCCCGGCTTCGTGGCGCATTCGCGGACCAACTCGAACTCACGAGCAAACGTTCTCGGTTTCCGTGCAGACTGGCTGACAACCTTCAGTCAGCTGAGCACCTTTCCCTGCTTGACAATGTAATTGACTGTATAATTCGATCACTGGTTCGTACGTACCTGCCAATGAACGGCGACCGTAACGCCACCGCCGGACTCCGGGAGCTTTTGTCATTATGGCACCTTATTCTGCCTGATATTATCCTGCTTAATGCGAGCCACGGTGAAGAGCCCGGCTACGCGCATTGCGTGCTGTTAGTGTGTTTCCAGGTGTTAGCGGATGCTCTTTTGAATGATTCCGTGAGCCCGAGTCACCGTCTTCGGGCTTTCTTTGTTGCGTCGTAGCTATGCATCCCGTTCATTGGTTTGGTTCGCCGGATCCTTATTCAACCACTGCTAGCTGTAGTTGAACGTTGAGGAAATACTTCCGGTATGTATGTTCAATGAAACAGAGCCGCCGCCACGTTCCAGACGTGAACAGCGAAATGAACGATTTTGGATTGAAATAAACAAAATAAGAGAAAACGAACATCGAAAGTCCCGTCGTCTGGTATGCACGTATCTAAGTATGTATAACGATATTCAACCGATATCGCAGAGCCCGATGGTTTGTACAGATCCGTAACTAATTGTCCAGTGTTAATCACGTCTGTGTCGGGGAGATGATTTCATTATCGGGGTTGGTAGCATGGTAAAATTGGGCAGTATACTCGCAATCACAAAGGGGTAGGTGTATTTTGTCGGTCGCCGCAGTCACACAAAACCAAAGGAACAGACAAACGAGGCGCGGTGCGTACTAACTAGGCAAGGGCGACGACGAACCAGTCGGATTCTAGTGCAACGCAAAGAACGACGGCGAAGCCGCACCATGACTATCATTTCCCTAATGCAGAACGGCAACAACGCCCGGCTCAACTAACCCTAGCCCGACTCTAACAGGGTATCCTCAAACTTTCGATCCATACGCGTTCGGGTTGTACGCGTTCTGTTGTGGCAATTGCGATATTTCCGGTTCCGACTGCACGATCAGCCACATGAGATATCACGCTGGATAGGAGAACGAAAGACGTACATGTGAAGGGAAGCTACCCGACTTGGTCTGTTCGAGCTCGTCGTCGGCATCGGACTGCTTGACTGTTTCGATGCGAATGGCTATGCCGTCGTCACGGGTGTTGAGTTGTCCATTAGGCCTGTAGGCAGCAGGAGGGCCGTGGTTGGTGGCGTTCTGGAGGGAGAGGGAGTAGGAGTCTTGGTGCACGTCGCCGTTGGCAGCACGGCGAATGTAGTCACGCGAGTTGAGAGTGACAAGGAGAGAGCTGGTGAAGGAATGTGTCAGAGAGCAGCAACAATTAGGAAAATGGTGTGTGCATACTTGGTATAAACTGAGGCGTGGCAAAAGGTAAGTATTGGAAATCAGTCTACGTTAGCTGGTTTCGAAAGGATCACGATGCTTACAGCGACCAACTAGAGGGAATACTCGTGATCAGAACAAGTGACATGGCAGAATAGTTGCGAAAGACGTACGCATCAAGAAGAAGAACATGTAAATGAAAGTGTTGGGCCACGCATTGATCTTCGGAAAGAACGAAACATAAGCTACTATCGCAATACATATTCCAGAAGATAAAACGTACGCCAACGCAAGCCATGAGGGCACCGACGCTAGTTGGCAGGCCTAGACGAGAAGACAGGAGGCATTAGCGAGGATAGTGCAAGACCAGTCAAAGCAAGGCAAAGCTGTACGTCGAGCAAGGCAAAGCTGTACGTACCGGTGTTGAAAGTGAAGACAATCATCCTGTTGATCATGTCGTTGGTCCGCTTGAACCCGGACCTGTTCGCCGAAAGACGGAGAAGGTAGACAAGACAGAGTGAGATCACCACGTCGGTCACGGCGGCCATGATGTTGATTGACATGGATAGGGTCTTCAACGAGGCGAACTCGGCGAAGGTCGCGAACATCAAACTGCATAGATGAGAAAGGTAAGTCATTCGGCATATTTTGGCTGCAGAGCGAAGTGAAAGAACGCACGCCTTGGCACAGTACACTGTTATCATCGAGAGAGTCAGCTTTTTCAAAGGAGGAGAAGTTCAGGCCTGTGCACTGACCGTTGAGAGTCACTAGATCGGCAGAATAATTCAGCGACATATATTTGAGACAGACGTTCTGACATACCGAAGGAACCAACGCTCAGCAGGGCCTGTTGGGTGCAATACATGTGCACTCATCAGCTGAGTCGGTGAGCTCGACGACGTTATTTACTCACCACGAAGATGGTCATCGGATACCTGTACCACCTGTCAATACTCACTATAGCGGTCATAGGAACCGCGTGAGTAAAATGGTTAAAAGTCGGAAGAGAGTACTATACTCACGCATCCAGATCCTGTGCACATAGAAGCTACATATGCGTGGGGAGTGAGCCAATGAAACTCTACGGTGGATATGAAGAGGAAACGTTGGCGCGACGTACAGCTGGACAAAGACAGCGATCAGATTACTGAATATGATCTCAATGATCAAGGTTCTGGGGAAATGAACGTCAGAACGCGGACCGGGAGGGAGGAGACCAGTCCACTCACGGCTCGATTTGGAGCATGATTGCCGCGTTGCCCTGGTTCGTCACAGAATAGAGGTACACTGAAAACAGCACGAATGAGCATTAAAACGGCTGCGCACGATACAATAGGGGTGAGCAGCATACCGCAAGCTACACAAAATGGAAAAATATTAGACGAGACATCGACCGGGACCTAATAATGAGTCATACCGCTCAAGAGTGCCATTTGAGTCGTGTCACATATTAAAACGATCGACACCTGGAAGGAGGCATTCAATTTAACGAGTTATAATGGTGCCGAAAAAGGTGTAGAAACTTACTAGGCCCTTGATCCTCCAATCGTCTCTTTTCTTGTACTTGCGATAATAATACCATGCTTGCATGCAGCCGGCTACACGGACGGGTCGGTCAACATGCTAGGACGATTCTGCCAACTACGTACCTCCATACAAACTAAGTACATATCGAACAGTCACATCAAGACACAAACTGGCACACGAAAGTATGATCTCACTTACGCTGCCTGAAAGTAGTGAAACGTTGAAGTCAGTACGGGAACAAATCATGGAAGCAAACAAGACGCACTCCGAAGACCACTGATTGGTACAAAATCCCAAGCCTGAATACCACGTCAGACCATAGTCCTCAACCTCCCGCAAGCTTGCACAGCACTCACGTATTGTCGATGTTTGCTGCAACGGCCATGTTCCCTGCTCGTGTGGGATAGCGAAGGAAAGTGACCTATGGATAAATTGCAGACAGGCTGGGGAAGATAAAAGAACAGGGGGGACAGCAACAAATCGTCTCGTCGTTGCGAGCCAAGTAAAAGATTTTAAGTCATCACGCCGTGCTAATTGGGATTTCTAAGGCACTGAGGCTTCTCCATACATTCGTACGTACAGGGTCCGGACGCATCGCGGGCAAGTGGCTTCGCATTCAGAAGTCTCGTCGAGACCCCAGATAAAATCCGTTGCCGCGGGCCTTCGCAGGATCCTAAAGTTCACAGCGTCTCCAGTTCTCGTTCATGTGAACGTCGTCGAGGGTCCAATCCGGGCCATCAAATCCGAGAGATTGCCTGATTTGTCTCGAAATCAGTAAAGGAGTCGCGTCAAATGGTTGGAATTGATAAACGTTTGGCACGAATTTTCAATGCCATTTGCGAAAGACCAGAGAAAGCCGATCAGAGAATCGGAGCTAGGAACACCGTGTCGGGTATGGGGCCGTCGCTTTGGGCAAGCGTAGAACGTACCCACGCCGTACTTCGCGAAGATGATGGCCGGTCAGAAGGGCTTGAAATGGATACGATGGCTCCAGTTTTGGTAACCACAAACACTTGCGCCAGAATCTGGATATCTTCACTCACCTGATCAACATCCAGTCCAGATATAACGAATCAAGAAAGGAATTTGAGCGAAGGAATCAAGCAGTCAAAGCGTCGGTCAAGCTGAGGCACGCGTTCGGCATCTTGAGCATACTCAAAAACATGCGGCTAGGGTCATCGGCAAAGCGCAATAGGAGAACGTCCACCGAAATTGAATTACTGCATTGAATGCTGGATGATTGGTGGACAAGGATAGGTTGCGTTACGTGCGTGCCAGGTTAGAAGATCACCAAAAGTTTTAACCGTCGGCCCTTGCCGTAAGTTACAAACCCAGCGCACGGCATTCATTTTGGTGGGATGTCGACCGCTGAAACTGGCCATTTGTCCAGAAAGTGTTCCACCGCATCTGCTAGAGACACTACGGTCTATATTTCACGATATGACAGAGCTTCTGGCTGGGTGATTGCTGACATGTAGGCATCGCACTGGCTGTGAACACTAGCCGCACTTCGGGGTTTCAGGGTCTCGCTCCGGGCGTCACTCGAAGACGTTCCCTACTCTTTCTGTACTTAGGCCAGCTTAGACCTCACGCCTGCTGTACGTACTCGGCTCCGCGGACTCGTTCTGAGGCTTCTGATGGTTGACTTAGCAAGTCCTAGGCACATGTACCCGATGCTTCGCGCCATCCAGCAGTCCTCTCGTTAAACGCCGACGGGTGCCCCAGATATGGCCACATAAACCTGTCCGAACGGCACTTTTCTCTATCTCTTCTTCTCTCCTCTCTCCTGCAGCACTCCAACTATGAGTTCCATTCGTTTGCTTGACGCTGGCCTCTTCGGTCTTGCGGCCGTTCTTCTCTACAAGGTACTCAGTCGCAAGTCTGGTCTTCCTCTCCCACCTGGTCCCAAAGGTGCCGTATAGCCTAATTCCCTTCCTGCTGAATCGTCGATGTTCACATGCGAAGTTGCCTTCTACAGGCTGGCCCTTGATTGGCAACGCCCTTGAATTCCCTTCCTCCAAAGCGTGGACTACCTTCGCAAAATGGGGCGAGCAATGGGGTAGGACATCATCTATTCGACATTCACTTTTTGTACTCATTTTTGACGTGGCCATCTGGTATTTGCAGGCGGTATTATGTCTATCAACGTTATGGGCCAGACTATCATCATTGTCAACGACCCTCAGATTGCTGTCAACCTCTTGGACAAGGCTGGTAGTGAGCTTTCTGACCGTCCCGTGCTCCCCATGGCTAGTCTTTGCGGCTGGGATCGCGTACTCAGCGCAGCCCGCGCGGGCCCAAGGTACCTCTACTTGACGATATTCCACTCTTGAGTATGGCTGACAGCTATATACGTGCCACCAGGCTTCGTGAAATTCGCAAGCTCATTGGCCGGGTGATCGGGACCCGTGGAAGTTTGGTCAAATTCTACCCGTCACAGGACTACCAGGCTACCATGTTTCTCAAGCGTGTCATGGACGATCCCACTAAACTCGATGAGGTCAGCACGTTTTCCTTAACGAGGCGCATCTAGCGATCTTTACTGATACGAGTTATATTTTAGGCTACTCGCAAGTGAGCTGAATTTGAATCTCAGTCGATATGTTCAGCTCTGACTGTTTCGTAGGACTGCTGGTGCCATGGTTCTCCACATCACTTACGGTTACAAGATCCAGGAGGAAGGTGTCGACCCCTTAGTTGGTTTGGCCGACAGGGTATGAGTTACTTAATATTTTGCGCGTTGTGGCCCATTTTGACCATGTTGATTCATCAGGCTCTCTCCGAATTCTCTGCAATCACTACTCCTGGCGCCTTCCTTGTCGATATGATGCCTGCGCTCAAATACGTGCCCGATTGGTTCCCTGGGTATGCCCTTTCGTTCATCATTCCGAAGCTGTACTAATGTTTGTGGTGATTTGCCTTGTTTAATAATAGTGCCAGCTTCAAACAGCAAGCCAAGAAGTATCACAAAAGCTGCGACGACCTTGCCGACGTTCCTCTCAACTGGATTCGAGGCCAAATCGCCAAGGGAGAGGCCGGACCATCATACACGCACGACTTGCTGATGGATAAGAATATCTCGGAGGAGAGGATGGAACGTATCAAGTGGTCATCAGCCTCATTCTATGGCGCCGGCGCCGACACCGTGAGTTCATGCAGTTGCTTCTCTTTCATTTCGCTCGAACTCACTGATGGCTTCGTAGTCCGTCTCCGTGATCTATTCCTACTTCCTTGCTACGACACTCTATCCCGAGGTTGAGAAGAAAGCGCACGCGGAAATCGACAGCGTCATTGGCCGTGACCGCTTGCCCGGCTACGAAGATCGTGCTTCGCTTCCCTACGTCAATGCTATTTGCAAGGAGCTCCTCAGATGGCTTCCTATCGTCCCTCTCGCCGTTCCTCACCGTGCCACTCGCGACATTATTTTCGATGACTACTCCATCCCCGAAGGTTCTCTTGTATGTGATATTTTTTGTTGTTTGTCTATCTTTAGTGTGATTGACGCTTGTCTTTTCGTTAGGTCATGGCCAACTGCTGGAAGTTCCTCCACGACCCCGATGTCTACCGGGATCCATTCACTTTCAACCCTGACAGGTACGCAGTCTCCACATCTAATTCTCCTGCATCATCGGAAAGATCCTTCTTGCATTATGATCGCTAACCAATTGATTGGCTTTCACGTTGACCCTGTCCACGTCACCGTCGTACTCTGTAGATTCATGGGCCCCGAGCCAGAGCAAGATCCCGCTGACTTCTGCTTCGGGTTTGGTCGTCGGTAAGTCAAATCTTCGTAGTTCTGCTCCTCATCTGTCCCCGTTATCGTCGGTTTGTGTACTCATCCGACGGAACTGTTACTCTAGTGTCTGCCCTGGAACGCATCTGGCCGACGCCTCCATCTACATCGCCATCGTTAAGGCCGTCTCCGCTTTCAGCGTCAGCAAGGCTATTGGTCCAGATGGCAAGGAAATTATCCCTGTCGCTGACACCACTGAGGGTGTCATTGTGTACGTCCTAATATTCTTCCGAGTTTGTATGCTTATACCTAAACGCGATGCGTTTTTGTTGTTTCTATTGCTGCAGCCGCCCAAAGCCCTTCGAGTGCAATGTCAAGCCTAGGCACGAGAAGATTCCCCAGTTGGTCGCTGATGTGCTCGCCCACCATGAGGCTGCTATCTAAACGGTTCTTGTCCCACTGGAGTGCTTCTTTCTATCACTACTCATCTCTAAGCCTCATTCTTTTTCTGGGACTTACTCTTTCTCTCGCTGTGTTTTTATTTCAGTCTTCATCTACCTACTTCCATTCCTCTGTCTAAGTTTCTTGTACTATACATAGTGCTCCATATAACTCCATACACTCCTTTACTGTTCTCTTCGTTCTCACCCAGTAGTGCTCATATGTCTCGTGATCAATCTCGATTTACATATGGTACCTTTTCCTCTCGCAGTCTCTTGGAAAATTCTAGCCATTCATCCTGTGGAAGCTCTCGTTTCAATTTCTATTGCATCGCTAGACCAACCCTCGTCGGGTGGTTACAGTGTGAATACGGCGATAGAGCGTGCTGAAGACAGGAGCTGCACGCGGTTCAACATCAGACCGCTTCCCGGCGTTCATCGTGGACTGTACACAGGGAGAAAAAACACGCGAATTGAAGATTCCACTCGAATAAGGTTCGCAGTGAAGGCGTGAGTTATGCCCATGGGGTGTCTGGATGCGCAAGTACACGGGGTTGGCGGCACGTATATTCTGCCTGTGTAGCAAACTTGTGATTTAGTGAGAAGAGTACCAAAGCACATAGGCGGAAGGTACTCGGGCGTTGGGCGGTTTGCAAACTTGGAGAAACGAATATGTAGTGGGAAGACCGAGAATGTGCGAGACTCTTTCTCTGCCCGCCGGCACTGCAGGTCGCCTATCTCGATATTTTAGACGAAGCCCAAGATCGTGAACCAGAGGGTGGACACGGTGGAAGTGACATCGTGCCCCCCAAATGATCTTGCGCTGCGGCCGTCGGATGATACGATCTCATGTGGTGGAGCCGCGATAGTACGTTAGAGGCAAACTATAGAGCCACGGAAGGGATGATGGATGATGCTATGGAAACGTGAACTCCGTGAGAGCAGACATATGGCAATAAATTCCTAAAGGATTTACTGGTTTGTGCAGCAAGCGATGAAGAAGCCTACTGCAGCCCGGCGAAAGAACATCTGAGAAGGGCAGGTATTTCCAACTTTAGAAGATATTTGCTAGCGGCGAAACGTTCGGTGCTTTGAGCGCTGCGGCATGGCGTCGGCATGCTTCGACAATTTCTCGATAGGAGCGGAGAAGCTGGGAGAAGATGAGAGAAAACGAGATCAGAACGGTGATTTTTTTCACTTGAAACCTCCTGAACGTCTCGGTCGATATATGCATGAGCATCTTAGAATGTACGGCGTTTCGATAGAAGACGCAGCTTCTCGTCATCCACACCCGTTGGCTGCACAGTAACCTCCGGAAAGCCGCGCTGCCCGAGAATCGATATTTTGGAAAGAGGCTCGTCAACCACAGAAAGAAACTTTCGCTGAGATATCGCGAGAAGGCTCCAAGATGGGATTATATGTCGCACTAGTGCAAAGTAGTAAGTGACCGCGGGCTTCCATAACCCAACCTTGCAGAGCTCAAAGGAAGTTCTAGCACTGAGCTGCAACGGTCGCGCTGAAACCTATGGATTGACCAAGCTGAACCTGGAAAAAAGTGCCTGGAAGATGCATCGAAAGTACTATATGACATCGAAGTGGAGTCGCAGCCTGCCCATCGTGGCAGCACAGAGAAAATTGTTATCGTGGCGGTAAGGAGGCCTTTGGAACCTCCCATTAGTAGGGAGTGCCAGGCTGTCGACTTCGAGAACCAAATCTACTTATTGGTTAACGATATTCAAACCACTTGGGTGAGGAGCGGCTGCTGAGAGGGGGCATTTCGTCGAGAGCAAGTGAAAGATGTATACCGACGAGCGTTGTGGTACAGTGTAAGCCGAGAAGTACTGAGAGATGAGATCAACTTCGAGATAAGTTAGGTCTAAGGCACAAAGATAGATATGTTATAACACCATAATGAATTCTATAAGGGCATATGGTGTAGTTGGTTTATCACGCTCGCTTAGCAAAGCAATTGCGAGAGGTGTCCGGTTCAATTCCGGATATGTCCACTAAGTTTTTGGGCCCATTCTCGATGGGTTGGACATGAATTTTACTTCGGTCAATCCCATCTTGACATATCTATGTCTTAGGGGGAAGAATAAACAGACGAGAGTTCCATGGGATCATAGAGCAATCAAGAACAACACGGTTATCCTTTACTCAAGCTAGACACAACACCCCACGGATCCCGTACCACGTAGCTCTACCTGTTCCTTCGGCCCTTTAGCATAAGCATCACAAAAATATTCTTTACAAATGATCAATCTGCATCCAGCCCATCTCCCATGATCTTCTCCACATCCTTGTAGTTCTTGAAAGGATCTTTTCTCAAAGCATCAGCCTCGGAAGACATCAAGACGGCCTTCTTGGGTTTCATCACGCTATCGGGGACGATGCCTGCACATGCAGCAGACGTAGGCGACATGGGCTAAAAGGTGGGCCAATAGACATCAGCTGAACGTAGATAGAATATGGAAGGGAGATGATAAGAAAGTACGAAAATTTGGGGGAGAACGTACCTCGTCACGGAATGGCGTAAACGTAGGTTTGGCGGGCGTGACAGGCATGATCTGAGCCTTCTTCTCCTTCTCTTTCTCCTTGCCCTTGTTTGTGGGAGCGTTCTCTGGTTCATCGACGAAAGGAACGAAAGCCGCTTGAGCCTTGGTTGGTGCTTTGGCGGCTACTTCATCGTCGTCGGGAGCAGGATCCTTGAACGGCATGAACGCAGGCTCGGGCTTCGAGGCCAAAGAAGCTGAGCTCGCCACCTTTGTCTTCGACCGTGTGGCGGTTGCATCCAAGTCAACGAACGGCGTGAAGGCGGGAGTGGGTGCTTTGGCTTTCCCTTTAGAAGTAGACGAAGACGAGGAACTTGCGATCTTCGACTTTCCTTTGTCGAGTGGAGCAGTATCCTGTTGCCTGGGCTCGACGAAAGGTAGAAAGGCGGCTTTGGACGATGTCGATGCCTTGGATGTCGATGCGAGAGTGGACCTAGTAGGCACTCCGCTGGGCTTGGCCTTTGCTTTCGCTGCCCTCGTCGTCGTCTTGGATTGATCGGCCTGTGCTGACTTGACCTCGGAAGCAGAACCTGGGTCAACGAAAGGTGCAAACGCAGGTTTGGCTCTAGACATCGACGACGCAACTGAAGTAGGGATCTTCGTCGTGGACCTTGACAGAGACGGAATGGTCGGCTTCCTCAGCGCCTTGGTTTTAGCCATGGTGGTGGTTGTTTCGTCTCGAACGGGCGCGAATGCAGCCTTGCCCGCAGCTTTCGACGATGAACCAGTGCCATTCGTCCTCGGCTTGGTCTCTGCCTGCTCCTGATCTCCTTCCTCGTCGTTCTCTTCTCCATCCAAAACATCACCAGCTCCCGCTTCCGGTTCTGGATCCTTGAAAATCTCCAATCTCGGGCCTCCCGCCCTCGCCACAGTCCTCGCCACACCGGTCCCTCGTGAGCCACCCGCTCTCAATGTCGTCCCTCTCATCTTTTTCACCTCGGGCATATTCTCCTTCACTCTCGATACCCGCGTTCCCAATTCAGCCCACGGAGTAGGCGCCTCCGGTTCCGGAGGCTCATTCTCTCCATCGCCTTCCTGCGTACCGGGAGCGGGATCTTCAAATATCTGAAGACGGGCGTTGGGAGGCGCGGGACGGGAGGAAGACGATGCAGTGCGGGGGTGTTCGGGACCAGACGTGGTGGAACTCGAAGATATTGCTTGGCCAGACCCGTTACGAGATCGAGTTGTGCGCGTTCCCGAGGTACTCGACGCGGTGCCGCCTTTGCGAGGAGCCTCGGCCAATACAGCGCGTTTCTTTGGTTGGACCTGCGTTTGGCTGACGGAATCGTCGTCGTCGGTAGGGTTGGGCGGAGAAGCATGAGAGAAGGTCGTAGAGGTCATCATTCGTTTTTGGAATTCACGATGCTTGGTCTGTAGGCGATCGATGGGTACGGCCTTGCGGTTGATACCGAGGAGGTAAGTGGCATCCGCCTCTGTCAACCTATAAATTGGTATAGAATACCCAGTCAATTCAAATGTACGAGACCCAGTGCGGGGGAGTAAACGTCAAGACTGATCCTGTCTGCGAAAGGCGGTCGAACTCATTGTCCTCACATCTAGCGTGTAGGGCACAAAGCATTTCGCGACATCCCAATATTAAACTGAGCAACTCACCTTCCATTTCGTTCCAAAATGATAGCAAATTCTTCGTACAACAGAGCATGAGCCGTTCCAATTTCGTTGGCAAGAAGGAATCGATATATAATGGCCGGTCGTTCGACATATGTCGCGTAAAGGACCCAGAGCTTCAGATACCTCATGTCTTCTTTCCACTGCCCTTCCCTATCATCTTTCAGCACCCTTGTCGCTTCCTCTAGCAACTCGAGGAGGCCTGACTCGGCTGAATGACCCTGCGGGTAGTTCTCTACAGTCCAGTATACAAGATGACAATAAGCATCTAGAGGATCGTCATCTTCGTCCTCGAGAGCTACTTCGACGTTGATTCGAAGTCGATTTCGCATCGAAGAGAGCTTTTGTTCGCGTTGAGCGTGTGGAGTCGATAGGATGGCAGAAAGTGAAGTAGCGCGTCTGCCAGATGCGAGAGGTTGAATGTTCTCCTTTGCGGCTTCGAGAACATCGCCGTCCACGATGACGGGCTCGTCGTTGGCATTATCTAGAAAAACATCGTCCTCTGAGGGTGAGTTAGTCGGGCTGGGCATAGCAATGCTGGAGACGATGGTGGTAGTAGGGGGGAGAAAGGAACACGACACGAAAGACTAAAGTGGAACTGAAGACGCGTCTCGGCCACGTGATGGCGTTATTACGCTCGACTGGATATGGCAAGTCTCCTGCCTCTTTCGCGCATACACGGGGCCACAGATGATCGAGATCGGGCTCTGCAGCTCTTGGTGAGGTATAGCTTGCCCACAACCACCATCTGCTGCAATTTTTACACCCTCTATAACAGTAGTATGTCTTTCACGCAGTCCGCATTGTACACCGCGAATCCAGCCACAGCGCGTGGCGTGTCGACCAAACTCGCAGCATCAAAGGAGAAGATCGTATATACCAACGGCCGAGCTGTATTCGTGCGTGCACAGCGCTGTATTACTGTGTACTTATACTGATCTGCTGCAGATCCGTGATATCAATGTCGGTCAATCTCTATGTTTTAGTAAGAACGTGAAAGATTGATGAGAGCATCATTGTAGAATCCAGGACTTGGTGTGGCGTACACCGGACATACCCACAATACCACTGTGGCCCGGATATCACCCACTGGATACTACTGTGCCTCTGCAGATGTCACTGGAACAGGTGCGCCTCATATTCCCATGCTGAAATTTGTTGTCTCGGTATCAAAGTATGTACTTGTCAGTGCGAGTATGGGATACTGTCGGAGAAGATCAGACTCTCAAAGGATCATACAAAGTCATCGGTGGTCGCATGTGCGTACATTCATAAATTATGAAGACATTCAATCAGCTGAATACTCGTCACTGTGTAGTAACGATCTGGAATGGGATGGAGAAAGCAAACGTATCATTGCCGTTGGAGACGGTCGAGAGAAGTATGTGTTGTTCTCACTTATTTATCTTGAAGCTTTCCAACCCGTCGACTGTTACTCATATGCACTTCTCACCGTTCGCCGCACTAGATTCGGACACGCTTTCATGTTCGACACTGGGACAACAACTGGAGAAATTATCGGCCATTCTAAGGTCCCTCTCATCTTCTCTGTTCCATAGACAGATGTTGACGTGGGGTTCCAAAATTGGTTTGACCGTTAGACTATAAACGCAGTGGCCATCCGGCATCAAAGACCATTCCGCGCAGCTACAGCCGCGGACGACAACTTAATCGTCTTCCATCAAGGTGCGCACTTCCCCAAGCAAAAATCAATGAGCGTTCTCATATCTTGACCCATAACAGGCGTACCCTACAAGTACGACAAGGTACGACATACTTCTTCCTGGCACACAATTATGAATCTGAATCACTCTCTTTCTGTATCTTTCCGTAACTCATACTTGTGCAAAATAACCATAGACAATCAAAACCCACACCAAATTCGTCCAAGACCTTCGCTTCTCTCCCTCTGGTGACCACTTCGCCAGTGTCGGCTCCGACGGTAAAGTTTTCCTCTACGAAGGAAAAGCAGGAGATGTACTCGGAGAGTTCGAGGAGGGACACAAAGGCACAGCCGTAAGTGTCTCTGCGACACCAACTCGTGGAATGTGGGGAAGAAACGAAAACATGAAACTAATATGAGTGAGTTAGTACGCTGTTGGATGGAGCCCTGACTCTAAAGCTATCTCGACGTCCTCCGCCGATGGAACAGTCAAGCTTTGTAAGCCTTTCTTTTGGCACTCCATCTTCTGTTGACTTGTTAATATCTGTTTCGTGGTCGACCTATTCAGGGGACATCGAGACGCGCAAAGCTACTACGACATATACTCTTGGATCAGGCCTCGAATCACAACAAGTCGGAAACGTATGGAGTGCCCCAGACACAATCGTCTCGCTCTCTTTCACTGGAGAATTGAATGTATTTGATAGGAGGACGGCCGAGAAACCGGTGAAAGTTCTCTACGTAAGTCCCCTTCTTCCTGTTTCGCCTCCTTCTGTTCCGTCCTCGTCATCCTCTTGACCAGAACACGTTCATTAATATATTGACACCATGTCGTAGGGCCCTCAAAAAGCCGTAACGTCAGCGGCCCCTACATCCTCTTCAACATTCATGGTCGGAACAGCGGATGGCCGTATCCTCTCATACGACGCTGCAGGCGAAGCGAAACCCCTTGGTGGACAAGGCCACACGAATCTCGTCGCTGCGATTACCAAGGCTGAGAGCGGGAAGGTCTATTCTGCTGGATTTGATGATAGGCTGAGGGAGGTCGAGGGGGAGAAGTTCACGTATGTGGCACCCTTCAAACCTTCCGGATAATCGACCAATGAATCTGCGTTACTGACGCAGCTTTATTCATTGACTTGTCTGAGTAGAGCTGCCTCCGCGCCCACAGGCTCCCAACCAAAATCGATCGCCGCTGCATCAGACGGCACGGTCTTTGTCGTTGGAGCTGCCGACAGCGTGAGGGCAGTGAGGGATAATCAAGCCGTCGCAGAAGTCAAAGTGAAGGGCAATCCGAGTGCTGTCTCTGCGAGTGGGAGTTTCGTCGCCGTTGGGACCGAGGTATGTCTAGTTGCCTTCCCTCTGACGCCGACCCTCCTTCGCGGGAGAAAAAGAAGAACATGTTGCTTCATTATTGACTGACTTTTGCGGTATGGGTATGGCGTAACAATACAGGACCAGAAAGTGCGCCTCTTTGACTGGGACGGCAGTGCCTTGAAGGAGATCGTGTTGCTGGAGGGAAATAAAGGCGTCGTCAGTGCACTTGCCTTTTCGCCAGACGGTTCAAAATTAGCTGCTGGTGACGTGAGTTCGGCTGAACATCCCTAGACTCGTTTAGTATCAACCTAACCGTAATCTTTGCGCTCGTAGTCAAGCGGAAAAATCGTGTTGTACGATGCTAAAGAACATAAGGTTCGTCCTTCTCTCCTCCCTTAGAGCAAACATGAGCCATAACGAAACAATGATTACGCACGCCACAACAGGCAATAACCTCCCGCTGGTCCTTCCACTCCGCACGAATTCACTCCCTCGCATGGACTTCCGATTCCCTCCACTGCGCCTCCGGCTCCCTCGACACCCACATCTACGTCTGGAGCGTCGAGAAGCCAGTAAAGAACATCGCGATCAAAAACGCGGTCAGTGGCGGTGTCAACGCTGTGTTTTGGTTGGGCGAGAGTGAGGGTGGGAAGGGCAAGGTGGTTGGGGCGGGGGCGGAGGGGTCTGTCAAGGTTTGGGAGGTTAAGTTTCATCAATGAGGTTGCGTGAAGTGTGTCTGAGATGTGCAACCTAAAGGTGTGGACCAGGGAAGTACAAAACCGAAGAATATACAATGATGAACGTGCGAGGAGGAATAAGGATGTATGGTCGGATGCTATCGTGTTGTACAGTTACCTTGCTTGAAAGGTCCATCCCACCCTCGTAATTGCACTCGAAAACGATCCCCCACACAAACATACGTAAACAATGATGTGTGGCGACGTCGCCTGTCGTTGCCACACTGCTTTTCGCAGGATCATTGGTTCTTGACTCTGAACACATCGCTGCACATCGTCGCACATCGTTTGATTTGTTTCCCTTGTTCGACATGATTTGCCTTTCGTTACGGGTCATGGATGATGCCCACAAACCATCATACTCCTGCGTATGTGTGTACCTCTCTTCATCGCACCAAGTCATAAATATACGGCCTTCTTTCTGCCCACGACCTTTCACTCTTGACTCTCACAGCTCTCTCAAAAATATCAATTCTTCTGCCGCGGGAATTGGTGAGGATGGTGCACCGTCGACAGGTCGAAGCTTTCTACAGTTCATTTTATGTCAGCTGTCCGACGGAACTGACAACGTCCTCGTTCTCTTCATAGAGCATCTACCAACAGCGATAATATGCCTATTGTCTCCTTTGCCCCTGCTCTTGGGTCTGAAATCGTTGTCAATCGCCTGAGGCACCTGATTTCATTCGCTAGGAATATTTACTTTGCCGCTCAGGACTCCGTGCAATGCAAGCGTAAACGCGCAAGGAACAAGCAAACATCGACGCCGTAGCCAGAGCTATTCTCTCTTCGTTCATCGAGGACTGATCCTCCATCACTCATCATCTATCGTCAGGTATCCTGAAACGACTTGTGGAACCATCCTGCCACTCGCTGCTGTGACCCTACCTGCTTCACTAGGGCATGCGAAGGCCTCCCCGAAACCCCTGATCCCGTCGACCCGCATTTGAATCATTGTTAGATGACTATCATGAATATTAACAAGCTTTTGGCGACCAGAACCATGACGTGCTCACCTCGAAACCTAACTGCAATTTCTCGCATCTCCGCTTTTTATTTGTACTGTTCACATTGCCTGTTGATATGTTCGTGCTTAGACGTTTGGGCATGCAAAGGACATGCATCGAGGATGACAGTGACTGACGTACGCTCAAATCCATGTCTCACTCATTCCGCACGACCTAACACACATCCTCGGTCACTGCAGCCGAGGATGTACTGAAGTTGGATAACGTCTTATCCGACCACGGGCATAGAGGCTGCTACCGAACTCAAGGCCATCAAGTACAAGCACTAGTGGCAGCAATCGGTATGTGAAGTACTGAAAGAGCAAAGATCTAGGTGGCCTACTAGTAGTGGTCGAAGAAAGGGCGTCATTCGCTACCAAACACGGAGGAATGTGTGATCTGTTAAGTAGCAGGCCAACCCAACTCACGGACAATTTTGTCGGAGGTGGATTCGTTGTGGACGGTGGGCAGTCCCTCCTCCTGAGGTTCTATTTGTGTCCGGTGGTTTTGGATTGGGCACTTCAAATGATCAAAATTATACTGTGCATACTATCCATGATATTTCACATCCTGTACAGTTGGCTACCTAATTGCATTCAGAGCGGAGGAGCTCCAAATTTAAACCTCTCCAAACTAATTTTCCAAGCAAGGTGGCTGTTGCCGAAGGCAGCGCTCCCCCAGTACGGAATGGTATGCGGTACCTATGGACTTTTGTGAACTCGGTTTGAACCCTGCCCACGTATGGATAGATCTTATGCTGAACAGATGCTCCCGAAACCTGGGTAAACGTTATACCCTCCCTGGATGTGCTGGCGGTCAGGAAATCAGAGCCATAACGCACTGACCCTTCGGCACTTCGCATTCTGGTGCATGCAGCTCCGTCAGTTATAACCTACATAGCATAGATATATTCGTTTCAAAATCGGTGCCTCTGCCTCTATAAGTAAATCATACACGGACAGTGAGTCACTTCACTACAGTACTGATCAAAGACTATGTTCCTCGTAATTCTTCCGTTTCTGCTCCTCACTTAATTTCTCCCGCAACGCGAACACTATTGGTGGCGAAGAAAAAAGAGACAACGCGGGTTAGCACATTACTGAATCTTCTTCACCTAGACAAATCACTCGGAATGTAAAGCCAAGTCCGACTGACCTCTCATTGTCCATTCCAGCCGCTTTAACGCGTCCTTCGTATCTTCAATCGGTGGCAAGTTGTTCTCTGATGTTTTGGCTGTGACCACAGCCCGTTCGTGACTGCCGTCCGACCTCTTCTCATGTTTCGACCCGATGAGGGTAGTTCGTCCGCTGCGGAACGAAGCGGAATACGATGGAGATGAGGGCGTAGAGGGAGGTGGAGGGCGGACTAGGCCATTGAGTATGGCACGTATGGAACTTAGGTTGATCCCCAGGTTGGTTGTTTCGTAGCGAGCTAAATGCATGCATGCAATACACGTGAGTGCGTGAGAGTTGGCGATCACCATGAAAATCAAGGACGAATAACATGATATGTGAAAGCTGTGCGAACTGACCGATACCACCGTTCTTCAACAGCGTTTTAGCCAAGCCAAGAAATACGAATACGTGCGCAAAAGACTGGACCGTGGCTCGGCTTTCCTCTTCCCATTCTGTCACAAGATACGCGGTCGAACGGTATACGACTATGTCTCTGGCGTGATGATTGTGGTCGAGGCGGAGGTCGAGGCGGGCAATAAGGGATTGAGTGACGGTTTGGAGCGTAGTGAGCATGCTTAGGAATGCGTCGTAGTCTGAGGTGGTGATATGTCTTGAGGATTTGGACTGGTGAATGAAACGAACCATCAGTAAAGATGCGATACGGATAAACGATCAGAGACTATTGTAACCGAAAACTGATGCGATGATGCGTTTCAAAGGAGGATGTACGCACTTTCGGTGGATTGTCAGTCAGAGTTGAGGAGGAAACTTCAGACCCACATCGAATACGCCTCTTGACAGCCTACAGTAGAATAACCAGAAACCTCGTGAGCGGCCGTTACAATGACCCGAAGAGAAGAGGCTTTGCCTACCTTTTCCGAAACTGCAACGGTTCTTAAACTCTCATCATCACCAGCATGACCAACACTTTTCGGTCCCGCATTACTCGCGCTCCTTGAGGCAGTGGGCCACGCCACGTCCACAGCCCATCTCATCGCCCACACCACAGGTCTGACTACAACCCTCCTGACGATTTCCTTTCCACTGCCTACTATACACTCCAACTCCACCATCCTCTCACTGACGAGCCGTACAGCATCAACGGTGCTTGATGGAAAGAGCGTACGGTCCATAGGGATCTTATGTTCAAGATCTCGTTCGTACGGTTTAATGGACACGTCGATCCATAGTTGTGTCAACGAGTCGGTCCAAGGAGTGTCAATTGTCAGCGCTCTGGATGATGATATGTCACAGGAGTCGGAGGACGTAAGGATGGGCTTAGGTCCAGGTGTTTCCCAAGGAAAGGGATGACGAGACCTGCAGGGTAGTCGCTTGAGATTAGGTGTGGAAGAGACTGGTAAGGAATCGACGCTGACGCCGTCGTCGAGCGCAGCAGACATCGGGAGAGGATAATGATGGAGGTGGAAAGGTGGAAAGAGCCTTCGAGCGCTAATCCATTACGGCGAGGATGCCCCACACAATTGATGATCATCTCACGGGCTATAGGGTCAAGAAGGTTATGTCAGAGCAAGGTCATCCTGGAAATTTCATAGACACATGTCTTACGGGGGTCGAAGTAGTAACGAACCGGAAATACTAGATCACATTCCTTTGAGGTGTGGAGATGACTTTAGCGAGTGTTTCTGACGGGTGGTTTCGGCGACTGCCGGACTGAGAAGGTTGCATGAAGTGCCACCCGACGAGCGCCACACTTTTCCTCAGCTCAGATCTGCATGTCAACTGCAAGTATCTTCAAGCTTCAAGCTCATGGCTTAAATACATGTTCTGTGAGTCGCTGACGGGCACCATCCTATGGTCAAAACGGAGGCTCTGGACTGCTACTTGAGGAGTAGGCTGGATTCACCGTATCAGGCCCACATGCCCAGATTGAGGAAGATCACCGAGATGGTAATGCAAAAAGTTTGATTGGCTCCAGCAGATCGTACGAAAATGTGCAGAGGTCCTGAAGTTCTATAGTATCAAATTGCAAAACACCAGCTGTTGGAATACGGACAGGCTTTAGGTCTTGATACCGCGGTCTTTTATAGAGGAGCACTGTAAACGCGTTAACGGCCGTCAACGGCTACGTTGCTCAAAGCGGCGACCCCTAATGGGGGTCTCATTGTTCACAAAATGGTCATATATGCTTTTCTGGTACCATGGTGGCTCCGAGCCTGCTATAAGACACCACTATGTGCCGTTACTACTATCATACAAAGTGGGCAAGTACTCACCGTCTGGGCAGAACGGTTTCGACAAATGGAGAGAACAGGAAAGACGAGCCAGTGCGATTTTGCGAGAATGAAAGCGAACCTAAACCTACCTAAACTGGCGTCAAAATTAGTTCATGATAAGCTGAGTTACGTGTTGACGCGACGCGTCTGTGGCTGAAATCGGGTGATGGCACGTGGGAAGGTATTACCGAAAGTAGCGAGGCGGAAGGTCGAGCAAGTTGTGGGCCGATTTTTGTTGGGTGCGTCCCGAAAGTATATAAAGCCTAGCAACCGCCGTGGGCAAGCCCCCCGACCCCCCTCTTCCTCATCCACCTTTCTTTCAATCCTCTCTCACCCCTACACCTTCGTGAGTTTATACTCGAGTCCTCCAAATGTCAACGAGCGAAGCACTGACGGACTTCTCATATCTTAGCCATGTCTGCCCCCACTGAGACTCTTGCTGACGGCCGTGAACGTTCTCGTATCTCGAACTACAACGACTTCTGGCAGAAGGACTTGAAGAAGGAGGCTGCCGTCGATACCGAGAACCGTCTCGACAATTACACCGACGTTGTCAACGGTGAGTATCTATGCCGTCCTCCGCCGCGATACCTCTTCCTGACGTGAACCCTGCAGGCTATTATGATGGTGCTACCGAGCTCTACGAGTACGGTTGGGCCACATCATTCCACTTCTCTCGCTTCTACAAGGGCGAAGCCTTCCACGCCTCGCTCGCCCGTCACGAGCACTATCTCGCCTCCCAGATGAGCCTCAAGCCCGGCATGCGCGTCCTCGACGTCGGCTGTGGTGTCGGTGGTCCCGCAAGGGAGATCGCTAGGTTCTCGGACGCGAACATCGTCGGTGTCAACAACAACGACTTCCAGATCGGAAGGGCGAGAAAGTACACCAAGGACGCTGGCTTGGAGAACCAGGTCCAATTCACCAAAGGAGACTTCATGAAGCTGTCAGAAAAGTTCGGGGAGAACTCGTTTGATGCAGGTATGACTTTGTTTTCGTGTGTTTTGATTTCATTGAATATTTACTGACGATGGATATTTCCTCCAGTCTACGCCATTGAGGCTACTGTACACGCACCAACATGGGAGGGTGTGTATGGTGAAATCATGAAGGTTCTCAAACCTGGAGGAATCGTGCGTCTACAATCTCCCACCCGTCATTCGGCTGCCTTTCTCACCTATTTTCCATTCTTAAGTTCGGTGTCTACGAGTGGGTCATGACCGACCGTTGGGACCCTTCGAACCCAGAGCACAAAGAGATCGCCCACGGAATCGAATTCGGTTCAGGTATCCCTGAGATGCGTCCCATCGGCCTCGCTCGCCAGGCCCTCCTCAACGTTGGCTTCGAGATTGAGCACGAAGAAGACCTCGCCGACCGTCCCGACCCGGTGCCTTGGTACTACCCCCTCGAGGGCGACATCAGCAAGGCGCAGACCGCTTGGGATTATTTCACCGTGTGGAGGATGAGCTGGAGCGGTAAGCTCGTGAGCCATTCGGCGATGAGGGTCATGGAGTTTGTTGGGATGTTGCCGAAGGGGACATGTGCTGTTGGTGAGAGTATGAAGGTTGCCGGAGATGCGCTCGTTCGGGGTGGACAGACGAAGGTTAGTACCCGTCTAATTTTCTTTTTTTGCACTCGGCATCATATCGACTCACTTTCGACTCGTTTACAGACCTTCACACCGATGTACCTCGTCGTGTGCCGCAAGCCTCTATAGACGCTTCAGCTCCTCTCTTTCCCGCCTCTTCCCTCGCATCTCGTCTCTCACACTGCTCATCCATCATATCGGGATATACGTACTACACTCACACTACATCCTCTTAACAAGTATTTTATATCTTTTACATACTGCTCACGGCTCTGCTCTTCGGACAACTTTCGCTTCCTTTGCTTGTCTACCTTCTTTTGGGTGGACAGGTCGATACCGGTACCAACGTGGTTTGACTAGCTTGACCTTTTATTATCTTTTTTGGTTCGAGTCGGTCTGCGGCAATACATTCGTTCTGTGGAAGTGATGATATACGTATGCGAATGCTGCAAGGAAGTCGTTGTGATTTGCAGCTTGAAGATACCGGCGACACAACCATGGCAAGGAACAGCAGAAGTGTAGCCCCCGATAAATGTGACTCTTCCCCAACCATAGGTGCAGATTTCAGCCGTCGTAGACACAGGCGTCATTTCACGTCTCTGACATTAAAATCAGCCAGCGTCGGTCAAAAATCTCAGGCAGGATGTTTGCCGTCTCTGGTCTAAGCTCTAGCAATTTTTCCTTGGCGATGAGGGCCCGTTTTCAATGTTATTGTATCCCCGTGCCTCGAGTTGGTGTTGCGCAAACCTATGGGTATTGATAGTGGGGGATCTCGGGCTGCTTGGAGGAAAATCACAATGTACGAAGAGAACGTGAAGCTGAGTCATGAAGGCGTAAGCTCGACTCCGCTATATTATTGCCTCAGCTGGGCCACACCACTCGTCCGCTGGTCTGCAAAGGGCGGAAGGCGGAAAGTACGACAAACACTGTCTGTTCCCCCCTATATTGATTTGGTGGGAACAGATTCACTTATTAGCGAAGCGGAGTATCAGAATGCCTTGATAGTCAACCATGCTTTGATAGCGGCGTACAGGTTCGGAGTGAATTCAATGACAAGATCGATGTACGATATTACATTGAGTGAGTCAGGCTGCCAGACGTATGCAAGTACCCTATGTAATGACCGTCGCAGAGCACAATGATGGATGTAAATAAAATAAAAAGTACGAAACAGCGCACAAGCGATAAAGAGAAAAAGAATCAAAGTCCCAGTGAGCCCATAATTATACCACAGTGTGTAGTGGATTCGGAAAGATGGAGCGGCGGCAACCATCGTTTCACTGTCCGAAGAAGCAGCGACGGACACCCGAAAGTGTTCGGGAAGCGTGGCGTAAGCCAAAGGAGTCCAACCCATGCTGATTACAGCCTTCATGCAAGCCCAGATGCGTCATAATCGGTACACAGGCCGTCCCTAGAATACATACAGAACAGACCGGTCAGCATGGGAGAAACAACAGGTGTAAGGTATATCGTACCAGGCATCAATGTTCACCGTGGTGTCAGCAGCGATATCGCCGGTGTCCTCCGCGAAGACTATAGCAAAGCCAGCGGCCAAATGCCAGTCGATGTGACTGCGGAGAGCGCAATGTTAGTCACAGGCTCTCGGGATTTGACGTTCTAGGAAAAGCGTGGTGGGAGACTCACCAATGCAAAATCCACGGGCCATCGTTGTCGGCAGTGAATCGGAAGGTAACGTTATCACCCGCAACGCCACTGTTCACAACGTCGCGCTTCACTGGGTTGTCGTAGTTGTAGGTGTCGCTGCCGGCGCTACGGATGACGTCAAAGGCGTGTCCGTGCAGATGGATAGGGTGCTGGAAACATCAATGATACAAATTTGGTCAGAAAATGCCAAGTCCGCGTATGTTATACTCAAACTTACAGGTGAACCAGCAGCTCCTCCAGGCAAGGAAATTTCGACGGTCTGATTGCGCGTCAGCCCAATAATGCTTCCGGATGGGAGAAGATCCGCAGCATCTTGCGTGCCACTCAAGATCTGGAGAAGAACGGGAACTGTCGGTGGGGTGAAGGCGACGCCGTTGACCGTGAACTGAAGGGTAGTGGCATCCTGAAAATCCCAACACGCATTAGCATCCAAGCAAGTATTGGGAGGACTGGGCAGCTGCTGAGTTACTCACAAAAGCGATCGCCAAGTTGAGGTCGACGTCCGCACCACCTGTCTCCGCAGTTCCAGGAACACCAGTAGGGTCCAGCGGCTAAAGAAAAAAACATAACCGAGTGAGACGGGATGCATATGGGGAAGGAAGGAAAGTCTAAGTCGCGTGTCCGGAGGCAGAACAGAGATGAGCGGGTGAAGTGATTTGAACATACGTGAAGATCAGTCTCCGCGAGCGCCATCGTGGCGGTAGTCTGGTTTGTAGTAGGATCAACTTCGTCCGCGCCGTCATATCTGAGAATGGCAACGTTCAATCCTCCATCGAAGGTGGTGGTTCCGACGTCCGGGAGAGCACGGATCCCTGCAGGCTCTCATCAGCAACGGTTGGAGACTGTGAAGTACGAGATAGGAATACGTACAGTAGTTGTCGACGGTCTGATTGGCTTCGAGCACGAAAGAGTAGCGCTGCCCTGATGGATTGATCATGCTTCAGCAAGACATTTATAGTGAAAGACTTGTGATTAATTGCTTACCAGCGTATATTTGGATAGAGTCGGTAATGACAGGTTCGGTGTTTTGCGCATCAGCCTCTATGACAGTCATGGTGTGCCCGTCGATAGTGAAAACGTAGTTCGGGTCGCAGGAAATGTTGATCAAACGGAAGCGATACCTTCAGAAATAAGATATCAATAATGAGGAACTTCGGTCATTCTGAACGTAGAGATGAGACTTACCTCGTTCCTTGCGTAACAGTGATAACGGCGAGATCAGAGGCAGGTCCATCGGTGTAGCGTCCCAAACCATTGATTAGTGTAGAATCGGGCGTACTGAAGCAGTGAAGTGTTAGTGACAAAAATAGAAAAATCTCTGCACAAGACAAATTAAACTCACGGCACGAGGCCAGCATCAGGGGCAAACGTATGGTACCTACACCAAGGTCAACGACTGTACGGTGATGTCAAGAAAAGAAGAAAGTACCAATCGGCCAGAGTGATGATGGTAGTTTCTATAAATCGGGTAAGTACTATGCGCTCTTGACGCAACGAAGTGTGCTCACCGTCATCGACATCGTAAAGGTCCAGGTAAGGGTCATCTGGGTCATAGATGACCATAGGGCCTCTGAGCCCGTCACAATATTGTGTTGAATGGTGGGAATGGTACCAGAATGTACCTAAATGCAGGTTGAGAGAGGAAAGTGTAGAGATACGACGAAAGGCATACCAGCTTGTCCAGGGACGCTGAAATCGTAAAGGAAGGAGTTCCCTGGGACGATTGGACACTGACTAACGAAGGCCACACCTAGAAGGGGCAGTGAGCGATAGCGAAGGTCAATAAACGAGAAATTTGGCGTACCATCCATGTTGGTAGTGCCGGCTTGAAACAAACCGTGCCAATGCTATTGAGAAGCACAATCATGAGCACACTATCCCATTAGCTGTCGAGAGGCAGTCGTACAATGGTTGTGGTAGTGAGCATGTTGTCGTCGCTCAAGTCATCGTAGACAGTGATTTGAAACTCGTCGCCCTAAGGTTGTACGGTGTGAGGATGCAAACAATCAATGTCGTAAACGTATCGAGTACTGACGGTATCGCCCGTAATCAGTGGTCCTGGGAACGTGCCGCCAGCGACAACCGTGCTAAGGACAGGGATAAGTATGTGCAGATATACGCAGATAGAGGGAGGAGGCGTACTCGCGAGAATAGCCATCGGGCGAAAGGGCAGTATTATTGACATGAAGATCGGTAATAGGGCCAATTGCAGCCATGGCTCCGAGAGCGGCGAACAATGGAGCAGCCAGGGCTGCGGAAGCGAGAGTGTATGTCATCGTCGTGACTTGACGAAAGAAGGGAAAGAACGTGAAGAGAACGTGGAGAGAAGTGATAGTTATCAACGGGGCTGCGAGATGGGTCGGTGTGTTGTTGCATCCTGGACGCGTGTCCGCGACTCTTATACGTCCTAATGTGGGACCTTCGCTAGGCTCTGTCGCGGGTCTATCTTGGGAATAGAAGCCTGTCTTTGCCGTCAAAAAATTGTACCTGGGAGTGAAAGCTCTTTTCCCCCAGGAATTGATGCGATTAGCTGTCGCCACAGCGCAGGGCAGAACGAACAATCCCCTTGTTCGAACCAGGACGGAGTGGGACCCTCCGGTACTGCGCCCCGTACTCAAGAACGGACCCGATGCTCGCCATCAACAACACATGTCGTCAGCGGGGCCGTTGGCAGAGGTACGAACAGAGCTGCGGAAGACGACAGAAGGCACTGGCTGATCAGTGGGAGGAATCTGCCCGTCTCCGCGGATGAGCATTGGCGCATAACCACATTGACGCAGAACCGTCATAAGCAGGATAGCTGTGTGCACGAGGGATGTTGATACGTCGGGCAACATGCTTTCAGGTACTCAAAAGCGCAGGATGTACGAATGTACGTACAATATGCGACGCGTACCTCTCTATCCATTGCGGACATTTGGCTCTATCACAGTCTTGTTCGCAATGACATATATTTGAACGTATCACGGGGTCTCAATTGTCCAGGACACTGAAGCAGATGCCCGACTTTTCGAGACATTTCTGCGCTCAAAATTAGTCAAAGAGAAGCGCATGAAATATGCTACGTAGCAGCGGCTCTCTTAGCAATTTGAAGTATGACATGCAGGAGCATTCTAGAGAGCTAATTTCCGAGGTCGCTGTGGAAGGCACCGACTGCGTAAGAAGCACCGATGAAGAATAGACTGAGCTTCATGCAGTCCAAGCTGCGAAGTGATGTATATATCCAGAGGAAATGAAACAAAGCCATCGACGAGCAGAAAAAGAAGCATAATAGCACAGTCATCGCGCGGGCCTGGGAGCCACAAGGTGGCGACCACGTTGTCGTCGCGGTACCATTCGGTGATGTCGGAGAACCCCGGCAACGCCACCTGTGAGTCAGTCCACTTCCTCGCACAGGGACTTGCCCAACGAGACTTAACTGTTACGGTCGCCGTCCACGCTTTCGAAATGACCGTACCACGAACTTACTGGTTCTTTATTTTTTCCCTCGAGGGCCCGCTAATTAATCCAATTCGTCATGGCGAGTTGAACTGGCAACCCTACAAGCCTTCACTCCCAATATTTATCGTCAACCTGAAACCCAGTAATGTTTGGAACTCGTCCTCCGTTCTGCTGTACAAACCAGGTCAGTTTGGCAACCATCGCCACCGGCATAGCTTGAAGGAGTATCACAAAGCTCTCCACCAAGAAGCTGTCTATGCTCACGCTCGCTGCGCCCCTTGAATTCTTTGCAAAGCATGAGCCCAGAGACCGCGTCAAACACCAGCTTGAACGTCCAGTGCTCGAGGCAGTACACGGTCATGACCAGTATGGTCTGAAGACAGCCTAGGTCATCCGGATTTAATGGAGTGTTGTTCAGGTCCGATGTTCACCACGGTTCTGCGGATCCGGCTGCTTCAGCGCCGTCGCACGATGCATAGCGGACATCTGAATCGTATGCACAGGGATAATCCCTTTATTTCTTTGAAGAGAGAGTACCGGAACGTCTAATCTTGATGTGAAGGCAACCGCTGCACGGCCTTACGAGCTGTTTTCTCCCCAACCAGAGCCAGGCAACTCCGCAACGCTCGTCGCTTCTTGCGCAGTCGTTTGACATGCTCTGCGTTTTTTATTATGCTCCCTCGACGGCCGACCACTCGCACTCATGCCCTGAATTCTGGCCGTCGGTTTCGTACCTTTTCAGCACTTGGGTGTTTTCTGTTCAGGTTTAAAGCCATCAGATCACGACACAGCGAGATTCATCACCTCCACTACACACGCTCATTCAATTCACTCACGATGCGCTTTTCTCACCCTTTCCTTGCCACCATCAGTCTCTTCCTTGCTGTCAATGCAGCTCCCGCAGCAGTACGTTTGCCTTCGTATTCTTCGATGTTGTTTATACTGACGACGACCCTTCTTCTCAGGAAAGCGAAGCTTCTGTCGACGGGTCTGCAGCTGCGGCCAGTGTCGACGGGTCTGCAGCTGCAGCCAGTCCGACGAGCGTCATAGCGAACGGCACCACGTCCTGGCCGGTCGTCACTGCTACTCGCCTCATGAACTCCTTCATCTCTGAGAGCCCGTACTTTGTGACGGTCACCACAGTCATGACTTGGACGCAAAGCCCTTCGGCCACACCCAGTGCTTCCGCTTCCGCTTAGCCACCTCTTAGGTTACGGTCAGTCCCTCTCCCCCATGAGGATCACACTCAGGGTCGATATACGATGTACTGATGATGTTCTCTAGGAGGGGCGATACCGCAGAACTACCACTCATGCCCTTCGCCAATCATTTTTCGATTATCACGAGATCATGTCTTTCTTTTTGGTGCATGATGGTTTGGGTCTCTCTGGGTGGAGCCTGAGGTCTCCGAAGGAATATTCGCTGTTGTTATGTTATTTTTACTAAAGAGCATCTGTTTGATTATTTAACACTACCCGTATGGGCTATTTTGATACGCGATTGTGCGCTAACCCGAGTCTTTCCCTCCATCAAGCCTTTGTCCAGACCGCAGATTTTGTCCACAGCATCAACCAGCAATTTAGCGCCACAGTTGCCTGACACGAGTGCGGCATCCTTTCACACAAGATAAGGAGTGGGCATGGCATGGGTATTGTTTCTCAAAGATGGGAAAAGAGACCGTACTCTGAGGATGTCGCAGTCTCGGAGCCGGCGACTTCATGGAAATTCAGTGTAGTGGCCGCGGACACTCGCTTGAGGAGATCTAAGGACTCGGTGGAGCACAAACATATCTATGGAGAGACTGATAGGGCGATACTGCCAGTAGACATTGATGAACACGAAAAGGCTGTATCAACACGGAATTCAGAGCGATCTCCATAATCCCCCTACCGGCCCTTCAAGTTTCGCTACCTCTCGCGTAACCTCACCACATATTCCTCATTACCTTTCTCATGCGTCGTGCTGACTCACGAATAAAATCTTCCTTCAGATCATGTAGACTTCCAGGTAAGTGGTCTTGATCATTGTTTCCTTGTTAGTCCTATCGAGGGAAAAAGGTGCCTACTAGAGGAGAAATGGACTCACCAATGGTAAGTTTCGTGAGCTTAAACCCACCGCGATAGTGAATGTCCCCGTTGGGATGAACCACGATTGTCTCGCTACGGACCAAACCTGCACGCATGCAAGAATGAATCGGTGCCGGTTTTAGGTCAGTGAAAGCGAAATTTTGCAGGATGTGGGCCAAGGACTCACGCTCAGGTCCTTCCGTCTCAACTCAAACGTCGCCGTACCCTTTTCACCCGGCTTCAAGTCCTTCACTTTATCGAAACCTCGCAGTACGCGAACAGGCTCGCCGGCCTCCGGTATGGACACATACAACTGAGCAACCTCACTGCCGGTGGCGTTTCCCGTGTTCGTAACGGTGGCGGAATAAGTCGCAATCACGTCGTACAGAGAGCTGCCCGTTCCGTTTGAGCCATCGAAGGGTTCCGCGGTATTCATGATAGAAGTATTGTCAGATTTGAAGGTGCCGTCGAATTTGAGGCCAGAGTACTCAAAAGTGGTGTATGAAAGACCGTAGCCGAACTCTGGGTGAGCCACTTCGTATCAGCACGAAACTATTGTGGCCGGAAAAGGCGAATACATACCATAGCGAGGAGTTACATTCTTGCTGTCAAACCATCGATAATCTATGAATACACCCTCTGTGAAATTGGATTGGGGCGCCGGGATGGGATCGGTCACAATGGTGTTGGGCTGCGAAAAAGAAGATAGGATCAGCGCCAAACTTTGCTCGAGTACTTACAGGACAAGCCTACAGGATAATCGTCCTCAGACTTCCCCCAGGTAAAGGGCAACTTGCCACTCGGGTTCACGTCCCCATACAGTACAGGGACGAGCGCATTCCCAGACTCCTGACCTGGCATCCATGCCGCAACAATGGCCGTCACATTTGGATTATTCGCCCACTGCTCGACATCGACAACGCCAGAGATATGCATCACGACCACTACGTTGCTGGAAGACTTGACGGCAGCTGCGATGAGATCGTTTCCATTGTGATTTAACAAAATCGTCTCGCGATCAGCGCCTTCCTGTGTCCAGGACTCTACAAAGACAAGTGTCACGTCGGATATTGGGGCGAGCGTTTGTATGGAGGTGACATCGTCGTCACTGAGGATCCATCCAATCTGGACGGCGAGATGATGGGGATTAGAATAGAGACAATATAAAGTAGAGAGGACAGACGCACCTCACTATCGTCAGCAATTGCACGAGCTTTCAAGGCATCCAACGGTGTAACGATGTAGGGGGCATACGCCCAACCAGAACCACCGCCTAGAGTCAACGTCCCATTCTGCGGGTCCTGTTCGAGACATTATTAGGAGAAGAGTGTTGTGAGCTGGATTAGATACGCACATTGACATCGGTACTACAACTAGTATCTCCTTGACCGCAGAGGTTTGGGCCTATAGCGCTGTCCCCCGCGTCAGTTCCTATATAATACGCCAATGAGCGAAATGTTGCTATCCGAGGCGTAACAAGGTACACACCGACAACAGCAATACGACTCGGTTTGTTGAGAGGCAGTCCACCGGTATTCTTGAGCAGAGTGATGGATTGGGAACCAATATCGCGGATGAGGGTCTTCGTTGCTTTCTTGCGCACATCACGATACAAATCAGGAGCATCGAAATCGCTGTTCGCGTTCTGGATCAAATATAATCAGACCAGAGTACGGGACCATGCGTGGTTTCACGATGCGTACAAAAACGACATCCGGGAGAGGGTGTGTATCTTGCTCCAGCCAGAAATAGGGTGTGAGAGTGCGTATGACCATATCGTTCACTCGGGACTCCGGAATGGAACCATTTCTGACGAATTCGGTGATATTGGCCCAGAATGCACCGGAACCAGTGCCACCAGGCATGGACTATGATCAAACAGAAATGAAGATATGAGAAAGGAATGAAGAACGTTAGACGACATAATTCTAAAAACGGACCATATCCAACCCTCCGAGTGCAGAGGGAATAGCATTATGCTGTCCGCCCCAGTCGCTCTATGTTGCCAGGATTACTTGTCATGGCGCAGAAATATGACATGTGATGCGAGACCCACCATGACACTGCCTTGAAAGTCAAGCTCAGTTTTGAGAAGGTGATTCTGAGTGTAAGCGTCGTTACAGGCATGTGTGCCGTTGATATCATTGTACGAGCACCTAACTCAGTCTGTGTAAGGAGAATCCTGGAGCCTGGCCAGATACTTCGCAAAGAACTGACATGACGTGGCTGGTCCCTGCACGAACAGCTTCGGCAAAACTCCACAAGTAAACTTCGTGCGTTGTCTTGTCATCGATGTTTGAGGATATGCTATGTAATCAAACATCGGTAGATGTACTGGAAACCCGAGGAATATTCGAACCACGCACGATGTTAAAGCGGTACCGCCTGTGAGAAAGAATGATGTATTCTTAGTATCACATCATCGAGTACTCTTGTGATAATTTACCTGGGTTCCTGAAGGTCTCTTGCTCATAGCCGATGTACTGTGGTATGCATCGCTGTCAGCGCACTCGTCTCAGTGAGAATGTAGTTGTCGGACTGACATGTTTCGACGTCGCTTGGACACGAGAAGCCTGCAAACCCTGAACACTCTGGTAGCTTGCTTCTCCTGTGGCATAGGGGTCTGCAAACCACCCTAGAATAAATAATGCTTGTAAGCAGCTATTCCTCTACCAAAACGCATAGTCGTCTCACCCTCCCAGTTACGTCCGCCACTAAAAACGGTTGATCAGTATGGGCCCAATGAATTCATACATGAATGCCTCACCGTGGAGCTCGACCCAAAGGTCCACCAGTCACTGGCGAAAGTGGAATGTGAACACCTGCAGAAGTATACTCGTGAGTCACAATCAGGTCTAAGCTTACACGCGATGCGAAAAGACCTTGATCATGAAACTCTTGGCCCATGGCCTTGGATCTTGCAAATATTAAATCTCTATCCCAGGTTGCCGCCGTGGTCAGACAAGCGGGGAACTGGGAGACACCATGAACTGGTCGAACTCCAGCAGGGCCGTCTTCCAAGCATAGCTCTGGGATGTTCAGACGAGCGACGCTCCCCAGCATACCGACACAGGGTCCGTCGATTCCACTTGTCAAATTTGCTTTCTCTTCGAGAGTCATCTGCCCGACGAGTTCGCTGGCCTTGAGGAAGGCATCATGCCAAGCCTTTCCACCGGTGGCGTTGACTGTGGCAAAAAACGTTAATGTTCAATAAGATTACCATAGAATTGGTCACTCACAAGGTGGCCATTTGCCGCTGTCATCGGCGTCTGCGAGGTCTCGGCGATTGTCAGAGTGAACAGCGGCGATGCAGATAGCAGCTGACAGGATCAATGCAGCACGTAGCAGCATCATCTTTAGGATGAGAGGGACGGTCGACGTCGGACTTGAGGACTAGCCTAACACAGTCAATAGGTTGCTTTTATGGTCTCTTGTATGGTCAGAAGACATGGAATGAAGGTGCAACGACGTGTCGCGCCGCTCCTGACTCGGCATTCATGATTACCAGTTGGGTGTCGAAGGTATCAAAAACCCGCACATTCGCCATACGAGGAATAAGTCAGGTGCAGCCAAAGAGGCCTTCCCGCTACCGTTATATACGTTTTGGCCGAATATAGGTCAAAGCCGTACACGGATTTGAACACACCACAAATGGGGCAATAGCGGAGATTTCCTTCTATGTCGAGTAATCTAACAGGTTTCATTGTAATGCAGGCTCATAGTAAGTTATGAACCGCATGGTATGATCAGGCTGAATTTCGAGGAATAGCTCGTACCTGAAGCAACAACCGGCTGATTCGTGCTGGTTTCTGACGAAGGACCGAGCGGGATGTCTGATGACACTGGGCTTTCTATCAGCCAAACGGGCCGCCTGTTGGAACTGGTTCTTTATCTTCTAGAGTATCATGGGAGCGAGCATCGTGATACTGAGCGAAGGATACGCGCAAAGGCGGATTGAAAATGGATAAAGATATGTGTTTGGTTACCGCGGAGGCTCGAATACTAGCACGGAGAGGGACTGGATAGCAAGCAAAATTGTGAGTATCGGCAGAATGGTGAAGAGCGCGCAGAAAAGCGCGCTTACCTCGTCCATGATACTGGTTGCCTGAGGTGAGAGATTCGGCAGCGGAGGGTAGCCTGTAGCAGATTTAAGTAGTTCGAACAGCTTTGGATCCCCGTGAAGTAAAACAACCTCCAATCCGGCCAGTTGCTGAGTCTCGCAGTGGTGCTGTGTGATTGCAAAACCATGTTTACTACCAATAAATGGTTCAAGTTGAGCTCTTGAAGGAAGGGCCGACCCTGGCCGACCGTATAGATACTGTACGACGGCCACGGGTCTCTGTTTGGCCTTGTTTGGCTACTTGGGCCACTCTCTTGACCCCACACTTGTGGCGAAGAGACAAAGAAGACCAGTCGCGGCTACAAGTGCTACAAGTGTCATTCCATCGTTCTCGGCCTTTTATAGCTCTCAAAGCGTATGATGATGATAGCACCAAGAACCAATGCATTAAGTCGTCAATCCTGGATACTCGTAGCCTACACGTACAAGCTATAGCGATACTAAGATACAGCGCGAAGTTCAAAATAACTATGGTGCGATGAAGTGGAGGGGGAAGAATGAATATCGTATACGTCACGTTAGATATCGTTGATCGATTATCAAACTCTTGATTGGTCGTCTCAACACATTATTGTAAAAAAAATAGGGGAGGGAGGGAGATTTTTTCGTGGTGAACGCTACCGAAAGACTGAAGTTATGAAGATGACCAGGTGGTGGTCTATAGAGGGGATAGGAACACAGGTCAGAGGGACACAAGGTTAAAAAAATGACGACGATTGCCTGAAATGTAGAACTCACCAGAGGAAGAGTGCGGGAGCTAGCGCCAACGGAGATGGTGAACGTCCCGTCCGGAATATACCAAGTCTGCTTCTCGACGGACCAGACCTATGTAAGAGCATGGCATTAGAGCGATTCGCGAACTCAAACATATGATGAGAGACTCACACTCAAATCCTTCCGCCTAAGCGCGAACGTCGCAGCCGCCGAAGCGCCAGGGGCTAAATCCTTCACCTTGGAAAATCCACGGAGGACACGGACGGGTTGGTCCGCCTCGGGGATCGAGACATAGAGTTGTGCGACTTCGCTACCGGTAACATTGCCAGTGTTGGTGATGGTGGCAGTATAAGTAGCAACAGTGTCGTAGATGGAGTTGGTGCCGTCCCAATCTTCGAAAGGTTCGGCAGTGTCCATGACAGAAGTGTTATCGGCTTTGATTGTCTCGTCGAATGTCAGGTCAGAGTACTCGAAAGTGGTGTATGAGAGACCAAAGCCGAATTCTACGAAGGTGGTCAGAAAATTTAGCCGATGGAATGGGTAGAACGAGTGCATACCATAGCGGGGAGTGATGTTCTTATAGTCAAACCAACGGTAGTCGATGAAGAGACCCTCGGTGAAGTTGGTGACGGGTTCGAGGACAGGGTCATCCATGATGGTGTTAGGCTGTATGAAAGTTGTGTATCAGAACGTGTGCTCGAGTATGGCGGCAGGGGTGAGTAACATACAGGATAATCATCTTCCGACTTGCCCCATGTAAATGGAAGCTTCCCGCTGGGGTTGACATCGCCATACAGAACGTCGACCAACGAGTTGCCAGATTCTTGTCCAGGCATCCACGCAGCGACGATAGCCGTGACGTTCTCGTTGTCGACCCACTTCTCGACGTCAACGACACCGGGAATGTGCATCACAACGATGACGTTGCTTGAGGAGTTGACGGCGGCGGCGATGAGGGCGTCACCGTCGTGGTCACTACGTCCAGAACCAGTCAAGTCAGGCAAAGAAAAAGATAGAGGTGTAGGTAATGAAAACGAACAGTGATAGGGTTTGTCTATCAGCTCCTTCGGTCGCGAAAGACCGGACAAAGACGAGAGTAACATCGGATTCAGGAGCAAGAGTTTGGATGGAGGTATTGTCATGGTCCGTGAGGATCCAACCAATCTATCGATCCAGGGTGTAAGAGAAAACGAAAAAGGGGTGTAGCAGCAGAGTGATACGCACCTCGCTATCGTCCGCAATCGCACGAGCCTTCAACGCGTCGAGGGGAGTGACGATGTGCGGAGCATAAGCCCAACCAGAACCACCGCCGAGACTCATCGTGCCGTTCTAGAAGCGCAGATTTGGTGAGTGAGTAAAATAAGAGTAGGTGTAAAGGATGAAGCTTACGTTGACGGAAGGCAGGCAAGCAGTGTCAGCCTCGCCACAGAGGTTGGGACCAATCTCACTATCACCAGCGTCCGTTCCTGAGAGGCAAATTGGCTATCAGTCGAGAGAACAGAACAGAGGGTCCGGGGTACATACCAATCACAGCGATGCGATCAGGCTTGTTAAGTGGGAGGCCACCCGTGTTCTTCAGCAGAGTAATACCGTTCGCGCCGATCTCGCGGATAAGACCCCTGGTCGTGTTCTTGCGTACGTTTTTGTAGACATCGGGTGCTACAAAGAACGAGTTCGCATTCTTGAAAGAGGTGCATCAGAACAAGGAGGCATGCGATGACGGAGATAAACGAGCATACGTAGACAACATCGGGCAGGGGGGTCGTGTCCTGGCCTAGCCAGAAATAAGGCATCAGAGTACGGATGATCATGTCGTCCACGCGCGACTCCGGGATCGAGCCATTCTTGATGAAGTCGGTGATGTTCATCCACTGTTCGCCGCCCCATCCACCGAAACCAGTTCCGGGCATGGACTTGAATCGAGATCCTTTTTAGTTGATGCAGACCATAAGCCGGGTATGAGATTAAAGGTAACGCACAACATCCAGCCCGCCGAGTGCCGAGTCAATGGCGTTATGCTGTCCTCCCCAGTCACTCTAAACACATGGTGAGTGCACGCTCAACTATTGAGAAGATAATGACGTACAATAACACTCCCTTGGAAGTTCAATTCGGTCTTCAGCAGATGATTCTGGGTGTACGCATTATTGCAAGCATGACTTCCGTTGACCTCGTTATAGGAGCACCTGTTTCATGCTTAGTATCGACAATCACATCAAAAATGAGACAGGACACACATAACATGAGCGGTTCCAGCACGGACAGCCTCCGCGAAGCTCCAGAGATAGAGCTCGTGGGTCGTCTTATCGTCGATGATGGAGTCGATCCTGAGGTGAGACACATCAGAAAGTAAGCTTTGACAACGAACCTCGTATGACTTACGGGGATTGCACGTTGACAGGATAGATGTCGTAGGCTGAAGAATAAAAGAACCGCTCAATGGGGAGGTTGAAACAATTAAGAATGAGGACCAACGAACATTCCAAGTTGCCGTAGGCATTACGGAACGTCTCCTGCTCATATGCTATGAACTGACATTGCAAGTATGTATGAGTGAGCATAACAGACAGCATACAAGAAAAATAACTCACATGCTTCGACGTCGCGCGGGTTCCCGAGGACTGTAAGCCTAGGACCGACAAGTAGCTCGCCTCGCCCGTGGCGTACGGATCAGCGTACCACCCTAGAATAAATAAGGCGTTTAAGCAGCTATTCCTCCACCAAAACACATAGTCTCACCTTCCCAATTCCGGCCTCCGCTTTTTAACGAGTTAGATCTCATACAAAAAGACAAGCCGCGATGATTTAGTGAACTTACCGTGGGGCACGACCCAGAGGACCGCCGGTCACCGGAGACAGAGCGATATGGACACCTACACAGAATCAAAGTCAGCCATGGTGATTAGACGTAGACAGTATAGATTTTAATATACCCTGGTCGTAGAACTCTTGTCCCATGGCAGCCGCACGAGCATAGATCAAGTCGCGATCCCATGTGGCAGCAGTGGTGAGTCCAGCGGGGAATTGAGAGACGCCATGTACAGGGCGAACACCAGCGGGACCATCCTGCAAGCAGAATTCAGGGATACCAAAACGTTCCACGCTGCCTAATGTCCCGGCGCAGCGTCCGGTGACACCACTGGTCAGGTTGGCCTTCTCGTCGAGGGTCATCTGCGCAACGAGCTTGCTGGCTTTCGTGAAGGCGCTCTGCCAAGCCTTACCACCCGTCGCATTATCTGACGAGGAGCGAGAATGAGAATGAGAATAGAGCATGGGGAGTAGAAGAGGGACGTACAAGGGGGCCACTTGTCAGCATTACCACTGTCGAGCTCATCCCGACGACCGAGTGAGTTGGCTGCAACAGCGCCTAGAGTAGCGAGGAAGAAGATGCCGCGAGTAGTCATAATGACCGGAAATTTGGGTGAAGAACAGGGAGAACTCGAGGTCAATCGGTTCACGACCCTTTACTACCGCAGGCCATTTCCCTTTTATACCGTCGTTCGAACGCTACTCAGGTGCCCATCGAGAACGAAGCCAGACCAATACCGATGGCAATATTCTCGTCGTAGATAGTCCCGACGTCGCGGACTACAGGTACCTCAAAGCATACCTGGTGACCTGGTCAGGCGCACACTCAGGAGTCTAGCGCACTCGTCTGGCTCTTGCAACGGCGACGGGTTTGCAAAAGAAAGAGGGATATCGAGGCGGCGGTGCCTCAAAATATCTGACATAAGCAACGATCCACCTCCGGGTATTAGATTAAGTCCGGGCGATCTATGTCTCGGATTTGTGGATCAACGGTTTTCGCGTCTGTGTTCCGTCATCACACAGGAACACCCCGCAGATCTTGCCCACCCCCACGGGGAATGTTATAGAGTGCTATGTGGGGAAAGGATTGAAGGAAACCTTCAACTCGAAAAAGGTTTCTTGAGGGTGCAATTTGATTGACGAGTCGCTACCGTGGCAAGGGAATCCTGCATACAAGTTGTTCAGACCGGATTATGATCAGTAAATACGTCCGTTGGAATCACGGTCGGAAGTAAGCAGGACATATGCCTTGCCTTGCCCGGAGCCTACTATCGCATTGAACATTCTTCCAATGTCCTGATCACGACCAACACATGACCTGCCTCAAACGCTCTGAAAGTCTCAGGCGAAGCTCGAGTGAATAGTTGACTCGTTGGGGCCATATTCGCAATCAGATTTGTGAAAATGACTAAATTTCAATGGTAAGACCTTTCTTGACGGGATGTTTCGTTTTGCGAAGAGACTGGAGCGGCGTATGTACCATCATGGGCGTCGGAACCGAATGCTGCGCTGCCCAGTGCCAAGTACTCCGGGTATTCAGAGCTGTCCGCAACATGATAAATCCGTTATTTGACGCGACCATAAAGACAAGCAGGTGACATTTACCGGCACTTCGAGGTCCTGGTAGGTCTGAGGCAGGACCTACTTATACGCAACCAATATGTTAAGGTAAAAGACCAGCATTGGTGAGTGGCGGATTCCTTGTTCTTTGGGGGAAACGCACAGGGTGATGGCGATGTTGGCGCCACATAACGAGTCTTCATCTCGAAGCGCATGCCGAGTAAGGCCGGCTCTTGAGATTTTGAGATAGGGGCAAGTAGACCTCCTAGAATTCGGAGCGAGCTGGACGAGCTGGCTCGCTCTCGCATCTGGAGCCTCTACGGATCTTAATATGCGTACAATTAAAACGATTGGAGGATACCCCAGAACAGACGGCATTACGGAAGTCGAGATCTCGGAAGGCTCAAGGCCTTCTCGCCACTGGCAAGCCCTTGAGGAAGATAATTGGCAAGCGTCGCAAGGCGGAACTCATTTGAGGATCTCCATAACATGAAGCCCAGATGGTCGACTGATACCTCGTGATTCGGACTCGCTCTTCATTCAAAGCGCGACGGAAGTGCAGAAGGCTATGATTATAAACTTCTTAGGCGGTACTACGAATGCAAACCCAATACTGTACTTTTTCGACCAACTGTTCGCCCGATTAGGAAATTCCTAGGGTTGGGGTTGGCCGATGAACCTCGATTTCTAATCGGAGCTCATCGGCACCCTCAGATTTTTCCCCGCGTGACGCGTGACGAACAGTTGGTCGAAAAAGTACAGTACTGTACTTTTTCGACCGTAGGTTCGTGGGAATATTTGGTAAGCCGTGACCACCGCTGGGCCACGGTTCGTCTGTGTGGGCCACGCGTGACGAACCAGCAAAATTGTTCGCATTTAGGCCCGAAATTGAATTTTTGGCTATTTTCGGGGCAAATTGGTCACGGTTTCTTGTTCACGAACTCAAGTATGAGCGTGACCGGCTGGCCAAATATGTTCGCCGGCGCACCCTGAGTGATGCGTGACGAACCTACGGTCGAAAAAGTACAGTATTGTGGAGAGACACGCACCTCTTCGCCGGTAGAAATGAAAACTAATCAGACTACCATTACGCACAAAAGAACTCAGCATCAGGGTCCGACGTATATAGGTTCAACAAGTCGTTCTTGAAATGTGCTGGCGATGTCGCCGAACGTCCGAGTTCGAGCTCGCTGGCAATGACGATGTGGCGGGCGAGTCACGGGCGGGCGTTCGGCGGAGAACGAAACACGGATTATGCCGATCATGCTTCGGCGGTTTGCGTGTTTTCTTGAAGGTATCCACCGTTATTTTCTGTCCCTCCGTTGAACGTTGAACGTCGAAGTCTTGAAGCCTTGAGGATCACCAAACTGCTTTGTAATACTTGTCCTCTCCCTCTTCAAGGTGCTTGACCCGAAACGTTGTAATCACGATCCTATCGCTTGGACCCTCCTAGACCACGCATAAGTTGTCACTCCACGCTGAGCGGCGTCAAGGTGAGTACTTTCACAACAACTATATTATAACCGATACCACCTCCAATCATGACCATACTACGCATCGTATGAACAACATAGTGACCGAAGTATGTCTGCGAGCTCTCTGACAGTGTGCACTTGATTCGCGCGAGCCCTTACACACTTACGGATATGATTGCCAGTCACGTTCTTGTGGACGCGCGTTTATGCATATTGAGAAGAGACCTACTGTACTTCTCGGAGATCGGGTCGCGAGACTATGTTTTTTAATATTCCTGGCGACATAGCGAGAGAGAGTTGTACATCCGACGTAGGCCGATGGAACATCCTGAGTGCTCACTGATGTATTCGCGGCATCATCATGATACGTTGGAGCCAGGCAGGCAACAATTAGATCCATATGGAGTTAGAATTGTCAAGCGTGTCCACGACAGTGTATTCCTCTGTGCTCGCGCGCTTGTACTTTCGGCTTTTCGGTCGTGGCTCACCCTGTACTATCCTGCTCTGCATAATGCATCGAGAGAGCACTTAAACCGCATCCAACGGAATTGTTCACAAAATATAGCACTATGTAGTTCGACAAGTCTCACCGATAACAGCGACTTGAAGTCGAATCTGCCTGTGTGACCAATATTATAGCCTGTGTTCATTGCACGTTTCCTACCACAGCCCTGCTGAGATACCAATACTGATCCTCGTTTAGTGACCACCGAATGATTTATATCGGACAATCGGACAACTCTACCAGAACCAAATATTCTGAAGCCTGTTCTCCGAATTCCGACCCCGCAGCAGTGCTTTCAGTGTCATTGTGGACCATGCAGGGATAATAGTCGGCCGACAGGTTTTGTTTGTGTGGTTTCTTATGAGAGATCGGAGCAAGAATGCAGACATTCCTTGGAATCCGAGGACAAGGAGGCAATACCGTCCTCGACAAACTTCCGAGCTTCTTGGCGAAGGGCTACTGATGGCGAGTTTTCGCCCAAAGCTGCATTGCCCTTCACATCGCCAGTCTATCGTCCAAGTCAATGGTATACGCGTTGTGTGCTGGCCGTTCCCTGGAAGACACGAAGCGGAACACGGCGGCACTCAAGTCCGAAGTGTGTAGAGTACTTATAGGGCCATGGTGGGCTGGTAGGGACTCTTTTTCCGCCTTCTATGACCTGAATCCCGCACATACAGCTCATTCTTCGGCGACGGCACAAAGCTCCAGAGTTCACGTCCTATGCTCTCTGCTGACCTCGCTTAGCGTATCACACTGGCGACTCGAAATTACGACTGAGAAAACCGATGCTAAGCTATATTTGGAGTCTTTGGGCCTATGCATCCCCGACCCGGTATATCCAGGTTGAAGTCTCGCAAGAATGCGTGATGCGATCGCTTTATATTCCTATTTAGTTGGTGCGTAACGCCGCTATCTCGATTGGGTGCTTCCGCCTGACCTCATGTCGCAGCATCCCTAACTATGATCCCCATACCATTACGTTCATCTCTATAGCGGCGAACAAGACGCGATATGATCGCTTTGTGTGAGGATTTTGCATAGTGTTTACCTCTCGCGGGTCGGCCGAAAGAATGGAGTGTTAAATGTGGCGCGGTGCCTGCCACGAGGTGCTCTTGTTTACCCCGGACTCTCTTGTTTACCCCGGATTAGCATCAAGTGACCTTCAAGTGAGACAGGCGCGACGCGTCTTTCTGAGCGCGCCCATCAGTATGCCGAACAATATTGGAGTTTGAGGCTACTTAAAGGAGTCCGCGAATGGGAGCTGATTCCTCGGCTCGGTCTAATCATCCCCCCTCTGTCTGCTGCTCTCCCAACACCTCTCGCGCCCCACCAGTCATTTACACTCAGTTCATGATGTCGAACGAGAAGATCGAGGCCCAGCACATAGACGAGAAGAAGGATCTTTCCGGCAAGTTTAGACATGTCGAGTCTGCCGAGGAAGAGGATGGTCCTGAAATCCTCTCGACGTTCGAAGAAAAACGTCTTCTTCGCAAGCTCGACATGCGTATTCTTCCTATCGCCTGCCTGATGTACATTTTCGCCTGTGCGTCCGTCTCCATTCTTATCGTCTTCGTTCTACTCTCTTGTGCTGACGTTGAAACTGTTATCATAGACCTTGACCGGAGCAACCTGGGGAATGCCCGGCTGCAGGGACTGCCCGCCGATGTTCTTCACGGTGACGCGTCTGGAAAAGAATTTGATTGGATCAACTCCGTCTTCTTTTTCTCTTATGTAACTGTGGCTCACTCTTCAGCCACCTGTTCAATGGCGCTCACAACGTTATCCTTGACAGATCCTATGTCAAGTGCCTGCGACTATATATTCAAAGTTCGCGCCTCCTCGTCTCTGGTTGGGTGGCGCGGCGATTGGTTGGGGAATCTGTTCTACTCTCATGGTAAATTTGGGTTCGATCCTCTTGGGATTCTAAATTCATGGTACGAACGATGACTTCTATAGTCCACCGGGTTCAATATGACTGGTTTATTGGTCGCGCGAGTTGGCCTTGGCGTCTTCGAGGCGGGATTTGGTCCAGGCATACCACTTTACTTTTGTAAGTCATATCGCTGCTTTTTTCTGAGTCTCTATCTCACCCAAGGATATCACAGCGCTCTTTTATCTTAAGGAGGAAATCGGCCTCCGTCTCGCATATTGGTTTGGAGGTCTGCATCCTCACCATGTGTTGTCTTTTGTCATGTATTCTGAGATGGCCTGCAGGTGCCGCGCTGGCGGGTTCATTCGGCGGTCTGAGTAGGTGTTATCCTTTCTCCCCCGTTGTGCCATCATTAAACCGATTTTGTTCCTTTCAGTTGCATACGGTGTTCAGCAAATCCACTCATCCGTCCAAAATTGGCGAATCCTCTTCATCATTGAGGTTAGAGCTGCTCTAGCCCTCTCTCACACTCACATTTCCACCTGTTGTTGAGACCGAATCATTTCCAGGGTATCCCTGCCGTCCTCCTGGGGGTAATTGCCATCTTCTTTTTGCCGAACAGACCGGAGATGACGAAGTTCTTCAACGAGGACGAGCGCAAGATTGCCATTTCACGGATGAACCGTGATATGAGCGGCGACTCGGGATACAACATCAACAAGTGTATGTGAATTGTGTACACATGCATTCGTGACGGTTCTGATGTGTTTACCTGATTTAGCCCATATCTGGTCGGCGTTCAAGGACTGGAGGGTATGAGGTTTTTGTAGATCATCGTCAGCCGTGCTTCAGCTGACCTCTGGATCGCAAGCGTAGATCTACGTTGGAGGCTTCATCTATTTTGGTGCAAACTGTGCTCTCGCGTCCATCTCCGCTTTCCTTCCCACTATCATTACCACATTCGGTTATAGTACGTTTCCCCTATAAAAATTTCATCCTTCTCATCTCACGCTACTTTCTCCAAATTTTTGACAGCGAACGCTCGGGCGCAGCTCCTCACGGTCCCTCCTTATGCCGTCTGTGCTGTGGTCCTCACTCTCATCTCGTGGTTCTCCGACCGAATTCAGAGCCGTGGTATCCTCACTGCCTGTGTCAGTTCGCTTGCTGGCCTTGGCTATATGTATGTTTTACTCTATTCTTCCATCTTGATGTCGTCTCTCAAAGCTCATAACATAATACTTGCCCTCCCTAGCTTGTTGTTGGTCATACCGAACGACGTCCATGTTCGTTACTTCGCGTGCTTCTGCATCACTAGTGGAACGTACACCACCATCGGCCTGACAATTGCTTGGTGTGCGTATCCTTATATTTTATCCAGCACGATGCCTCGCACTGATGTCTATCCTCTGGCTTACATGTAGTCGCCCACAACTTGGCCTCGGAGACGAAGCGTGCTACCGGTACACCGATGTATATGGCCATCGGTCAGTGCGGTAGTGTGCTCGGGTCGCATCTTTTCCCCAACACCGACAAGCCCAGATACATGTCAGTCCGCGCTATGCTTCGGGTATACCATGTTCGAACAATACCTGACGATCCTCTTCCTGATCCAATGCAGCCGTGGCTTCTCTGTCTCGTGCGGGCTATCCTTCTTCGGAGCTCTCTGCGCCATCATCTTGACCGTACGTCCTTCTCCCCTTCTTCCGATTCCATTAGCACAGTCGATATTGACACTCCTCACAGATCCATTACCGCTACGAAAACGCCCGCAGGGACCGTGTCTATGGAAAGCGCGAACCCGGTGCCAAGGTTGATACGCAAGAGCTCGCAGATAGGGTAAGCTTCCTCCACCCATCCTTGATCTCTACTCCCATTCCGTCTCCATTCACTCCCGGAGCTAACGCACACTTTGCACTCGCTCAGGCTCCGGACTTCAGGTATATACCCTGAATGCGATTGGTGATGGTACGATCCTCCTGGGCCTGTACTACACAGGAAAATTGTTGACGTTGAGATTATTTCCCGCTTGGACGGTCTTTTCTTGGTGTTCTAGCCGTGTTGCTGTATGAGTAGCTCTTTGTACATTCAAAACGGTGCTCTGTTCGCTGTTGTGTACTTTATCTTGAATAATTCACCGACAATGAAATTAACCACAAGGATCACGGAAGAGGAAGTTTCAAAAACGTAAGTTACAATGTGCGAGTCGTCACCGTCAAACGGTACAGGGGACAAGAAAGATAAACATATGCAGTAGGTTGTGCGAGAGGCATGACAGTGAAGAAAGAATAGCGAGGAAATAGCGATGTGAGAACAAAAAGACAACGTGTTTGAGCCCAGTTCATCCTAGTCCGGTACCGTGGTCCTTCTCCGACCAGGTCCACTGTCGAAGTGCAAGGAGGCGATGCAGCCAAGATACATCCCGTAACCCCCAAGAAAGTTTTAGCATCAGAAGGCCGAATCAGCCTTACGTGTCCCACCGAGCAAATTCCGGTCCATGGAAGTGGTAGGTTCGAATCGCGAGGACAGGTACCCGGAAAGATTACCGCTTTATTCTCTTCGCATCGCCCCCGCCCGTCGAGAATTCCGCTCGACTCTCAAGTATGATGTTCGTGAGAGGCTTCCGGCCATTGCTGGTCGGACCTCCGCTGACTTGACCTTGACCTTGGCCATGGCCTTGCTGAGCTAGCCCCATGGGGGTTCGACGTCCATTCCTGTGAAGGCTAAGATAGTCACCCTAGCTAAGCATGAGGGCGAGAGAGGATGTGACGTACTGCATCGCACTATTCGATCCGCTGCTCATCGCGTCTGCGCTCCTCTTCACCCCGGCAGTACTATGCTCAAGTTTGGTGGCGGCGGAGCTGGAAGAGGGTCCATGCCGACGGGTTTGATTGATCGGCGGGTTCATCGGACGCACTGTGGCCTGTGAAGAATAGTGATCAGCCAGGTCGCGCCGAAGATACGGAGAGAAAGAGACAAACCGGCCCAACATTATTATCCTTCGGGAATCTGAAGCCTCCAACAGGAGGTGTACTCGAAGGTGCTGGTGCACCTGCACTCGACGAGCTTCCAGAGACATCAGTGCTTGCTCCAGCTCTCCCACCACCTAAATTGGCGGTCTCTGCTCTCGCGCCATTCGAGTTCGCGGTAGAGCCAGCGGTATCGTCGACGGTCGTGGAAGCTGGTTTATTGACCTTCTGCATCAGCGCATCCACCTCCCCCATATCGAAGGCAGCGAGAAGTGCGTCGTCGTCGGACGTGAAGAACGAGTCTTCTGGGGCTGATTCCAGTTCCTTTTCGCTTCTACTCGTCGAAGCAACGCGGTGGCCGGTGAAAGTATTGGTTGTGGCGGAGGCAGGAGTGACAGAAGATGTCGACGGTATTGAACGTTGAACTGAGTCTGGTCCCGTAGGTGCGAATGAAACTCGGCGTTCACGTTCAGTCGTAGCACCATTCGAGGTCGCGTTGTGAGCATAATTGACGTTAGGAAGTGGAGGGATGCGATGCGAAGAGATAGGAGGATGATTGGGGGGCGCCTGGACTGGTGGTTTCCCAGGCGGTGGGCCAGGCGGTGGCATAACTTGTTTTTGATTCTGGTCGGCAGGGGTTTGACCAGGTGTGTTCAGTCCTGTTCTTCCGGGGACAGAGGTAGAGCCTGAAGCTGGAGTCTGCGGTGTTTTTCCTTTCCAGTTTGAATTGGAATGGGGCCCTGGAGAACCGGAGTTGGTGTTGGTGTAATTCGAAGTGGTGGATTGTGCACGCATATGGGAAGGAAGGGCATTGGCAGGTCGTGTAAGAACATTGTTGGAATTGACGTTGGAGTTGCTATTAGCCGTATAAGAAGAGGCGCCGTTGGCAGAGCCTGCACCAGGGGAAGAGATGGACCTTGAGGTATTGGGAGACATTTCAATCTCAGGGCGACGATGCAGATCGTCTCTGTCGAATTTCGGCTACAAGCATACGCCAGTCAGCGAGGATGAGAGGATGGGCCACACGGGAAGCAAACGTGCGCGCAAAATAATGTAATTCTTACCGGCGGAACTTTGATTTTGACGACCTCCTGGGTATATGCCTTCTCGTATAGACACAAGCCAAGAAGGCTCCCAAAATTCTTTAAGGCGCGCTTGGTAGCGTCCGTTACAGCTTCCTTCTTCGCCTGATCGCAAGCACGCGCCACTCAATATCTGGGTTGAAAAGAGTGAGGCTGATGCTCACCTTGTCCAGAGCCGCTCCCTTGCTTTTCACATTATCTGCTGTTCCATATCCAACATCTTCGTGAGAGCTTCCATCCTTCAACGTGACCTTGACAATAGCCGTCACTCCTACACAGATCCTCCTGGTCTCGGGATCCACATCAATGAAGTCCGTTTCGATTCTCGTAACAGAAGAGCTCCATCCATTGTATCCAAACACCTCGTTGGCAAGAGACACGATCTTCCAGCCTTCGACATAGGTCAATTTTGGTCCGCCACCCGGGGCGGGACGCTGGGACAGATACTCCGGTCCAAGGCGGCGATTGAGCTTAGCCTGTACCAGAGCTGTACTATGTGACACTTGGCTTGTATCAAGAAGAGAGAGGTCCGGCTTGATGTCAGCAGTTGATGCCTGAGAGAAGGACCCATTTCCGGGTGTATGTGGTGTCGAGAACATTTTCGAAGTGACACGTTTAAACAGATTGTTGTCCCAATAAAGCTTAGAACAAAGGAACAGTATATGCACAAGTTAGCTTCGCCCAGCAGCAAGAAAATCCCAAGATAAGAGGCGACGGTGGCAGGATGGTGGCCGTCGAGAGCAAGAGGCGTTGGTGTCGTCTTCCAAACTCAGGTGTCAAAAGTAACGGTCGCGTCGCGGTCACGTGCATGAACGCGTCAAGCCATATGACTCGCGTTGAGTCGGAGCTCAAATTCATTGTCGGTCCCGGCTCCGGCAGGTTCCGGCGTTCTTTGGTGCAGGTGCCCTGTCACTTTTAGTGTCTTTGAACTCCACCGCGCCACATTTGAGATACAGGAATTTGTGAGGATGCGTCTGTCCTTTCCCATTCTTTCTTACCATCATGTCTGAGCGACCGCTTACCCCACTAGAAACCCTCCCAGACGAACTCTTGACCATCGTCCGCGCTTACCTAGGGCCCGACTTCAGAGACCACGTATCGTTTGCTTCGACGAGTTCGCGAATATACATTCTCTACTCCGATGACGATTGGAAAGCTGCTCTACGCAGGTGTAAGTTTGGTAAAGGTCGAGTAACTAAAGACTGGCCGGGAAACCCTTTCTTATGCGGCGCCACATGGGGTACTGTCGCGTTTGCTTTGCGACAATGCTTAAAAATCGACGATGTGCCATACATAGAAGATATACGTCAGTGCCGTTCATAGCCGTCTAATTCGGCACCATTCTCATGCAGTGACGCAGGGGATAGGATTTTCTCCATAGGTCAAGGTAGCCATATTTCATCTACCAAGCATATCATCGTTTGCTAAATGTGCATATTTGTGTTTCGAAGAAGGAAGGATTGACTCCCAAATCTTTTCCCCTGGAATAATCGAGGAACGAAAACTGGAATGCACCTCGTTCTCCATACCCTTTGCAATCGACTGGCTCGGCAAACACCCCTTCACGCTCGCAGCCTTTTGGCCCCTCTCGGACAAGTCCACCGATACCGAAGACTTCCATACTTCTCGTTCTCATACAGCGGCAGCATTCCAATTTGCGACATGGCCTCCACTCAATGAACTTACCATAGAGGTTCTGTCTCAAGTCCAGATCCGTGTCGCCAATCCTGACGGAGTTACTATATGGGACTGTATGATTGGGATATATCACAAGTATGTCGTCCTTGCTCTCAGGGTCTGTGGCCACTGCGCGTTGATGAGTATCTGATGTCACGTTCGTAGGTTTGTGGGGGTACCGCTCGCCATTACCGATCTCATCGACATATACGCCAACTGGACCTTCGTACCTCGACTCAAATGCTTGCACCGGATGGACGAATACGTCGAGGTCGGTGATGTTATTAAAGTCCTTCGCGAAATGTACGTTTATCACGGCATTAACAGTGCTCCCCCCTCCCGATTCAGCCACTTCATCAGTGTGACTAACCGAGCATCGTGTTATTACACAGGGTCAAAACCCATCCCTCGTCCGTCGACGAAGTCAACCGAGTCATCAACCTTGTGCCCGAGTCATTGCACTCGAACCCGATTCTGCAAGCCTTCAGCATCCCGGACGAATCAGACAAACTGTGGGTCTGGCTCCTTACCAACTCTCCTCAGTGATTCTAGTAACTCAAGTATGCTACATCTGTCAGAGTGGGCCAATTTCCCACTGTCGGAGACCTGACTTCCTGGATACGCAAATACCTTCCATCGCTCGTCAAAAATCAGCATTTCCCAGAGTTCGAAGCGCTGACAACGTGGGGAGATATGCTACAGGACGTGTAAGTTCAACCCTCTCTCATTCATGCCCTTTGACTGAACCCAGTACGATAGCAAGATCTTCGGGATGAATCCAATTAACCCAGGATCGGCTCGATTCGAGCTCGAAATAGAGGGAGGCGGTTTTAACACACAGCCCTGATACCTTTAACGTGCGATATTGCTTGTAAAAGTAATCGAGACAGAATTTACACAAGTCCTTCGCCAACTCATCGAAGAATGTTCACTCGCCCTCAGAAGTGTGCCAGCAAACACCGATGGGCACACCACTGCGTCATTGCCGAGCATGAACGTGAGGAAAAATAACATATACTCATTGTCCATTGGACTGTGATTTAAACAGTACTTGCGTGGGGTAGTGGGACACGCCACATCAGGATCGGGCCCGGCTGGCCTCCTTTTCTCCTAGCTAACGTTCTTTGCGTGCATCTCGGGCGACAATGTATTGCTGGCTCATAAAGCTTGTGGGTTTTACTGATACGGAGAAGTATATGGTAGATGAGATCTATACTAATTCGCTGCGCCCATCTTGCCATCTGGCGCTGAAAGTAGTCGAACCCGGCGCGATCTGCCTCAGGCCGTTCAACCAACTAGATGCAGGTCAGAAATAATTCATTACCTGAAGAGTGGTTTGTTCGATAGACATACCATCCAGAGAGTAAATCATGCCAAAGACGGTTGTCATCCAAGGTTTTCCACCACTCCGTCGTTGTGACAGATGGGCCGAGGCGTTGTGTCCACTCGACGATCTCGTTGATGGTCTGCAATTGCGTTGGTGGCCTGAAGAGTCGGTCGTGCGATGGTCCTCAAGTAAGCGAATAGCATAGATCCTCAGTAATGGACGAAGCACTCACGCATCTCCACCGAGATTGGGTAATGGCACATCTAGTAGAGAGTCATTCCACCAAGTCTGAGGAATTTCTTTGCAAATACGCAATATCTCTTGGACAAAGCTAATATTGCTTTGGTCCTTTGTTGCTTTTCTACCATGGGTCGTGAGTGAATGCCTTAGGTAACTAGAAGGCACGACATATACACTCACCGACACCAAGCGACAAGGAATTGAATGCCATCTTTCACTAACGTGTCTCTTAAAAAGTCGAACTGCTCCATTCTGTAGAAGGCTCCGCTGTATTCGGTATACACGTCCCTGAGATCTTCTAGGTCTATCTCCCAATCAACCAGGCTAAACGTCCGTACCCAAAGATCAGAACGAGACAGAGCCTGGTGATAAAGAGGGAGGGTTGGACGTACTCTTGGTGCAACTCCGTTATGCAATCCAGAATAGTCACCCCGTCAGGATTCACGACGCTGATTTCCAGCTTGTTCATGACCAAGATCTTCATCTCGGTCACAGGCGGAATCGTAGCGAAGGCACAAGCTGCCTCCGCGTGATCCCAGAGCGTTACCTGATCTTTACTCCAGATATCGAAAAGTGTCGCTATAACAGGGCTTGGAAAATAGTCTGTCTCGAGCTCTGCGGATACACCAAATACTTGACATCCTATCCTCCCAGCTTCCACCTCCGCTGCAGAATATATACGGTAATCTTGACCACTATGCACTATAAACAAATTTGACGTTAGCGAGCACAGTGATGCACCGAGAATAACGACTATCGACCTTCCGGCTCGTAGTAAGGAGTTTCAACTGCCGCATTTACGTCAGTGAAAGGTGTTTGAGAAATGTCAGGAGACACGTACAGTCCGAAAAGTATGAGTTACACGGATCAAATTTACACGAGCGCGTGTGTCGTGCGATCGCAATCGCGAGGTCTTCCCAAATGTTGTGGCCCGGGAGATGATGCCGTTGGAGCCAACCAATGTCGAGAGGTTTTCCATGACCGCCAAGTCGTAGGAGATCCTGCCATTTGTCGCTCGGATATAAGGTCTTGAGACGAGTACAAGTAAACGCAAAGCAGATGTGGTCGGATAGACAGTGATATCCGATGAAATTGCGAATAATGAGCAAGAGCTCGGTGGGAAGACGTTCAAAGGAACTTATAGATGCGCTCTCTTTGCAAGCAGCCTGCGAGGTCATGACAAGCTGTCTCTCTGAGGACAGACTGTCTCGACACTAAAGCCGCGCTGCATGCAACCGTAAACACGAGGCCTGTTGTTTGGATTAGAGGCTTTAGCCAAACAGCCTACGTCATGCGTCTAGTAGGTGGCGAGCGCCACTCACAACAGATGATCGATGATCCTCGCTTGCCCGGTTGAAATCCCGTCTACTCTGCCTTTTGGCACTGAGTCCCACTTTCCCTCAGGTCAGAGCTCGAGCTCATGCCAGAAATTCACACACCATTTCCATGGAACTTACACGAAAGGTCCCCAGCCTTTATCTAAGTAGAAGTGCGGGCTCCGATGCAAAGAACGGCAAAGTGTATTAGACTCAATATGTATGATAGTAAGGCCATTGAAGCAAGAAAGCAAGTGCGTGGCACCCCCCAAACCTATAAAGATTTCCTCCTTCACCGTGCATACAACTGGCCCGGTGAAAGCCATTTGGTAAAATTACATAGACGACGGTAGCTTCTTCAATGGTACGGACGTATCCATATGAGCCAAGGCCCGCATCAGAACTCCTCGTTCTCCGAGTCAAAGTACCTCGAGTTATATCTCCATTCTGAAATAAATGTCGTGGATCCAGGCTCAGACTGCCAAATTCGAATAAAACAGCTGCGTGTTCGAAAGTGAATGTCATGACGAAGATTTCGACCATCTGGGCAAACGTACCAATTGCGCAACAGGTCAGACCAGCATAAGTTGTAGTCTAACGTCGTATACCACTGCGATTCTGTCACCGTAGGTCCCAAGCGTTCGCACCACTTCAAGAAGTCTCGTAATGTGGTCCACTGGGAGACTGGCCTGTTTGTGCAAAGTGAAGTTGTCAGACGAGAACGGAAGCCGGAAAGAAGGTGACCCACGCAATGCCGCGAAACGCATGGAGAATCGTTTGTGTGGCATGTAGGAGAGGTACAGGGTAACATGCAGGGGGAATCATATAGCAGAAAAGATCAATCTGTTGAATAAGCTCTGCAAGGCCTTGATCATTTTGCTCAGAGGCGGCTCTGGAAACACCCATTAGCAAAGGACATTCCTGAGCAACATCATCACCTACTGTGACTGACGCCATTCGTATAGGAAATCGATGGCTTGCCCTACAGTTGTGTCTCTCAAAAAGTCGAACTCGGACATCTTCTCGAAGCGGTCGACATAATCTTCGTAGATATAGGGTATATTATCGATATCGAAGTCCCACTCGTCCCCACTGAGGAGCACCCCGGTAAGAAACCACAGTCAGTTTTTCCACAGGCCATATCGCACGATTGGATAAAACAAGAACATACTAGTCGTAGATCTGCTTCAGACAATCAAAGACCGTGACTCCATCCGGATTGACGATATCCACCTCGAGAATACCCAAGACCATGATCGTGAGCTCGGTCACGGGAGGATCCGTGGCGAACTTGCAGGCGGCCTCAGCGTACTTCCAGAGGATAACTTCGTCGTCGCGAGTGCGTGCATAGTCGTCGATTATCCCCGCAATTTCTCTCGTAGAGCCATTCCACGCGAAGACGGATGAAGCACAGAAGCCTTTGCACTTGATATTTCCCTTCTCGACATCAGTTTTGGTCAACAAAGGATAGCAGGAACCATGGACTGGATAGATCGGTTGCATTAGACAAAGCTCCATGTGTAATGAAACCTCAAACGACCAACCTTCGGGTTCGTAGTAGCCGGCGTCGGGCTTGCGTTGAAAAAAATAAGGTCTACCATAATACTCGCCACAAGGGCCGAACGAACAAGACACCATGTGTCGCGCTATTGATATCGCGAGGTCCTCCCAGCTGTTCTCACCTGGGAGATGGTGTCTCTTGAGCCATTCGAGATTGAGAGGCTTCCCGTAACCGCCGAGACGAAGGAGGTCTTGCCATTTGTCGTCCGGGTAGAGGCTCTTGAAGCGCCTGCAAGTAAAGGCGAAGCAGATATGGTCCCATATGTATTCGTAGCCTATGAAGCTTTGTATATGAAGCAAGAGCTCCGTCGCAAGGCGGTCAAAAGAGTTGTTAGGCATGAGAGTGCCTGTGACTCTCAGAGCCTGAGGTCGGTTGTCGGAATCGGACGGTACTATAGGCTGCAAATTGTTAGAAGAGTCGGACATCGTACTAGTGAGGCGAGGATCTGCGAGGATAGGGATGTTGTCAATTGGTGAGTGTCTTTAGCAGACAAGGAGCGCAAGGACGTACGGAGCTGCGAGGGAACAAGAACCAAGCCAAGAGCGATTCGCTTGTCTAGACTCTACCCTAAGCGACGAGACGGAGGAATTCCATCACTTTCTGGACTTCCAACAATGAGGTTCGCTTTGTGCATGCTATAGGGCGCAAAGGTGAGTACTTTTAGGAAGACCATAACTACCTTCCCTGGAGGTTCATGGTTACCCACTGACTCTATCGAGCAAAAACAGAGAGAGTCATCTGCTCTTAGCGGCGTGGCGTTACTTCGCTAAAAATAGAACGACTCTTTGTGGCCCTCTACGGTGGCGTCAGCGTCTTATCCCCAAATGTCAACAAAGCACAGCGTATCCTCGCAAAGCAAGGATCTAATACTGCCAGAAGCTTACCCAAAGGACAATGAACCATGTGGAGAGTCTATGAATGCCATGGGGGGTCTGTGACGTGTGACCATGGCATCCGATCGAAATAGTAGTACAGTACACCCGACTACATCTACGTCTAGCTGCACCGGTCAGATTCGCAGTGACAGTCGTATACGTACATACTATGGATGACCCAGATTTGCAAGATTTTGCATTGCACACTACTATCCCATGAAAACCACTCGGATACGCATAAAACCTGGCATACGATCTATTGTACATGTGTTCTAAAGGTCTATGTACTCAGATATTTTTTTGTGCAGAGGACAAGACTGCCAGAGACATGCCGGTGAAGGAGCTGGTTTGACCGGGATATGCAAGATTTCTCACGAGATTTGCAAGCCCGATCCCTGCCATTCGGAGCGTTTCCGAGAAATTCAAGCTCCGCTTCTTGCATTCACGGTCGTCGTCGACAGCGTCGAAGGCCCATGCTGAACGAAAGTGCGTGCAATATATGGCCGACGCTGTATTGAATGGTCCACCTGACCCCTGCAATTAATTGTACGATTTTGCGCGGTCATATGGCTCCAGGGGACCCAATGCAAGAATCTCCCCGCCAGAAAAGGTGCCATTCGAGACGATTCTGCTTTTCTCCACTTCCACAAACTCGCACTATCGACAAGATACTTTGCTGTGCGGTAGATATAGCACACCCAAGTGTACACAATTTTTCTCAAGACAGAAGTATGAGTGGACAGGCGTAGGGGAATTTATCTTTGTCGATATTGCATATCTGGGTCATCTTGCAAATCTGGGTCATCCATAGTAACGTCGAAAGCTTGCGCTCGTCCCAAGGTCCATTTCCAGAAACAGGAGGACATTCACAAGCGAGACCCAATTCCACGTATCCATATCGCCAGACTCGAAAGTATAATGCACACACGTCAGAATAGCCAAGGAGCCTCGGACGAACAAGACAATAACACGACATGAGACGAGACAGGACGAAATGAAACGGGGCAGGACGGGAAAAAGGTTTGTTCAAGTATGGTATAAAAGACGTTCAACAACTTCCCAATGAGCTTGGCGATGCACAGTTGCAGAAGGATGAATAAAGCGACGGAGGTGGGGGACGCGGGACGAATACGATAACCTGAAGGTCTATTAAGACACAAATATATAAAACAATAGAACGTAGGAACTAGAGCGAAGGAGAAGTGGAATTGCGAGTGATAGGAGGCGTAAAGAAGTACTTGATGGCTCGGTATGAGCGTTGTTGATTTGTTGAGTTGAGAGCGATAACATCATGAAGTCCGGGTAAAACAGCGAAATATACACCAAGCTGCGATGCAGCGAAATCCGTTCCATGATCGATGCAGGCGTGATGGAGTGAAGAGTGCGACCGAGGGTGGCGGTGGAGGTACGAGCTGGAGGGGTCATTTTATGACGAGGTCATCACGACGGGTGTAAAACTCATGATCTCTTCGTAGAGAAGTTCCTTGAGTTGTTCTCTGCTGATATCATCCTTGTGCACTGTCATAGAGAACAAATCATAAGACGACGTCTACGGTTGACATGACAGGGGCAGAGACGCACGATCAAATTCGAAGAATTCGGGATCGAGAGGAGGGGCAACGGGCTCGTCATCTGGGTCGTGCTATTCAATGTGGTTCATGAGCACAAACAAACAGCGAGAACGGGCGAAGGACAACATACGTATGCCTCAAGGTAAGGGTGGGCCAAAGCCTGCTCGACAGTTATCCGCTTCTTGGGATCAAATGTCTACCGAAGTCACAATCAGTAAGGGGTTCCCGAACAGTGGACGTAGAAAGACGTACCAGAGTCTTCGTCAAAAAGTCGATAGCGTTCGGGTTGGCGTTCGGGAACAACTGGCTGAAAGGCTTCTTTTTCCGGAATGGAAGCGCCCTGATGTAGTCCCTCGACCTTCTCGTTGTAATGGCGTAGAACTCGTCCAGGGTGGGTGTTCCAAGAACATCGAGGATAAGTGTAAGTTGGTGGTGATAGTCGCGTCCAGGGAATAGGGGCTTGCCCGAGAGCATCTCGGCAAGAATGCATCCTACGGACCATACATCGATTGCCTAGAATCAATATGCGCAGTTAGCATGACGACCCACAGACTGCAGTCGCAATTCACGAGGGACGAGTGTGGCTACCTTTGTGTACTGTTTGAACGTCAACATGATTTCCGGGGCCCTATACCACCGTGTCGCCACATACTCGGTCATGAAACCGGTCTCAGTCCCAGAAGGCTCCGCGGTCTTCACGCTCCTGGCCAAACCGAAATCGCAAACCTTGAGATCGCAGTTTGCGTTCAAGAGAAGATTGGACGGCTTCAGGTCTCGATGAATGACATCGGCGGAATGAAGGGCTTTGAGCGCCCGAAGCGTTTGATATACAAAATATTGGGCATGGTCATCAGAGAGATCCTGCGTTCGGATGACGCGGTGCATATCGGTCTCCATCAATTCTTGGATCACTAGATGTACGGAAGATGGTGAGTATATTTGCATGATTCAGAGCACAGGTACACACAGTAGACTTCCTTGAACGCGTCTAGCGACGGGGGTTTGATAATGTCGAGAATCGAGATGATCTGGGTGATTCAGAGTAAGTAAATGGACGAATGGATGACTGGCGCCACACATGTACACCCCATTCTTCTGCTAACATCGATGAAGCAGAACGCGGCTTGACCCGCTGGGAACGACGGAATAGCGTTTCCCAGGTACCGTACCAACGAGCCACACGCGGATCCGTGGTAGCACAAACCACGATCACCCCAGTATGACAAAGAGATAGGGTGGACTCACGTTCTCACTGACACCCGCCTCGCTCAGGAACTTCAAAAGCTTTAACTCACGAAGGGTCCGCAGGCAAAACATCGAATGGTCGAAGGGCATGATCTTCTTGATCGCGACCTTCCGCCCGCTGGGCCTGTGTACGGCCGAACAAACGATACCGTACGCGCCTTCACCCACGACGTCTAGCACTTGGTATTGAGTACCTGAAAAGATGATGCCCTGGTCAACACTGCCGTATCACCATTCATGAAGACTGACTACCACGCACCAACATTGAATCGCACTTTCCTAGGTGCAGGCTGCGCGGCCTGCGACGCAGCGTGAGCATGCTTGGACTTTTTCGTAGCGTCAGACATGTCGTCGAGGTCGTCACACGGCGAGTGCTATGTGGCAGGGAAGAAGGTGTGTGGGGGAAGAGGAACAAGGGGAGAGTACAAAAGGACAAGGCAATGAGTGGCCGCTGTTCTTGTATCGGCTTGTTAGGACCTATTACCGCATCCGGCTTCCAGAATTCGAAATTTCGATTGGCTGCGATATAAGTGGCGTAACCACGGCGATATCAATCTCTCCATGGCGATACCACTGTTGTCAAGCCCACATTCTCTCGCTAAATTGCTGGCAAAATTGTCGCTCCTCCATTCTCTTCTGATCTGATGGCCGACAGGTTCAAAAATTGCTACGGGTACCTCAAATAAAAACAACTCTACCTGTTCCTCTCTTTGTCTTCGACTTTCTTGCCCACGAAATCCGAACCGACATACTGACTGCACATCGAGCAGACAAGACATGCTTGAGATTTACACCGCTCTCTTTCTCTTGTCGCGCTACCTCGTCAACGACCTGTCATTTTCTGAGGTGGGCTGTGCAATTCTGCATATCACAAACCTCGTCGCCATCCCGGCGCTCGCTCGGTTATAGTGCGGTTGTGGACTTCGCGAATGGCGGATGCGTCGAAGTCGTGCTCTGCCCTCCAACAGGTTGTCTTGGACGTCTGCCTCGGCTCTCCACTTGCTCGCTCAGCACTTCTCTCGCATATTAATCTGGCTTGGGTTTTCCGCGTCAGCGCCGTCTACGTGCCTTGTAAGTGGCATGAGCTTCCGCTGAGCTCGCAGAAGCAAGGTACGCATGATGAACGCTATAGACCCTTTCCCTCCGCTCAGTGTACCTTGGACAAGCTTCTATCATCGATGGCGGCCATCACTTCATACGGATTTGATTGTTTTGGCCGTTCCTGCTCACGCCACGCCAACACACCATGTGGCCTTGGTACCACAAGCGTGAAGATCTTGTATTGCCAGGCGTTAACTTGCTACCATCTATACATGTTATAGTATCTCGCTTGCTCAAACTCTGGTGAAGAATGTTGGACGGCCATAGGGTGTCCGTTGAATGTGTTAGCATCTCCGACGCCGTCAGTCTAATGGCCTTACAGGGTTCGGACCTCCAAGTGCAGACGTTCATGGAGGCTGTCGAACGTCCCGTCCACTGCCTTCCGAAATGTTGGAAGTCTAGCTGTTATTGGATTAGACTTATTATTTTAAACCTCTGTGTGGTCCGTCGTGATTGATCTATGGAACGACCGTATGCTCGTTATTCTTCAGACGCACGTACCATCGCTGCATCTTTTATTCTCATCTAGTCCCTCCGTGATCCGAGTAAATCTGCTAGGGCGTGGATGCATGATGAACCAGAAAGTAAGGGCCGAATCTTTCGTTTCACTCCTGCAACATTGCCTGTTCGAGGGGTTGATTGTTCGAGTTTGTGGTGTGACACGGTCATGATGAGCTCTCGGCTCTCAGATCAAAAGCAACTTCCTTTGTCAGCACTCTCGAAATATATTCGTGATGAAGAGCAATAATTGGAGTATGTTTGGAACCTATCATGAGCTTTTGTTTGATGATCATGAATGATGCGCCTGAACGCTCGATAGATGGAGTCACTGATGGATTTTGACTAGTGCAGATCGAGAGGTGCGACTGTATGTCATGCAAAGGCGACTCAGATTTTATCACCAGTAGACACTGGTATGGGCCATTCATTCGACTTGCCATCCGGTGGAACCAACAAGCGTGGTACCGAAAAATGGTAGTGAGTTTGTCACTGTCTCCACATGCCTCAATTCGACACTCAGAACAAATTACCCCGGTCAATTGAAGAGCCCGAATACGCTCTAGATACGCGCCCACAGAGACGAATAGCGAGGTCATATCTAAGAACTAGTCTCGAGACACGAAGGCCGTATGCTGGCGTGATGTGGGTGACTGTCTTCGGATCCAGTCCTCGCATCGACACCTTTGTCCTCTAAACTCCACTTTTTATCTATTCTTCAGTCTGAAGGTCAACAGTTGCGGTTGAACAAGGTATACGAGGCCACTATCCTCCATTTTGGTTGTAACCTTGTTTCACGGCCGCCGATATAAGCAGTTCTTCGTCGAACGCCACTATGGCGACCCCCATGAGCTATAATAACGCAGACTCCTTTGAACAAGCTTCACGGAGCATCAGGCTGACAAGTGATACCAGTACTGACAAAACCAAGGCCGCAGACTTCAAACATCCCGGACTCTTTTCTCCTTCAGTTCTTTCGCAGGTTCGTGGGCCACAAATCCGACCCTTTGCTTCTGGATGGGTATGACTACGCAATACTATTGACAGATATGAGACATTGTTTCTATGATCGTGTCGAGGGGTAGTGATAAGAAATATGTGATCATCAAGGTTCCGGAGAACTCGCCAATATGTTAGATAGAAAATAATCGGTGTCCGGCTTTGTGTGGCGCGCAGCTGAGTTCCGAGGCCACCGTGAATCAAAGGCACCGCGATACGAATGGCGCCGTGTCAATGCATGGGCTAAGTTGTGCTGACTTTCAAGACCCACGGTTGAAAGTATATCTTTCAAAAACGATGAAGAGAGACTGAGAACAAGGTCCAAACCAAAGTCCATGACAAGGGTGTGTCGGGTGGCGTCCGAAGTGGTTGTATCCGGGCCGAACAGAATTTGTCAGCCACGGGGAAAACCGCTCAGTCGGTTTCAAACTCTTTCGGACACGCATCTCGCCGTCAAGATCACGAAAAATACCTCTACCTGCGCTGACTGCTCTTCGGCTCTGCTTCGACTGCTCTGAGAACTTCTTTGTTTTCATACAATATCTTTGTAGGAAATTCTACTCGTTTACTTATATTCCCCTTCACCCGTTCTGCTAGCACTTTAAGTTTGCTGACTTCAACTGACTCACCTCACACGGCCGCTAGCCTGTAATATCATAGTAAAATCGCCGTTAGGTACTCAACATGGCTAGTGTTAACACCTCGAAGACGAATGGGAAGAGGCGTCACTCCCAGGTTGACGGAGCGGAAGAGCAGCCCACCAATCGTCAAATACCAGGATATCCCTTCGATTCCTCCGATGCCGATTGCATTCTGCGATCCTCGAACGATGTTGACTTCCGAGTCCACACTCTTATTCTATCGCTCGCCTCTCCCTTCTTTCGAACCATGTTCTCTCTTCCCAAGGGTGCTGCTGCCAGAAGCATTCAAGAGGTCAACGATGGACTGCCCATTGTCCCGGTCTCCGAAAATGGACGTACCTTGCACATACTCCTGTCTTTCTGCTACCCTGTACCTCCTCCAATTGTGAAACAATTCCGCGACCTCACCCTGGCTTACGAAGCTGCGGAGAAGTACGAGATGGACCGTATGCTTCCGCACATCGCGGACGCACTCGTCGACAAAGCATCACAAGACGTTGTGGCGGCCTATGCATTCGGATATCGTCATCGACTTACGGACCTCGTCATTACCGCGGCAAAGATCACGCTACAAAATCCACTGTCCGACCTTGGTCGTTCTCCGGAACTCGACCTCATCACGGGAACACAACTTCAACACCTCCATGCTTTCCACCGTTTATGCAGGGAGAAAGCCGTGGGCCTCGCCGACGACTGGGCGTGGGTCAAAGCCATATCCGCTATCCCGCTAGCCTCCGACACGAAAAATTGCGACTGTCAGATTATCATCACTATCCACGATGTAAAGCCTATTTATGGAACAACTTCGACATTCGAGGAGCACGAGGAGGACAAGCAGGAATTCTATGCTCCCGAGTGGTGGTACGACTATATGGACAAGGCAAAAGAGGCGCTGAAGCATCGGCCTCTTGGCAGTACTGTCACAGACCTATCGTTTTGTGCGTCTACATTTGGAGCGGCAAGTAAATGCGATGAACCGGATTGTGCGGAAGGCGTCCAGCTTATGCACGAGTTCATTGAATTGTTTGCCCAGGAGATCGACCAGGCTGTGGGTGATGTACGTGGTATTCATATACTTCCTCTTTATGTTTACTCAATTGGGGATCTGATGCGCAGGCTGCGCGGGGAGTCTTTCACTTGGAATAAATGGAGAAAGTGGTTGGTGCAATGATGGTGAGTTTCCACTACTCCGTAGCTCTCGAAACTTATAGCATTCTCATTCGTACATTGGGCCAGTTTGCGTAGTAGATCTTGAATATGTATCGCATATTTTATTATTTCCGAGCGTCACTGGCAAGGGTGTGCATATACAGACTTCATACACATAGTCGTCGTGACTCCGCCCTTCCTTCAAGTTTAATGAAAGCGACAAGCGAGCCTTGAGAACGACTTCATTTATTATGGCCGCCACGTAAAACCTTCCTCGCCACGCCAATGTAAAATAAGGCTCTCGTATCTATCTTCCCGGCAACTGCAAATTACAACATATAGCACCGTCGCTCACCACAAGCCTGATTCTTTGATTCTTTGAATTTCCCCGACCCTCACAGTGGACTGATACCCTACCATACTACCCCTAGTTCACACTCTTCCATTCCTCCTTTCCACCGAGATTGCTATCTGCTCCCCGGGACCAACGTCGATCCAAATCCCGCCCCTAAGAGACGCATTGATCGCTTTCCTGGCGGCGGAGACGTGCTGAAACTCGACGTATGCGTAGGTTTGGGAACGGAATATCTTGATCTCCTTGATGGATCCGAACCTGGTGAGAGCTTGACGAAGGGCATGATCCGAGATACGTTCGTGAAACTGAAAAGATTCATCAGGAGGGAGAGGGAAGTTAGACAAAAGTCGCCGATGTAGATACCAGAGAGTGGGATGAGCAGCACGTACCCTCACGAAACATTGAGCATTGGAAAGCGCTGGGTGGACACTCGGCTCCTGTACCACAACTGCACCCCACCTCGCCGCGAGATTTGCCCATGTTTTTGGCATAATAGTGGTAGTGTCATTCGGTATTGCAGCAGCAGGGTTGGGGCTAGACGGTGGTATCAAAGGGTTCGTGACAGGCACCTCACTCGATCTCCAATCACTCATGACCGGGGGTTCGACGGCTTTTTGGCATTGACGATGATAGCGCTGAAGTCGAAGGAGGTCTCCAGCCGTGATGAGCTCCAGCTGTGGGGAGTAAGCGAGTTCATCGAGGTCTGTGTCTAACGATGCTGTGGCGGCAGCATCGACGAGCCACGACAGTTGACGCCGGCATCCGAATGCGTATGTAGCGAAAGGGTCTTCCGACGCGTGTTTGATGAGATGCTCCCGAAGGAAAGCGATGAGTGAAATCATGGCGTATTTGTCTGTTGTATCATAGAGTGAGATGATCGTCGGTAATGGCTTCGAAGCGATTGTTTCGCCTGTCGATAGGGCGGATGTAGGGTAGATGAGGCGAAGGAGCAGGTCGAGTAGGGAGGACTCTTCGGAGACAGGGATGATGGGAAGTTGGTCTTCCTGGTCTTGGAAGTCTGGGGATTTTGAGGGCGGGGTTGGGAGGGTAAACATGGACTCGAAGACGGACGAGGTCATAGACAGGATGAGCGTGTGCAAGTGGAAATCAACGTTATCCGCAGAACGTAGGATGAAATCGGCAGTGTCCGCGTTGAACGGTGCATCCGCCCGCACTGGAGCACCATGAGTAGGCGAATCTTGAGTGGCGCTGCCAGAGTAGGTCTGTTGTTCAGGCATGGACACAGGGTTATGGAAGCTGGAGATTTGGCAAAGGGTGATGAATAGAGAGGAGATGCTCGCTGAGATGACTCACGACTCACGGAAGTGAGAAAAAGGGGAGGAGTCTGATGCATTGGGGGCAAAGGTGGGCCTCGTATATATGGTACTTGCCTCGAGGCATGTAACATTAACATAGTCCGCGCCACATCAATTCTGGTCTGGTGCTTCGTCTTCTCGTGAGAGTGGAGGTCAGAAGTGAAGCTGCTGTAACAGAAATACGTACTCGATGTACGTACATCACGATAGGCGGACAGACACAAAAAAATCAAGTGGCGCGGGAAAGACTAGATTCACTGATAGAACGAGGAGTGCAGACACGAACCGTTGACGGACTACAAAGGAGTCTGTGACCCAAATGAGTACGTAGTACCCTCGGGGAGGGGTGAACAGCGGCTGGTCCCATGTTCACGACTGTTCGACATCGGAAGAAAAAGTCATAGACCAGGCGGGCGTTGAACGTGTCAAGGGGAATGGTACGTGCGGTGGGTCGCTCGACTCGGTTGAGGGCACTTCCTTCCAGACCATTCGAGCTCGAGCCATTTATATGACATTGAGACTGCAGTGGTCAACGTGGGTCTCGGAAAAGGACTGTATACATATGATAGCGATGACGGTACCATGTTTATCGATGTCTTGTCAGGAAAGATCAACCGGTACTTGGACCAATGTCCGCGAAAACCCTCTCAGCGATCTGAGCGCAGATGAAACAGGCATATGCTTCAAGTTCAGTACACGACGATACTTAAAAAAAAACGCTGAACAGCATACCTCACGAACGGCTATATCGATTTCTTCAGAGAAAACCCGACTGAATTGGAGCATTTCGCCCATACCAGCCTCACATTTTCCGCACTGAGCGGCTTGGCGCAGCGCTGGGACCAGCAGGTCATCATCCGTTACCGTGCTACCTACCGGGCGGTGCCGTAATGCAGATTGTGCTCGAACCATGTACTCTTCAAACCATTTGGCGCACCAAACCGACGACTCATCATACGAGATTAATGCCAGATTGCTACCATACAGCATCACTTCTGTCTGACAGACACACGTCTTCTCCATGGAACCTACGGGTAGATACGAGATGTCGGGGATCCACGACCAGCCTTTGTACCTGGATGCCATGGCACTGGCACTGGTCTGGCACTCGTTGTGAAAATCATTCAACTTTTGGAGCTGCGTCCCCGTGATCCGTTCCAGTTCAGGGGAAGAGGGTAGTTGTGAAAGAGGCTTTGGTAGCGTGGCCATGGCGGCAGCGATGACGACACTCTTGAGCTGGTGGCGATAGCCAAACGCATAAGCTGAACTGGTGTTGTAGTCAGCAATTTCGATGAGCTGTTCTTGGAGCCGAGGGAGGATGTCGTCCATGGAGTATTTCTCGGCGGCATCGTACGTAGTCATGAGGCTTGACAGATCCCTGGTGAGTTTATGATGTGTGGGATAACAAAGGCATAGGATAGTATTGAGAATGGCCGAGGTTTCGGGGACAGGGATAACGGGAAGACCGTCTCGCGTGGATGAGTCGCCATCTGATTTATCGGTGGGTGTTGGTGTAGGAAGAGAGAACATGGATTCGAAGATGGGTGAAGCTAGCGATAGTATGAGTTTGTGTACGCGATAATCGACATTATCGGATGAACGGAGGATGCAGTCCGCCGTAGGAGACTGAAATGGTCCCTTCGCATCTCTGGGCGGTCTGGCGGTGTCTACCAGTGCGGTGTCATCGACTTCGGAACGGTGTCTCTTGCGACTGCTAGACATGATAATTGCAGATGATGCACTAATATACAGGCCTCGTATCAGTGACGTGACTTTATACATCTGGTGATAATCATACCAGCACGGTGCGCTTTGACTGCAGGTCGTTGATGAGCACAAACGAACGAGGATTGCATTGTGGCGGAACCGGGGACACGCCCGGAGGTTGCCGAGGGCTGTGAGAGATGGGGGACGGCCGGGACAAACTTTCTGTTGACCTTGACCTGTTCATCCTCGCGCTCGTCGCCGCCGTCGCTCTCCTCGTCTTGCTCGCTGTCCAGCCCATTCGACTCCTTTGCTCCCACGCTTTGCTGTATCAATCTTACCTAGATTTGTTCACGCACGTCTTTTCTCATTCGTCTTCACCACCTCGGTACGCTTAATCAGCTCCACTTACCCACATCATCCGCCGCTCACCTTTTCCCCGTCGATTTGTCTTCGTCGTTTACAGCATCGATTCACCGTCATGACCAACACCACTCCCTCTGCTGAAGCTTCTCACAACACTGTCGTTCCTTCTGAAGTCGGATGGCAGTTTGTGCCGCAATACTACACTTTCGTCAATAAACAACCGAACCGCCTCCATTGTTTCTACACCAAGTCCTCCACGTTCATTCATGGTACGGAAGGGGAAGATGGGAAACCGGCTTTCGGCCAACAGGTGTGTGTCATTTCATTCTGGGTGGTTGCTTTAGACCTGCAGCTCGTCCGTTGGTTTTACGTCTCGGCAATTGCGTGGCGCTTGGGCAGGGGGATGGCGATCGTTAGGAAGCGCGCTGGAACACAGCATTGGCCCTCGCTCGATGTTGTTCTTGGTGACGACGCGCAACGTCGGATCGTTCAACTCATACTCTTTTCAGTGTCGTCGAATGAAGGGCAGTGGATATGTCGCGCGTAGAAGACGGTACCGGAGAGCTGTTATGACACCGGTCATGCGACGCGTATGCACAACATATTTCGCAGTGCATTCCTATTGGCAGTGCTTATAACTGTACAGCAGCATCTCGCGGCTCTCTTATAGCTATGCGCAACCATTGTGCTATTGATATATTCGTATATATCGGTATATTTTATACCGTCGTTTTTTTTGGTGTGTGGCGTATGTGAATGACGTCTGGACGCGTCCGCAATTTCGAGTCGCGTCAGTGCAGCGCTCGTCTCCCATTCGTTCCCGGTCTGGACCCGGCATCGCCCGATATGGATTACTTCCGCCGGACAATCCTTTTCCATTCTTTGTCGTTATTACAAGCCACTCCACATTTGGCATGGACACCATGCACTTCTTTTTAAACTATGGATGTAGCTCGGTTTTTCTTCATGGCAGGATCATTGAGCGTTGGGATCATGTTCCCCGGGTTTCTCATTTTTATCATTACTCGTCCGATTCTATTCCATTTTATCGTCTGTCGATACTGCGACGCTTACCTACCGTTATCCATCACCTCTCTAGGAAATCCATAACAGAATTACGTCCATTGGTTTCGAAGACTGCAAGGTTTTCATTCACTCGGTGGACGCCCAATCCTCGGCAAACGGCGGCATCATCATCCAGGTCATTGGCGAGATGTCAAATCGCGGCGAACCTTGGCGCAAGTTCGTCCAAACGTTCTTCCTTGCCGAGCAGCCCAACGGTTACTTCGTCCTCAACGACATCTTCCGCTTCCTCAAGGAGGAAACCGTTGAGTCCGATGAGGATGGTGCTGCTGCCTCCGAGTCCTACTCCGAGCTTCCCTCGGTAGCTCCTGTTGAACCCAGTCCTTCGCCTGCCCCCGAGCCTGTTCCTTCAAAAGAGGACAGCGCCCCTTCTGTCGAGGCTGTTGAAGAGGAGCCCGCTCCCCCGTATGAGCCTGAACCCGAGGCCGAGCCCATCGTCGAAAAGGCCGCCCCTACTGAAATCAACGGTCACGCCGAGCCAGCGGAGAAGGAACCCACACCGGCACCCGAGCTCCCTCCCACCGAGCCTGAACAACCCGCCGTCGCCGCTCCCCCCACCCCCATCCCCGAATCCGCCGCTCCCTCTCCCGCCGTTGCCCCATCTCCCGCCCCACCAACACCAGCTGCCGCTCCTTCGCCCGCACCCGCCCCCGCGTCTCCGGCACCACCACCGCAGGCCGTGGCTCCCCAGCCCGCGGCTCCTCCTGTGCCGAAGACCTGGGCGAACCTCGCGGCTGCGAACTCGAAGAAGTGGGGTGCGGCCGTGGCGCAGGAGTCGAGGGGGACGAGCGAGGTGCCGGCTGCGAGCTCGTCGAATCCGCCGAGTGGGGCGCAGAGTCCTGCTGGGCCTGGCCCGAATGCTGGACGGATATCGAGGGATGCGCATCCGGCATACCAGGCTGCGCAGAATATTCCTACCGCTCAGTGTTTCGTGAAGGTACGTGTCTTCTTTCTTTGATAAAGACGTTTCTTGAGACGTGTTGCTGACTTGCACTTGACCACTCCCTCCTGCCCATGAATTATCTTCAGAGTGTCCAAGAAAACGTCTCCGATCAAGCCCTCCGCCAAACGCTCACCACCCGTTTCGGTCCCATCAAGGAGATCGAGATCGTCCGTTCCAAAGCGTGCGCCTTCCTCGAGTTCCAGACCATCGACGCCGCCAGGAAAGCGATCATCGCGTCTCTGCCCGTCCAGCAGGGCGGTGAAGGTGGAATTCGTGTCGATATTGGTGATGGCCAGCAGATGAGGATCTCGGTGGAGACGAGGAAGGAGAGGGGTGAGAGGCCGGTGAGTAGGCCGAGAGGGGGGATGCCGGTTAATGGTGGGGATAGGGGTGGCTTCAGGGGACGGGGTGGACCGAGGGGGAGGGGGATTGGAACGAAGTAGGCGGTGAACTCGTGGTTGGCGGAGGTGTCATACGTGGTGAGAGGAGGGCCGTGGTCTAGGTTGGGAGAAGTTGGTCGACGTGAACGGGGAAAGCCTTCTTTGACACTGGTGTGGCGAGGAAGGCTTGGCTTTGCGTGGCGGTCATGAGTCATGAGCATGCAGTAGTTGTTTCTCGTTTGTTGCTCTTGTTGTCGTTGTTGTCTTGCTCATTCCCTTGCTCTTGGGGCGGGGCCGGGGCCGAGTCTCAAAACCTTGGTAACTGTGTGTGTCAATATAAAAGTATCTTCCTTTTGGTCTCTATATTTTCGTAGCGTTTCCACCGTGTGATTTATGCTGTCTGAAACCATGTCATGGTAAACGGAGACATCGAAACATAAAGTTCGAAACTGTGTCATGCGCATACTATAGTGTGTTGAGTTCGAGCCTAAGTCAACCCTTAGGTCGGTTGACACTGTAACATAATGATGCGAGAAATTACGAATAACATCTCATACGTAACCGTATTAAACAGTAGGTCGGTTGGCGAAATACTACCTATGGACCCCTGAGAACACGCCTTGTCACAAGCCGACAAGGCACTCTGTGATTGTTCGTCGACCTTCATACGGCATCTGCTTGCGACTTCTTCTAACTGAAGGGGTAGAGTGTTACTTTCGGATAGAGCTTTATCAAGACATCCGAGCAATTGTGACAGAGCAGACTTTGATGGAGCTGCCATGAAGACTAGCGAGGATAGGTGGTGGTGGTGGTTGTAGAGAGAGATGCTCTGTCGACGGTGAAGTCAAGTGAAGTTCGGTTCGCGGTCAACTTTAGTTGCCCCCTTCGTCAGGCACATGCCGCGCGCGGCGCCACACTGATCATGATGCCACAGTCATGAATCTCTTCAGGGAGGATATATATGATATACGACTGCATGAATATTGAGTCTTTGTGCGCCTTGCTCAAGCGGACGGTGGCACGTTCGAGGTCGAGAAAGCAGGGCAAAACAAGATGGTATTCATCACGAGTAAGAGAAAAGAAAACGTCATTATTACGAGGGAGTGTGTGTGGCCAAACGTACAATACTGTATGGCGGGCTTGCTGGATACTAACTAAATAGATCAGACTCGAACCAAATCAAAAGAAACAGTAGAACAAAAAAAAACGGTAACGATAGGGTAGCTGGAGTCAAAGTGAGTTCGAGGGGAGATGAGGAGTCTGAGGGAGAGACTGGGGTAAAATGTATATGTAGTAGACAGACTTGGGATATGGATATATCGAGAGATAAAAGGCATAGGTATAACGCAACAAGATACGAAGAGAGGAACGAAAACAGCGCAGAGATGACCAAAACTAGACCGTAGATATTGCAAGAGATAACGGGGACGGGAAAAGACTTGGATGCTCAACTACGACACTTCAGGTCCGGCGAATGTGGGTACGGGAGGCTTCGGCGTCTTCGTAGCCCTCTTCGATCCAAACCTCAGCTTGCCGGAGAACAACCCACCACCACCCTCGCCCGATGTAGCACTACCTGCTCTCGAACGGAACGACCACGCCGGAGAAGTTGGCCGTTCCACGTCGGAGGGGTGTGCATCTAGATGATGATCTCTCGCACGAGACCTTTCGCGTTTTCGAGGAGGAGGAGAGGTTGGTGTTTGATCGTGGTTGTGGTGATGATGGTGGTGGACATGGCCAGAGGGCCCGACAGTGTGGCGACCATCGCAGCAAGCGCGGACGTTCTCGAGACCTTGGAATCCGCCATCGCCAATAGTATCATCGTGAAGCTCAAAGTCCAGATCCTCGTCGTCGTGCTGGCCGGGTATGTCTACGAACTCTTTTCCGGGACTTGGACTATACGAGTCACCACCACCGTACCGCAGATACTCGGCTGCAGGCGTCCCCGAACGTTTGCCCACGGATCCACCGACAGACAGCTGAGACTGACTCCTCTGCCCTCGAGGCGTCGCGTTCCACTCGCTGGTCCCGGCACTCCGAACGCTACGGAAACTCTGAGGGCTGGCAAGAAGGTGCGATTGGGGCGGGGGAGCATCGTCGTCACGGTCCTGGTCTTGAAGATGGCTTTGACCTGAAAGAGGGCTCGACGGCATTGGGCCTGGGATGCCTTTCATGCCAGGAGAGGTTCCGGGTAGCGAGCTCGGCCGCGTAAGGAGATATTTCAATGCCTGCAAGTACCAGATGTCGTCAGCTTTACTCGTATAGTTCTCAAAGTTAGGACAAAGAACATACACTGAGCCACATATCGTGCCTCTCTTTAGTCGGTGCAGTGATCTTCATCTCCCTCTGCGGCGTCGACACGACAACACTGTACTGGTAAAGACCAGGCGGCATCGGATTCGGGTCAAGAACCGAGCGAACGGCCTCGATATAGGCTACAAGAAAAACTTCGATCAGTGACCGCTCATGCTCTACTCAGGGCAAGAACTATATGGACATACCGCTCTTCGCACTCGACTCGAAAACATTTGATGACCCAGGATCCGACGAACTCCAATACAACGTCTTCGTGTACGGATGCACCCAGAAGAACCTCCTGTGCCTCTTCTCGCCATAGCCCTTCCCAATCGCCTTCCTCGTGTACTTGTACAAGAACTCGCCAATCATGGTCTGCGTGATAGCATGGATGACCGACGGGTCGGTCACTCCGCCCATACCAGCAGGACCACCCGCTGGAGACCCAGCGCCCAAGTTCCCAGGCGTATGAGGTCCGTTCGTCGTTGTAGTGGGAGCGATAGACCTGTTCCCGGCCGCATGCGGGTAGTAGTGATGATCCGAAGACATCGACGACCTTCCAGAACCAAGGGAGTCTCCGCTCTGCAGGGAGGTACTCGAGAGCTCTCTTCCCCTATCTCTGTGAGCAAGATGAGCGAGCGCTGCCGAGGCACCGACATACGACCCTGTTGCGTTGGCCGCAGATCTGAAGCTGGTCGTCGAAGGCCTCTGTCCAAGATTTTGCGACCCTGGCAAGCTCGTACCATGCATACGAGGAGAGAACGCAGGTCTGAGCTGAGGCGTTGTGGCGCGCTGGATAAGGTCAGGCGGTGGTGGAGAGATCGGACGACCAGGGGGAGCTTCATGCCCATTGTGCGAGGAGGCCGTGGAAGTCAAAGGGATCCTCCGGTCTGGTATGAACTGGGGCGGCGGCATACTGTTCGGCGGAGGTGGTTGACGAGGTGGAGGAGGAAGCATCATCATCGGCGGGCGTGACTTGTCAACAGGGGTGGGTATGGTCGAGGGTAGTCGGGATCGAGGAGCACCGTCCTCCACGCCGCCGGAAAGTGCTGACTCGATGGACTGACGACGATCAGACTGGGACGTACGTGGACGAGGAAGAGTCGCGACGTCACGAGCGGGGATGATCGACGTTGGAGGCCCAGCTGGCGATGAAGGAGCGGAGATACCTGGCGTCGCAGTCGCGGTGGGACCAGCCGACGCAGGTGGTGAGATGTACTGGAATTGCTGCATCGCCGGGCCCACTCTGATTGCAGCATACGAAGGCTGAGGCTGCACTGGAGCTGCAACCGGTGCAAGAGGAGGAGTCGGAGGCTTCCACTCGTCCGTCTGGATGGACATCTCCTTCAGTTCGGGCTTCGGAGGTTCGACGACTGGTTCTAGTACAGGAATAGGCGCGGGAGCGGGCTCTGGCTCGTCTGGCATTGGTTCTTCCACGACATCCATTCCGACCGATTTATCTTCGTACGTAGCCAGGGGCTCGTATACCGCCGTCCGCGGACGTGGCCTGGCTAAAGGCACCGATGCCGATGAAGATGCCGCGGAATCAAGCGCGGGGCGGCTGTTCAGCCTGGAAGCAATGATGCTCTCACCGTCGTCCTCGTCGTCCGTCACGTCCCGCATGGATTGGAAGTCGTCGAGCGAGTACGTCGGCGTCGATGCGGTCATCACGACACTCCTCGCATCGTGGAACTCCGCCTCATCAGTCTCGGTATCGGTGCCCGTGTCGTCCCCGGTCTCCGTTCGACTATCGTCCTCCTCCCCGACCGCGGCCTCGATCGCGATAGCGAGCCCGGCAGCACGAACAGGGCTCGTCTTGTTGACATCGAGTTGCGTGAGGGTCGTCCTCCGTGACCTGGACCATGCCTCCCCAGGAAGGATCGTCGTTTCCGACTCCTCCGTCTGCATATCCGCGTCGGCTGTCGTAGGGAAAGTGACCTCGTTGGCATCGGTCTGAACATCCATATGGGCGACTTCAGCAAGTTCGGTCTGTGTTTCGGCTTCGGTTTGGACCACAGGCTCTGGAACGGGGACAACAGGCTCTTCGACCTCATCCGTAACGATGCTCATTTCGCCGTACGTCCTGGGAGGCTCCAAAGGCTCGTACTGAATGCCCATCTCCGAGCGTTCGACGACAACGGGCTCGGGTACCGGTTCAGGCTCGGGCACAGGCTCTGGCTCCGTCTGGATCTCCATCTCCATAGTCTCAACCTTCGGAATTTCAGGGACAAGCTCAGGCTCGACCTGGATGCCCATCTCACTCGTCTCAGGCGGAATCGGCGTGACCTGAATCGCAGGCGACTCGGGCTCTCGTTCTGGCACCTCCATCGACTCAGTTTGACATCCAAACTCTGCTGTGTCGACTCGGATGTCGAAGCTGTGTTCGGGCAGGACCACACTGTCGCCTTCGCCCTCATACCCACCCCAGAGTTCAGCTGCGAGAGCTTCCGGCTTGCCGACGAGCGAAGGAGGTCTGGCTTCTTGGAATGCGGCTCCGCCTCTTCTCCTAAGTGTACCGCGGCCCATGGCGATGCCCAAAAGACCACGAGCGGGGGAAGAATTGGATGCTGAGAGTTGGTTGCGGAGGGGAGAGCCGCTGTATGGTAGAGAGCCAGAGGAAGAGGAGCGGCGAAGAACGTTAGCGAACGCAGGGTCCATGCCGTCGATACTGGTCCTGTTGGAAGCGGCTTCTTCTGGCTCTGGACCAACGGTAGTGTCTTGGTCTTGATCGTCTGCCTCGGCGTCACCGAGGAATTGGGGAAGGGATGGGACGGGAGGTGGTGGCGAAGCAGTAGTATCCGCATCATCGTCGTCGTCGCCGTTTCTCGCGGCCTCCAGTCTTTGCTGCAACAGCATCCCACCGCGACCTCTGGCCCTGCCTCGTCCTCGACCAGCAGCACCAACGCGAATCGGCGTGCCTCTTCTCGGTTTCTTGAGCGAACCATTGGGACCCGCCTCTCCCTCGTCGTCACTTCCAGCCTGCTCCATTCCCTCGCCGAAAACAGCAGAGCTAGCAGGGGATCTACCAGCCTGCTTCCTGAACTCAATCCCTCTCTCCTTCTCCCTCTGCAAAGTGCCTTTCAAGGTCGAGATCTGCCTCTGCGCATGTGACAACCTCTGCTGCAACGCCTCGACTTCGTTCGCGGGATGGTTAGGGGCCATGAACGGTTTCTTCAACGGAGAAGCGTCATCATCATCTTCCTCCATATCACTCAAGAACTCCCCGTTATACGTCCCCTCCCCAGACTTCCTACGATTCGTCGAGGCGCCACCGGTCCTATCGCTGAAGATATCGTCCTCGCCTTCGCCGTACACAGAAGGAGTAAGGTATCTGCCCCTTTCCGCACGCTGCTCCGGAGTCAGAGGCGAGCCTCCAAGCCCGAACCCGCGTTTCTCTTTGCGTTCGGCCTCCTTCTTCAGCTGCTCCAGCGTCGTCGACAGATCACTCTTATCCCTCATCAGAGCGGCCCTCTCCCTGCGGTGCTGCGCGACATCGGTCTCATGCTTAGCCTTGAACTCGTCGAATTGGGTGTTCAGACGTTCGGCCTCGATACGATGTGCGTCCGATGTCTCGCGGATGGTCGAGAGCTGCTTCAACGACCGGCTGTGGTCGGCGGAAAGTTTCGAGTGCGTCTCTTGGAGCGTGCTGTGGTTCTGTCGGAGCTCTTGCAGCGTGACTTCGAGGTTCCAGTTCTCTTCGCGATATTTCTCTGTATTGCATAAATTAATCAGTACTTCATCGATAGTGACAGTATGTGAGAAGCAAGGACGTACCGGTACTGGCCTCTTGGGCCTTCAACGCTGCCCGCAGACTCTCAGCGGCACGCTCGGCCTCCTCCTTCTCCTCCTTCATATCTGCAATCGCCTTGTCACGCTCCCCGAGCAGGCTTTGTAGTCTCCGAACCTCGGTGAGCAGACCGGAACCGATCTCGAAAGCGAATTCTGCACGATTGCGAGATCGTAGTCGAGAACAATTGGCACGTGTTAAATTAAATTTAATTTCGTTTAGGCGTTAGGTGGAGCATTGAAGTTTGACAGCCGAGAAAGACAAGACAGAGGCGCCGTCGACGTCAGGAATGTTTGTAAGATCTAACTAGAAAAAGAAAAGGTACGCACCGACGTCGTCCGCACGGTGAGCCGCATTCTTCGCCCGTCTCGACGATTGAGCTGCAGAAGTACCGGCTGCTGCTGGCTTATGGATTCGTTCGTTGTCGGACGTCGAATGGGGCATTTCCGGCGGTGGCGATGAACTTAGAAGGGGCGACTGAGGTCGCGATGGTGGCCGCGACGGCGGTCGTGATGAACTCCCATTCACAGGAGCCTGAGAGCAAGGAAAACATGATCAGCATCGATACGTATAACATGGCGGTAAATGATGTTCGTGAAGAAGGTGAAACAAGAGACGAGCAGCGGAGGTACCCTAACTGTGCAGTCACCGTAAGAGTCGGCACGGACCCAAAGGAGAAGTCGCCCGCGTATACGTATGCGCCATTACTCATGCCATCGACACCGACCGACGCTGAAGCTGGCGAGAAATACACGCAGAGCGATTCTGCATGGTGCGGCGGCATGAATAAGACGAGCAGGATGCTCGGTGAGAAGTTCCCACAGATTGGCCCGATGAACGCAAGAAAAGGTACCACAGCAACGCACGAAGTAGCGACAACGAACGAGCATCGTCCGACATAGCATACATCAGATATATGCGTTATATCGCACGAGAGTCAGAGTGGAGACATTTCCGTCCGCGATATTTGACGCTGACAAAACCCCTGTTGAACGGGGCGACAAGCACACCCCGCCACTGAACACGCCGGCCAGAACAACAGCAACTCACCTTGCCGAACGCCGTCGAAAGCTGTACATTCTCCGCATCCCAAACAGTGAACGACTGCGCGAGCTGACGATACCTCTCTCTCATATCCGCATCGATCTCGTCGTCCTCCCCAAGCGCCTTGTCCGCATCCAGCTCCTGCAGCTCTCTCACTCTCTCTTCCAGCTCAACCTGCTGCGCGAGCACTCTCTGGCCCAGCGCACCAGCCTGCTGAAGCTGCTTCTCTTTCCTATCGAGCAAGTTCTGGAGGTAGAGCCGCATGTCGCCTGCGGACGAGGTATGGGAGACCAGATCGGTGTTGGTATTGCTGTGGGTGGAGGACATCTTCCGCGTCCTGGGGTTCGTCGTCGTCGCCGTCGTCAAAGTCGAGGGTGGTGGGGAGAATACGTCGTCGTAGCCGTCTGAGGAGTTGGCCATGGCCGTCGAGGCCCGACCGCAATAAAGCAGCGATGGAGAAGAAGAAGAGGAGACTCGCGGCGCCGACGCAAGTGCGTTACCGCCCCCCCAACACGCGATTCCCACGCTTTTCCCGCTCAACCGTCAACGAACATTTCCCGATTTGGGCAACGGTCGCACCCCGCCTGCGAGTTTCGCTTCCGCTTTCATGAGCTTTGCTTCCGACTAACATGCACATCACGACCGCCTCTCAGCAAGCCGACCGACAAGTGCCCACGTCAGTATCCTCCAAGCGTCGTTTTCGTTGCTAAAATTTCGCGAGCATGGATCAACTCGAGGTTGCCACGCGGGATGCCACGCGTTCGAGGAACCCAAGCGTACCCGACAACAGAACAACAACAGACAATAAAAGTAAACACATCGTACTCTCTTTGACAGCAACTCCAGAGCAGCAAATCATAGATTTAATAATACCTCCTCCTTGAAAGTCTGATTGTAAGGATCACCAAGGAGCCCGGATGCTCGCACTCGTCGACGTAGACAACGAAACGCCATTTTGGATCTACCAACGCCCACAGACGTCATCAGCATTCCACACCATGGATGATCAATGAAGGAGAAACAAGATGAAAGACTCACCGCAGCCACGATCTGTTTATGAACCAGCGACAAGTCTGAGCCACCGCCACATCAAAGCGATCAGCACGCGTAAGACCCCTCGATGTAAAGGTGAGGGGGTCGGGACTCACAATCCATGTAACTCAAAGCGCCACAATTATGATCCTCCACCAAAAGGTCGCTAAACTCAATCTCCTGCCCGTCCAAATTCTGGCGAGCGAATCGGATCTTCAACTGGCGTCCTCCGCGCTCTGCGGTTCGGTGTGCGAGCACGTTACGGACTTGCGTGGAGAGGCGTGTAGGAAGTTCCGGTAGAGAGATCTAGAACGCGGCCGACCAAATCATGCGTTAGCAAACATGGGATTGTGAGCGAAGAGAGAGGGGGACAGAGGGACAGACCATTTCTGGGTCAAGGCTGTGAACATCGTCGACGCCGAACAGATCCATCAATAACGCTGGGGAAGCACTGAGTCCTATCCAGAATATCATCACATCCTCATTATCTGTTTCAACGCCACCATCCGTCTTTCATTTAGTAATCACCCCCGTACCAGTATAATAACGCACACTCACCGATGAGATACACCCCACCAGCCTGCATGAACCGATAACTACACCGCATCATCCCCGGCATATCGATCCTCATCACGACCTCTCCCTCTCCTCCATCTCCATCCGTCGCAGTCGCAGTCCCTTTGACCGCAGGCGCAGGTACAGGCTGCGGAAGGGCGATGGCTTCATCTAAATCGTGTAGAGCTAGCATACGTGGGTAGAGCGTGAACATCGTGGCCCTGACGCCCAGAGCCAGAAGCTTATGCGAGTGGAAGTTGCGGACATCGGACGTAACGGAGCGAGCTGAATGATTTTGAACAAGCTTTAGCAATAGTCATAGTAGCAGTGATGAAAGAAAGAGGGAAGAAGAGGGCAGGTATGCCTAACTGACCTTTGAACGGTTTGCTCTTATGAATTCCGAGCGCGTACATCGGGAGTGCGCGGAACGCTTCTGGGATGATCAACTACGATTGACATGTCAGATCAGCTTCAAAGCTTAAGTCACGGAGTGGACAGAAGCGCACCTGAGTAGCCCCCGTCGAAGCCGCGCAATTTCGTCGATAGGCATACAGAATTGCTGACGTAGCCTCAGTCAGATCCTCACGAATCGTCGAAAGCTTCGTCTCCTTCATTCTCGCTATTGCTATACGACGTGCAAGACAACACAACAAAGATCAGATATCCCCGCACAGAATGAAAGAATCGAACAATCCTGACTCACATCTCCGAAGAAGAGCAACCACCACCGCGTCCATATCCGCAAACCTAAACACCGATCCCGCCAGTCCAGCCACCTGAACAGCCAGATTCAACACCCGCACTCGTCTCTCCCCTCTCATCTCGGGTAGTACCTCCTCTGCACTGCCATCGACTTCCCCGTTGACGAGGGGGGAGGGAGAAGGACGTCCTCGTGCAGCTGTGTATAGGACTGCACATTGCAGGAACGCATACCCTCCTTCGTTCAGTTTTCCCGAATGCTCTAGTGTGACCGAGATGGATTTGTCGGCGTCCATGGTCCCGAACTCTAGGGAATCTGGAGTGGGGAGGTGGAAATTGCCCTGGTAGGAGGATATTCGAAGCCCTGTTGTAATAAAATGGAAGAATAAGCATGGGGCAAACGAGTGGGTAAAGACATAATATTGCTAGGTAAAAGAGACCGCACCATGGGAGCAGCGGACTCGAAGGGCGCAGTTGTACGCCGTTGTCCGCGAAATGAGTCTCCTGAGCTGCGAATGTAGAACATGGCGGTCGTGTACGAGATCAAACCGTGGATGGAAAAACAGCTCCCCGCCTGTGATGCTCGATACCACACCTGATCCGCCAAAGCCACACCGTCATTAGCACCTGTATGTCTACGATAGATAAAACGAGCGCCGACGTACCGATAGATCCCACGTCAACGAACTTGTTCATTCCTAGGAACATGCTCACGCCAATACCCTCTTCGGCCAGTTCTTCAGCCACGTTCTGCCATGAATGGTCTCGTGGGACAAATAGCGTTTTCTCCTTGTCCGTTCCGTACATTTCGGCCTCGCTTGTTCTTGGCTGAAGCGCACCGGGACCAAGTGTGGGTAATGTTGCCTGGAAGAATACGACCTGTCCTCCCCGTCCTGCCTGTATGAAACCATTTATGAGCGATGCTGTCGACGTCAGTGAACTGTGGCGAACGAGAATGAGTTACCAGTGTGGCGAGTGTGGCGCGGACGGCGGAACCCAGACATGATTGCGTGGACGTGAGGGCCTCGTACCGTGGTGAAATACTCTCGAGCAAGTTTTCAATTACTGTCCTACGAAGTCCAATCCTGAGAAAATATGCGAGAAAGAGATAGACGGGGGACGTACCGAGACCGATGTGGGTTGACAAGGATGCCTTGTCGTGTTGGAAGGAAAACCTCATCAATATCGGCGACCACGAGCATATTGGCCTGGTCGAGACTGGGCTGGGTATCACGCACGAGTTGAATATACAGTATCGCACAAGGAAGATTAGCAATCAAAGTCACTCACAGAGAGGTCGTAGAAATGCAGCTCGCTGTGGAACGTCAAGATTCCCACATGACACTCAGAGGGGAAACAGGAGTCCTCCCCATAGAGTATCTCTTTCAGCGATTCGCATGCCGTCCGCAGGAAACCCGAGCTCACAGCGTCGACAGACACGTCGAATGCAAACAAGTAGTCCATCGGCTTTGGTTCACGACCGAGTGTAGACGCAGGAGTCACTGGTGGTGGCTCGATGGAGACATATGAAGGATTTATTCGTTCAGGCGGGTTGGGTGCCCAATAGGCCTCTGTATCTGAGACGGCAAAGTCAATGGTGCCTTTGTTCAGCTCAGGCCGCTGAGCGTGATCAAGTCGCAGGAAGTTGGAGTCCAGATTGCAGAAGTACTCCGCGCTGACTGGGGACCACCATACACTCTGATATAAGTTAAGAGTACGCCAAGAAACGGTCTGAACAGAACGCACCTTCGGTCTCGTGCCCACATAGATTACACTTCCATCTACTTCCGCCCGCCGTCCATGTACACCACGGATTGATGTAACCCTGACACAGAGCACACCTCTGAGGCCCACTCGGTCCACATTCTACTAATGGCACAGGTTCCTCTCGAGGATCGACGTCGGCGAATGGTTGGATGATGGCAGCGAGAGGGATTTCGAGTTCGTTCGCGAGGCGGGATGTGGAGGGTATGTTCCATGTTGTCATACGGACGAACTTGGGTGATGAATTGCCTAACGTTTGACCATGAGTCCTAGATAATTGTATGATGTTGAAAAAGGCACGAACCCTGGTCCAATGCGATATAATCCGAGGTTGATAACGGTGCATGGTTTCCGGGTAAAGTGGTATATGTTTGGTTCTCCCACTTGTCGCGGTCGGCTTCGATGGCATCCACAGGAGACGGTACCTGACTTGGATCTATGTGTGTTCTCAGACCTATAGTTCACGAATATGAACGTTCTCTTCATATACCTCGTGGAAGAAATCCGTACCTTGTAGAGTCTGGCCAGCGCTATGAGGTGGCTGCGGTATTGGGTCTCCGTACATTTCTGGAGCCACTCCGTCCAGCGACAAGCCACAATCACTGGTTCGGCACAATTGCGGGATAGAAGTGAAGAAGGATGATATGTATCTAGGAAGACGAGGAAATATTGGGAAATGAAGCAAAGCCACTACTCGGCACTGTGGCGTCAGCTCCGTTGTTTGGCAAAAGCCTCTGATCCTAACAAAGAGCTATTTATGGACTGCCTTCGACCCAATTTGGCATCGTTCTCTTACCCTCGGACTTGCTTCACTCTCGCCGCTTGCACTTCAGCACAACATCTTTATATTAGACATTCGCGAGCCATAGAATGATTTATGTTCTCCATACTTCAAGGCCTACTCTGCTGACCTGTTCTTGACTCCACTCGCCGCAACACCTTCTCTTGACCATTTCACAAACCCTGTTGCTCCCGGGCCTTTCGTGAGAAAAAAATACCATCATCGATAAACTATTCAAGAACGAGGGACACAAAACGATTACTGTCAATAGGGCATATATGTAGCGGTTCACATCAGTTTCGTTCATCATCCTGAAAACGAAAAGTGTGAACTCGGAATCTCGAGTGTGGTGCTAGATATAATACTCAGTTCACATTGAGTTTGGATCCTCGAGACGGGTCTACTCCTGCTCTCATTCCCGTCTCCCTTCCTGATGGCCTCTGATACAGCGATTCTTTCGGGAGCTACAGTACGTGGGCCTTCCGCCAAAGTGTGTGTTGTTCCGAACGACGTCAGTGAACGGGCAGAGGCCGGAGGAGGCCCCTCTCGCATCGAAATCGCACTGAGTGGGAATTGAGCTTCGAGGCTCCAACGGGACAAAATTGCGAAGTATTGAACCCATCATGGGTTTAGTTCACATCGCAAAAACGCGATGTGAACCGCTACATATATGCCCTAATGCCACGAGGACAAAATACAAGAGGAGACTTCATTCAAGCTACGTACTGTTTGGTGCCGCAGACTTTGTGACTTGTTGTATATAGACGCTTGAGGGGCTTATATAGACGGAGGATCCACCTGAAATATATTCGAAATAACATTGAAGTTTCGATTATCAGAGCAGTGCAGCTTTCAAGGAGAAAAAATAAACAAGAGCAAGACTGACCTGTGCAACAGCGTCTTCGATCGCGGCAGCGAAACGCTCAACAAACTCGAGCATGGTTTGCGTACCCCTTCGGCATTCATGTATTTTGGTGCAGGATATAGCCTCGCCCAACGTTGGGGCTAGAAAATCCCTCTGGGTGACTGTGCCACCTCTGGGCCTGATCTTTAATGCGGACTCAGAGCGTATCATATAAGCAAGCCACCATCTTGGGGCCCAGAAGTTCCACTTAGGATCAGGATCTAAGACAGAACCGCTCTGGATAGCATTCTCTAGTTGCTGCGAGGACGTGCACTTCCTCCTACAGGAGCACAGAGGTGAATTTGAATAGTAGGGCTCCCCTAGAGGCACATGGGCAACGTTTTCGATCCATCCCCACTGCTCAACAGCGATTTTTTGGACGGAATCCTGGCATCGACGTCTGTAGATAAGAAGCCTTTGAAACTGAGCAGCCGAAATATGCTCGAGTTCGGGACATAGTGGAAGGTCGTCGATGGGCGAGTCAAGTGTAGCGATCGCAGAAGCTTGAACAACGTCTGTAAGCTGCAAACCCCACGCGTAAGCAGTGAGGGCGTCTTGCGACGCGTTCTGCAACAACGCTTCCATGACCGGGTGGATGAGGCCTTTAAGGTCGTACTTGTCTACAGCCTCGTAGAGGGACATCAGAGTCGACAGAGGATGATCGGATAGAGGCCGTAGAGGAATCTGACTGGGAGGATAGATGCGACGAAGAAGGATATCGAGAATGCTAGCATCTTCCTGGAGAGTGACGACAGGAAGACCGTTCTTCAGCTCCTGCTGTTCGGCGGAAGTGGTGGTTGGCTCTGGAAGATTGAACATGGAACGGAAGAACGCGGAGGCAATCGACAGAATGAGTTTGTGCGCGCGAAAGTCCACTTCATCAGAGGTGCGGAGTATGCAGTCGGGGTCGACAGCCTCATCATCGAAAGGTGCTGGGGCATCCGTGATCATAACAGGAGCTGATCCAGCGATCAATGCTTGATCGTGGCCAGCGGTCAAGTTGTTTGGGTTCATCTTGAAATCTACCTGCGATATGGTCGCACGCAGCTGTCAGATGTTGTGCGATATAGACTTGAAAAACACGTACAAGACAGTAATGAGGGAGTGTGATGTGGGCGAGCACGCCTCATCTTTAATCACATACCAACCGGGTTCTTCCATGCTTCCACGCTACACGATGACCGTAATCTAAATCTAGCCTGGAAGTTTTTTCTCACCAGGTGATTACCTCGATGTATTTATGTCTGGACGTTCGGGACATTCAAGATTTTCGCCGAAGTATCGCCAAAGCATCGCTAGACGAGAGCAGCAGGTGCAGGCCCAAATTTGCAAGTAATCGCTGTAAGTTTATTGAGATTCTTGATGACTTTCCTTTGAGTTGAACAGATGTTCCCGAAACCTTTGCCTCAGACAGTGTCGCCTGCAGCAGAGATGCCAGTGAAACTATGGCTATTACTAGGAGTGGCTGTCGCGCCCTAGGCCATTCCGAACGAGTCTATCTATGTATTTCGAAGCATACTGTAGTCGGTGATCCCGATGAAGAGGTATTAGCCCTGACACGAGAGGAGATGTAAGATATACATACTCCGAGGACACAGAGCACCATGCTATTTAGCGCTAATCATATCAAGAGCGCTGATGTCGTGATGCTCGTAGAAATCTGTAGCGTAGCATGCTTTAGAGATAAGTAGTTAGCCTGAGCAAAGGCCGTATACCTGGCTATTCAAAACTGGAAAGGACGCTCAACAGCCCATTGTCGTGGATCTAGTGCTGCAGAAATCGGTTGTGGATGGAACGCAGATGAGTTTTGAGCTCGGAGTCGGTGCTTGCCATCGCAGTTCGACTCTTCGAGCGAGGGCCGATGTTCGTGGGAAAGGCGTTCCGCGGAGTTCGAAATTGCCGGTTGTACTGAACATGCGGGTGAGTCGAACATGATCGTTCTTTCTCCCAACCACTACAGTCGAGCGCCGTGAGACTTTACTGACTACCTCAGAGATCATCCTCTCCAGATTACCGTTTTACCACGATTAGCATGGAATCTGGAGAACATCGGTTGGACATCGTCTCATCTCAACGCGATTTTACCCTACCAGCCGTGCGACCAAATATGACGAATTACGATCGACTCATCAGCCCCAGGCTCCCTCTTCAGTTTTGTTCTTGGTATCTTACATCGAGACAGTTTCTGTGACTCTCTATACTGCCTTTCTCTGTCAATGAAGCGCCCTCTGTTCCGCTAGACTATGATTGGTTGCGCATGCACTCCACGGAGGCTGCATGATGTATCTAGACAGGTCGCATACTCGCGCAACCTTAATATCGGCATTCTTACAGTCTACTCTCGTCACCCTCCGACTCGCTTGCAAGCGCCAGTGCTCGGTCTGTTGCACTCCCCGAAACAAAGCGATCGGGATCCGACTTAGAACACGCACTGACCGTCAGTATGTTCAATGAGTGAGTAGTCGCGATCTGTTCGATGTAAAATTTTAAGCCAGGGCGGCCTGTCACTGAAATCTGCAACTTTGTTCATATTGTAGGCGGAGCGCTCCTTTACCGCGTCAAGGATCAGTACAATCTTCTCCGCGCTCTTCTCCGAGTCAACGGACAGGCTCTCACTGTCATGGATCGGCGTCAATTGAGGACAGATTCAGTCGCGTCTGTTACACCACGGAACCTTTCATTGGGTCGTTCGAGTCAAACCGCAGAGGTCACCATGACCCTTCTCCAACTCGATAACCTCAATCTATCTCACTGGCTCGTTTCCGTTTGTTCGGTCATACTGACTCTTGGCTCCTTTCCTTTGTCGTCTTGTTTCTCTCTGCAACCAACGTACTTCTATGGTTTGAACGGGACTACTTACTATCACTTCTCTTACTTCAACAAGAGCTTGTGTCTCGATCACATGGGTGTTCCGTCGTGGAGGTACCGATTTTCACTGGTTTATGCAATCTTAAAGGCTCATACAATGAGTGTTTCAAGTTCTTGCGTTGTTCCTCTCCGTGCTTCGTCCAGTGAAAACATCCTGCAGAGCAAATCGATGGCCGCCGCTAAAGGCGCAGAATCACCGGTGATTTCGTCGATATGACACTCCTGTTCATCGCACGGAGGACATAATTACTCACCCACATGATTGGTTCCAGATGTGTTGTGGCGTAATCACGACGGAACGCTGTAAAGGTCAAGGCAAGCATGGTACGCCATATCACCCTCGTGTCAACTTCTGCATCAATCTCCGACGAAATAACATAAGTGTTTGGATACGTGTCTTCGTAGCGTGTGTGGGTGTGTAGGTATGTGACGGTATGTGCGGCGGCGGTTGATATCTACCGGTTTCCTGCGGAAAAGAATTAACGTTGAGCTTACCGTCCAGCGGTTGAGTTTCATCAAGTCATCGAGATGGGCCACCGGGGCCTTGCTAACTTGAAATGGCCTGGGCAACCATAGCCCGCCCTTCCTCCGTTACTCAAGCTCCGCCCTGTTTCGTTGTGTTCTCAGAATGAAACGATCTCCTGGGGTGGAGCTTGTACGGCGTTCATCGTTGGCTTCGTCCTTGGAAGGTTCATTTGCTGAGGTTCGTCGGACCCTCACGTGAAAAGATGTCTCGAGTAAACAAGAGACGTCTGGTATTATACATGTGGGGTTTTTCTTCGAGACATGGCCCGGTGCCGCTCATAGCATGCATGGTCAGCACTAAGAACAGATCCCGTTGATCAGTGATCGTATCCTTCGGTTCCAGACACGCGATGACCCAGCGCTGTTTCCCAGTGTGGAATATCAGCATCCCATCCTTAGGCGGGTGCAACGACAGAGAATGGCAGACTATGATGATGCATTCACGGAGGATTCCGTGCGAAGTATAGCCCTTGTTGTGATCTCGTCTTGAGAGAGGGGTATGTTCTCCGATTGTGTGGTTTCGTTGATCTGCCTGTCTATGCCCGCATCGCCTGTGTCTCACAAATGGCGTCCACGTAAGTGACTGGGCGAAGTATTCTCCCCCCGTGAGCTTACTGTGACTGGCTACTGGCTACTGGCTGATGCATAAAGTTATGTCGCGTCCTATAAGCTCCTATGCTCCTGCCGCGACGCATGATGTTTCCTCATGCTTATGCAGCCCCATTTTAGCAGCCAGAGCCTGGTCTGTCAGCGTTCCGGAAGGCAGCCGGCGTAGATCCAACAACGGCCAGTGCTTCCGGGAGATATCGGTATAGACACCCCTGTCTTTTTGGAGGATGCGCGACGCAGCGCTTCTCGAGGCATCAGAAGATGTGGTGCGCTTGAGCCTCAGCATGGGCACTGTATGGTCCCCCATCTAACCTTGTCTATTATGTGTAAGACCTCGTTGCCACACTCCTTGAAGCACTCTTGGAGCCGTGGCCACGGAGCGACCCCATGTGTTATCGCTAGCTAGAGCACTGTAGTTACCCTAACCGTCTGTCCTGCGCCGTCAGTATGTCGGGAATGGAGCGGTAAATGGTGATGCTATATCCCGCTTGTATATTCTATACAGAAGCTCACTGGGGCTAAGAGACCTCCGGCGTTGCTCCCGTGCCACAGCAAGGATGATTTTTAAAGTTGAGATAATTTACCGAACCCGTTAGCACCACAATATTTCTGTGGTGTCTGGGTCTTTGTTTACGTTTGGCTGTCTTTGAACTTTTCCCCGATGGTGTTATATCGTTACCCCGCTACTAAACCCTTTGTCTCTGATCTAGGTTACATTCCGTGTGGTGCCCAGGCGCTGTTTGATGTTCGTCACATCTGCCCGACGCAGACGCTGTCAGACATCGTGCTGATTGTCCAATAGATAGTCACAGGGCCACACGGAACTTGCCATAGATCCCCACCACACAGTCCACACGCGGGGAACGTTTCGCGTGGACACGTTCAAAAGAACCATATCTCGAACCAGAGCATAATCTTGGTTCCTCGCACCATACTCGACAAACCCCCTCGGAGCTCCACTGCTACAGGAATAGTGTCCTCTCGTGCAGGCCACCGTCACAAGTGGTTAGCCAGCGGACGGCTTTGGGCCACTGTGTTGCCGCAAGCTCTTCAGAGCGCAGTGGCGCTGGCGAACGCCATGGCACTGCAACCGAACAAGTCGGCTGGGATCGGAGAATTGCAAAGGATCGAACGCTGTTACATCAGAAGATGAAAACGATGGTCGTCCTTTCAATTCTCGCCCGGCAACATCCCCAACTCCCGAGGACATATCACTCCTGCTTGCTTATCCCATGTGCGCTGTTACTGGCCCGACCGTTCGTCAGACTGACGCCCACCGGCGAATGCAGGAAAGCGCAACTGTGCTGCCTGACCCGTCACCGCCACATCTTTGTCCTTGCGACCTGAAGAATCGGATGAAACTTCTCGTGTCGTGCTAATATCGCATTAATCGTGTCTCCAGACACGATTCCATTCGGTGTTATGGTGGGGTGACCTAGCTGCCAGCATACAGAGGGGGAGAAAAATACGTACTTACCAGGCACCAAGAATGGTAGAAAAGTGGCCAGCACTCGAGCCTGTCTGCCGGAACATTCACCCCCATTCATGTGACTCGATCCGCCTCAGAACATCACGCACCGACCTTTACTTACTTACGGGTTCAGCGGCGCAACGACGAATCCTCGTTGGATATCCTTCACGCAGCGACACTATTCCGTGGTTCTCTGTTTCAGTCTTCTTCGAGATCCACCCTGCCACCCTACCCAAAATCCCTGTAAAGTACCAAGCTCCGATTCTGTCCATGACTCCGAGTCGGAAGAGAGGGAGACCTGTTGTGCAGCATGTTCGATCGTCGGTGTGCTTGAAGCTTTATATCTGCATTCATGTTTGTAGACAAACCATACTAAATACTTCATCTGCGGTGTTACGAGTTACATGCGTCCCAAAGGTCATCTGATAATGAACGAGTCACTCTTTCAATCAATGGTCGCCGCAAAATATTTTTTTCTGCGGGCCCATCGAGGACGAACAAATATGACAGGGATGCGTAAAAATGCCCGCCGAGTCACCCGCATTGTACGTACCATCCGGCCGCACCCACCCACCCCCCGACAGACAGGCGAAAACGAGTCAATGTCAACCCCAAGGCGCTTGCAACATACCTTGAATGCTCCAACGCTACTGCCGCGGACTGAATGGCAGTAAGTAAGCAGTTCGGATCGTTCTCTCGCAGAACGACAGTCGCCACCGGACCGACTCCGCTCCAAAGCACTCCTTTCTGCCTAGAAGCAAGTCGTGTGGCCACCTTGACTGGAACCTTGCATGCTGGCCGGTCTTCTATTTAGCTTGTGACCTCCGCCGCAGAGAAAGCAGCGAGCATGGTTCGCACCTGGATGGTACTTAGAGCTCATCGTCTTGAGCCTGTAGTTATTGATAGAGTCCCGAAGATGACCGTGGTATATAAAGTACAAAAAGGATCACCGTATTCCTGATTCGGATAGAGAATGAGATAGAGCGGCCCCGGCCTTTCTTTCCAGGGAATTGAGCAGCGATGGCCCAGATCATCGAATAATAACCGTATATTAGAAGCCCGTGTGACGTGTACGGGCCAGTCCAGCTGAGAAGTATTGACAAGTATTTGACCCACAGATCATGCCACGTTGATGTTAGTTGCCGATTGGATGAATCGACGTTATTGCTTATAATGTTTGTATGATCTGAGGCACTCGAGGTCTCGTGGGGCGGGATCTTTGCTCCGCGGGAGACTGGAGTCTTCACACATTTTCATCATGTGGACTGATAATCGAACCGACATGGAGGGTGGAGGGCATGGTGTCATTGAAGACGAAGCGTGAATATAGAGCGGGCTGTAGGCCGCGGCTACTGCGAACAATTCAGGTCATCCTGGAGAGACTGATGATCATTTTAGTGTTATCCTCACATCTGCAGAGATTGGAATTGTATTGGACTTGCTATCGAAGTTCCATCTACCTTCGAACATCCTTGGCGTATTGGTTTAGCCATATGTCTGTCATGGATGTATCGACTGTTTGCACTGAGAAACCAATGTATCGTATACATTAGCGGGAGGCGCGCAATGTCAACATCAAAACTTACCTATCTGACTACCACAATGCCGCCTCGTGCAAAGAAAAGTCCCACAACGTGAAGGATTTCCTCTAGAAAACGTAAACAACGAGTTTTGCGTCATTGCTGAAGCTTCGGTATTTCACGCCCGATGAGGATACTCGTATGTAGGCCACGCTTTCATCTTCATAGGTTTAGTTGGTCCTATACCCGTGAAAATCCTCGAGCCTAAGTATGTACGAGGGGAAAACAGTAAGCAGGCAGCCGTCCCAGACAAGAATGGTACTATGTGTCCTCTTTGAAGTCTGCCGGGCACTAGGACACCGGGCAGGATTCGCGAATCATTTAGCACGAGGCATATTTGACCTAAGTTAAGCCCACCCCACCCTGTACTTCGTTGTCGTCGCCCACCACATGAGTTAGACTTGGAGAAATGAGGATATAGCGTGCTTCTGCATGTACGATGGACGGCGACTAGTTTTTGTTGAGAACAACCAGTAATAACTTCCCGAAGCTCAGGCGAGTCACTAACGACTGAACGTGATAGATGCGAACGATGCAAAAAAAGCATGGCTGCTATCTTGATACGGACCATGCACCTGAAAACCGATGTGATGCCATCGTGGTCTCGAGGTATTATTATTAGCTGCTCAGCGCGGGCGCACTCATCGCCCAATCTAATCCTGGCGGGTGAGATTCAGATGCTGAACATCATGATTCAAGCTATGTACACCCATTCATGAAAGCACAGGTCACGTATGGGATTTTACTAGAGTGAATGGGGATTCTAGCTGGGAAGGGGTGCAACCCGGTTCCTAAAATGATGTCAAGCCCCGTGGGCATTTTGCGGCGTGGTTCCCGAAGGGCTTTCGTCCAGCCGGCTACAACGGCGAATTCACAGAAGTGATACTGCTGCCAACCAACATAAGGCGCAAGGGAAATAAAAGGCTTCATGGCTGCGACATTGCGATATAGGAAAGTATTTTGTTGGTGAGGACGTACGAGCAGTGACAACGAAGGCAATGTCAGAATTGCGATAGTGAGGAGATACGTGAATTACCGAGGCCTACGAGAGCCATAATTCACCGGCGGTGGTCTTGTTAGAGGGAGAACCTTGCGGTACTGTGACCAATAAGTCCAGGTACTGTCAGACCCGTTGAAGCATACTCAGCTGGACGGCCGTACCTTTCATTTGTTCTTCCATTCATACACCAAGGAAATGCTCGAAATATCACGTTCATTTCATCATACCTTGAGCCGTCGATGTTAATTAGGCGCTCGAAGACGTCCGAAGGTAATATGCGCGTTGCGAGAGCACGACAACTGTTGACAAATCGATCAGCCTACCGTAGATAGAAATCACGCACAAGAGTGATGGTAGGAGGGGTGGCGAGCAGCCACGTCGTCGATGTTTGCTGAAGAGGGTGAGAAAGCGGTGTGTGTGTCGCTGTGTGAACAGCGGCCGGGACGCGAGCTCGAAAGAAGTCGCGGAGTATCACCAGCCGTAATCGGAAAGAAGATGTCTTTTCTTGTAGGCTTCGGAGTGGTTGTTCGAAGCAGTCGAACTGGCGACTCGGAGAATCAACAGCCATAAATGGACTAGGCTGCGATGCACGAACAAGGTTGAGTGACCGAGGGAAATGAATCTTCTGCGGGAGTGAGCGCAGCCCGGGAGCGTGTCCTCCGCGAGCGCCAGCCACAGTTGGGCGATGTGTTCCCGCATCGGACGTAATAGGGAGCCTGTACGTTTCATGTGCGAATCATTGCAAGAAGGCTACCATACGAAGAAAGAGGAATGCTCGCGTTGGCCATGGCAATCAACGAGGCAGAGAGACCAGGGAATCGTGACGAGGGCATGAATGCCGAGGCTCTGCAGGCACAGGAGAGACCGGTGGCTTGGTCGCTCCTGGACTGTCGGTCCTGTATAACAATGTTCGTCGCTCGTTTTCTCTTCGCCCTCCCTGTCGTCGCCTCGTTACATCTTCGCGTCTAAGTTTGCATCAGATTCCATCAGTCCAAGCTAGCGAACACGACCCACTCACTCTTATAAGTCCAGCCCTCTCCTCCGCCCCATCGATTGCACTCCCGTAATGGCTTCTGTGGCCACCCGCACTCTCCTGGAAGACCGACTGCTCCCATACCCTATCATTTCACAACTCTCTGCTCGTCATCCGAGAGCTATGTCTCAACAATCTAGCTGGTTCTACGACGCAGATAACTCAGGCTATGGCAACGAGCAGTCATCATCCTGGCAAAACCAGACATATACCCCCGCCACATCTTACTCTTCAGTACGCACCGGTCATCCTTCCTCGAACAGTGCCGCTGCGGTGGAGCGGGTACCGTATGCGAGCATGTCATCCTCGTCCACCCTCCCCAACATGCGCGATATGACTCGTGCAATGGGCGATCCAACATTCGGCTCACATACCAGTCATCTCAGCAATCCCTCGCTGACGTACCACGAGCAGTTCTTCACGGACGGATCGCTCCAGACCATGCCTTCACGAGACGACTCCCCTCCCGACTCCCCAACTCCGACCGGCGTGTCTCCACCTGTCAAAATGGAGCACGAGGATAGTTTTGTCTTCGAGGCGACCTCATCACAATCACATCCCCCGACCATCTCCTTCGACGACAATGCATTCTCGTCACAAGTCCCGCTCCGCGCGACGCAAGCTTCCCCTTCGATGAAGAAGATGATGGGCGTCTTCCGGCTCGATCCGTTCGCGATCCAAAGCGGCGGCGGAGCTATTTCGCAGCCGCCCACCGTCGAGGCTGGCCCGCTCGAGGAAGAAGGACGCTACATTGAATTTCAACTTCACCTCGAAGAGCCTCTCCTTCCGCTATCCCCATCCGCCCTCCCGCTTAGAGCGCTGTCCCCGCGTTCGACGTCCTCTCCCGACCACAGCTTCAACTACCAGACGGACAGCCCTGGGTTTATGAGCAGCAGGTCTACAGGCAACGGCTCTCAGACCCATCAGACTGACGGATTCGATGGAGCGGGGTGGGGCTTTGAGCTTCCTGCGGAGATAGCGGCGGTGTATACCCCTTCGTCTATGATCGCTGGGAGCAGTAGCAATGATGCTGGTGGGGGTTTGGGGTCTTCGCCAGGGATAAGCATGGCGAATTCGCACCACCATTCGATGGGGCTGGCCTCGAACGCAGCGTTCGGTGAGTACCATACATAATTTTCGACCCGTTCCCATTGGTCTTCCCCCGGCACGTAATCCTGGAAGTTCATGTAATGGACCGTTTTCATAGCGTCTGCGCCACATCGTTACGGCCACTCGGATCACACCATTGCCCGAGATGCAGCGAGACGCGCAGCCTCATCGTCCTCCGCACGATATAACACGCAGGCGTCGCCCGTCCATACTCTCTACACCGAGAGCGTCCAGAGCAACACACCGCAAGCAATGGAGCGCCGCTATAACTCCAGCAATCACGGACTGTCTTCGCGCGCGGTCGCTAACGCCCAGAGTGGTCAGTACGCACCAATGGCTTTCGAGGTACGTCTCCATAAATGTCTTAGACTCTCGAGCGCGCACTCTCGCTTTGGGCATAGCTGACCACATGCACTGTTTGATGACCAGGCGGCGTATGACAGCTCTGCGTCTATGCAAAGTTCGAGTTCCTCATCGTCTAGAAGGAGCAGACCGTACCTTCATGAGGGGTCGCATTCTGGGTTCTACCCGGGGACTTGATTGTTGGGCTGTCGTTATCGTTACGTCGTCGAATGTCGCTTTCGTGCTTTATTTTCATCGTCAATAGCTGTCTTCTTGGGACGTGGGGTGTCGCGTTGAGGTCGAATTATTCACTATTCTTGGGCGAATTCGTGGTCTTTATCCTGTGTATGTTTGGTCAGATTCCTCTCACTCGGGTTCGTCGTGTTATGCAAATTTTAGATTAGATGCTTACAACAGTGGTACGGTGTATTTTTATCTCATTTCTTGATGTATTGTCGCATGCTTCCTCTCGTACATTGGAGCCCCTATATTTTTGCAATTCAGCAGTTGACAACGCAGCGTCTATTGGCGGAATGGAGCGAACATAAGACCTTTTCATTGTTGGGTTGTCTCTTACGTGTCGCGGCCATGTCCGCACCGTACGGTATCTGGCCCAGGAAGTATCGATGTGGTCGAATGCGAGGATAAGTGTTATCGCCGTTGACCGTCGAGAGGAACTCCTCAACTTTCTCTTTGATCCTGTACGTCAACGAATATGTGCAGTCAAATGTAAAGCATAGGATCAGGTGACTTTCCCGATGGGCGTCGAGGGACACCGAGGTGACAGCCCAGAAAGAGAAGCCCGATCCCATGATTGATGGGGCCAGAGCGAGTGTATGCGCCCGAAACATGGAGGTCATGCACTTGATACTCGTTCTGCTTGGATAAGAGACGCTGGCATGAGGAGGGCGCGTGTATCTGCGAAGGAATGAAGTCAGGATCACTCTACGGAGACAAACTGGTTGGAGGGGGTGAGTATACTTATGCCCTTCATTTCGGGAGAAAATCGACAAGCGCACCGGGGCGTTCCTTGACGAACCACTCGGAGGGAATGGCAGATCCCAAATTTCAGTCGTCCACATGCTCCCCATCTCCGTTGTAAGCGCGAATGGAGGGTGAACGACACATGAAACTTAGCTGCAAGTTAGGTCATCCAGAGTCTGAGGTCGCAAAGTGTCGCAATTGGACGGTGATGCTCAAGTTGGTCGATGTCGAATGCTTTCAAAACGCTATGGACAAATTTGCGACGGTGTTTGGGCTACAGATAGCCCGAAGCCTTGCGGTTTCGACGCGACCGGAATACTAGGTGGCGTTGAAAGTGCTGCGTACCATAGGAAGAAACTTGGACGATATGAAACCAGTCACAGTCTATGAGAAGCTGGCTAAGCATGCAAAACAATCCGAGGGGGAGATGCGAAGGTTGGTATGGTTAGAGGTTGGTGGGTTTGAAGAGTCGAAGGACGCGGTGAGAACTGAGAGTCCGATGAGTCGGACTCTAAAATCCCGGCAAATCCCACAATCGAACACGCGGCGCTTTGTTTGGATCCAAAGCTTTTGCCAAACAACCACCCTCCCACGATCCTCGGTCGCGTTTGGACATCGATTGACTTACATACCTCTGCCCAAGCGATTATGGACCCAGAATCGGTAGAAGATATTCTAAAGGACTCGCTTACAGTCTTTGATGAAGATGAAAGTAGTAATCTTGGTATCAGTCGGATCACATACGGCCCGCTCGAGATCACAGTTGCACCTAAGGTTTGTGGAATTCAGTCGGCGTCTACTTCGATGTGGTCATTCTGACATTGTTGATCTCAAGGAGGGAAAGGTGACATTTGCACCTCCTCTGTGCGTGGCTATAGACATTGACTCTTGAACTTGGAACAAGGCGAACACCCTTATGGCTGACCAAGTATTTTCACCTTCCATTTTGCTCGCGGAGCGTATGGAATTAGGACTCATTCCCGTTCATCAATGCTCTGGTATGGTTTGACCGTTTGATTGCTAACTTTGCGCTCATGATATCATCTGCGGCATCTTGCTCTCATGTTGATTCCGGCCAGTCATTGAACTTGGTGCTGGGACAGCCCTTCCATCGCTAATCGCCTCAATCCTGCCTGTGGCCCACGTCCCCACGCTCGTAGTTGTGACGGATTATCCGGACCCTACAATACTCGACAATCTCATGAATAATGTGGTCAGGAACCAGCCTCACGTCACCGCAGGATGTGAGGTACAATGGACAGGGTACGAGTGGGGAAAGGATGTCGAGCCGCTGCTGTACGTCGAATGCCACTTTGTGTCCTATCAATGGTCGAATACTATGTTATTGATCGTATTGATCGTAAACGCTCCTGTGACAATTAGTCCTGGACCTACCGAGACCAACGGCGTTGCCCTGGCCAGTTGAAGAATACTTCGTTACTCTCGTTATTCTATGGGCTTGGGCTGCACAGGCCTTTGTCGGATTCGACCTGACGCTATGACCGGCTCAATCGTCTCGTGGTCAAGTCCTCCTCTATAACTTGGGACCAGAGGTCATAGCCTGCCCGGGGTGTTCCTTCGCTCTATACTGTGCCTCGTCCTTGTCTTAATCGCTCGTCTTGAAGAATCTCTTCCGCTTGTGTACGATGAATCTGATTCCAGTTCATGCTTTTCTCAGGCAACTACTGCAGCAACGGTCTCTCCCAGGGCTTTCTCCGACAGTCTCTCCTGGATACGACGTTGTCATACTTTCCGATCTACTCCACTTCGACCGCTCGCATCCGGAGCTCCTCTCCTCTCTGTGCGCTCTACTGGCTCGTCGTTCCGAATCACGTACCTATGTCGCCGCTGGAGTATATACGCGCTCTGAACACTGCGATAGCTTTTTACGGAATGCAGAGGCCCTGGGAATTTTCTGGTGCTCCAGCTACGAGGACGAGTCGCCGGAAGATAAAACGGACGGCTGGGCCGGAAAGATGGAGATCACGGGTCTTCATCCTGAACAATTACAAGCCCGGAAGAGAATGTGTCGGTGGTGGGTAGGAAGGTGGTCTGAGAGATCTCTGATGGAATAATTGGGAGGGAAAGACTGGGAAATAATGAGAGCGAATGGGTAATACGGCGGAAGAATGACCCTGTGGGCTGGATCTCCGTGCAGGTGGGTTGGTGAGTTCGTTGTGTTTGAGTCTGCCTCTGACAAGCTTGCCTCTGACGTGCCCAGGACTCCAATCAGACTCAACCGAGAGACAGGGCATGTCGTATTCGAACTAAGTTAATATAGACGGTACAGTAGCCAAGCTTCCCCCTGGTTCTCCTCGACGCCCCGGTGGCTTTGAGCTGTACTGACCTACCGGTGGAGTGTCAGAAAATGCGTCGTCACTCCAGTGATTGATCTGTGATACCAGGTAACGTAAGGTTCCGCATCATCTCATGTCAGAGAACAACGCCCACATACACGTCAGCTTTGAGTATGGAGCCGGTTCCGCATACGTGTCGACCGTTGTGTCGACGTGGCTCCTTCAACTGAAGAATATTCATGGAGCCGTTCGCGGTCAAGCATGCCCGCTTCACGAGTGTCGAAGTCACTTCGGCCATTGCAGACGCATCATTGAGACTTTATCTCAGCTTTTTTTGCGCTATCGTGATTGTTCGGACCTTCTTGATAAAGGTCGTGGAGCTGTTTCGTATATAGCAGCACTCTCCTAGCTGTGCTAACGCTCATCCTCGTTCCTCTTCTTCAAACCTCTCATTGTCTCATTGAAACATCGCGGTCAGATAGAAACCACATGCCATTATCCATCCCCAGCGCCCAACTTTGGGAAAAGGACAGCACCCAACTTTGGGAAAGACGCCTAGTGGGAAAGACATATGTAGGGTATCGTAATTCAAATCCTTCGTGGACGGTGCGTGGATGTTTTCACACATTTATGTCCCAAGTTAGTTCATATTCTCGGGGGGGAAAGGCTGTCGTTGCACACATTTCTGAATTGCTTGTTTCGAACTTCTTGATACCTGTAAGTAGACCTTCTCGGATGAAGATCTACCCTCTCCGTACCGCGTTGTGTGGTCCGGATCCTTCACGACCATGGATATTCGCCGCGATAGGTGCGTATCTTGGAGCTCTCTAGCCTTGTGAATGGATACTCATAGTGTCAATAGGCTCACCGTCCATCTTGACCGGTACATGAAATGTACCCATGTTACTCGGGGGTAGGCATGGTGCAGCCACGCCGCAACAGTCGTATGAAAGTAGTTCGGTGAAAGGGTTCCACGAGGGTGCAAAGTTCGATGTTATTTGTACTGCATATATTCCAACCCAAGCCCATCCTCGCAGTTAGAGCTGTAAGACGTGGGTGCCACGTAGAACGCGAGAAGGTCCACGTAGTGTACCCGAGTGACTACTCCGAGCCGAAGTCACCGTCCAGTTTGAAGTCGGTCTAGGCCTGGGTAACATTCGCGACGCCTCCTCAAAGTCTACTTACACTGATCCGCTCAACGCTAGCCAGTATTCAGTATCTCTAGTTACACTGTTTCTTTGAATGACTGAACGAAACAAGGTCTCAAGCTGCGCCCTTGACTCTTCCCCTACGCTTCGCAGCCTGTTCTTCTCACCGAAATTTTCAAACATCGACGACTGTGAGTCCTCCAGTTGTTGACAAAGATCTTCTCATTCCGACGTTAGAGAAAGCAGCCGCTTGCAGGAATGTGCTTTTTCAATCCGGCGTTCAATGTTCAATCCGTTTGAGTCCAGTGGGATACTCGCACCAGAGTTTGTTCTCGATGCGATTGGTGTTTTCGTAGCTCTCATGCTTCACTCCACACTCTTTAGCATCGCCGGTGGTCCACCGCGGTGTGAGTACTTCCGTCTCTAAAGCTGCACGCTTAGCCAGACATTTGACTTTTGTCCTTCTTCAAGAAAAAAGGCCAGGGGTCGCTGTAGCTCATCAATATCGTGGTCGCAGGGTTTTTCATAATAGTATGGAGGAGCTCGTGTGAGAATTGTTCAAAAGGTTGTAAAGCAGTAAGGATGATGCGGGCGAGTAATTATTGACTGGACGCCAGATGCAATAAAGCGAGTAGTGAGCGACTGGGGGCTGTCCGGGGAGCCTTGACGGCAATGAAAACATACCGGTAGATCTCGAACTGCAAGATAGTCCTAACTACAAAGCAAAGCATAATAGCATTCATCTACAAAGGTATCTCGACCTAAACGTATCAAAGGTAAGGATATTTGTTGAGGATCGGGTCGAACTATGCAATGAAGACAACACTTACCTCGTCAATTGCATCCTCGACCGCCTTCGCAAATAGCTCGCTATAGTCGACCAGAGCCTGGGTACCGCTTCGGCAGGCAGTAGTTTCGACACATGCCACCGCAGCCGTCAGTGCGGGTCCCAACACTTCCTTGCTCTTTACCGTGTCACCCCTCGGCCTAACCTTGAGCGCACCCTGCGCCCGTTTTATATAGTCGTGCCACCACTCGGGAGCCCAAAAAATCCAACGCTCTTGCCCGTTCCAGGGGCTATGCACCATCCCCTCTAGGACGTTAATATCCTTGGATATTTTCTGTTGTTGGCGACACACTGCGCATTCTTGCTTCGTAGTAGCCAAAGGTATACATGAGAGACGTGGGATCCAGCTTCGGTCGCTGTGCGCTTTCGAACTTGCCACCTTCCTGCAATCCTCGTGATATTGGATCAATCGGAAGAGGTCCCCTCCAGTGATGCGTTCGAGTTCGGAACTATGCTGAAGATCTTTGATCGGAGTCTCCAAAGTCTCCTTCGCAGCGGCGATAACAAGGCCTTTGACTTTGTGGCGATAACCAAATGCGTAGGCAGCTAAAGGCTCCTGACAGCTGGTCTCGACCAACGCATGAACGACAGGCTCTAAAAGCGAGTCCATAGCGTACTTGTCTACCGCTTCGTAGAGGCGTGACGCGAGGGTGAATTGGGTTATAATAGGCGGTGATGTCGGGTAGCAGAGGCGCAAAAGAACATCAACAATATCAGAGGATTCGGGGAGGGTAATGACCGAGAGTCCTTCCCTCTTCTCTTGTGATGAAGAACCGCTCCTGGTCTTGGGAAGCGAGAACATGGTTTCGAAGATGGGCGACGCTAGCGAGAGAACCGCCTTGTGAACGCGGAAATCCATGAGGTCGGCGGAGCGGAGGATGAAGTCTGCGGTGGTTTGGTTGAAGGGAGCTTCTGCATCGCGAATATCGTCAACTCGTTGCTGGTCATCGTCTGAGTCGTTTTCTACGTGTGGTCTCTTTCCATTCGCATTGACGGTACCGGACATCGTTAATCTGCACGGCTTAGGAAGCAAGTGTCAGTTTCCCTAGTCACAACGCGATGTCGCGGCGTACATCAGATGACGTAGAGCGAGCGACTTGAAGAAGGGCAAAGATTTTCTACCTACGAGGAATGTTAAGGTTTTGAGTGACCCTGCGCAATAGGAAGACTGATATATATGTCGGCTGGCGTAGGTGGACGTTGGGTGTTGGTGTTGGGCAACCACTCAGACGCGTCGAGGACGCGTTGGCCGTCCGGAACAAGTTCTCACGCTCGTGTGGCATTTCTGTGGCGAAGAACATACCTGCATAGAGAAGGACAGAGAAGGACTTACATTCCTTCTCCTCGCAGCGAAATAAATGAGCCACAGATGGTTGCATAAAGCTCGCTTTCAATCACCAAATGAGTATATTATGACCACCAGCACGTCGTAAATAATAATGTGTATATAGTTTTCACAGAGCTTTCTTCAAATACAATGCGTGGCGTGGACCACAGATACACAAGAACTGACAAGAGACCGTATCTGTGACTGTTGGAAACGACTTTCAAAACGGTGATCGGACTAATCACCGCGTCCTGTTGGGCTTGAACGAGGTCAAAAATCCACGCGCAGATACGGTCTAATAAGAGTTAGATCTAGTGATGGGTTATTTAGCACACAAATTGACTAGCTTACGAGTTCCATTGATGCTGGCAGTGGAAAATGGACATGATATTTTTCGTTCCGTTAGTATCTTGATCTTTAGTGTGGGGCCTTCACCTATGTGATGTAAAAGGTGGGATATATGTCTCATATGAAAAAGCAAACCAAGACAATCAAAGAGCAGCAGCACCTACTTTATCGATCGCATCCTCAATCGCCTTCGCAAAAATCTCGCTGAACTCGACCATAGCATGAATCCCATTCCGACAAGCCATCGTCTGGCATTCCACCGCAGTCGACAATGCTGGCCTTAAAATCTCCATACTCTTCACCGTCTGACCCCTCGGCTTCACTTTCAGCGCCTCATACGACCTTTCCATATACTCCCACCACCACTTCGGACACCAGAGTATCCATCGCCCTTTCTCATCTTTCGTGAGTCCAGGAAAAGAATGGGTGTGCATCTGGACCTTGGTATTACAGTACGCACAAGGCTTCGCCGGGTTTATCTGGGGTATGGACGTTAGGGAAGGGATCCAAGTCCAGTCCAGGGTCGCTAGCTGACTGGCGGCGGCTTTGCATTCTTTATGATAGCGAATGAGGCGATATAGTTGGGTGCCGGTGATGCGATCGAGTTCAGAAGACGAAGAGAGATGATCTAGGGGGTGGTTGAGGGTTTCTTTCGCAGCCGTTACGACGAGTTCGGAGATCTGGTGGCGACAACCGAATGCGTAGGCCGTGGTGGCGTCTTGCCGAGCGGTCCTTAGGAGCGCGTCTTTGACAGGCTGAGCGAGGGCGTCCATTGCGTATTTGTCTATGGCATCGTATAAAACCCTCGCGTGTGTAAACTGCGTCAGATCTGGGGCAGATGTCGGATAGCAGAGGCGAAGAAGGGAATCGAGGATGAGCGATGCTTCGGGGAGGGGGATCACGGGCAAACCGCCTCTCATCTCTTGCGAAGACGAGGACGAAGAACGCGTTTTGATAGTGGGAAGGGAGAACATAGATTCGAAGACTACCGAGGCTAGTGATAAGACGAGTTTGTGGACGCGGAAGTCCATGCCGTCGGAGGAGCGTAAGATGCAGTCTGCAGTGGCTTGGTTGAAAGGCTCTTCGGCGTCACGAATCTCTACAGCGTTGGTTTCCGAATCATCATCCGCGGGGCGACGTCTCTTTCCGTTCGCATTGATCTCCTTAGGCATTCTCCAAAATTTCGCGAGCCAAACGAAAGCCAGGGTGGAATCTTGAGAACTTGTCGAAAGGGAAAGATGGGAACCTCAGATGACAAGTTGTGGGGCGCAGCGAAGATGACTTGTAGTGTTCCAACTGAAGGTAGACTCAAGATCAGTGACAAAGGGGTATCATGATTCGACGGGGCCAGTCATAGTTCTAATCGACTCAGCCTCGAGATCGAAAATGTCTATTGTACCCCGTTTTGGGTAGGCTGATCGCGGACATCTCCGGAAAACAATGGAAGCCTCGCACCACATGTTCGTGAAGTGGCGTGAGACGGTCATAATTATTTCGATTCGTGCAAACAGATAAGAAGGTGATGTGTGAGAGCTTTCCCCCGTAATGTGACTGGTAGTGAAATTTCGTTGCAAGGATACTCTTGATTATGCAAATAGAGAGGGAGGTGAAGGAATGGATTGCCTGAATCGTCCGCATTTTGTCCGCATTAGACGAATGTCGATCTAGTCGAAACTTAGAAACAGGTATCAGACGGTGGGTATAGGCACCAACGACCGGCAAACGCTTGTAGACGTCGTGAATGAATGCGGAGCAGCTCAACTTCTAAGTGTAAGAGGAGGTCGCCTTGAGACCAGCCGTTATGGATAACGGAAGTCGGTTAGATACTCCTTGAGTTCAATTCAAGCTGCCATCTTCAACGAAGAGAAGAAGACACTAGACCACTATAGAATGTGTCTGCCTATATCTCTTGTGTGGCGTCCACTGGTTACGCAGCGAACATGCCATCCGGTATTCTACGTAGTATCCTGACCATCTGCCTCGTGTTTGCTAGTCCACGTTAGAGCCATGAAACGGAAGACCAGACGTCAACTCCACGTGCTACGGAAGGCGTTCCGGTCTGGAGGACGTCTTCCTTTGTTCAGAGATTCCAAGCGTTCTACCGCAGTGAAACGTCGCTCTTTCTTCTGCCCACCTTTCACCACAGCTATGACTTGGTTCTCTTCAAGTGGCTCACCTCTTTCGAATGTCTGTATGACCAGGATCCTGAAGATGCCCAACCTTCAAGGTTAGGCTGGTTCCGAGCAGGTTCTGAGAGAATCCCATGGTGAGTTGCGATTTTCAGCATCTCTTTGCATTCGATGAGTCTGAGGATTCTGATGGAATGAAGAACTCACGGTAGCATACGGACGCCATCGGAGATCATTACCTGAAGTTCTCGATACCGCGACAAACCAGTATTCCTGTTTCGGCTACAATGTCAGAAAACTGAAGGTTCGTCCAAGTTAGGCCGAGCTGTTTGTGCCCGGGCTGCATTCCAGGACCGGTCGGGAATGGAGGATGTTGGCTTTGAAATTTGAGCAAAGGAGAAGCCAAGGGCAGCGCCGGCCACGTGTGATGCACCGCCGCCGGTTCGGGACAGGCCGCGTGGCCGCCACGGTGTGCTGTATCCCGACAGTCGATCTTGCTCTGCGTACACCACCATACCCTCACCTCTCCGTCTCGACCCCCGCTGCTCTCACCCCCACCCCCACACATCGTCCGCTCGTTTCTTGCTCTGGGAAATGGTCGTAGACTCGAACTCGAGACGAAGGAGTGTCGACGTCGGAGGGCTGGCTTTGGCAGTAGGGAACCAGGGCTGTTCCGGTCGGGGCTGGGTAGGATATGATCCAACTACAGAAGCTGATGGCGAGCCAGACGAGACTGGAACACGGTATGTGCACATACATTGCGCTTGTGCTGGGCTCATTGTCATATATAACAGCTTCGCAGAGCTCCTCGACGGGCTGTATACACACGCCAATAACGCTGCGAGCGTCGAGTTTCTGTACGTATCTATTCTTCATACCTTGAGTACACAATACCCATGGGAGGCGGTCCAGGTCTGATATCGATATGTCGGATGAGACGCGGACCAAACTCGTTGAACTTCTCAATACCCCTGCCTTCGAGCCCCACAAACTCCTACCGGAAGAAGTCTTGATGTGCTCACTCATGCTATTTGAAACACTCTTTCAAGTGGACGGCCTCCAGGAGGCAGCCGGTGTATCATTAGGTTTGTATCTTCTTCTGGCCATTGCGAGTCCATGTTCCTGAAACCTTTGCAGAACAAATTTTCGCATTTCTTGCACGTCTTCGCTCTGTCTATCGCCAGCAAAATTCTTATCACAACTTTGAACACGCCCTGGACGTTCTGCAAGCAACATATCATTTTCTTTCGGCTGCCGGTCGCATCCCTCCTGTTACGATACTTCACGAACGAGATCACCCGCCATGGAGACCAGACAAACAAAAGTTGCAGGGCACCATGTTAGATTGTTTGCATGACGAGGACTTACTCTGCCTATTCATCGCTGCTATTGGTCACGACGTCGGTCATCCCGGATTCACGAACAATTTTATGGTACGTACACGTTCCATCTTCGCCGTTTTCATTCTAATTATGACGACATCGCGTCGAGCAGAAAAATGCCAAAACGCCTCTATCGTGTCTGTATGACGACCGATCTGCCCTCGAACAAATGCACTGTACTCTCCTTCTACATATCATGCACCGACCAAATCGGCGCGACGCCATCGACCTTGGACACCTTCTGCATGACCAATGCAACGATGCGGGTCAGCGGTTCAGGAAACTCCTGCTCGCAATCGTACTCGCAACAGACATGCGGATACACAGTGACTTCATGACTCGGTTCGAGCGGTTACTGAGCGAAAACGAGCCTGAGGACGAATGGGCCAGGAGGATTCTACTCTGCCAGGCGCTCATCAAGTGCGCCGACATCTCCAATCCAGTAGGTGACTTCTATCCTGGTCAGGCGAACGGTTACTCAAGCATATCTTTCCTTCTCGCCAAATTAGTGCCGGCCCCTCAACATTTCACAGTATTGGGCTGCTGCTCTGAACGAGGAATGGACATCACAAGCAGCCCTGGAACAACATCTTGCGCTCGAGCCCACGGTTCACGCATCAGCGGACGCAGAATCTGAAGCTGCAGGCCAAGTCTTCTTCATTAATGTCTTTGCCAGACCCCTATTTGACTTGGTCTCTCGCGCGGTTCCCGGTTGGTTCACACTCACTTGTTACAAATCCATATATGTCGTCTCACTGGAAATATCTTCACAGAGATCACTTCTTACGCCGAACAGTGCAAGACCAATTTTGAGTTCTGGACATCTCGACAGGCCCATTACAAACAGCTGAAAGTGGCACGTGCCCACGAATCACAGACGGCAGAGCCCTCGTCGTCGTCCGCAGACAGTCAGGATGATGCCTCCAGTGATCGTCCTCTATCACCCTCCCAAGCCATAGGGGATTATCAATCCGTCTTCCCTATGACCCTCCCTCCTGGCCTGACCATCCCAGCCGACACCGTCTCTATGTTCCCTTCATCCTGCGCATTCTCCGAAGTATCTGCCTATTATTCCGCCTGCAGTTCGCTGGCTCCTTCGGTCGGCTCTCGCCCCGCTTCGCCCACGCTCTCGATAAATGGAGGCAACCAGACTGCCTGTGCGTCTCCATCCACATCCACAAACTCAAGCGACTCTACTTCTAGGTCAGGATATGCTTCCAGCTCAGGTGGCGCTCCTTCGCCTTTGCTCTTGGCGAAAACAGTGCCCAGCGCTTCGAGGTCTCCGCTACGATCGGTCGAACCCCTACCCCCGCTTTCGACGACTTCGACGTCCACGGGAACAACGCCGCCCAGCCCTTATTCTCCGAGCTCGAGTCCCACAGACGCGGTCTCGGTATCGAATATGTCGTTAGGCCGGAACTCGGTCGTCAGCGTCCTGGGAAATGCCATGTTAGGGAGTGGGTTGAACATGGGTATGGATGGGATGATGGGAATGGGTGGAGCGAGCGTGGGAGGGTCGAGCATCGCGGGGATGAGCGTGATGGGGAGTATGCGTACCGGGATGAGTGGGGCCACTGGGATCAATGGCAGTTCGGGCGCGGGGACGGAGGCGATCAGGGCGGCATATAAGGCGAGTGTGAAGAAAAAGACGAGTTTCCACAGGAATTCTTGGAACCCGCCGTCTTCGTCCAGGGCTCCGCATAATATGTCTATCCCTATACCTGGGAATGTGAATATGCCGGTGGGGATGATGGTGAGGGTGATGAGTGAGGGGGTCGTAGTCGGGAGCTCTGGTGGCAAGGGCGGGGAGGTGGCTTCTTGAGTTCATGGCATGGGTCGATGAGGGTCGTTTTCCTTGGCCTCGTTGTTCTCTACCTTTCGTCTTCAACCGAACTTCATGTTCTGTTTCCATCCTTTAATTATTATTTTGCCGTGCGTCATCCCGCCTATCTTATGACTAACGCCGCTCACTGTTCATTCGATCTTCCTTTTTCTTGGCTTGTAGTTGTGTTCCTTCTGTGTTATATTCTCTGTGTCATCTGTCGTAAGGCTTTGGCGCTTCTGCTCCACCTCACCTCGACTATCGTCTGTCTTCATCTCGCCTGTTTTGTGTCTATATCTGTCCACAATTAGGATTAGTAGGATGCGTCCTCTTCCATTCTACAGTCTCACTTTTTTTTTTCTTCGTCTGTTTCAGTCTTCTGTGTCTCTATCAGTTTCATTTTTTTCTTTGTTCGTGGACTTTCTCAGCTTATGGTCGGAGGAGCACCTTGGAGGTCTTCTTTCTGCTTCGGCTGATTGCCTTGTCCTTCTGGATTCATTGGTCGGTTCGCTTCGTTGGTTTGTGGGTCCGTACGAACGTTGTTCTGAATCTGGGGTGCGGACTTGGGTTTTTTTCCTTCTGTGGAGCCTCTTAGTGAGGCTGTGTAGTGTCACTCTGGCGTGCGTGTATACACTCTGTATTCTGATCCGTCCCATCCATTCATCTATCCAATAGCTCACTATATCTACCTCTCTGAATCCGTTCCTGGTCTCCCTCTCTCTAGCATCATGTCTTTGCCTCCCTCGCTCTCGTTCGTACGCGTGTCTTGTTATTCCTCCAACTCTGTTTTTCTTCTGATCCGGCTTGCTCATCATCAACGCTGCCAGTGAACGTGCAGCGAATGGCACTGGCGGCGACTGGATGCGCTCGAGAGATATTGATGACGTCATATGCTTGAACTCAATTCTATCGCATCAAAATGTCAAGTCCGTTCTTATGTAGCGTCCTCGCCATCGTCCTTCCCAGCATCTTGCCTTCTGATCTACACTCGCTCGCTGCCCGCCGTCTTATATTTTCTTTGGAACTCGTGCAGTAAGTCATGCTGGTCAAAGCTGGTCACTTGTGCTCGGTCTCTGGCCCCCAGTTGAACCTCTCGGTTGAACTTGACCTTGAATCCTGCCACCCTAGACGTCGACTCAGCACGCAAGACTCATACACTCAAGCTCGTCCTCTGCACATACGCCTACCACTAGATCATGTCTAATGCTCCTAGTGTTATCAGCCCGTTCGATCAGCTTTATATGCTAGAAGATATGCAAAACAAGGCTCACGACGCAGACCCTCCATTCGACAATTCCACCGCAGACTGCATTCTGCGCTCTGCCGACCACGTCAATTTTCGCGTACATAAAATTGTGCTTTCCTTGGCGTCATCCATCTTTGAGTCTATGTTTTCTCTTCCCGACCCAAAACACCCCGAGCAGGAGCTTCTGGACGGCATACCTGTCATCAGCCTAGTCGAGTCTTCCGCCGTCATCGATTCTTTCCTCAGGCTCTGCTATCCCACACCGGATCCGATCTTCCTCTCCCTTTCGGGCCTCCTCCCTATCTACGATGCCATCGACAAGTATGCGCTTGACTCTGTCGCTCTTTCCGTCACAAAGGCATTGGTCCAATGTGCGCCGCAGGACCCCATGACGGCTTACGCATTCGGCTGTGCCCATCGTCTGCACGATCTTGTCAAAGTCGCCGCTCGGGAGCTGCTTGTGCACTCCATCGATAGACTCCCAAACTCTTCCGAGCTAGATCGAATCAACGCCTCGCATCTCTATCGCCTTCTCAAGTATCATAGCGCTTGCAGGACCGCCGCTAGCGCACTAGCGCTGCAAGACTGGAGCTGGATACGTTCGATTTCGAGAGTTCCTCTGACCTCTACCGCCCAAATGTGCTCGACCTGCCGGCAGTGCCTCGAGACTCAGAATCGTCTGAACGCCATACCGGGAGCACATCATTCCTTTGTGAACAACAGAGACTGCTGGACGTTCAGCTGCCCGACTTGGTGGTTCGACTATATGAAACGAGCCGAAGCGGCACTCGAGCGTAAACCGAGGGGAGAGACGGTTCGGAGCGAGGAGGTCTTGGGCCCGGCTTTGGCGTCTGCAGTGCAGTGTCAGGCAGTCGCTTGTCGGAGTGGGATGCGGGCTATGATGGACTTCAGCAAGCTTTTCGCCCAAGCTGTTGAGAACGCGTTAGACAAGGTCTGTGTAATTTTCATACCCATTGCGGCATTCAGACTTGCATGATCAATTCTGACGAAGTATTGAAAACAGGTCAAACCTCCGATCTAGTGCGAAGGCTGGGTAGATATGTGCAATGGCTACAAAGGATCACCAGGATAATTAGACGGAGAAATTAAACGTCTGCCCCGTCGATTGAGGGAAGGGTAGTGATAATAATGCATAGGGTAATTGGAGCACAACCTCAGATGCCCTATCGAGAAACATGTTTGACACCAAGGTCACGAAGGAGAAATACCTAGATCGTGATGAATGGATGTTCGAGTGATGGACAGCCATGGGGGGAAAGGGGAGGGGG